GTACAAGCCTGCACGCTTGGATAGCGGGTTGGAAAGATCTTCAGAAGTTACAGTTGAACAACTTGGAGCCAGTATTGGTTTTTGGCCTCGAGTTCATCATCCATCCAGTGCTCTATCATCAGAAGATAATAGATCAAGTGGGAGAAGAGAAAATGATGAACCAGCTGAGGATGTTCAGGATGAGTCGGTCGAGGCTCAGGAGTCTGAAGACATGGAAATTGATCACGACTTGGAGGAAAATCAAGGAGAGATGCGAGTCGTTACTCGCAATGAGGACCAAGGGCCGAGAAGACGGCAAATCCGTGATGTGGACGCCATTGAGGAACGAATCAGACAGCGAATTGCAAGGGATGAAAGAAACTCCCAGGGCACTCTCAAAATATTCGATATCAATGACTACCATATTCATCAGATGGACATAAAGACTGCTTTTCTCTATGGAAAATTGGAAGAGGAAATTTATTTGCAGCCTCCTCCGGGATATTTTCAGAACAGCAAGAAAGTATGGAGATTACAGCGGAGTCTTTATGGTTTGAAGCAGGCACCACGATGCTGGAATGAGCTGCTGCATGATTACTTGCTACAGATCGGTTTCTCTCAGTCAAGCGATGACTATGGCATTTACAGAAGCAAAAAATCAAACCTATTGCTTGCTGTATATGTTGATGATCTGATAATTACTGGCAAGGATTTGGACTCTATCAATAAGTTCAAAGAGAACATGCGCAAAAGGTTCCAGATGACTGATATGGGTGAGACAAGCTATTTCTTGGGGATTGAAATTACCAGAGACAGAGCCAAAGGCACTCTCACAATTTGTCAAAAGAAATATGCTGAGGAAGTCTTGAAAACCTTCAATATGCAAGACAGCAACCCTGTCACAACGCCTGTGGATTTGAGTGTTACACTCTCTCAGAAAATGAGTCCAAAGACCAAGACTGAGGAAAAGGAAATGGAGAAAATTCCCTATCAGAGTGCTGTTGGAAGCCTGAATTATTTGGCTATTGGGACGAGACCAGACATTGCAAATGCAGTGGGAGAAGTCTCCAGATTCAACTCCAATTATGGAAAGCAGCACTGGACAGCAGTCAAGCGAATTTTGCGATATATCAAAGGAACGGCATCCATGGGAATCACCTTCAGCAAACACCATGGCAACTTACTTACCGGCTACTCAGATGCAAATTATGCAACGGATATTGATGAGCGGAAATCAACCTCAGGATATGTCTTTGTCCTTGGAGGTGGAGCAGTGAGTTGGAAGTCCAAGCGCCAGAAATCAGTTGCCTTGTCAACCACAGAGGCAGAATATATGGCACTGAAGCTAGCAGCTCAGGAAGCTGTTTGGCTGAAGAGACTTTATGAATTCATGAGCCAGAATTCACAGCGGCCGATTCAAATCGCAGAAGACAATCAGGGAGCAATCAAATTGGCAAAGAATCCACAGTTCCATGAGAGAACAAAGCATGTTGATGTCAGCTATCACTTCACCAGACAAGCAATCACTGATGGCATTATCAACATTATTGGATGTGGAACCAAGGATATGGTTGCAGACCTTTTGACCAAAGGAATTGCAAGAGAGCAATTTGGAAAGCTGAGATCAATGATGGGAATGAACTGAATAATGGAAAAAGTGGGAGTGTTGAAAATAGTGTTCCATTATGCAGCAGGATCAAAGGGTTTCCTTGGAGGGAACAGAAACCCTAAGGAAATTACTAGGTGGAACCAGAAAGAACTGGAAGCAGCTAGAAGGAGCTGGAAGGATCTGGAAGGAGCTGGAATGATCTGGAAAGATCAGATGACTGATCAGATGACTTGGTCAGATGACTGATCAGATGATACTTGAAGAACTTTGTATAAACTTTGTATGAACTTATTTTGTCTATATATTGACCAGCTCCCTCCCTTGTTTTGTACATATCATTCAATCAACAACATATCATATTACATATCAAAGCACACTTAAGGAAGATCATCATCAATGGATAACTCTGACAACTTCAATATGTCTGGAACTTCCACTGGCAAAGACAATTTGCAACAGAGTATGGTATCAACTACACTGGAACCTTTAGCCCAGTCATTCGCTATGACTCGCTTAAGGTGCTACTTGCTGTTGCTGCTGCAAGAAACCTTACTGTCCATCAGATGGATGTTACCACTGCCTTCTTGAACGCTGAACTTGATGAAGAGATTTACATGAAGATCGCACCTGGCTCTGAAGACAAATACCCCGGCAAGGTCTATCGTCTAAAGAAATCAATCTATGGTCTCAAACAGTCTCCAATGCTCTGGCACAATGTCATTGATCATGTACTTGTCAAGGCTGGTTTCTCAAAGAATTCTGCAGAAGACTGCCTCTATTCTCGAGAAGGTCCTAATGGTGTTGTCTTGATTGGTCTATATGTTGATGATCTCCTTATTGCGTCCAGCAGTAGGTCTGAAATCTCATCAGTGAAAAAGATTCTTACCACTGCCTTTGAGATGAAAGACTTGGGTGTTGCAGACAAATTCCTAGGGATGAGCATCACTCAAACAGATGCTCATGTCTCCTTGGATCTCACAGACTATATCAACCGTGTTGTGTCTGAATTCGATGATGGAACGCTTTACCCAGTTGACATTCCCATGACACCTACCTTCTTGGATGAACCAGATGTCTCTCCGTGGGAGCAGTGATATGGCCCAGCAGTATGGCCGCTGCATTGCTCCCTTAAGATCCACGGTTCGAGCCCCGCTTGTGAGCTTTTCCTGGATTTTGGCCTAATATTGAACACCCCCCCAATTTTCACCTTGATAATTTTCAGCAAAAAATGGTCTTGGTTGCAAAATTTATACTGAACCCCCCACTGCAGTAGCACCAAGTTTACAACAAAGCGGTGAAAGAAATGAGATCCCCCGGATTTTATGGATTATACTATGGACTTTACTACACGCCTTCCCTTTCTGGCAATGGTTGAACTGAAGCACCTACTGGATAGCTTGTCGTCCACTTCAGGCAGGCATACTTGGATATCCTATCAGGGAGATGGAAAAATTGAAGTTGGATTAGAAAAATGGAGATAAAAAAAAAACATATTGGTGGAAGAAGTTGGAGACAGTCTGTCATAACCTAGTTGTTGCAAATAGACTATAATAAAAAGATTCATCATCATCATCAGATGTCTCTCCGTCTGTCGACGCTACCAAGTACAGATCCCTGGTTGGCAAACTGCTCTTCGCACAGAGTACAGTCAGGCCTGATATCTCACATGCTGTCTCAGTACTTTCTCGCAATCTCATCTCTCCAACTGAGAAATATTGGACTGCTGCCATTCGTGTTCTCCGCTATCTTAAGGGATCATCTACACTTGGGCTTGTTTATCCAAAGAACTGTGGTGTGGTACTGAAGGCATACTCTGATGCATCATGGGGTACGAGTGTCAAAGATCGAAAGTCCATCTCTGGATTTATTGCAACAATCAATGGTACTGCTGTCACTTGGATGTCAAGGAAACAGCCAATTGTCGCTTTGAGCTCCACTGAGGCGGAATACATTGCCTTGAGTGATGGTACTCGCGAGGTAGTATGGTTGACATTCATGCTTCAAGACCTTGGATGCAAAGTCAAGCCAGTCACTATCTATGAAGACAATCAGTCAGCTATCCTTTTGTCTAAGCACAGCTCCAATCATCAACGGACCAAGCACATTGATATTCGCTATCATTATATTCGAGAGAAAGTTGCTGCAAAGGAGGTTAAGGTGGAATATCTGAATACACATGAACTGATTGCAGATATGCTCACCAAGAACTTGAGTACTCCAAAGTTTGTCAAGTTAAGGAAGGGGTACAATCTCCTCTTGATGGATAAAGTCAAGAAAGAAGGTTGAGAATATTGCGGTTCTAATGCTATATTCGAATTGTTGAAGTTGTGGCGGTTCTGGTGGTATATTTGGGAAGATTGTGGTGACTTTATTCACAAAGTTATTGCACATTTTGTGGTGAGAAAAGAGAAGGAGTTAAGGTTGTGTATTGTGCCACATCAGTGTGGCGTGTGAGTGTGGCGCAAGACAGTTGTTGAACTCTGGTGCCCTTGAGATGGATGTTAGGGCAGAGAAGGTCTTTGGGAAAAATTTTGTACATAAAAAGGGCCCCTCCTACCTTCCTAGCTCGTTGTCAGAAAACCATACAACAAACCAAAGCTAATATTTCTGATCAACGACTAGGTAAGGCTTCTTTGTATTATTGTCAGAAAACCATACAACAAACCAAAGCTAATATTTCTGATCAACGACTAGTTAATAATATATTGTCTACTCTATCACTATGAGCGTCCCTGAAGAATACAAGACTCTGGATACTTCCTTTAAGGAATGCACTGCCAGTTTCAAACACATCTCCTACTGGTGTCGGCTCCGTCCCGGCACTCGCTGTTCCGCTTCAACCTTCACTCTCGCCTTCGCCCTCTCCGTCGCCTTGGCCCTCGCTCTCGCCTTTGCCTTCGTCTTCGCCTTCACCTCCGCCTTCGCCTATTCTCTCTCCTTCGCCTCCTGGGAGCAGTGATATGGCCCAGCGGTATGGCCGCTGCATTGCTCCCTTAAGATCCACGGTTCGAGCCCCGCTTGTGAGCTTTTCCTGGATTTTGGCCTAATATTGAACACCCCCAATTTTCACCTGGATAATTTTCAGCATGAAATGGTCTTGGTTGCAAAATTTATATTGAACCCCCCACTGCAGTAGCACCAAGTTTACAACAAAGCGGTGAAAGAAATGAGATCCCCCGGATTTTATCGATTATATACTATGGAGTTTACTACACGCCTTCCCTTTCTGGCAATGGTTGAACTGAAGCGCCTACTGGATAGCTTGTCGTCCACTGCAGGCAGGCATACTTGGATATCCTATCAGAGAGATGGAAAAATTGAAGTTCGATTAGAAAAATGGAGATAAAAAATTGGCGGAAGAAGTTGGAGACAGTCTGTCATAACCTAGTTGTTGCAAATAGACTATAATAAAAAGATTCATCATCGTCATCATCATCAGTAAGCAGATGTCGAAGTGTCAAAAATACGCACTTAAGATGTGGAGGGTCTATGACAGGGCAGGAAGGACGTGATTTGAGAGACAGTCTCATTGCTCGAGCGCAATCACGAGTGGAATTGCGTGAAGGGAGTGGAGAGCAAGAGAGCGCTGAGTCGACTAGACGACGCTGTAGGAAGTGTAAGAGGACGGGACATAATGCACGCACTTGTAAAGAAGATGCAGAAATGTCTACTATCTAATATTTTGAATAGTTTTAATTAATTTAACTTGTTGTGGTTGCGTATTTTTCTTTTTGTAGAAAGAGTAGATGAGAGTGCGCCGCCACAAGGGGAGCGCCGCCACAAGGGTATTGACGTTATGAGCTCCCCTGAAGATTATCAAAAACTGGAGGCTACCTTTAAGGAATGCACTTCCAGTTTCAAACAGTCACGATAGTTGATGGGAGTCTGATATCGTGTGGAGTGAATACCTCAAGAAGATTCATTAATGCCCATTGATAATCTCATTCAGTTTCCCCAGATAGGAAGGCGAAAGCAATGTTGAACATCTGACCACAAGCGTTACTACTAACCACTTCGAATAATGGCATCTGGAAGCGGTTCGTCTTGTATGTGCAGTCCATTATTATCACTTACGGATAATGCTTAAGAATGTCGATCGACATCTTATGAGCAAAGAACGCAGCACAAACAGAATTTTGAGAATCTGTCGCAATATGACTGATATATCCGAGGTCAAGCCTCTCATACTGGTCATATCTTTTGCATATCGGCCGATCGCTATGAAAAATGGGTTTTGAGAGCTTCCCTGATAACTATCTATGTGACTTTGTACCAATGCAAGCTATTTGGAAGCCTCTGGAGCATTGGGTGGTGTTTCTGGGACCCAAGGGTGGTACTTCTCATAATAGAGCTAGAAGATCTCGTACATGCTAACCCCACGCATTTATCTTCATGAAATCTCTGTGAAAAAAGAGTCCTCAATAGTTAAACAAACAACTAAGCTGCGTTTTAAGTCCTCTCGTTGTAGTTTGGTGAATCTGAAGGCCCAGTTCCTTCTGGCGTGTCCTGCATCGTGCTCTGCCGGTAAAACATCAGCGATATCTCCACGTCTGCCAGATTAGTGTTGTAAATTGTCTTTGCCAGTGGAAGTTCCAGACATATTGAAGTTGTCAGAGTTATCCATTGATGATGGTATTCCCTTGTGTGCTTTGATAGATAATATATTATGTTATTGATTGAATGATATGTACAAAACAAGGGAGGGAGCTGGTCAATATATAGACAAAATAAGTTCATACAGAGTTTATACAAAGTTCTTCAAGTATCATCTGATCAGTCGTCTGATCTTTCCAGATCATTCCAGCTCCTTCCAGATCTTTCCAGCTCCTTCTAGCTGCTTCCAGTTCCTTCCAGTTCCTTCCGGTAGATTCCAGTTGCTTCCGGTCCCTTCTAGCTGTTTCCAGTTGCTTCTGGTTCCATCTAGTAATTTCCTTAGGGTTTCAGTACCCTCCAAGGAAACCCTTGATCCTGCTGCATAATGGAACACTATTTTCAACAATTAGCATCGATCTACATCTTTATAGGTTATTAATCCATCAAATAAAATAATCTACTTCTCTCTCGTTCAATTTCAAGCAATTCGCGCAGCAATATCATCAAATCTGTTGATAGTTCATTCTGTCAGGTAAGGTACTTTCACAATCAATTATATACCTTAGTAGCGCTTCTACAGCTCCGCTGTTTTTTCCTTTCAAATAGCTTAATACATAAGACCTCTCAACTTTCTGTTTTAGTGGATATCATAGTTGGCTGGTGTGGGATGTTGTGGAGTGGTCCAATTATATGTAGAAGCACGGCACTACAAGGGGTGCGGCCCTACAAGGGGGTAGGCATTAATGGAAAGAGTGGGAGCACTGTAGATAGTGTTCCATTATGCTATAGGATCAAGGGTCTCCCTGGAGGGAACTGAAACCCTAAGGAGACTAATAGGTGCATCCAGAAGCAACTGGAAACAGATAGAAGGGACTGGAAGCAGCCGGAATCAATGGGAAGGATCTGGAAGGATCCAGAAAGTACCAGAGGAATGATCTGGAAGCTACTGAAAATCAAAGCACACTTAAGGAATATCATTATCAATGGATAACTCCTCCAACAACTTTATTATGTCCACTGGCAAAGATTTGCAACAGAAGAAGCCATCTCGAGTCCGGAAGCTCACAATACAGCTGGCAATGCTGGGTTGGATGTTCACAAGAGACTTGTTAATGGAAAAACGAGGTCTGCCTTCATATTTATACTAATTTGATGAAGGCCTGACCTGAAACTTGTCATTTCGTTCCTCAAGAGCGAGATTGCTCCCTATATCTACTTTGTTTTATCTTGTTCTGGTCTGTTTGTACTATCAATTAGTGTAGTATTATCAATTAGTGGAGAAGCGGGAGACGGTCTGTTATAACCTAGTTGTTGCGCATGCACACAGGCTTTAAAAATAGGTTCGTCAGTCAATTAATCGATCTTGCAAGTTCCCATTTTCAAGGAGGAGGTAATCTGATCTCTTGCAACGATTGATGAGAGCTAGTGCTGTGCGGTGTAGGTGATGTTTTGGGTGGTTTCTGGAGTTTAAGGCCAATGAATGGGGTTGGAGTTGAGGGCAAAAATCTCAGCATTTCACTTGTCTATGACCACTAAAGTCAGTACACTCTGACTAGGGTTACTCCGAGTCTATCTAGGCTTCAGAAAGCCCGTTTCAGTACGTGCATTTTTTTACTATATGACTTGTTTAGTTTTTGTTGTGAAATGTGGAGTCAAAATTGCGTCTATGACTACTGTAGGAGGGCTTTAGGGTTTTACTGCTTTGTGAGGAAGATGACAATTTATTCCTAAGTCACTGTGCAACAACCAGGCTATGACAGACTGTCTCTAAATTGTCCTACCAATTTTTTTTGGGAGCAGTGATATGACCCTGCAGTATGACCACTGCATTGCTTCCTTTCAGATCCACGGTCTAAGTTCAACTTTGGCGCTTTTCCTTGATTTTGGCCTGATGTCAAAAATATTCAACACCAGCAATTTTCTCCTCAATGATTTGTCAACAAAAAGAAATAATACTGAAGCCCCAACTCTGGTAGCAGCAAGTCTACAAACAAGCGGCAAAAGAAATATAATTCCCTGGGTTTCAAGGATCAATATACTATGTAATTTACTACAACACCTTCCCTTTGAGGAAATGGTTGAATAGAAGCACCTACTGGATAGCCTGTCGATGAGAAAAGAAGATGGAAAATTGAAGTTGGAGTAGAAAATTGAGATACAAAATGGCGGGAAATGTAAGAGACAGTCTGTCATAACTTAGTCGCTGCAAACAGACAATACTAAAATGATTTATCATCAACACCCACAATTCTTGTATTGACAATATATCAAACAAAACAAACTGTCTTGAATTCAAAATACATATTGCACCCCCCGCTGTGCTAGCACCAAGTATACAACAAAGCGGAAAAAGAAATGAATTTTCCTAGGCTTTATGGATACTATGGACTATACAACAACGGCTTCCGTTGGCGGAATCGGTCAAGTAAAGACTCCTACCAGAAAGCTTGTCCTCCACTTCAGACAGGCATATTTAGAGATATTCTAATTAAGGAGATGGAAATTTTAGTTTGGATAATGAAAGCAAGAAATCATTTGGTAGGAAAAGCTGGGTACAATAGTTGATGATGCTGATAAATCTATGTTGATAACCTAGTTGACAGCCTAGTTGATGATTAAGATGATAAATATCTTATTTATAGTCCATATGCAACAACTAGGTTATGACAGACTGTCTACAACTTTCCACCAATTTTTTAATCTCCATTTTCTACTCCAACTTCGAATATCCATGCTCTTTTTTCAAAATATCGAGGTATTGCTGCCTGAAGTGGAGGACAGGCTGTTTCTATTCAATCATTCCCTAAAAGGGAAGGCGTTGTAGTGAACTCCACAGTATATATTCCATGAAACCCTGGAAATTATATTTCTTTTACAGCCTTTTTGTAGACTTGGTATGACCACAGTTGGAGATTCAGTACACATCTTGCAACCAAGACCATTTTCGTTGAAAAGTATCGAGGCGAAAATTGCAGGTGTTCAGTATTTCAATATTAGGTCGATATCCAGGAAAAGCGTTAAAGTCAGGCTTGGATCAAGGATTTAAAGGGAGCAATGCAGCGGCCTTCCCACTGGGCCATATCACTGCTTCCCCTCATGACCTAGTGATTACATTTAAGGATTTGTCATCATCATCATCATCATCATCATCATCATGGATTACTATTGTGCTGAAAATAAGTTCTAAAGAAGTTTAGTCAGGCACAGAAGCTTGCAACACTGCCGATGTGGTGCAGAATACTGACCAATATGATGATGATGATCAATCTATTCTATAGTCCATGTGCAACAGTTAGGCTATTTTGGACTGACTAATGGTCTGTCAATCAACAGACATGGAGATCTCAAGCAGGATCAAGATCTAAAATAGAAAAGAAACAAAATGATAATGGCTATGGCAGCAGGTATCGAGACCAGTATTAATAGTATGACTAAAAAGCTCAGAGGCGACTACCAATATTGATATGGACCGATTTTTCTTGAGTGTACGCTTGCAAAGCGTGCTCACCAAGCTCTCGTCCAAAACCACTCTTTTTATATCCTCCAAAAGGGACACGGAAATCACTATCATTCGAAGAATTTATCCAGACTGTTCCAGCTTGAAGATTCCGAGCTACTTGCAACGCTCGAGTAATGTCAGCAGTAAATATCGCACTAGCAAGTCCATAACAAGAAGAATTGGCGCGCATAACCGCTTCTTCCATGCTATTGAATGAGTCACATACAGCAACCGGTCCAAATATCTCCTCAGTGGACACGGTCATGTCATCGCCAACATCTGCTAAAATGGTAGCTCCAACAAAGTATCCGGTCTCTGAACCGGTGTCTTCGCTGTATATTAGTCGTGCACCTTCACTAAGTCCTGACTGTATATATCTCTGTATCTTCTGCTGTTGCTTTTTCGAAATCTGTGGCTGCTGAAATTGAGATTCTTTAGACTTCTCTGCCGTGTAATCAGCAAGACTCCGCAAAAATAACTCATATATCTCATGCGAAACATAAATTCGTGATGTGGCGGTGCAGATTTGACCTGCGTTACTCATGATTCCGGCATGACACCATTTGACAGCCTGATCAATATCAGCATCAGAAAAGACTAGTGCTGCGGATTTTCCGCCAAGCTCAAGGGTCACTGGCACCATATTCTGAGCTGCTGCCTTCATGATCTGTTTTCCAGTTTCGAGCGAGCCAGTGAAGGATATCTGACATCATGATTAGCGGAAACGCTGCACGGATTCAAACAGTGTGTAAAGTATACCTTGTTAATTCCCGGATGGCTGGACAATGATTTACCGGTTGTACTATCACCAGATAATATGTTGATGACACCGGGCGGAAAATTCGCCTCCGCAGCCAAGTATCCCAAATACGAAGCAGATAATGGCGTGAGTTCGGAACTTTTCAGGACGATAGTGTTTCCAGCTGCAAGGGCTGGGGCCATTTTCCATATTGATAACCTGATTCGATAGAGTACATTAGCGAATGCGTCCACGAACTTTTATAATCAACAAAGTACGCACATTAAAGGATAGTTCCACGGCACTATCAACGCGCATACTCCTAACGGCTCTCGTGCCGTAAAAGCAATTTTTTCTTTGAAAGGCTGGATTGATTGGCCGTAAATCTTATCAGCCCATCCGCTATAGTATCTGCAGACGTTGACGCATTCCGGCAGTTCTTCCGTCAATACTACATCCTAGAGAAATGGTTTTAGATCAGTCTATGATATCAACGGTATAAATCATACGGGATGCATCATACAACAGGTTTTCCAGTATCCAAAGCCTCCACTTGGCTTATGTATTGCTTGTTTTCTTCAAGTAGATCAGCAAGCTTAGCCAAGTATCTCCCTCTCTCTGTTCCAGACATATCTTTCCAGATGTTGTCAAACGCCGATTTAGCCGCCCTAACGGCACGATCGACATCTTCAGAAGAAGCAAGAGGAACGTTCGCAACTTCTCGATCCGTACTATCCCACGATCGGATGTTAGTAAGATCGAGCCAACGATATGTTACAGGGAGTTAATGTAACTCACATTGGATCGAGAGTAGTTATACACTCCCCGCTTGATGCTATTGAGAAGCAGTTGTTAACAAAGAGTCCAACAGGGTGACTATGAACAGTCGGAGGGTCATTCGAGAATCTAATATCGACAGAAGGTGGGCGAGGGCTAGTCGAACCCATCTTTGATGTGTTCGATGACTTCAGATCATGTCGCAATCCAACGGTTGAATTGAAGAGGCGCACAGAAGCTGTATTCGATGGTTTAATATGCAGCTGTCTAATCCCATGTTTCGATCCGTATGTAAGGGCGGTCGTTTTGAAGCAGTAAGTCGTAGCAATTGGCATCTTCATATGACGTTCTCGCTTTCATTTCCAGGTCTTATGCTCTCGCGATGCCAATGCCTAGGCGATTCGAGGTTTAGGGGAGCAGATGTCACTGATATATTCTTAAACGCAATATTTACACAGAACCACCACAAAGCCTACCCAGAAAGTCACATTTTGAAACTTTCGCTATCCTTCCCGGTAGGCAGCGTACATTAGATAAATTTCCTTTCTACATCATCGTCGTGTTTACATTCGTGCTTGTTACATGAGAGCTTAAGTACTTCACTTCTTGAGTTGCACCTTGTTAACTGTGTCGCGTAACAATGCAATAGCCTCCTTAGGATCCTTGGCCTTGAAGACACCTACATGGACATATTTTGTAAGCATAGGTCCTGACAAATAAACAAGAATAGAAATCATACCAGTTCCAGCAACAATAACATTTGCTCCGGCATCGGCTGCAAAGTCAATAGTCGAAGCGCTCAATCCTCCGTCGACTTCGATATCCAAATCAGGAAACTTGGATCGAAGTTCCTCAACCTACAGCGTTGTTAGATCGTTGTGTACTAAAACCTCGGTCGTTTCTGCATTGGTAAATCTCTCACCTTAGGCATACACTCATGCATAAACTTCTGTCCTCCGAACCCGGGCTCTACGGTCCTGCGCGTAAAGAAAAATAATTAGTCAGTTTGAACTACCGGTATATGAGATCAATAAGGCTGACATACATTACAAGTACCATATCCAGCTTTGGAACTAGATCGAATACTGCAGATGCCGGTGTTTTGGGCTTGATCGCACATCCCGCACGCATACCAGCTGCGTGAATCTGATCAATCAAAGCACTCGGGTTAGAGGTAGCCTCGATATGGAAGCAATACTGGTCGCCGCCAGCTTTAGCGAAATCATCAACCCATTGCTCGGGCTGAAATTCAGAAACTTATGTTAGCCCTTGCGTAGAACTGTTCCCGACAAACGGTAAACCTACATTGGAAACCATCATATGGCAGTCGAAAAAGCTCTCTCCCTTGGGGAGGGCCCCACGGATACAGGTAACGACAGGAGCGCCAATCGTAAGATTTGGAACAAAGTGGCCATCCATGATATCAATGTGAAGCCAGTCGGCACCACAGGTCATCATGCGTTTGCATTCTGAAGACAAATTACCAAAATCGCCTTAACGAGATATTAGCTTATCTGTCGCATCATAGGCTCAACAGACCAACACTTATACAAAGGAAGGAAGAATACCAGCAAGAATGGAGGGTGCAATTTTAGCTTCGGGCATGACTTGATTGAAATGTAATAGCGTGAGATTTAAGGAGAGCGCAAGGCAGATAAGGAGGGTTGGTTGATGTGTATCCGGTCAAGAATCTGTAGTCGGAGAAAGGGCCGTCGCTTTACGGCTTCTCCTTGTCTGCGGCTTGTCACGGAAACCGGTGCTCCGCCATTTCGTGTGCATTCTACGGGTGTCGGGAGATGTCGAACGGCGGAATCAGGCGCGAATTACATCAACCTTCAATGATATCTTTTGGTACTCAACTTCACATAGTTATCTGAAATGTAGTTATCGCATTCGCAGAAGACCGGTCATCGACCCCATTGTGCCAGTCTTCAATACTTTGCTCGAACGCGGAGAGCTCATAGAGTTTTGGGCATCAAAGCCGCATGAGAGGTGTAGGTGAGCATATTATTAGGCATTAGTTATTTACTTAGATGCCTAGAGAAAAGACGTTGAACGTTTGGTTTATATGCTACTATTGCTATCCTTGAGATAACTATTAGCTGGTGACCTGATAGTCTTTTGTGCAAGTCGGGTTTTCTACGAGACCATGCCATTAGATGCTTTCGAAGCTCGGCTGATGTTCACTGATCTACTTCGCCGGCTCAACGCATCAGTGCAATCGGCTACGAAGTGCGCGCAATTTGCTGTACGCAATAAGGATTTATGTGAGGATCTGTACTCTTGCATTATTGAAGAGTTGGATCAAGTAAGTTGGGGACGTGTTTTTACGCTGCCGTGACGGACACAACTAATGTGCCATTTAGACATCACTAAATTCCAGAATCAACATTCTGTACTTCTTAGAAACATTATGCGAGAGTAGTATTCGGACCGGGTTTGACGATTATGTCACCATGATACGCAGAGATTTATGGATGATATTGGAGAAGGTGGTTCCAGAGTCATCAGCAGCCCTGGCGAATGTGGCGCTTGCAAAAAAGGTATATATACACTGTCTAGATGTTAACTCGACTACTAGTTGCTAGTCTCGCGCTATTGACAGCCTCTCACAAAAATTAATCACTAGGCACTGGAAAATCTGCAACGAAAATCTGTGATCACACAGCAGGAACTGATTCAGGCTTCCACCAAGTTGGAGGAGCGCGAGGTTCAAATGTATGCTTAATGACTGAAAAATCACCTTGCTTAGCGATATCAGTTGTAAAAACTAATCACTCTTTTGTGCTTATAGAGGAAAGGACAAAACGATAAGTTTCTCAAAAGAAGACATCCTCAAAAGGATGGACGAGGATCGGGAACGAGTAAGTACGAGAAGTCCAGATCCATACGCTGTCTTTACTGACTCTTTGGGATTAGCACAAGAGAATGCGGGAGAATATATGGGTGATTCCCGCTGGAGAATTGATACAAACGGAGTTTGACAATGCGTGGGAAACAATAAGTGATCTGGGGGAAGATGACTTCGACTCAATGACAGAAGAGAATAATATTTTTAGAAAATCTGCTCTGTATTGAGATGAGATCTCTTTCTGGTCAACATGAAAGAACAACTATGTCATAGATAGCTCATCGCATATAGTGTATCAATATTTGACACAACTGAGCTGGACATAGGTCAAGGTAATCGAAATATAGCATCCAGACAGTATGAGCTGCGATACTACTTATTATACAAATATGGGGGTCATATGTTGATATTTGTTTTGTGAATCACTAAACAAATCAATAATAATATTTACAATACATGAAAAGTTAAAATATAATAACGCTCTCTCGATCGATATCATAATTTGAACGTAAGCCAAGGAAGTGTCTGCAAAGACGTCGCGTGTAACGAACTTTTCACAGGCTTGCCCGACATTGCAACCTATATAAGCGGAATCAAGACATTGTCTTCAAGAAATTGTCCGTTTTGATTTTCCGACGCATTCTCGCCCGCCATTCACGCTTGGCTTTTCGTTCGGGATCTGCGTCTAGTTTCTTCTGCTGAGCCTCGGGATCCAGGATTTCCCATAACCAATCCGGATACTCTTCGTCGGCAAGGGCTAAAGGTTCGTCCTTGTTTTTGAATACATTGCAGCCAGTCAATCGAGTACCTTCTGGTGCGGAGCTAGGTACACGGTTTGACAAAACTGAGGATGTTCCTAAATCGTTCAAGCAATATCAGAATAGGTATCACTAGCCTAGTATTGAAAGAATGATGTCCATACCCTGGAAGAACAGCGGAGACGCTGAAGTGAATTGACGCCTCAGCTCCGAGACTCTGCAAAGACATGAAGTAGGCAACTTCCGGCGGGCATAATAAGCCATCATATTGACTTTGGTCAATTATTGTCGATAGCAAAATTCGAGATTCAAATATCGAAAGGTAGCCGTTGGGATATTGGATTAGTTCCTGGTCGCGAAAATTCTCGAGTGAAACAGTAATATTCATTTAGGGCATAAAACGCAAAAGTTGGGCGCACTTAATTCTATATAGAAACTCACGACCTGTGCTTTTTTTTTTTCATCTTCTTATACACACCTGTGCATGCTGCTTCATTTACTCGGCCGTTGGAAAGTTGATCGTAACCAAATCGCAAGTCAAATTGTGGTTCATGTTAGATCAACTCTATGGCTAACCAATTGTAAGTCACATTTGATTGTTTTTGATCCCGTGTTCAGATTGAACGTCAACAGTGAGAGCAGATGATGTTAGAAAGAATATTTGCTACTTTGGTGAACTACGGTAATGACAAACAACTTCTATCACCAAGATCTCTGATGCTACTTTTTCACTATTCGTTGACGTTCAATTGAAAGTGTCATTCTTAACGTTTGAACAGTTGCTAACAATGAGACGGATTTAGGTAGATACAGTAGGCAGATCTGGCGAGTTGACATGTGCGAGTTTGTGGGATTCTTTCTGATCTTATTAGGACATAGGTTATCAAATTTATATGTTAGTTCCGTGATGATTACTGATCGATCTCCACTGGTAAATAAAAATCAGAAATGAATAAAGTCCACATGTAGTCGGCGCTTTCTTGCTAACTAAAGGAATTCGGAAAATTTGTAAGTAAACAGGGTAAGGGTATCATTACAAATTTCCTGATTGGGTGTTCCTAGTGTGCCCCTCACCTCGATTGCGTTTATCGGCTCGAAGAAGACACTCACCGCCATCCCAGCTCCTCTTGTTTTCGTCCGGCTCGCTCGGTTTTCACTAAAAATTTCAGAATCCACTCAAAGAATTCGCCATGTCATCTCCTTTTACTGTCAACGGAACCGTAAAGACTTTCGGTGGCTCGCTATTGAAACTGTCTCATGAGTCGACTGCGCTGGGTTGCAAGATGGCTCTGAATGTGTTTCTCCCAGCAACTTCCGCTTCCAAAATTCCAGTTTTGTTTCACCTTGCAGGACTCACCTGCACTGGTGATAACGGTGCCGAAAAGGGATTTTTCAACCATTGGGCCGCTAAGTATGGAATTGCCATGGTTTATCCGGACACCTCTCCTCGTAAGTCTCATACTCTTCTATGGTGCAATTGAGCATGAAGCTGACTGACTTCTAAATAGGTGGATCGAACCACCCTGGAGAGCATGATTCTTGGGATTTTGGTTCGGCTGCTGGGTTCTACATTGATGCGACTGCTGAGCCTTGGAGCTCTAATTACAAGATGGAGACCTATGTCACAGAGGAGCTTCCTACCCTCCTCTATCAAGCCTATCCGGCTCTTGATTCCTCTCGAGTGTCGTTGACTGGACATTCAATGGGTGGTCACGGTGCTTTGTCGTTGTTTTTGAAGCATCCTGATCTATATAAGTCTGCCTCGGCCTTTGCCCCCATTGCTAACCCGATCAACTGCCCATGGGGTCAGAAAGCTTTTTCAGGATACTTGAAGTCCAAGGAAGAATGGGTCAAGCATGATTCGACGGAACTGCTAAAGTCCTACAAGGGTGATCCACTGGATATCTTTATCACTGTAGGGACTGCAGATCAGTTTCTTCTTGACGGCCAATTGCTGGTTGATAACTTCGTTGCGGCTGCCAAGGAGGTAGGCCGAGAAGGCGAGGTCGTGGTCAAGAAATGTGAGGGTTACGACCACTCGTATTACTACGTCTCGAGCTTCTCTCAGGACCATGTTGAGCATGCTGCTAAGCATTTGGGTGTTTTGTGATGTGCCTAGTCGAATTGATTCTTGAGGACATGGAAGTGTTGCGCCTCTCAATGTACATAGTTGGGCTAATAATCTAAGACTATAGTTACCGGATTGAGTTACTCACCAAATGAAATGCTGCCTTAATGAAAACCCTCTACAGTGTATGTGGTGGGTCCTCAGTAGCGATTGCTTGCTCTATTCGGGTTCCAGAAGCTGATTGTATGTAAAATCGCCTAGGCTGCTTGCGTCCAGTGGCAGGCCTCATTAGGTTAGCGAGCCTCAAGCGAGTCGGGAAACTGTAAGTTAAATCCTTAAGAGATCCGCTTAAAAAAAACACGTCTCGGGACTTAAGTCTTCGATATCTTTCGGAGAACGCCAAATGTGAGGTCTGCTGATGAGCTTCGTAATTGACTGTTGTAATCCACAGTTTATGGATTAAGAATTATGATTCTGGCCTGTAAAGAGGGGCATACCTCCACTGATGTCCGTGCTCAAGAATCACCACGACAGCTCTCCAGGTGTTAGGGATTGCCGCTGTGTATTAGAAGATGTGGTTGAGCAACTGTAAGCCCAAATCAGCGACAGAAACAACATTTATTACTGTAATCAACTTCAGATCATTTTGACCGATATTGCCTCGCTTCAGGCTGTCCGGTCGCATTCAATATGGCAGCACCGTCGCACGTGATATATGCGGCGGGTGCGTCAACGCCGCACCTCTTTTTCTTTCACAAAGCAACCCTTCTGCTGCATCATCGTTGTCGCTGCTCCCCCGACACGCTGTATTGAAGCTGGCGTACCGTCGCCGTTATCCGTCAGATCGCACCTTTCGTGCAGCTGACTCTCCTTCTTTTCCCACCTTACAGAATTCGCTTGCTTGGGGCATGGCGAGCCGTGTCCTCGCGCTCATTCGCCGCATGCTGCGCTCCCGTGTTATCCTCATTCTTCTTCTCACTTCGTTGGTTCTGTTATTCGGCTCTCTCCGCTCTCTCCCACAAATTGTCAGCACAACAGTCAACTTACAAGATAATTTGCCTGATATCTTAGTGCGCGATGTTGCTGTTCGGGTGTGTCCGCGACTTCTATCTCGCTCATGTACTATGGACGGCTATCGTAAGATCTCCAAAGATCTTCGCCTTGGCAGCTCGTGGCTCGGACAGGCCTATCTCTTTGTATCTGAAGTGCCTCGATCTGAGATAAGTCCTGACGCTCAGGTGGTCTTGGACGTCCACATTGGCTCTGAGTCGCCAGCTCCCGTGGGCCCTGGTCATGACAAGGAACCTCCTCAAAAACTTGAGTTTGATAACAGAAAATCTTACCATGAACCACTGGTTGCTAGATCTGAGATGGATCAAAGGGGATCATTTGAAGTTGAAGAAGGCGAAACCACAGTTGACAACAAAGGAAAGTGGATTCGCAAATCACACAACATGTGGCTGAAAATTGGAAGGCCCACCGATTTCGCTGTTACAGATGTCGACGTTCTATTCGGTATTGATGCTGTTGATCCACGATTTGGCTGGTCACTCAAAGGTGACAGAAACAACTCTTTAGCGGTTGGCAGTGACGCGCACCCACGTGTCACCATTAAGTTGGGACAAAATCAAGAAGTACCTTCTGTTCGTCTAAGGGTGGATTCGAATGGGAAATTCAAAATCATACAAGTAGCCGGTGAGAAGAACTTCCGTGAGCGAAAATAAGATCAGACGCAGTATACTAATATTCAGCTAGATTTGCATTTTTCGACCGGCGTTGGCAAGTGCTTGGACCCATACCCGGAAGACACAGCTGAGAATTGCGAGGCCGATACGCGTACATTGGCATTCCTTAACCACCTACTCGATGAGGAAAAACCTGATTTCGCGGTTTTAACTGGTGACCAGATTTTTGGCGACGCTGCGCCTGACGCCAAAACTGCTCTTCTGAAGTCTGTCGCACCATTCATCCATCGGCAAATACCCTTTGCAATGACGTTTGGTAACCATGACGATGAGGCTGATCTTTCACGAGAGCAATTGATGGACATTGCTAGTCACCTCCCTTTTAGCATGTCGCAAGCTGGGCCAGAATTTGCTAAAGGAGTGGGAAATTACCAGCAGACCGTATACATGCACAAAAAGGATAATCCCGTGGTCTCTATCTACTTCCTAGATACTCATAAGTACTCGCCAAATCCAAAGAAACTTCCGGGGTATGACTGGATAGACGAGTCTCAGCTTGAGTATTTGAAAGCTACATATCAGCAGTTCTCGCCATTAAGATCCCTAGATGTGAAAAAACATCTGTCTATGGCTTTCTTTCACATCCCGTTGACAGAATACCGAAATACTTCCAATCCAATAGTTGGAAACTACAGGGAGCCGTCTACCGCACCCCGCCACAACACTGGAGCTCGATCTTTACTTTCGGAGCTAGGGGTCTCTGTGGTAAGCGTGGGACACGATCACGTTAATGATTTTTGCATGTTTGATCGGAGCTATCAACCTTCAGGGATGTGGGATGCTGGACAAGACACAGAAGTCTCCGACGCTAAAAATGTCCCTCAAAAGACCGCTAGCCGAACGTCACCCATCGGTGAAGGTGAACATCCTATATGGCTCTGTCATGGTGGAGGTGCCGGATTGGGTGGATATGGCGGGTACGGCGGATACGTGCGACGGATGCGATTTTTCGAAATCGATGTAAATACTAATATGATCTCTACTTGGAAACGACTAGAGAACGGGAACACGGAGAGTAGGATAGACCAGCAGGTGCTGGTCGATGGTGGAACAATCTTGGGTTTGTGAACTGCCCAGAGTGTTTTTTTAATTTTCGGATAGCTCGCAGTAATAGACAGCCAAACTTTTGCTATTATCCTGATTTAATCATCGTTGGTATATTAGAGATCTCAGTTTACCTGATTGTCAGTCTATTCCCTTTCTTAATAAGTACTCTTCCTCCACAACTGCGTTCAAACGGCTACTCAACCATTAAAGAAGGTAGCAGGGAATTAACCTAGGAAAAGTTTTTTTTTCCCAGGAGTCCACGCAGCTTGCTTCTAGATTTGACTTTGCGCAAATTCTGGGGCGTCAATGGATGCAGGTCTGCCGTTCGCACATCTGGCGTTTGCACATCTGCTGCTCGCATATACGTCTCCTGATGCACGCCTCCCGAGGAATCATCTGGTATCTCGTTCGGCCTCAGACTGGTCTTTTGGTCGCTTGACTTGCCCTCAGGTACTGACGGAAGCTTTGTAGTCAAGCAATGCTGTTCCTTATCATCCTCCGTCTTTGAGGCGTGATCTTGATTGTATATGGCGTCCGGCTTTCTTGGGATTTTTTTAAATTGCTCGTCTTGCGATACTCGTGTCGGCATACGTGCCGGTCGCTAGAATGTTTTAGAAAAGTGTTAGTGTGGCAACGCAGCTGCAATATAGTCAAAAACTTCAATCATACGTTTGTTTCACGGAATTTATCTGGTGTCAAGTTTAGCTTGTAGGTAGTGTTATCGTTCAAGATCCGGTCAAATGTGATCGATTCAATATTGGACTCAGAAGTATTCTCCTCTCCGATTGAAACTTGTCTTAGTTTAGGTCGACTCTCGTCGTTGTGTTGCTGATATTCCGAGATCCAGGTGAACTTTCGAACCTTAATAGAAGGAACTGTGACAGAAAGCTCAGGTATATGTGTCCTATCAAGCTCTCCAACGCATAAGGAACTCTCCTTGGATTGCTGTTCCAGTTTCACTAAACGATTTGGAACTGCAGGCGGACTGTCACTGATACCCGAGTCCCGACAGTTCTTAGCGAACGTTAGACTTTCCCTCTCATTCGTACTTTGGGCGGGAGAGTGCATTCCTATCGGCGTTACATTCCTATATAGTATTGTTATTTCGCCTGCGGGCAAATTAAGCGGATCAATCCCAAAAGCTGGCCTTCTTAAATACCTTTCAAGCTCGCCATTATTAGTTGAGATCACAGCACTAGTTTTCCTATTTTCTTGACGTCTGGCTTTCCCATTGGCAAAGTTCAAAAATGTTGCAGTTGATACTGTACGGACTGATTTACGTGGTATAATAGACACGTAACTTTCGTATAGGGACCGGCGATTTTGTATCTGACTGAATGGCCGGGATATATGTGCCCGTCGAAGCAGCTAAACAATCCAAAATCAGTTTGGTGGGCAGAGAATGGAGATTATTGATCACTTGCCTTCATAAGAATTGGTGAAGCATTAAATTCCATTGGCTGGTCTTCTTTATCGACCGAATTCGTCGCCCGATTTTGGTAAGCCTCAGTGAGTGCGTAAGGAGTCGAGAGCTCGTGAATGCTCAACCGCCGTCCAGCAGGGTCTCGCGGTATAGGGGCATTGCATTCCTGATCATCTGATAACTCCATGACAATGGAGCTGTATCGTTCCATTGGATTTGTCTCAGTTGTAACGGCTTTACTTTCTCCATGAATCCATCTGTTCCACGCCTCTTTCAGATTGATATCCGCATTTAAGCCGTCGAGATCTCTAGACTCGAGACTCACGACTGCGGGAGTTTGTGATTGTTGCAAAGCCGTGCATCTGTAAACGGCCAATCTTCCAGCTACCAGTAAGAGATTCTCTGCGACTACTTCAATAATTGAGGTTAAGTAAGCGGCCGCCAGTAGAGAAACCACGCGAGTGAGTTGGCCTCCGTCTAACAGTCGGTCTTGGGATGGGACATCTGCAGCCCCCCATGATCCATAGCAAGAAAAGCTCATGCAACGTGCCCGTGTTACACGTGACAGGAACTCTGAATTAGATATCGAGATTGACATGGTCGTATGGGAGTCGATAATCATCTGTTCCTCGCGCGTCACATCCTCTTTGATGCAATGCAACCGACTGTCCCCTTCCAATACAGCATCGTAACCAAGGTGGTTGTCAAGAATATCAGTCACCGAGCTTCTGAGACTATCGATGCTCAGAGTCTCAGAGCTGAGAAGTATCTCGCAAAGAAGAGAATCCAAAAATGAATTGATTTTGAAAAGAGCTGCGGTCTGAGGAGTCGCGACTGATAACGAGTACGCCTTTATGATAGGATCTGATGAGAGTATTTCCACAACCGACTCCCTCGATATATATAATGGTGTAGTAGAATCACGTCTCGCCGGCATTGTAACTCATACTCACACAGAAAATCCACTGAACATCAATCTACTTCGGTCGTTGCTTTCGACCTTCAAAATTTAAAGTTGTAAAATGCGCTGCAGCCGAGAAAACTAGGGCGCGGGCCCGGCTATACCCTAAGCAATTAACCCGTTTTTCCGATTCCCCCAGATTACGTCATAGGACGGTGAGTCGATGATGATCCCCACGTGAATTTGTCCGCTTTGCTGGATAAGGCGCACTTTACTTTTTAATTAAGTCTCATTGGGACATGCGGATTTATCTAGATAGTGACGAGCAGTGATATAGAGACGAGTTCTTATCCTTGAACCTCGCAGCTTCCGATTTCTTCACCCGCTTGCTTACTTACTTACTGAGATCACTTTATCCGAAGCACTGATGATGGCCACTGAAGAAGGCAGGTGATAGTTATTTCTTCACCATGCAGTCCCTTATGCCTGCAGTTTAACAGTGTTAGATCTGTCGCTGACTATTGTCATATCTACCAGAGATACTTGTCACACTTTCTCCAAGAATTGATCGCGAAGATCTAGGCCGCGGACATGATAATCTTTATCAGCATACACTTTTCGAGCGTCAGTTTATACTATCGACCTCTAGACCAGAAATAGTCATTGGGCGTATCTCGCACAATGCTAATAAGAACATCCGAGCTCTTCCTGACAACGCTAACTTTGATTTCCCAAATGTTTCGAGACCTCATGCCTCTCTATCTTTCGACTTTAACCCCGAATCTGGCTGTCATGGTTTGAAATTGAGAGACTGTCACTCTCTGCACGGAACAGTCGTCGAGGGATCTCGAATTACGCCTGCAAAAGATATCATGCTGCATAGTCACGATATCATTCGATTAGGGGCTTCTATCGACTACCAAGGAGGTAAGTTCACTATTGAGTCACACACGCTCAAGACCTATACGAGTCTTTTTCGTAGTTCCTTTATTGACATCGTAAAGATACGGTCCCCGTTCTAGAGATAGAAGTTATCTATGCAGTTATTACCTCGAACAAGAAGGATGACTCATCTGACGCCGGCTCAGTATCTCGTCTACAGCCTATCAAGCATATTGCAAATGGATTTGGCATCGTGGAAACTTCTGAGTCCGAAAGCGAGAACGTGCTGTCTATCACGGAGCAGCAGACTACATGTATGGCAGCCAGCGATATCGAAGAAGTTCACGGTACGACAGCGTCAGACACCTGCAGTGTCGTTGATCTCGAAATGACTCTCGATGCCTGTCAGTTCCCAGAACGTGCTTCCTTCACTGAAGTCGAGCAATCGTTGGAAGCTGATATATCTGAGCATTCGAGCCCATCAGAAGGGACTTCTATGCTGAAGAGAAAATTCAGTACGTCTGGGGACTCTGATGAACTTGTCTCTGCCGAGATGGGAGATTCTCTACCGATGGCTTGCTTGGAGAAAAAGCAGAAATACACGACTGAGGACAAAAACTGCACTATCCGGCTGAACAAGAGAATCTCTATGATCGATACCGCCCCGCTTACTAATAATTCTGCCCTTGCATGCCACGGCCTAATGAAAGATGCCGGTTCTGCATCTTCCATATGTCACAATGGCAAAGAAAAAAGAGTTGGCTCATCCAGCGCAAATGTTGGAAGCCTCATATTGGCAACAGCTGCTGGAATCGTCATAGGCAGTGTAGGTACCTTCACCGCATTGGCGTCCTCTGCAGCTGACAAGTTTCTTGATGATAACTGATTGATCTGAAGTCGTTTTTTTGTATCTCTGTACTGGTATTTTCTTATCTTCTGATAATCCCTTTGTCTTTTCCCTCATAATTGCTGGGAATTACGGCCGTATCGTTGCGTTTGCTATTATTATATAACTCAAATATCAATTATCACTCGTTAATCGTGTCTCATGAATTACTCCTCTTCATTTAGGGATTATTCATGCTCAGTCTCCTGTCTATTGCTTATAATTTTATATTTGAGAAACGAAGAGCTTCGAGGCCAGCTATATATTTCGCTGCTACGTAAACGACTATAGAGGGCAGTCTCCTGCTTCCATGTTCATACACATCAGTTCCTTAGTTGTATCCGTCTTTATCTCTATCTTTATTTCTCCTTCTATCTCCTTCTATCTCAAACACAGCTCATAAAGGAAATGCAAACAACTATTAATTACTCCTTCCAAGCGTATGAATTTTCGGGCCAGCGGATGCGTCCACGCAATTCCATCTCTAGCAGATGTGCTTGTTTATGGCTTTAGCAGCATTCTCAGTGCTAAATTTCTCCAATGGAAAACCAGTCCAAAGCATTTGCTGCGCAACACCTTGGTATATCATTGGCTCAGTACCGGGGATTACCTTCCATCCATTTGATTCGCACTCTCTATAGAATCTTGTAATAGGGTTGGGATGATAGCACATCTCGATCACGTAACCTTTCGTAGGCTTGCTCAAAAACGTCATCTTGATCTTATCATTGAGAACCTCCTCAGGCGTAACCGGCGTCTTATCAGGGATCGCACCGATTATAAGCGCCGGTCCTTCCAATTTCTCGGCTTCCTCAACGGACTTTACATATATAAATTCAATCGGACGACTGGTGGTAGTGGCTAAAATGTGCTCAATAACACCATTCGCCTCGTCTTCTCGACGATTAACGATATATATGGATGACACCCCAAACCATTTCCACAGTGCGTAGATACAGCTCCGAGCTGCACCTCCACTACCGATGACCATGGCGGGTTTTCCGGTCGACTTTTCGATGATATCGGGAAAGTTAAGCAAAAATGCGTCGCGAACACCAAAGCAATCAGTGTTGGTCCCAATGAGCTTGATTTTTCCGGATTGTGCATCTATGCGTTTGAACACAGTGTTGATTGCACCAATATCGTGGCCTTCATCCGTGGTGTCGTCCACCTCCTTCACAAATTCAACCTTGTGAGGCATTGTCACCGCAGAACCAACGCAGCTTTCCATCTTGAGTTTTTCCAGCAGATCATCCTTATTGGTAGACTCCAAAAGTTCGTATGTCCAGGGGACATTCAAATCAGCAAATAAGGTGTTGTGTAGCAGCGGTGCTAAAGAGTGAGAGATGGGGTAACCAAAGAGGTAAGCCTTCATTGGCGTCGTCACGTCGGAAGGGTTGATACCTCCGTCGGTCATGGTTGTCTGATTCAGAAACGAATATGAAGTTTGTTAATTGCACGCGATGAGGTGAGAGATGTGAAGCTGAGGTGCTGATGATACGAAGAATGGCGCAAGCTTCCATGTTGCGTTCCGCTAATATACTTTAGGCTAAGCAGCAGTTACGTATTGCTGATAATCGCAGATTTTGGCTCGCTGAGTAGGTCAGTACGGAGCATCCAGTAATGTTGGGCTGCGTCAACTGAAAAGTAATAGGAATAACCAACGAGCAAAATCTTACTATTATTTAAATGAAAATGATATGAATTATCGAAAAGGCTCGGTGCTCTATTATTATCGATAAGACAGTTCAATTCTTTAGGTCAGTCCGTTTAGGGTTTCGCAATGATGACCACTATCTTATATAACCGTTTAGAGCTTCAGAAACAATCAGGTTAGGGATTCTCTCAGATTTTTTTCGTTGTTTGCGCTTTGATCATGAAAGCGCTCAGAAGTGATCAGCTCAAAGAACAAACTGCTGCAGGAATACCTCAGTAGTTTATGTACTATATGCTATCCGGTTTCCGAAAGACATAATGGCTGATACAGTTGCTAAAGTTTTGCAATTGGGGCTCAGTGAATCAGGACTTGCGGATGCTGATTTGCGTGTCGTTCGACAATATATCGTGGGCACGAAGGCTGAAGGGTTCCTGACCGAAGATCCCAATTCACCTACGTGAGTGTCGAGGTGTGGGTTTTGATCAGTAATTTGACTTGAGCTAACATTTAGTTTGTCTCATCTATAGGTCCTTGTCTGCGATCTATCCGATTTTATTGAAATCACTTCTTCAGTCTCCAGGTTTAGGAGATTATCGAACGATCGCTTGCGATACGCTTTCTGTCTGGTTGCAGCGCACCATTCAATGTTGCTCCTTGTCTCCGAGCTTCGCTGATTCCCTCAAATCATCCTCATCCGCTGGCTCAGTTGAAGATGCGGACGCTGTTTTTGACTTCGTATGCAACTACTGGACCGACTCAGGGGCCGCTCTTGGGAACGCTCTTCGCGAACTATTGACGAAATTGATCCTGTTTTTGGAAAAAATATGGACTCCAGAAGAATATCGGGATCGCTTAGCGAAGTGGGCTGTTATAATACTCAGATATCCTCGCTCTATGAGGGTGGTATATTTTACAATCGAAATTCTTGCCCGCCAACTTGGAGGATCTGTCATTATGCAGTCTGAGCCGCGGCTAATAAAAGAATCGCTATTACTCATCTACAGCAATGCACTCGCAAATCCCATTGGAAAAATGATCAACGCAATTCTTACTACGATCCTCAAGGAGAAGTTGGGCGCAGCTACAAAGTCAGCAGGACGATCTTTGACAGCTAATGAGGCACAGCAAGTAGAGAATGACTGGCTTTCTCTATGGAGCGAAGATGTTATTGAAGCTATACGGAATGACGACCTGAGACCGCACATCCAGACATATCTGCTTCCGAATCTTTTCAAAGCGTCCCCTTTCGGTTTCAAAATATTCATCCAAAAGTTGCAGAGCGGAAAATTCTCTCTGAGATCTGAAAAAGATATCACGTTGTTGATCGGCTGTCTTAAAATTGGACAGGACTTGTCCATTTTAGACTCTACGGAGAATTCCTCAGCCGGCGGTCCCCCGATCGTATCGTCCGACTTTTTACGAACACTTCTGCATCATTCATCAGACGATCTTCGAATTGGTGGTCTTTCTCTTGCTGTCTCGTCTCCACAAGCCTCGAAGCCTATTTCGAGCACGATTCTAAAGGTGCTCTTTGAGTCCATGGATGACTTGGTATTAGAGTCAGATCCAGAATTTCGGAACCGGGTGTACGGTTTTCTTCGTCAAATGGTTACCCGACTTCGTGATTCCTCTTACGCCATGAAAAGGGAGAGAGTCAAACTAGCAAAGAAGCCCAAAACTGAGCAAAGAATTGCAGAACTGGATGCAAATATTGAATTTAACAAGAAATTCCTCGAGAGGTATTTGGCATATTTGCAGCAGCTGTTGCGTCCCGGATCGTCATACCAGAGGATGCATATGAGCTTGAAACTGCTCCAAACTCTTATTCGCTCTGGGCTCGATAATAGGGTCGAAAGCAAATGGCATGAGAAGAATCACATAGATTTTACTTTCCATGTCCCAGTTTATTCCGCTATCACTATCAGACTATTGCTGGATAATTTTGTCAACAACTATGAAGACATCAGAGAGACGTCTAGCACTTTGCTAAAGATGGCTCCTCTCTCTGCACTATTTGAGGGCATCGATGATATTGAAATAGTTAGAGAGATTGTTGACGGGTACGCAGACAAGGGAATATACATGATCTCCGGTCTCCGCGGTCGCGAAGGTGACGGAGGAGCTCGTATTCTTGACTTCTGTTTCTATCTGTATAAGGAAATTGGTGATCACTCGTCGGCTGATCTCGAAATCCAGTTTTTGGAGTCGCTCGTGAGCAAATTGGAAGAAGCTGTCAAGCAAGGAAAGGACAATCTATCTCTAGCCGTCAAAGATTTTCCTCTGCATGGCTACTTCACTAGTTTGAAGCTTATTTTCGAACAGATCGGTTTTGCAGAACCGTTGTCTTCTGAAAAGGAATCACGGTTGACGAAGATATCTGAACGGATACTCTCCGTAGTCCATTCGATGTGGGGAGTGGTCGAGAAGATTCTTTGCCACGATTCTCCCGAAGGAAACATGCCTGAGGAAATTGAGGAGAATTACCTGGTCAGCTTGGAGGAAGTATACGGACCTGCAACTCAAGTGATCTTGAGCTATGCCTGGCGTGCTATAGGAGAGTCTAGCGGATTGTTGACTGTTCTTCTCTCTGTCATTCCTCTGGACTCTTCGATTATAGCGGCGGAGAACATCTCCGATCTTGGAGACTTGTTATTGACCGAGCTAGCGACAATCAGGCATCGTGGAGCATTTTCCTCTGTCTATCCTACGTTTGTAGCTTGTTGTTCACGCTGCAATCGGTCTAACGATATCGTGTTGCGTGAACTTCCAAAGAAATGGCTGGATGATCATATGCAGCTTATTCAAGAGAAGTCTCAGTATATTACCCGAAGATCCGGCGGGCTTCCGTTTCTGGTAGCAGCAGTGTTGACCGCTGAGACGGATGCCAGTAAGCGTCCGCTGCTGCATGAAACGTTCACAAGACTTTCAACCATCGCCAAGCTGCCGCCCACGATTTCTGATGAAACTGAAAAGATGGACCTCCCTCAGGTGCACGCTCTAAATTGCATCAAATCGATATTCGTTGAGACTCGCCTTTCAGCTGCCTCGGCTTTCTATGTCGACCAGGCTCTCGCTATGGCGATCGATGCGTTTGCTAGCAGCGTATGGTCAATTCGAAACTGCGGTGTCATGCTTTTTGCTGCGTTACAGACTAGATTGTTTGGCAGTCGAAAGTATACAGACTCAAGACTGACGGTGGGAACGATGTCTGCTCGCTTGTTCTTCAGCAGATTTAAAGATATCAAAGGAGTGCTGTTGAATCATCTGCAGGAGCATGTGGATCACTTAGACGGGGGAAGCGCACAGACACATATTGAGACTGTTTATCCGGTTTTATCACTTCTATCGCGCTTGGAAAGTACTGACGGCTATGATGGACTTGACGCTTTTGCGCCCTACATCATGAAATGCTTGTCCAGCCGGATCTGGAAGGTACGTTAGATTGCGCAGTATTGGAATTCCATAGTTCTCTTTACTAACAAGGCTTCTTATGTATGTTAGATTCGCGAAATGGCAGCACGCGCCGTGCAAGCCTTGATTAGCTACGATGCATGGGAGACCTCGTTTTGCCGTTTTCTATCGGAGGTGGACGTCAGGACCGACAATAACGGATCGCATGGTCGTCTGTTAGCTTTGGAGTCATTGCTCGCAGGGCTAGCAGCAAGAGCTAGTCAACCTCCTATCCCAAAAGCTGCGCTTGACTTGCTGGTCGAGCGATTCGACGAAATCTCCTCGTGTGAGTGTGCACCTGTCGCGTTGACTTTCTTGAGAGTGGTCAAAGCCGCTTGTGAGCATGCTAGGGTGGATGAGGACGACGAAGGAAGCCTAGAAGAGCTTCAGGAGAAGCTCAATGAGTATCTTGACGATAACGACTACTCACAGAGCATTCCGCATCCTGGATCAAGAATGTTGCAGGGGCAAAAGACTACTTACTATATCGGCAAGATAGTGGACGATTTGGTGGAAGGTGAGATTGCGGAAAACTCTGCTGTCAAGCAGATCATGTCGTGCTTGAATTCAGTGGAATATGACGTGCAGTTAGCGGCGCTGAAGGTCTTGCTAGCTGGAAAGTTCCTCTCTAAGGATTCCGAGATTTCTGGTACCGTGTACGTCAAGCTGTTACCGGAGGTGTGGCAGTGGATATCCGACAAAGATGAGACTGAAGACGATAGCAGCAGTGGCTTGTGGAGTCAGCTCAAGGCACCGGCGATCAGACTGTTCAGCGCAGTGCGTGAACTTGCAGAAGAATCAAAGAGTACTAAGAAGAAGGCTACTAAGAAGACAGGACTTCCATCGGCTGATACAATTTGGCAATGGATCTTCAAGGCAATTGAGAGCGATGTTGAGGACTCCAATTCAGTATCGGAGGCTTCTCTGGAAGCTCTAGGGACTCTTTCGGTTTCTCTTGCAGATAACGAGGGAGTATTCGAGAAATGGTACCTGCAGGTTGTCCAGTTTAGCGACGACAATTCGGTAAGAGTTTACTTTGTTAATTCCGAAACATTGTGGGTGTTTATTTATTGACCTCATGATTTTTAGCCTTTCTCGAACCGCAACTCAGCCCTGAAGTCTCTGATCAATTTTGTGGAGGGTATGAGCATAAAGTATAGTGAAGGATTGCCAGAAGAGAATATCAACGGCGACGATGGAGAGCCAGACCTCTCTCCCACTTATCAGCTTAGAACTACGCTGATGCATTTGCACGACTTCCTCAATGACGATGATGACGAACTTCGCGAGATTGCGACCAAATATATCTGCTGCTCTCCATATCTGCTTAACACGCCTCACGTGATGACTACGATTCAGACAAGCCGAATGTTTGCTAATTATATTGTGGACAAATTCAGTGCGACAGCTGAGGGCTCGGTCCTAGCCGCTGCTCTGGCCCGCAGACTTGTGAGCGGCTCGCAGGCACGTTCAACCCTGTCTTCGGCTGAGCAGTATATGCTTGATGGTGCGGAGGCTGTTGAGCAATTTTATGAAGCGACGCAGGAGGAGACGGCCCTTTTCGTGATTGAGAAGCAAAACCTGTACAGAAACGAAGTCTCTGAATGCGAACTCTGGGCGTACATGTTTACGAGGTTGGCCAGGTCTAGGAATGGAGAGGTCGGACAAATGAAAGGTCTGGTTGTGCGTGCCATGATGCATTATCTGTATGTGTGGGTAATGACAGCATGTGGCGCTGACATGGGACCTCAGAAAAAGGACGCAGAACAAGGTTCCGAGACTGCAGAATTGGAGGACATGCCCAGTTTGGTTGAGGCTATCAAAGAAATGGGGATGGATGGTCCTCTGGGCTGGAGTTGTAGGATGGACACTGTGTTTTTGATTGGCAGACGCATTGAAGCGATATGCAAGGTGCTTATGGTGTCAGGCGAAGGAGTGCTACAGACAGGCAAAATTGAAGAAGCCCTGCGAGGTCTAAGAGGAGTGGCAGAGGAACTGGATCTGCATCCTCTCTGGCTTGAGTGAAAGGCCGTTTGTAAATAATTTTCCCCTTCATATTTATTACTGTGAAATGTTGAAAATAGGGCAATAATACAAGCATACAACAGCTAACCCGAAGCAAAAGTATCAAGAATGATATGTACACTAAACTTTCTTTTACATTCTCTCGACCGGAGTCAAACCCAACAAAATCATACCACGGTTCAGAACCTCTCTGGCCGAAGAGTAGAGAGCAAGACGAGCGATGGCAAGCTCCTCTTCTTGACCAGCAACCCACAAGATGTTGTAGCACGATGAGACGGTGTGAGTAAGCTTGAAGAGGAAAGATACGACGGTTGATGGCTCGCTAGTGCGAGCGGCATTCAGAAGAACGTCAGGGTACTGCGCCAAAATGCGCATGAGCTCTTGAGCGATGGGCTCAGTGAGGAGATCGAAGTTCGCGTTGATGAGCTGCTCACGAGAGAATCCAGCGCGGCGCTCGACCGAGCAAAGGCGGGAATGGGCGTACTGCAGATATGGACCAGTGTCACCTTCGAACGAAAGCATTCGCGACCAGTCAAACTTGTAGTTGTTCACGCGCTTGGCGGCCATATCCTGGATCATAACGGCAGAGATTCCGACAAGGTCAGCGACTTCGTCAGGGTTCTCGACCTGATCGTATTTCGCCTCGTTCTTCTTCATAACTTCGTGCATGGCCTGCTTGGTCTCCTCGAGGATGGTGTCGAGGAAAACGACGGTACCCTTTCTGGTGCTCATTCCTTGGACCATGCCGAAATTGACGTGCTGCATGTTCTTGGCCCATGGGAAGTCGCAGAGTTCCATGAGTTTGAACAGCTGAGCGAGATGGAGATCCTGCTGAGAAGCGACGACGTAGATCATTTTGTCGAACTTGTACTTGTTGTAACGCTCGAGCGCGGCACCGAGATCACGGGTCAGGTAGAGGGAAGTGCCGTCTGATTTCTGAATAAGAGCCTTACCAAGCTTCTTCGCGTAAGGCTTGAAATCGATCAACTTCGCACCACGGTCGACATATAGCAGATTCTTCTTTTCCAGAAGATCAATCACGAACTGCATACTCTCGTTGGAGATCTGGGACTCTCCTGAGTATTCGGTATAGCGGATATTCAATCGCTCGTAGGTCTTGGTGTACTTGCTGATGGAGAGCTCGCGGAATCGCTTCCAGAGAGCTAGAGCAGCCTCGTCGCCGTCCTCCATAGCCTTGAAGTAAGCCTTGGCTTCGGTGTCGATGGGACGTTCACGGAAGTATTCGGTATCTAGCTCGTCTTTCAGGGGGTGGTTGGGGTCGAGAACGAGGGCGGCGTCGATAGCGGCCTTTGTGAGAGCGGGGATGGAAGCCTGAGCTTCATCTCTCTTTTTGGTAAGTTCAGCACGAGCTTCATCCGAAATGTCAGAGGCCTCGAGGGAAGTGTTTGAGGTATCGATAAGTGCGAGGGCATCCGCAAGTTCCTTCTCAGCGGAGTGAGCGCTGTTGACGGTAACGTAGACCCGGAAGAGATGGTTGATAGGATCGCTTTCGAGCTCGGTCTCGCTGCCGAAGCTCCGGAAGCCGACAGCCAAAAGACCAAACTGCTTTCCCCAATCGCCGAGGTAGTTGATACGAACAACTTCGTAGCCAAGGCGCTCATGGAGGGAGGAGATGAAACCACCGATGATTGTGCTGCGAAGATGGCCAGCGTGGAAAGGCTTTGCGATGTTGGGAGACGAGAACTCGACGATGATGCGCTTGCCATTGCCGACAGTAGAGTTGCCGAAGGTGGAGTTGGGTTCGAGGATCTGAGGAATGGTCATGCGATAGAGAACGAGCGGGTTGAAAAAGAACTGGACGAAGTGACCCTTGGCAACGACTTTTGAGAGCAGATCCGAGGCGGGGAAGGCAGACGCCCATTTCTCAGCCAGCTCGTCGGGCTTAGCGCCCTTGACGCGGAGACGAGGGACGGCAAGAACAAAGTCACCACGCTCGGGGAGAAGGGTGGTCTCGAGCGCAGGCGCGATGATCTCTGGGGCGACGCCGGTGACGGGGTGGAGGAGGGCGGTGATGTGCGCGCGGAATAGGTCGACCGGGTTTGAGGCGAGGTTGAGGGGCCCAGCCTGTCCGGGGATGTTGAGCAGGGCGGGTTTGCCAAAGCCGAGGGCCTGGACGCGATCAGCGAGCGCGTCGACGTCGGAGGACATTTTGCGGAAGAAAGAGAACGGTGGACGAGGGAAGAAAGCTGGCGACCGACGACGTAAAGCAGTGGTGAGCAGGCGCATAACAGCAGTGGGACAAGAAAAAAAAATTAGGAGGAGGGCAATTAAGGTCCCGCCCTGTGACTCATTGTGATTTATGTGATTAAGTGTGAGTCGGCTCAGCGCTCGTCCTCTTCGCCAGACCATCGCGCCTCTCCGCGCGCGCACAAGCAACAAACAGGCAGCCCGCACACATACTGGCCTGAGCTCTCGCTTTATCTCGCTTCCCCCTCCTCCTCCTCCTCTCCTCCTTCTCCTCCTTCTTCTTCTGTCCATCCTTCTTCTTTGATTCCCTTTCCCAGATGTCGCTGCCCCAGACCCCGCTGCGGCCACTCGACGCAGACGGTCCGCCGGGGTTCCGGGAGCGGATCGCGGTGCTGGAGATAGTCCAGCAGCCACAGCGGGCGCGGTCCTGCGGAAACGCAGACCGCGACCGTCGAACACTCGATCCACCGCCAGTGCTCAAGCTGGATGTGCGTCTGCCTCACCAGCCGCGGACAGATACGCACTACATGAAACAGTTCACCTGGATCGTCCAGTGTCTGCTCTACTCCGCCGAGTCGCCCTGTGCGCTTCTCCCGCCAGCTGCCCACGGACGCGCCCTCGTCCGCGGAAACCTCGTCGCAAACGCTCACTTTGTCGACCTCGCTCTCGATGGCCACCGCGGCGAGGCTTGCTACTTTTGCTTCCCCGATCTCTCGTTCTCCACCGCGGGTCTCTACCGCCTCAAGTTTCAGTGCGCTTGGATCGACCAACACGCTCGCTCAAACTCCCACCTCGTCCGCTCGCTAGGCACAATGGGCCACCAGATTTCTGATGTCTTTCGCGTCTACTCCGCCAAGGACTTTCCCTCCATGCTGCCAATGACCCCAATCTCTCTCTCCCTCAAACGACAAGGTCTCTGGATCCGCGGAGGCATCCAACGCAACCGCCGAGCCCGCCGTCTCGCCCGTGCCTCGTCTGCCTCCAGACCTGCTCTTGGTCGCTCGGCGGCCATTGCAGAGGCTGACGAACACGAAAACGGCACCCACAACACTTACAGCGAAAACTACATCGACGACTATCACGATAACGATAACGATTTTGACAACGACAGTCAAGGCGACTAGTCCCGTTCTTGGATTCATTATTATTGTCGGCCTAGCACGTATGCTGCCGTGGCGTTTGTTACTTTTAGTTGTCTCTTTTTAGTAGTGATGTTTTTTGTCATATTTCTTGATGGCTATGACAATAGTATCTTAATAAGTGTAAAATAATAAAATAAATGTGATGGTTTTTAAGGGTTTCGTTCTCATCTCATCTCCTCGACCACATTCAACCGCCGCCCTTCCGCGCTCTCTCATCCCCAATTCCCTCTTATCCCTCCGCCGTTCTGCCTCCTTCGCATCTCCGGGACAATATGAGCCTACCGCAGGCACTTGACGCCTCGGCTCTGCCTTCTATTATATTCACGACCGCGGCCCAGCTCGTGGACTGTGTAGACAGTACGTGTTTTCTCTGATCTTTTTCCTTCTCTCCCTCCCCAAGTTTTTTCTGCCTTCTCTTGTCGCTGACCATGATCTTACAGAGCGTCTTCTCGTCATCCTCCGCGACGGCAGAAAACTCATTGGAATTTTGCGCTCTTTTGACCAATATGCAAACCTGGTCCTGCAAGACACCGTCGAACGAATCGTGGTCGACTCTCTATACAACGATCAGCCCCGTGGTGTCTACATCATCCGCGGCGAGAATGTCGTTCTCGTTGGCCAGATCGTATGTTACATCTATATACGTTTTTACCTATTACTGACGAAAAACTCTGTTACTAACTTCTAACCTCCGCAGGATCCCGAGAAAGAGTCAAGTCCATCAATGACGGAAGTCTCGCTTGACGAAATATATGCAGCACAACAGAAAGAATCAGACGAACGGAAACGAAAAGAGGAAGTGAAGACCGGCAAACTTATTGACTTGGGTTTTTCAATAGAGCCACAAGTTGAAGACTTGTATTGAGAAAAAAACGATCCGCACTTGTACAATAGATCCTCACTTTATTCTACGGCTCTTAGCCCGCTTCTAATTGCTTTCCTTCTTGGTCACCGCCGACTCTATCTCTTTTAATGCCCATGCTAAAAGATCCTTCATATGCATATCCAGTGACGATGCAGCCTTGATTCCCTGTCGTATCGAATCTTCAGTCAGATTACCATCCACGTGCCCATCTTCAAACAGTCCCTTGTGCGCCTTGACGTAGCCAGGCCAAACCACGTCTTCGAAATAACCAGGTGGATCGACCCAGAATCCTGACGGAATATGCTTAGTAAATGAAAGTGCGAGTTCAAAAGACAATCGTAAGTTCATTACCTTCTAGAGTTGCGTAGCCGTTTCTCGCTTCACGTCTCTCTTTCAGCTTCTCAAATGGCGCTCTCAAGAGTAGCCTCACATCCAATTCCGCCGTAACTTCGCGGTCATTGTAGAGCAGAAATCCATCGACCAGACAGAACAGTCTCTTCTCCAAAATAGAATCGGGACCAATTACCGCTTCCTTGATGCTTGTAGCCTCATCAGGCGTGACTGGTGGGGTCCCTAGATCATTCTTGTCTTCTTTATATGGTACGTCATCAGGTAGTTTCGCATTCTCCTTGATGTAGGCTAGCGCGCGCTTCAACGACTCAAAGTCAATAGCCTCCGGGCAATCCCAGTTTTCGACACCATTTACTACAGGTATCTCGGATTCGGGCTAGAGAAAGGGCATGTGTGTCAGCGAGTAGTAACGGCAGCTGATGCTGCTCACGTGCATTACCTTGTAGAAGTCGTCCTCGTGCAGGATAAAGGAATGGGGGAAAAGCTGGACTAGTAATCGCGACAACGTCTGGATCCGTTCTATGTCAGAAACATGTAATAGAAGTATGATGTAATCAAGATACGGACACTTTTGCCAGAGCTCGATGGGCCGCTGAGACCGATGAGTATCGGTGTTTCGGAGGTCATCTCTGGAGAATGCTGATAAGGGCAGACCAGGCTCGATGTCAGTTCAAGACCAGACTTTCTAGACTGATACAGACCTGCGCAATGCTTCTGTACTCGATTGCGCGCGGCAGAGAAACAACCGATCTCTGCACAGTTCTGCGCTCAAAGAAGACTCTGGCTGGTCGTAGAAGGATGTGCATTTTTGATAGCTGCTCGCAGTATAGTCCGTGAGTCATCAAATCTTATGTAATCTATACTAACCGGCTTCATGCTCCCCGTCTCCTTCCCGGTCTTCGTGCCGTCGTTTCATATTCTCAGTAGTTCTGCACTCGATTAACTTAAACATCATTGCCTATATGCTTGCCGTATCTGCCGAGTGCTACCAAAATGGAACGAGAGCAATCAGGGTCCAGTTATGTTTTGTTAATAAGCGTTTATATAAGCATCGTAAATCTAACCAACCTCGGCGCGGCTCGGCGAAACGTATTTGCGGGGAAACCGAGACCGACGCCTTTATAGGTCCTCTTCTTCCACCGTTCTTCCGTCTTTCTCTCTCACCGCCAGATGGAGAACATTATAGAAATAGCAAACAGCGTCGCGCTGGATCCAAAGTACCACGACGTACTTGAAGTCGTCAAGGGCGTGCGAAATGGTCGGTGGCAACCTTTGTCTTGTGTGAAGTAGTGGCTAACTGTCTCTTCCCAGGTGCTGTATACGGCGCGAAGATCCGGTTCCCGCATGCCCTTGTTATGACCTTTCTCTTCAGAAACGGAACGTAAGTATTTGTTTTATATTTTTCTCCTGCAGCTGCTAACTTCTTCTATAGTCCGAAGGACAAGCTACGGATAGTTCTGAAAGCAACGAGAGATCACGCCAAAAACTTGGCCACCTTTGTCTTTATCTACAAGTCCGTGATCTACGTTCTCAAATCTTCAAATCCGGAGAAGAAGTCAAGAGATGTAGATGCCCTTATTGGTGGTTTAATTGGCGGTTACTACGTCTTTGGACGCGGCGGAAAGTCTTCTGTCAACCAGCAGGTAAATCAGCTTTTGCTTTTAGATTGTTCGTAACCAGTTGACCAACTTTCCGTCATTATAGATTGTTCTCTATGTCTTTTCTCGAGTGGCTATGGGTTTGGCTAAACTTGCTGTAAAGAAGAACGTGGTCCCTATCTCGAGCGCTGAAGGAAAGAGCCAGTCATGGAATGTCTTTGCGACCCTGTGCTGGGGAATCGTCATGTACTTGTTCCGTACTGATCCTGATGTGTTGCAGGTCAGCATGAAGAACAGTATGGATTATCTCTATCTTGACTCAAATCACTGGACTTCCATGAAGACCTTGCTGTGGCACAACAAATGAGAGAGACCTTCAGCAGCTCCTTGGATTTACGAGAGACGGATGTTGCCATCAAATTAGTGCCTGTGACGCATCGGCGGTGTTATTCATAATGACCATTTAGAGATTAGAGTCAATCATTTGTACAGCCAAATATACTTCTACGTGTAATCTCAAATTGTAGGATGAGAGGGACCCAATACGGAGCTGTAGGACAAGCTAAATACCAGGCAGGTTTTCTTAGGGTAGGCGGGGCTGATCTCCGGCTGACGAGCTTTGCGATAAGAGATTGCATTGTTCCCCACACCGCCATTCTGCTCTAATAGCGCTCCCCATTCACAATGACCGTCGACTTGATTTTAGGAACAAACAATGTAGGAGGTCACGGAAAAATCAAGACCGTCGAGGCTATGGCAGAGATTCTTGAGCTCTACCATTCTCACGGTAACAAATATCTGGACTGCGCCTACATCTATCCTGCTGGTTTCCCTGGCGAGGCCGAGTCTTTTCTCGGCGAGCTCAATGTCACTGATAACGGCAAATTCGTCGTTGACACAAAGCTTGACAGCTTCAGAGATGGTGCGCATACTGAGCAGTCGATTTATAATTCCATCAAGGTCCAATTGGAACGACTCAAGGTTGACAAGGTCAGAACTCTCTATCTGCATGCGCCGGACCGCACCGTCTCTTTTGAAGAGTCTCACCGCGCGATGAATGAGCTCTATAAGCAGGGAAAATTTGAGAGGTTTGGTCTCTCAAATTACAACGTCAAAGAGATTGAGGAGTTTGCTGAGCGTGCGCGCAAGAATGGGTGGGTCGCTCCGAGCTCATACGAGGGCCTTTACAACATTGTCAGTCGCAGGCCCGAGACCGACCTGCTGCCCGTGCTGCGGAAATATAACATCAGCTTTTATGCCTACTCGTGAGTTTGCTTTCTATCTTTTTGAATTTGAGTAAATCCTTCGCGATTGTCTGACTGTCGAGAACATAGTCCTCTTGCTTCTGGCTTCTTTTCCAATATCAAGCGCGGACAAGCGCCTGCTCCCGGAAGCCAGTTTGATCCGGCGACGTTCAATGGAACATTCAACCAAGACTGGTTTTTCAAAGATGATTTATTTACCGCTGTCGAAAAGCTTACGGAAGTTGGTGAGAAGCATGGAATTTCGAACAATGAGATTGCTCTGCGCTGGCTCCGCAATCATTCTCAGCTAGGCAAGGGTGATGCGATCTTGGTGGGGTATTCTAAGATCGATCAGCTCAAGCAGAATCTGGAGTATTTGGAGGGCGGCCCATTGCCTGAGGAAATAGTGCAGGCGATTGACTCGATCTGGGAGACAATCAAAGACAGTGCTCCAGAAAGCGTTATGTGAGCCTCAGTCGAAATATAGTAATAACGTTTGGTTACATTAAACAAATATATATTTACACGCTTTCAGAAGCCTTAATAAATCCCTCTAAGCTTCAGCCTGCTTAGCTGCCTTCTTCAGTCTGTCGGCAGCATCCAACCTCTGCTTCAGCGCCTTGGCCGTCAGCTCTCTGATTCTCTCGGCTTCACCAGAAAGCTCCCGCTCCTCTTGTTTCTTCAGCAGAGCCTGAACCTCAGCAATACGAGCCTTCTTCGCCTCCGTTAAAGGCATCTTCGGGGGTGTCAATCGGTGAATTTCCTCCTCGGTCAAGTCAGGCTTGAGTTTCCAGGCATATGGGTTTCGCAGCGAGTCGAGTGCCACTTTCGGAACAGGCGGAATCGTGGCATCGGTAACGAAAAATGTGCGTTCGCGAGCCTCGTCATAGGGCGTCACAAAATTTCCCTCGGTAACCTCGTCAACCGGGTCTGGCCACGGGATAGAAACGCCCCCCGTGTTCGCAACATACCGCCGACGTAAACGGGTTTTGTAACGATCGTCGTAGTACTCCTCACCAAGCTTGAGCTTATTAACAGCGGCGTGGACCATCTCTCCGGTCTTGTCATCTTTGACTGTTGTAATCAGACGAAGATCTTTCGGGTGAGTAAAGCCGTTGAACGTATAAACGTAGGATGTTTGCCCCTCGCGCCAGTGAGACTTTGGCAGAACTGTGGTGTGTTTCGGACCAACATTTTCAAGTGCGACTCCCATTCGATCACCCACATAATGCACTCGAGTGATTTTGCCAAAGTCAGGACCAGGTTTGATCACCTGTACGATATCGTTGGGCTTGAAAGGGATGTTTTTCAAGGGCTCATCTACCAGATGATCATCGGTCATGAAGCCAGGAATAAACGGGGCAGTTTTTCTGCCAGTCTCTGCATTCTTGTTCTTCGCAGTCAGATCCTTGCGTCGTAGCTGGCGCGCTAGCGCCGAGAATCGTGGGATCCTCATTTTCAAGTTGTCTTGTCGTTAAAAAAATGTCTCTTGGTCGTTGCAACGTTGCCGGGTCGTGAGGTTCAGCCAGAAGTCGAACAGATAGTCAAATCAGACCTCAATTGATAAGAAATGTTATCAATAGTCGTGCGAATCGCAAACCGGGTTCTAAAAGACTGGGCGTAGCTTTGAATGTCGTCGGAGCTCTTGCTAACCTGGCTGCCAAAAAAATATCGCTTTTCGGGACGAAGAGAAAGAGCTGAGTTGTGCACGTGACCTGCAGCTTAAAGTAAGCTATTGTGGGGTGAAAGGCGCGGATCAGCGAATTAGGGTCGGGCTACTGCTGAGCATCGAAGCCTGAGTACACCGTCGGTCAGATAATTTATTTTCGGATTCGCTGCAAGTGTCTGTACAGGGAGTTTCTGAAGCGCAGAGAGAATGGCTACGGTAGATCAAGAGGTGTCGTTCGCATCGTCATCCGTCCGAAAAGGCAAGCGGAAGGTCGAGGACGCAGAGCTAGATCACAGCGATGAGGAGCATACGCCTATAGTGAGACGCGAGCCTCGGGCGTATGTAAATACCATTGATGAGAATGGGTTCATAAAGTCGAAAACAAATCAAGAGATGGTGGACTCCAAAGAGTATCTCAAATACAAGCCTGAAGGGTACTCGATCAACATGCCCGCAACGGATCGCGATGTGCGGATCTACGCTGACGGAGTGTTTGATCTTTTCCATCTCGGGTAAAGTCTTCTCCTGCATTATTTGTGAACGAGGTTGAATCTGTGGTCGAAGAAAATGATCACTAACAACTGGTTGTGATATCTAGTCATATGAGGCAGCTCGAGCAAGCCAAGAAGGCGTTTCCGCGTGCTCATTTGATAGTGGGAATCCCCGGCGACGGAGACACGCACTTGCAAAAAGGACTTACCGTACTCACGGATCAGCAGCGGTATGACAGCGTCCGTCACTGCCGGTGGGTAGATGAGGTTATTGAGAATAGTCCTTGGGTTGTTACTCCGGAGTTCTTGAAAGAGTACAGGATCGACTACGTTGCTCACGACGATATCCCGTACGCGGGAACAGATGGAACGGACGACATTTACAAACCTCTTAAAGAAGCTGGCATGTTTCTGGTAACTCAACGCACAGAAGGGATCAGTACATCTGGGATTATCACTCGAATAATTCGTGACTACGACAAGTATCTGATACGCAACTTCTCTCGTGGTGTGACGCGACAAGAGCTTAACGTCTCGTGGCTGAAGAAGAACGAGCTTGATTTCAGGCGTCATATTGCTGATTTCCGAGACTCTATCAAGCACAATATTGTCAGCACGCGGCAAGAGCTGAACAAATACTTGAGCCCGCGCGGCGAGGAAGGAGATGCGGAGTCTGTGATGTCTACTCCTTCGGCAATTGCGAGAAACTTTGGTCTGCTGCGAAAGAGGCGGCGGGTGACTGACGGAGGAAGTCGACAGACAACAGCTTCGCCAGTATTGCAAGGATCAATACTAGGCTCTGGAGAGCCTTCGCCTTTGTTTCCTGCTACAGATGGGAGTGAATTGGGAGATGTTGATGACGATGATGATGAAGAGGATGATAAGAGACTGCTGCTCGGTTTACCGACCCTTTTAAACGGAGTGAAAAGCTGGATGGCTAATCGCAAAAGTGGCGGGCTAGACACTGTGTCCGATGAGGAGGAGGGGTCACCTGTGACTTCACCGGGATCGGCTGTGACAGATGACAAAACTGAATGAATGAACTTGTGAGCGAACAGTTATTGGGATAAAATGTATTCTTTCTCTATCAAACGTATTATGTAAAAGCAAACAAAAAACTCCAATGCCACCGATGAACTCCGAGGAAAGTCGTAATACTCATAAGAAAACCTTTGAGAACTGGACGGACTATGATACGGTATGATCTTGCTCTGTCTCGTTCCATAGATCTCTGCTTTGACCCTCTAAAACGTTCATAGAATCAACCACTTTGTCGAGCTTTTCCATCACAACATCGATACCTTTTTGAACAATCTCAAAGTTTTCAGCATTGAAAACATTCGCGATGGTCTCAAGATTAATATCAGTGTCGCTGATTTCCCAAAGCTTGGCCGGATCAGCCATGGGATCGACGACATTTGCGGATGCCTCGAGAGAAGCTGCTAGTTCTATCTGAAGTGCTTGTAGATCCTCCAAGGCAGCTACGTGTTCCTTTCCAAAGAAATTTCCCTCCTGGCCAACTTGATCGGCTCGTTTTTCAATGTCGTCCATGATTTCAAGGTCAGTCCAAATAGCGTCATGGGCATCAACTATAGGCTGGACCTGACCCACTGCCGCGGTGCCGGACAGACCCTCGATTTCGGTCGAGATCTCTGTCTGCGGGAACCGCTGCTGAGAAAGTGGTTGCTGCTGGCGGCGACTAGAGTCTAGGGGAGAGTAGCGGGCGGGCGAGCTTGGATGGGGTGACGTTGTCGAAAATGATGCTGTGGTGGCTGCGGACAGACGGTGGAAATGCTTTGCGCCAGGAGAGTTGCGGGCGCTCATTTTCAGTGGCGGCGACTGTGGGGCCCGTCGTTGCCGCGGTATTTGACTCATAGCTATATAGTGGGGCTTTGCTCTGCTAGATACTCGAAAGAAGGGCTGTGAAGTTGACAAAAGCGGCGGATATCTGGACCAAAAACCGATGGCGAGCGTGGAGTGCCGAGAGACTCGGACTCGGTCAGGGATAGGGCTCTTTTCATGATGAGAGCAGCTACAAGGCCCTCAATGCAAGCACACTTTACGTAATAGCACGGACATGGTCCCGCCAGGATGAAGAGACGGGTGAGACCCGGATCGCACTGTGCTTTACACTGGCAATGCGTTATTAGTATACTGCACAGATACCTCATACTATATACCTGACTATCTGCAGATGTGCAATGATCTGCTCGTAGGCTGGTAAACGGTCAACTCCGCCGCATTCCTAACGGCTCATTTATTAGGCAAGCAATTGAGCCGCACCATCGCTTCTAGGCGCTCTCGAGGACGATAAACGAGTATCATTCACGACAAATGTACTCGACTGTCTCCCTGAGATCTTGTGTATGGCGTCGATTTAATAATAAGCTAATATAAAACATGTAGCTTAGCAAAATCAAATAAAAAAATAGAAAAAGGGCAGCGTGAGGCCTGAGATCATGGAACGAACAGTCAAATGTACTCTCATTCGCTCATTGCGAATCGGCCTGGTCGGCCTCGGAGGCACATTATAAGCGCTCATCACGCTCTTGCCTCTCTTCCTCTCCTCACCGCCGTACAGTGTCCCCCCTTCATTGTTTGCTCCAAACCGTGAAGTCTAGCTCTACTGCAATCCAACCTACAAACAACAAACAACCTTCCAAGCTTCCCTTTGCCTCTCTTCGCTGCCCCCTTCGTCTTACCTATCCAGATTATTGAAAGAGCGGATTTCGAATCCGAGAATATTCTGAATAGCTGGCCACCATGAGATTCAGATTCAAGCTTACCCCCACCAACCTCAACCTTTCCTTCCTCGCCGATCCCCAGGACGTCGCTGGCTCCGTGCATTTCAACGTTCTGCAAACTCCTCAACGCCAGGAGTTTCAGTTCATGTACGACAGCAACGTCTCCTTCTCCTCCTCTACAGTCCCCAACGCTGAAGTCGACTCGGACTACAACGACAGCACCTACGCCGACTACGCCTTTCCTTCGTCATCTTTCGAGGTACCCACCGACAACAGTATCTCCGAGGAAATCACCGGCCAGCCTGACGCGTCCGAGCCCACTATCAGCAACGAATACCGTGCTAGCTACGGCAGCACCCACGTCGGCCATTCCGACAATCTTGAGACGATCGACTCTGCTCAGTCGATTGCTCAGATCGAACCCGAGCCGCAGAGCGCGACTAGCTCTGACGATTCCAGCTCCCCGTCGGAGCAGTCTGCCCATGAGAACGACGACCCTGCAGAGCTTGAGCCCGCGACGCTCGCTACTGCCACGCCGCCCGCCGCCGATCTTACCGTCAGACAGCCGTCCCCCGAGATCAGCAGCCGTACTCTTACTGCTCGCGAGATCATCCTAGCAATGATCGGTCACCATTCGGTGACTCGCGACGCGTGCCTCGGAAACGGCACGCAAGCTCTCACTCCCGGACAAGCGGCCGGTCGTCTCATCCTGGATCTGATTCAGCCTTCCAAACTCACCCCCGGACAAGCGGCCGGTCGCCTCATCCTCGATTTGATCAAGCCCAAATCGAGCATCGATCGCGAAACTCTAGACATTGTCAAGAATCGTGTTAGCAGCGTATCTTCGGATCCAGCCATCGTGGGTTTTGCTCGCGCCCACGAGGCAGAGTCTGAGCAGCCAGCGGGCAGCTCCTCTACTTTGACGCAAGAGAACGATTCATCTTCTGAGATACTCATCCAGAAACACAGATCCGCTAGTGCTCCCATTCATCCGTCCGCTCCCGTTCGCCACTTCTACCGCTTCTCGAGCTTCGCGATCAACTGCACCGATGCTATCGACTACTTTGCGTGCAAGGCGCCGCACAGCGCTACTCCCAACAACGACGCTCAAACTCACTGCTCTGTAGCAGCAGCGTCGCAGCCGGCTGAGATCAAAGTCGATCACCAGCCTAAGTCTTCTAAGCGCGTGAAGAAGAGCTATGGCGAGATCGAGAGCAGCATTGCCGCGACTACGACGGAGGAAGACTCTACTTCTCAGCCAGAGTTTGATCCTCACTCTGATCTCCCGACCGATCACGTCCACTCGCTCGTCCAGAAGTTCGAAGCACAGCAAGCTACGATCCCCGATCCCAAGTTTCTCCACTCCAAGTTCTACCATTCTCGTATCTCTAGCAGATCGACTTGGTCTGGGAGCCGGGAGAACGTGGTAGACGGCCGTTCTCAAGAGGCTAGCGAGCCTAATGAGCCTGAGAAGGCCGATGAGCCGGTAAGCTCTCTTCAATCTCTCATTCTCTCTACGCCAAAAGCGATACTGATTATTCTACAGGAACCAATCGCCGATGGACCATCTGAAGCTATCCAGGAGGATCACCTTTCTGGCTCTGCGCCGGTCTCGACTGGTATGCAGCTGGTATTGCGACATGAAGTCCGCACGGACAACAGCATGGGAAGTCTTAATCCTTGGAGCTACGAATACTTGAGGTCTGTACGCCGCCGCGAGTTCACTCCATTGCAGATCCAGCCTCGTGTTGTGGTGCCGGACGACCAGGACAACAGTGCACCTGTATTCCGTCGAATAGTGCTTCCTGGTTGGGTAGCGCGTGCTCTCCAGCCTTCGATCTGGCTGTTAATCACCCGCGAGCTTGCCCTATCTGTTCGAGGTCCTCTTGATCTGCTGGCGCCGCCAGAGTTGTCTTCCAGTCGCGAGCTCGTGCTTCATCGCTCTTCGTCAAGACAGACTCCGCCCGCGCTTCTTCCGGCACCCGAACCGGTATCTGACCGTCAGCTTGTGCTCTACAGACAGAGCATCTTCGAAGCCGCTCTCCTGTCTTCGCCAGAGCCGGTCAGAGACCGCGGATTTGTGCTCTACCGAGCACTGACGGTGAAGCGGGGCTTGCTCACCCTTCCCGCACCAGTTCATCTCTCCTTGCGATCCCGGTTCGCTGAAAGAGCATCCGCTCTTATTATTCACGCCCGATATGCGTGCTGCGAGATCCTCGCTTTCGTATTTGTTTACTCCGTTGCCGCCCTGGCTTTTTCGGCGCACCTGGCGCCCACCGTTCTGCGATACGCGGGTCAGACGGTCTCACTCGCTTGGGGGATTATCCTTGCTATATTCATCTCATTGCGAGGAGAGTTTCGCTATCAACTTCAGTTGAGAGTGCAGGAAAAACAGGCCGCGCTTAACTGTAGATCCCTTGTGATCTACCGGCCTCCTCCCGCTTCCTTTTCCTCTATAGTTATCCCGTATGTTACTGCGCTGGGCAGTCTTTTTGTACGTGGAGGAAGAGTTTCCAAAGCCGTTGCTATCTCTATCGTTTCCAGTCTTTCCGTTCTTGTGGATCTCAGCTTCAAAGCTGTTCTTGTGGTGATCATTATTCTGCTGGCAGGACTCGCACGCGGTCTTCAGAGATTCTTCCAGCTCGTCCGCGTTACGACTAGCGCGGTACGCACCTTCGTCACCACCAACGGGTCTTCCCTCTATTCTCTTTGGCGGTTTGTTTTGTTGGTTTATTATTTGACTGTGAAGTACCGGTTCAACATGGGAGATAGGCAGCTCTCTGAACTTTTGGTACTTTTGCAGGTCAATTGGCGTGTGTTTGGGCAGTTTTTTGTTATTATGGGTTCTTTTCTCCTTTTTTCTTCTATCCCTTATTTTTATGATGATTCTCAGCAGAGAGAGCAGAGTCTGCAGACTGTGCAGAGCGAGCACAAACAGATTATTTCAGACGAGACGGTAAGTTCTCCAGCCTACTTCTCGAAAACGAATCTCAGCTAACAGGATGGCATTAGTTTGAAACGCACGACAGAGAGCTAGAGCAAGAGAAGGCTATCGCCGCGGCCGCACCCACGACTAGTGGTGCGAGTCATATCGATACGCGACCTTCCCTTACGCTGAATACAGAGCTTGCTATCGTGAGAATAAACACCTGCTACTGTTTTTCGTTGAGTGATACTAATATCTGTAATAGTCGAGTATGGAGGACAGTAGCCCGGCTACTGAGTCTTCTTCTTTGGAGCCATTGCCCTTCTCTAGTCCATCTCTTCCAGCCTCATCGCCAGCCTCTTCGGTGCCTTCGCCTAACACAGTCCTCGAGAAGCCTGAGCCCTTCTCCAAGGACGGCACGGAGGAGACTGCGTCTCACGACGATGAAATGGATTATGAGATGGACTACTCCCCTGAGATCTCCGATGAGATCGAATATAGGGGGGAGGGCGATAGCTTGATTCATTCGAACTATCCCTCCGACTGGAACTTTCCCGATTACGAGCAAGTTCTTGACGGACCCGATGGTTCGCACTACCAGATTTCTGATATGGAGCCGGTCGTGTCTATCTTTTTGATTGACGAGTCTACCATTCCGTGGTAAAGCGGCTCTAGTGGTGAGATGGGGGTATAACTACTGATTCCACGCACACTGCTTTCCAGGAGCAACTGATCTTCAGCATTCATCACATCGCATACAACATTGCATATACCACTGCATTCGCATACAACATCGCATTCGCATACCACTTTGGACAAATCGCATACAACATTGCATACAACATCGCATTTGCTGGTATTCGCACACAACATCGTATTCGCATACAACTTTGGACACATCATCGCATACATATCACTTTGGATACTACACCGCATACCACTTCGCATACCACTTCGCATATCACTTTGGATACCACATCGCATTCACAACATCGCATTCGCATACAACTTTGGACACATCGCATACAACATTGCATATAACGTCGCATTTGCTCGCATTCGCCTACAACATCGCATTCGCATACAACTTTGGTCACATCATCGCATACATCACCGCATACATTTTGGATGTAATTTGCATACAACACTGCATATCATGCTACCTGCAACACTATGTGCAACGCTACACTAGTGGAGGATGATAGGAATACCATCAACACATATACACAACACCACACACGACAAGGAATCTGAGGAACAAGGAGAAGATTGAGAACACATACCCGATACCAAGTCTCTTTCTACTGTCTGTCTGCTGCCGGTCTGATTTTCACCATCTGTCATATGGTGCCTCGCTTCTGCAACTGCTTTACTCGTTGATTTCCCAAAGCACTGCTCTGCTTGTGGGAGAAAATGAATACTCTGCTAAAAAAAACCGAGCTACTGCTCTAGTTCGGTATTACCTCTCTGCTGATCATCATCTTTTTTCCCTTTTCTTCTTTTCTTTTTTTTCTTGGTCATAACTGTAACTGCCTACTGTTATGACTGTTACTGTCTTTTATATGATTCTCATTCAATAGCAACGGCTTGCTACTTTCTCGGTACTTTACTCTTTCAATAAATTAACTTGTATAATTATAAAAACTGCCTATAATGCGTAGAAGTATCTACCGCGTAGTATCTATTTCGAGATGCAAGGCAACATCAGCTCTGAAACTCCCGTATTGCACGTAACGTCTAGCGCATAGATCAGATAGAAGCTTATGTATTTAACTTCCACGCGTAATCCATTCAATCGCCAGATACTTCGGGCTATCTTTTTTAAATCTTTGATTCAAGCTCTACATATGATAATTGTGGGACAGTGCACGCACTCTACATCTAGTAAGGCAACCTTTCCTCTGTATTTTGACCCGCTAGATAGTAGAACAAGTACAAAAGATCTTTTAAACCCTTTCAAAATGACCAGCGCGATATAAGCGACTAAATATGATGAAAACTGCTACACTACCAAATGATCAACACCTTAAAGAAACAGCAACAAAAAAGGACTCTAAAACCTGCATTCAGATACCAGTTTCTGTCCTTTCTTCTGCGTCTGTGTTCTCATTAAATCGCTGCGCATCTCTTTTCCCTCGCTCGACGTCCATGTAATAGAATATGGGAATGGAGAGAAGCAGTAACAAGAACAAGAAATAGAATGTATACCGAATGTTGTGGGTGCGATCGGTGATCATGGCAGTTACAGTCGGTCCCACTATTGAAGAGCCCTTGTCGGTTACCGCATAGAGGGAAAAGAATGTCGATTCCTTTCCAGGAGGGATCAGCATTGAGAAGACCGATCGGCATACGCTACTCATTCCGCCCAGCGACATGCCGTAGACGGCTGCGAGGAGATAGATTTCCCACGCATGGTGTAGTCCAAGCTTGTCAGTCATGAAACCTAACAAACCGTAGGCTGGAATTAATGCCGTCACTGCGACTATGATCACAATGACCTTGTTTGGTGGGATCATCAGATACTGCTGAACATATCTAGAAAACACAACTGCACCAATCATGCCAAACACCATGGTGATAATTCCCACGATCGCTAACGCTGCTGGCGCCATATTAAGCTCTGTGCGCGCAAATAAGATGGCAGTCGCATTGATCGTCGTAGCACTGTCCGACAAGATAAACCAGCCAGCAAGATAGAGTCCGACGTCGCGCAGTTTGCGCACTTCTTTTGCGGTCTTCCATATTGTGCGCCAGCCATAGACCACGTATTGATACAGTTCACTGTCTTTTCCGTTCATATGCATCTTCGGACCCGGCCGTGGGCGCATGAAAAGTGCGACTGGAATTGTGAATACTAACCACCACACTCCTATTAGAAATAAGACGAGTCGGATCGATAAAGAACTCGAGCCCATGGCCGCCACTATTATGATTCCGACAGTCTGTACAATAAAAGCAGACAAGTATCCACTAGCTATTCCCAGTCCGCTTAGCTTGCTGGATACTTCTGCTGCTTTTTCGGCTTCGCTGTCGCTCAGCTGATGATCGAAATACTGTCGAGACTCAGGCTCCACCGTATCAAGCGGGAAAGACTCAAACGAGATCTGCCCTTCTTCTTGATCTGTGCTTCCCAGTCCGGTGCCAGCCGGTTTCGGTAGAACTGGTGAATCGGACGACTCTGTTCGCGCGAGTGTTACACTTGAGGATGTCGAGCCGCGAGCGGCCGGGCTTTCGAGGGTGGAATAATTGTCGCCGTCGCTATCCATTATGTCTGGGTGGTTGCGGACAAGCACCGGCAAGAACGCATTTCCGCAGACAGCTACAGCACCAAAAGATATCTAGATTGAAGAAAATGTACGTGAGCATTCAAGATCGACGGTGGGGTGGATATGGAGTGATTGCGTACGTTCCCAAGAATAGTCAAGAAGGCAGCGAAGTAATAGGCTTTTGACACAGCTGTTATTAGCAACATGGCTGATATACCTCCGAGACATGAAAATGCTAGTAGAAGCCGTTTTCGATAGTGTCCTGTACGTCGCGTTAGTCAAAGCCGGAGCAACTCAGAAATGGATATGCTTTCGCCATACCTCTGTCGGCAGCACCGCTCATGGAAATAACGACGACTGCTTGCAGAAAGACACTTATTGAGAAGGTGTATAGTGCGAAGCTCGCCGGGTCAACGTAGATTCCAAGCGCTGACACCACGCACCTGGAGTCGCCAGGAATCGGAACAACACCACCGTCGCCTGCCTCGTTTGTCGATTCGGAATGGCATAGGACGCTGTGATCGCTGGTCAACACCGAGTTGTCTCGCGCGTACTGCTCCAGCAGTATTGGAAGATAGACGCTGACGGCAGCGACTGTGAACGGCTCAGTTGCAAACGCAAACGAGAGCCAGCCGAGGATCTCTTTCTTCGAAGTAGATCTGCTGTCTAGTTGGGAATAAGTCGAGAAAGACGTTTGGATCGGCCGCAGAGTCAGCTCGTCGTCCTCTCTCTCGCGAGGTTGTGACGCTTCATTTTCGGCTGTACTATTTGCTGCCTGATCGCCATTCGTATCCGACAGCGGGTGATATCCATACGCCATCCTGTGTTTGCCTATCGGAAAATGAATCGATAAGAGCGGTCGAAGTGCATGGACCTGCCGGAGCCTCGGAGAACCGAGAAGCGGTACAAGGCCCGCGCTATTGATCGCCACCAAATCCGTCTAGCATTGGTTTAGGGTTTAAATAGCCGATTTGGGCTATCAAGAAGATTAATCACCGGAAGCAGAATGTTGCTTTTGTGGGTGATGAACAGTAACAGCAGTATTAAAAGCGATTTTAGTGTGTAAAAAAGATAGATTGAATGAAATGCATGTAAAGGTCATATATTTATCGTGTAAGTATCACGTCGCGCCTGCTGAAATACTCCCGCATTGATTGTCCTCCCTTTCAAAAACTCCTGTATAGATCACTCTATCCTAATCGAGGTCCAAGCTTATATCCTCTTCGTCCTCTTGTCCCGGCTTCTCATAGCGCGCCGTTCTTAGGATAGCGTCTGCCTTTCTGGCGATGAGCATCTTGGCTTGCAAATTCATTCGTGCGTTGTTGATATCAACTTGCAGCTTGTCCTTGATAATCTGCTTGATATCTGCGCTTAGCCCTGGAAAATATTGTCTTTCAAGAGCTAAGACAGACGCAGGATCACATTTTGCACGAACTTCGAAAAAATTGGCGTTGTACTCGTCTAGCGAATCGTCGTCCTCGATATCAAACACGCCCGCTTTAGACCCAGGAATTTCCGATGCTGAAGAGCCTTTTTTTCTAAAGTCATCCTGGCGTAGCATAGAAGAATCTGGACTTGGTAAATATTCCCCGCCCATATACTTGGCGAACTTGCCCAGTGTCGAATCGAATTCATTCATACTCGATGAGGCCTGTCCTGGACGCACATCGCCAACAATGCCCGTCCAGCTGCTTTTGGCAGCGCCTTTCATTGTAGGACCAACCCTGCTCGTACCAACTTTTTTGTATAGAGGTCCGCCCCGCAATCTCAGATATGTTTTCAGCTTGAAGAGATGTTCATCCACCTGTCTCTGGCCGCCGCTGAACTTGTCTTCTTCGGACACAAAGTTGGGAAGGCCGTACAGCGCAAACTGGTCTTCCTCGTCTATAAATGGCTGCGCCCCCGTCTGGTCATATTGCGAACCCCAGAAACTCATGATCGATTATAGTGAAGATGGATCTGCGAGCAAGCGGAAAGTCTGAGAGATGAGAAGAGCGACGAGGTCACTCATTGTGGGAGAAGGGGGAAGGGATGGGATGAGCCGCAGGCGCAAGTGCGGCTTTCCCTGAGTCTTCCGGGCGATTTTGGCCTCGAGCTTCTCGATGGAAACTCAATCAACACGGTTTATGCTGGTCTATTTAGATAATTCAAGCTATTCAGGCTCATTATCTCGAAGGCGATTGACTACTGAAGTTGCTCTAGGCTTTTGCTTCGGCCCATCTGATGTTCTTTGACCACATCACTGCGGGTGCCTGTCTACTTGCTCTGCTCATAGTTACCATCTTGCTGGTAATTGCTATGCTGTCCTTGATTCGATCGTACGTGGATGATCCGGTACAGCACCCAGATGGTGCATCTGCTATGTTTGTCTTAGGATCTGGTGCGTTCAGATGTCTCAATCTCACTCAATCATACTATAACGACAGCTACTGACATCCGGCTGACGATAATAGGAGGACATACCACCGAACTTCTCAGTATCGTCAATGATCTCCGGTTTGAGAAATATCCGAATCGAACGTGGGTTTCATTTTCCGGAGATTCACTTTCAATAGTACGTGCTATGGATCTTGAGCAAAAGAAAAGAGACGAGGCGCAAGATACGAAATCGGGCAAGTCAGTTGGATCAATGACTTCAGTACATCTACCTCGCGCAAGAACGGTCGGACAATCATATTTTACTAGCATTTTTACAACATTGATATGTGCTTTACAGTGTTTATATACTGTATACAACGTGCGCCCGGATCTTGTAAGCTCGCGCAGCTCCTTCTTTGAACCTTTGAGATAAGATAGCTTACATTTGCTTTTCCCAGATTATATGCAACGGCCCAGGCAGTTGTGTTCCGATATGCTTTGCAGCACTGCTGCTTCGCGTATGTACTTTCTGAAGCTTTTTATTGAACATCCGCTCGTCGATACTCAAACACTTGCTAACAACATAAACATCATACAGGCACTTGGACTCTCCAGAGGAAGGATAGTCTACGTCGAATCTCTGGCTCGTGTCAACTCTTTATCACTGACGGGAAAAATGCTATACTATGTTGTGGATCGCTTTATTGTGCAATGGCCGCAGCTGGCCGAGCAGTACGAAGGCGCCGAGTATGTCGGTCTGATAGCATAGATCTGCAATCACGCTTGTCGAAGATAGCGAATCCGCTTATTTCTGGTCTACTTTTGCTGTCTGGTCGCGAATCAGAATAGACAGACAGAGTAATGTAAATGCATATCGTCAAAAGCCATGCTATCTACTACCCCTCTCATCGCCTCACAGTTGAAGAAGAGAACCCAAGGGCAAAACTGATCCGATTCGAATATACGGGCTAAGCTGGCTATCTGATTACAAATATATTAGTAACACACAGACGAAACCGAAAAATCAAACCGACACTGCTGGTTCGGTTTAAAGTTCAGTTACCCTAGCAACAAACAACAACGGCCTCTCGCCTCACGGGAAAACAAAAACATACTCACCGCGTTGTCTTTGCACACACGTTCTCTGCAATATTTTCCACATCCGCGTCGTCGTCACGTCTTTCAGTGTTTTTGTGAATTGAAAGCTGGCGTGAATATAGTATACTTCTGTGATTTAGGAGTACGCGACAATCATGGCGAACGTCAGAGCCGCGATGAACTGGGTGTTTGACGCGAATGGCCTCGACGAAACTACGATTGATGAGAAGTTACGCCAGGAAGGAATAGATATATCTTATGGTATGATTTTGAGCTGTTTGGTTTTATTACGTGGTGCGAGTAATAATCTAACGTTATGTTTCCATCAAGACAATCTTCCAGACAGTCCGGCGCCGGCAGCTTGGGCACTGCAAGCTCTGCCTGCATTCATCACCGGCACCCCGAAACCCAAGAAATGGATCTCAAATCACGATGTTGAGGATATGGAAGTAGATGGAGAACAAGGCAACAATAATGTCGGGGAGGAAGAGCCTCTACTATTCGATGAACAATTTTATCGCGACCTAGATCAACAGAAGCCACAGTCACAGCCAAACATACAACCTCGAGTCGAGCCACAGCATCAGCAGCAGCAACCAGGCGTTTTCCGTCCTAAGGAGTCATTGCGGAGTAATCTGTTGCGCAAGTTGGCCAAAACAGCGGTGAGCGAGCCGGAAAAGGAGAATCGAAACCCGGATGGTGTCTTGCAGCAACCTCAGCTTCCAACTCAGAACGGACCAAAATCATTAGCGAACGATACTTTAGGATCAGTCGTTCCGAGTCTAGATACTCCTACACGACTTCCACACAATAACACGCGCAGTCGGCAGCCTCAGCCTGCTGGCATACTACGCACCCCCGGCACAGCTACATCAAAAAAGGTTGTCTCGTTCGCCCCAGCTGAAGGAGGAGGCCCGGTAGACGAATTAGCGACTAAAGGACTACGAATCAGATCTGGCCTTCCCCGCAATTTTCCGGGAAAGTTTCCGAGTCCGTGGACACCGAAAAGTGTGATCGATCGGCTCGACTTGGCTGATACGCCCACGACCTCATTCGCACGAAGGGCAGAGATTGAGAGGCAGAAACAGGAAGCTGAAGTATCGAAATTGAAGCCAGAGAGTGAAAGTAAGGCTGGCCCTACGACGAAACAAACGAAGGCACATCACCAAAAATCTAGGCGAAAGTCTTTCAGTGAAGCAGAGACGAAACAATTGACCTACGTTTTCGAGACATTAGCAAGTAACAATCAGGGACTAGAGGCTCTGCTTACGCAGAAGGTGATCTCAAATGCTCAACAGGGGGCGCAATCAAACACAGTATCTGAAGAGGCCGAGTATTGGCGCAAGAAGTATGAAGAAGCAGAAGAAGAGAAGAACGAAACCATCAAGCTTATGGAAGAGAGTCAGCAGCATATGGATATGCTGCTCATTCACGCCAAGGAAAAGGAGCAGCAGATAGCAGAACTGCGACGTCAACTTGAGCAAGAAAGGAAGAGCAATCTCGAGACGTGCATGAGAGTGCTCGAGATGCAGAAAGACATGCAGAGTTTGAAGGAAGCATCAAAGAAGGCTCTTCGAAGGAGACTGGCCGAGATTGCTGCTAAAGGACGCTGAATTTAACTCCTTTAGCAACCTAGCATCAGATTTCGTTCCCTCTTTTGTTTGCCTTTTGTTTTTTAGTTCATGCTGGCCTTGTATGTTTTTTAGATAGTTCAGTGGGTTTGGAAGGCGTTGGATGTTTCTTTGTGTATCTTAGTTAGTCAAGATGAGTGTATAGTAGAATAATGACATGAATTCTTAATCGTCATAGTCCTTCAGTTGCTCTTTTCGGTAGTAATCTACTGATGCTCGAATCTGCAAAAATCCGTGGGATTAGGGTACGGGTAGAGCTCTGTCCCGTCGGTCGATGTAGAATTATTCTCAAATTTCCAATTTGATTGTTTATCGCGAAACCAAGCAGAGGAAGTGCATTTGATTCGAAAATGGGTATTCTGTATGATCGCACTGCTGATACTTTACTGTTCAAGTCTACACTGGTCATCATTGCTAACGCGCGACAATAGTGAGAAAATCAACTCTATCCAAGAGGAGCTAAATCGGACGCAGAAGAATAAAGCCACTGAGTACCATATCGTGAGTCTCCAGCACCTTCTGCTATTCCAGAATGAAATGTGCTCGGTATATTAACATCTCTGAAGGGTTTACTGAAAGGCAAGCTTGCGCGATACAGAGCACAACTTCTTGAACCCACACCAGGCGGCTCGTCAGGCGGAGGCCAGGGCTTTGAAGTACAAAAGAGCGGAGGTAAGTCACAAGAGTGGTGGATGCGGGCACTGACAGATTTACGGTATACTGACATTTTGTTTTTATTTTTGTGCTTTAGATGCACGAATAGCGCTTATTGGTTTCCCGTCGGTGGGAAAATCTAGTTTACTATCAAAGATCACAAAGACAAAGTCCGAGGTGGCTAGTTATGCGTTCACGACCTTGACTTCGGTGCCGGTATGTTTCTCTTCTTTTATATTTTGGGTACGAAGAGTTGAGGCGGTTCCGAGCGGGGCTGATGACGAGTGCGATAGGGCGTGTTGGAGTATAACGGAGCAGAGCTCCAAATTCTTGATCTTCCTGGTATTATCCAGGGTGCTAGTGAAGGTAAAGGTCGTGGTCGCCAGGTTATCGCCACTGCAAAGACATCAGATTTGATTCTCATGATTCTCGACGCCACAAAAGGCGGTGATCAACGCGCGATTCTCGAGCGCGAGTTGGAAGCGGTCGGTATTAGGCTCAACAAGGAGCCTCCCAACATTTACTTCAAGGTGAAGAAAGCCGGCGGGCTAAAGTTCAACTCTACCGCGCCACCAAAGCATCTGGATGAGAAGATCGTCGGGAGTATTTTGCGGGACTACAAGATTCACAATGCGGAGGTGTTGGTCCGTGACGAGAACTGCACGGTTGAGGATTTTATCGATGTGATCAATGCATCGCACAGATCGTATATCAAGTGTCTGTATGCGTACAACAAGATTGATTCTGTGTCGCTCGAAGAGGTTGATAGATTGGCTAGACAGCCATACACCGTCGTCATTAGTTGCGAATTGGATCTAGGTCTGGATGATCTGGTGGAAAGAATCTGGGAGGATCTCTCTCTATTGCGGATATTCACCAAGCGGTATGTTCTGCTTTTTCTTTTCTGGTTTTATATAAGACATATGAAGTTTTACGTACTAATTTGTTTAATATCCAGCCGCGGTGAACAAGTCAAGTTCGATGACCCGATGGTCGTCCGAAGCAACTCGTCGGTCGAGAACGTATGCGACTCGATCCACCGATCGATCAAGGACAAATTCAGATACGCTTTAGTCTGGGGAGCTAGTGTGAAGTACAGTCCGCAAAAGTGCGGCCTGAGTCATATGGTTGCGGATGAGGATGTTGTTTCGATAGTTACAAAATAATTGAGGTGGACTATTAGTATTATTCTGTTAGTATTATTCTGGGTTTTGGAGGTGTTTTTCTTCACTGTGAATGAATCTTGGTAATCTACTATATAACAGTCAACAAAATTATCAGCAATATTCAATGCACTTTGTAAACGGATCGTAGACTAATTACAATATCCTTAGAATCTACAGCTACAGAATTTTATGGTTTCAATATCAAAAGTCCCAACGCGTCCACCCCACTGACCAGCACGGAACACTACAAATATATTTCTTTCAATCCACCAAAACCAGCCTGCAGCACACCACAGGCTTTGGCGGGCATCAACAAATATGCTTCGATTTTTCAACTCAAAGGAGGAGAGCCCATCGTATTTTGCTGGAAGTAAGCGGAAACGTGGGGAACAGGAAGAAGAGGGAGATGAGCAATTGGGTCAAACGGCTCCAGAGGCGGGTTCGGGAGAAGGTAGCTCTGCTCAGGTAGTTGGGACTATAGAGGATGACACAGAGGGGGATGAAGACGGTACGAATCAGAAGAAACGAAAGGTTGATGATATAGAGGACGGTGAGGATGAGGATGCGATTGCGTCTGACGCTGGAGACGGATTTACTGCGGACGGAAAAATCAATACTGCATTATTGGACCCGATAACAGTGGCGAAATATGAGAAGAAAAAGGCAAAGCAGAAGGAAAGGCAGGAGAAAAGGAAAGAGAAAGAGATTCTCAAACAGAAAGGCCCGGAATATAACGCTTCGTTCCGGCATACTTTGCGTCCCCAAGAATGGAGTTATATCAGGGTGAAACTGTAAGTTGTTGTGATATTCTGATTGTTGTGTGTAGCAGACGCTGATTGCATATACAGGACTCTGATTCCCGCGTCAATCTCAACCCCGATGCCAAAAGTAATCGACGTCCTGACAATCTACACAATTCTCTCGAGCGCGTTAAAGCGAAGTTTAGGCAACGTCGGCTCATCCTTCCAGCTCGACGTCCTACAAGCCTCGTCGGTCGAAAACATCGTGATCCGCGTGCCGAGCAGTAACCTCGAAGCAGCGCGGGCGGCGCTGAGCGCGTACAATGTCGACACGAATGTTCCGGCTGCGTTGGGCGGTGGTGCGAAGGCGGTTGATGGATGCGCGAGTTTGGGGGTTACGGTGGTGGGGGCCAGTTCGTTTTTGGCGGGCGTTGTGGGGCCGTCTAGGATATGGAAGCCGCCTAGTTGAGTTATCGATTGTGTAGTTACAGGGAATATATAAGTTGGACAATGTACGATTGTAGCCTGCAGAAGCAGCAACACAAATCAATTAAAATGGCAATTTACGAATGGAGAGAGCGGAAGAGAGAATGTGAACTATCTTTCTTTTTGGAATTTAAGAACTGAAGATGAGCCGGATGTGCTCACGATATTATAAGGAACAGAGAAGATAGAATATTTAACAAAGAGGAGATCCGGACTATTCCAGCTAGTAAGATAGTAAGACAAAAAAAACAAACAAAACTAGAAAAGTAAGAAGAAACTGATCGAAGACGTTGAGCAACCATAATAACAATGCGGAAAAGATAAAAAGATAAAAATCGCCAATCATTTGACTATTGACTATATCGGAAAGATTCAGAAAATCATAAAAGGTCAGCAGCGTCGCTGGATAGACCTTTTATCTATACTAAAAAGTTGGGATTAGGATGAAACGCGAAAATCAGGAAAGAAAAAAGGAACTAGACAGAACGACAAGGACACCGACAAGAAAAAGGACATGGTAGGAGAGGAAGCGAAGCGCGACACCGGTAAACAATGAGAAGAGGAAAGAGAGATAGTAGGCAAATGTCGAAATCAATCAATGACGCGTATGTGGATTTGTAATTTTTTCTCTTTTTAATCTTTCATGCTTTAACTATTCTTTTCTGAAATTTTTTTTCTTAAATATCAAGCCAAGCAATCAAAGTTACCGAGCACCGATCGCTCCAATGACACCAGTGCGTTTGGGAGGAGGTGGTGGAGGCTTCTTTGCTCCCGGAGCGGCGTTCAAACGACCCGAGCCCACGATTCCGCCGCCACCACTGAGCTTCTTCATGCTGGACTGGTAGGAAGGAGCAGAGACCGCGGCCGGACGCTCACGATCGATGGCGTCTTCTTCGTCATGCGAGTCTGCGCTGAACTGGGAGGCACGGCGCATTGAGGAGCCCGAGACCGACGCCGACTTTAGAGGTTTGGGAGGCGCGCCGTTTGCGCTCGCTCCGTTACCTTCAGAGATGACGGTGCAGTAGGGAGCGGGGAATAAGCCCGACTGGCCGGAGCTGGCGAGCTCGCCGATCCACCAGCCCGGATCGATTTCTTCGGTGACGATGACGACGTCGCCGGGGTTGAGGGTCAATTCGTCTTCGGTCTCGGCCTCGTACTTGAAGTTTGCCTTGACCATCTTCTTCTTTGAGCCGAGCGATGGTCGTGGGCCGGGAAGTGGAGGGGGTTCGGTGACGGAGCGGTTGAATTTGGGAGGGTTGATCACGGCCGAGAACTTGCCGGACGAGATCGAGGACGATAGGAGCTGCGGGGCGAATTCGATCTTGTGGGTGCGGCCCTCGCTGCCAATCTTGGAGCCGCTCTCGAAGCTGGAGGACAGGCTCTGGACCGAGGACGCGGAGGAGACGGTGGAGCGGTAAGAGGGACGACGGGGCGGGGAGTCGTCGTCGTAGGCTCTGTCGCCGAAGGATTTGATGGAGGTAGAGCGAGAGCGGTTTCCCTTGGGGGTTGAGGGGGAGCTTCTGGACCTGGATGCGTTAGCGAGTGCAGGATGGGTGAAAGATAGAGGAAGAGACATACTCGGAAATCCAGTTCTTGCGCAAGTTTTGCATGACGTCGTTGCAGCGTTCGTAGTAGTCGCATTGAGCCTCGAAGAAGTCGCAGACGTCGGAGAGCTGGTCGGATTCGGCGTCGCGGATGGCGTTCATTTTGCGGACGACGTCTTCGCCGGCCTCTTCGTATTTTATTCTCTGGGCGCGCACTTCCTCCTCGAGACGAGAGTCCTCGCGCTTGAGCTTCTGGACCTTGGAGAGAGCGGCATCGTACGCGAGACGTCTGTATTCGAGTTTCTTGCGGGCGTTCTGTGGAGAGGAGGGAGGTTAGCAGGGTTGCGCGCGACTGACGCGATAGAGCGACGGATGATAAAAATAAAAAAATAATAATAAAAATAATAAGACAGAAAGAAGATAGAACGAGAAGCACAAGCAAACGACAGATAACGAATAAACACACCTGAAAGTCCTTGAACTGCGCGATGCTCTTCTCGATACCCTCGAGGAAGTTCCTCTGAATGCGGTCGACAAAGACCTCTTGGGTCTTTGCGAGTTTCTGGTTTGCTGCACCGAGTCTGACGAGGGCCTGACCGTAGTTTGACTCCTGGACGAACTCGTCGCCGTAGATGGCCATTGCCTGGCCGAGGATGTCGATGGGCGATGCCTTCTCGAGCTCGTCCAGCTCGCGACGCTTTGCGAGGTTGCGGACGTAGATGGACATGGACTGGTGGAGACGTTCGGTGCCTTCGTAGCGCATGTTAATCTCGAACTCGAGTTCCCTGAACTCCTCGGACTCCTGGGTCTTCTGTTCCTGGCCCAGCTTCTCTGAGGTCCATTGTTTGATGCGGTCTATCTTTTTGGTCATCGACATTGTTGCGGAGGAGCAGGGAGGGCGATGAAGGGAAACGGAGGGCGAGAGGGCGGAGAGGAAGAAGGGAAGCAGGCCGCCGGAGGAAGGGGCAGCGCGGGCGGGAGCGGCGGGCGGCAGCAGCAAAGCAGCGGCGGGACCAGGACAGCAGCAGCCGGGAAGCGACCGGGTCGGTGTTTGGGCGGGTCAGACGAGTTGTCGGGTTCGCGCCGGTGTTCTCTCTTCTGCTGTCTTGTTGTCCATTCAGGACCTGTACATCTACTTCTACTTCTACTACTATCATTACTACTGCTACTACTAATATATCACTGTTCTTTATTTCTACTCCTTCTACTTCTCTTCTCTACTACCAACACAACTCACACACGCGTACTCCCGACGTTTAAAGTTCAGGGGCATCCGGCCAGACCGTCGCCCATTTAATTCTAATCACGTGACGAACTATCGGAGTCTCCGTCGTCCGTCAAGTCCGTCAGTCGGCTCGTCGGACGCTCGAAGCCGACCGGCCTCTCTTTGGTGTTCTGCCGGTGCCCTTTTTCTTCATTTTGATGGCAAAAAGACACAAAACAGAGACAAGAAAGACTCAGGCAGCGGCCAAAGCCGTCTGCTGTGGTCTTCTTAATGTTCTAGTGCTCTCAGTGTCTCGCCGGGTTCACTCAGTGGCTCTTATCGCGAGGCTTCTCTCGCTTAGCCCGAGCTCGGTGTTATCTCGACTTCTGCCCTCCTCCCCACCGCCTGCTGTTATCTCTTCACGCTCTGCTGGCATCCTCTCCTCTTCCCCACCCTCCTCTACCCTCCTCACACCCTGTACACCTTCAGCTTCCTCTTTATCGCCTGCCGGCATATCGGGCACAGTCGCCCCATCCGCGCCAGCGCTCCATTCCTTCCCTCGGGCGCATGCGACTCCGCGCAGTATTCGCATACCGCCAGATGCGCACAGGGCAGAAACACTAAAATACTCATTAGAACAATGCCCACTTCATATCTCCTCTCCAAACACCCTCAACTCACCTATATTCGCAACCTGCGCAAAGCAGATCTTGCACTCCACATTCACCACCAGCTCCTCCGGCTCTAGCGGCGGTGGTGCCTCTCTCTTCTCCACCGCAGCAACAGCCTCTGCATGCTCCTCAACCACAGCCTCCTCCACCACACCCACCCTGGCTTCACCAGCCTCTTCTCTATCTTCCTGCTCCTGCAGCATCATCGCTAACGCGTAATCCGATGTCTCCTGCGCCTGTCTGCTTTGTACAATCTCATACACCCGTCGTTCGCGCACCGCGTTGACCCGCTCCTGCTCATCCCCTTGCAGCTGTCGTAATCGCTCTTCGCGCTCCAATGCTATCTGCCGCGCCTCCTCTTGCCGTCTTCTTTCGGTCTCCTCGTCTACTGGTTGGATATCCATCACTTCAGGCTCGTCGTCGTCGTCACCTCCCTCTGCTCCTGCAATTGCGCCTACTCCCGCCCCATCCTCGTTCGCTCGCCAGCGCGGTTCCTGCCGCCGCTCAAACCGCTGCTGCTGTAATCGCCAGCGAATCGCTCGCTGGAACATCGACGTCACCGGTGACACGTAGTCTAGATTGATTTCGTAAATCTCGTTAGCCAGCCGCTTCGTCATCGTCATCCTCTTCCTCCTCCTCGACCACGTAGTTGTGTCCCTACCATCGCTAGAAATCTCCTCGGCCGTGCCCAGAGCGTTCCTCATCCGCTGCACTCTCTGCGTTCGCGCTCTGGATTGCTCAACAGCCGGTACCGCTCTCTCACCGTCCTCTTCCGCGGTCAAGCGTTCCCAGTACTCCTTGCACGGATTACAGTACATCGCCCACCGTCTGCCTTCATTCACAGTCCCTCGGCCGTCGACGTAGATATCGTATCGCCCGTTCTCGCTAACCGGCCGCCGATCCATGCAATGGCAGCACAAATCAGTCGTCGTCAGCGCGCACTGCGATTGATGATGCGCACATGTCTTTGGTCGAATAAACACCGGGAAATGACGGCTCGGCTGCACCGGCGCTGCGGCCTGCTCCTCGCTTTCTGATCTCTCTCGCTCCGCTTGCAATGCTTCCTCTTCGCGTGCCCGAATCTCGGAAAGCTCCTGCTCGTGTAATTGATTCCAGTAATCTATATTCTGTCAGCTCAACCCCTTCCCATTCATGCAGATTCGCGGAGCGCGTACCTTTACAAGCCGTGCAGTACAGCGACCACCGCATCCCCTCATTCACATTCCCCCGTCCGTCGATATAGATCATATACCGACCATCCTCCGAATGCGGACGCCGGTCCTGGCACGCACAGCACTGTCTCCGGTTCGCAAGCATGCACTCCGTCAGATGGCCACAGTAAGCCCGGTTACGACGACTGCGGGGCATCGTTCTTCAATAGCCTTGCTCTAGTTGTTTGATTCGCGTCGATGCTCTTCCTCCATCACACACCTCCGCGCCTTTGCTGATGGTCGTATTCGTTCATCTCGACATTCAGATCTGGGACCGAGATATGCCAGGGTTTTGATGATCATGTGATCTGGCGTCAGCCGTATTCTACAAACAACGCCTATTCTACACAGGCTCCATATCTTCCTACTATCTAGATACTATTACGTCGGACTCATATACATACCCTTCTTCTTCTCTATATTTTATATCTCTTGACTAGCCCTCGGCCGGCCGACTCGCACTCCGCTGCCACGTCCTGCTTCAGCTGTCTGTATAAGGGTTTCCATATTCAGAAACCCTTACAAGATGCCTGGCTTACATTCAACATTTCAACATCATCAGCAGTAGAAAAACGAGCAGTCGTCTGTATGTAGTCCAGAAGATGAACTACGCCGACGACCCAGCGATAGCTGGCTCACTATCATTCAACCTCGTCTCCAAATCCCTACGCAAGGACTCGCGAAGCGTGCATAACCGGCTCTGCTCGATCAAGAGCGACTCGGAGTTTGTGCTTGCCGTCGCAAAGGCTTATGATTTACCTCTAGTTGGTACGTGTCTGTGTGAACTGTTTTGGTCTTTTGTTATGTGTGCGGGAATGCTGATCCGCTGTGTAGCGAATGAGAGGTGTGGGCGGTGGTATATCCCACCGAAATTGATTACCGACTCGGTATACTTTAAAAGTACAGACGGCCACACTGATAACTGGGGGTTCAGCTTACGTCGACTGAATCTGCATATCATAGACCTCATAAAGTCGAGAAGCGGGTATTTCTCTTCTCATTTCTCATTTCTCTTTTCTCTGCCCTCGTGACTGACACAAGTATAAAGAATAATAATAGTAGACTCCACCCGCCGCGGCAAACGAATGCCAGACTCCCTCTCGAAAACGATCCCGATCTGGTGCGCGGTCCTAAACCGCGCCGTGTTTGGTTCCCCCGGCGACGACGGGCGCGCTCGGGCGGCGCCGGCCGGGAACGGCGCAAAGAGCGTGCATGTGCCGCCGTTGGCGGTGTCGTCGTCGGAGCGGGATCAGATCGCGGCACGGGTCGAGGGGTGGACTTGTGAGTTTTTGGTGAGTGCGGAGTGGTTCGTTACTAGCAAGACTGTGTGGGGATGCTGACGGGGATGGAAGAAATGTGGGATAGATATAGCAAGGCTTAGAAGCCAGATCGACAAGCCTCTACGGCCGATCTGGGTATACCCCGACGACTCTCTGATATTGCCGCCGCAGAAACCAGAGTACAAGGATTTCTACCCAATCGTACTGTGCACTGCATCTCGGATGGTGCTGGATGGTGCTGAGCGGCAGAGTTATACGTACGTCCAGGGTGCTGCCGACGATCATGAAGCTTGGGCATCTGTAGGTCCCACATCATATGCTGAACAGAAGAGTTGGGTGATGCTAACGCTGAGATAGGTAATCACGCCTGATGTGTTCTGGACCAACGAGGACGTGCTACTGAACGCATCAGACGCAGAAGTCGAGCATCTAATCGAGCAGAAAAGTCTAAAAGGACTACAGCCGTCTTCATCTATTCCCACTAATGTTCTCGAGACCTCTCCGATCGCGCAGACCGGCGTGTTTATCGGGCATAAAACTGGACTCCTCGAATCCTACGACGAGGTTGACGAGACGTTTCGATATATAGTCGATCTGTCGACATCGCCTACGAAAATGCCAGCACCAGCCTCTGCTGATTCCGCCAGGTTTGTGTTTCAGCATCCGGTGCCGGATGGAAAACGAGGCTCAAAGATCTTTCGCACCGTGCTTCCTTCGATACTCTCGTTCCTGACCTCGTCCGACAAGACGTTTGCCGTATCCGGCTCGGGCGCGAAGCTACTCGTTCTATGTGATCCGGGCCAGGACTTTTCAGTCGGCGCGGCGATGGCTTTATTATCTCTGTTTTATGGTGAAGACGGGGTGGTTAATGATCAGAGCAAGATGACGAGCGCGAGGATTGATAAAGAGCATGTACGCCGGAGGTTGACGTACATCATCCTGCACAACCGAGTTAATCCGAGCCGGGCGACGCTTGTCTCTGTCAACTCTGTACTGATGGGGTGGGACTAAATTGTATATAAAAATGGATACTGTATATATATGGGCGGAGGGGGTTTATGTTGTCAACCTTCTGTCTATCACAATCAATTAAGAGAAAAAATAATAGCACTAATAAATCTAAAGAAATACTGTATCCTCCACCCATATATGACATGAAACATGATAACAAATAACTGTACTAAGATATAAAGATGAAGCCCGCCCCCCAAAAGTAAAAGTAATCAAAAAAATGGAAATAGAAAGAAAAACTTAATACACCTGCAAATACTTATAAAAGAGTCCCAATCCTCAACGATGACACCATCTTTAGTGATTTTTTTTCTTTGGTTTTTCTTATATGTTATTGCGGCGATTCAGTTTGCGCATGTATATGTACCGTCCAACATAAATCTTCGGGGTTTCCATCGACACGTAGACGGCGAATTAACGCATAACGAACCGTCTGCGAGGGGGTTAAGAAATAAAGAAAAGAAAAGAAAAGAAATGCTTGTCACAACACAAGACTCAGATCACCAAACACCACATTTTGCTTAAGATAATAGAGAAAAAAGAGAAAAGAGAAAATTGAATTGGAGCTGTAGCGCGCGAGGCGGGTTATTTACAGCTCGATTCTGGCTTGTCGTCTGTGCATGACGATCTGGCAGCCGCAGAAAGCGAGGAAAACCTGGAGGAGGGTGTTAGATAGGTGATTGAGGGTGGAAGTCATGGCATCTGATGATGAGGAAGAGGGATGGACATACCGCGTAGATGACAGCACCGCCGAACAAGTTGACGGCAACACTATATGAGGTGAGGTTAGCATATTTGAAGTTGATGTGATTCCGCCAAACTCGCAATGAGCTGCATCAAACAGTCGTCTTAAACAGTACGAAACAGCAAAAGCGATGCCGATAGTTTGAAGGGAGATAGAGGCGAGGGGCACTTACGGCTGGCCAGCTGGGGGGTCCTCAGTGCTGCCGAGGAAGGCCTCAGTGCCGCCCAAGAAGAAGCCGGCGATGGCGCAAAGGATGACGATTCCGAAGACGGAGAGGACGGTGCAGCACCAGGCGTATCCGAGCTAGATGGGGGGAGAGAGTGGTATCAGCATTCCATCCTAATCTGTGTTTGGGCTAGGGGGGGTGACAATGGAGAGACGGTCGAGGCAGTCGTGGAGGGTGTTGAAAGAGGGGGGTCGATGGAGTACATACAGAAACAACGGGCTTCATGGTGATCTAGATGAGTTGGAAGGAAGTGGAGTGAAGGGGAGTGGTGGAGGGATGATGATGGGAACAGAAGAAGAGGAAAAGAGACGAAGCAGACAACGACGATACGGCAACAACGCTAAGCGTCGATTTTTCAGTGCGAGGTTATCTAAAAGCCGTGGGTTTAGAGAGTTGTGCACTTAAGTACAGAAGCACGTGAGAGATATGCCGCAGCCTGCACTGCTCCCTGCGCGGCCAGGCCATGGCCGTCGCCGGAGAGAGTCGGCAGATCGCTACAGAGCAGCCATTCTTTATTGATCAAACCAGCACCTCTGCTGAAGCTGCTCGCGCGGTCTGCTGCTGCCCAAAGCCGACGATAGCTGGCCGAAGGGCGGTTCGCGGCGGCCGGGTAAAGGCTGGCCGATAAGAACGCTGCAGGGCAGCACGAAGCTTATTGGCCGGCATGGAGAACACGTGACGGGAAGACAGATAGGGCATAAGTGAGGAAACACGTGGTGCAGGCTGTCTGCGAACGTATATTAAGGGTTTTGTTGAGCGTATATTTAGTACTGTGCGCGGCCGTGCAGCCGCCGAGAGGCAGGTCACTGTTCGTGGTGCAGTAAAGACTGCAATTGCTGATGAGCTACTTGATTATTCTGAGTACTATTTCTCTATTTCTATTGTATATATATTGTATATATATTGTATATATAAACACACACAGCACAACAGCAGGTGTTCAGGCGAGGACATAAGGTTTAAGTTCAGCGTGCCTGCAGCACTAGTCAGGAACGGCGCAACGATCTGCTCAGCAAATCTCGCCTGGGCTCCTTTTCAAACCACCGCCTCGCCTCGTCTTGCTTTGTTTTCCTCCCCACGTTCATTCTTCCTGCCTCCTCCTTCCTTTCTGCTCCTTCGTTTCTTTTTCCCTGCTCTGCTTTTCATTCTACTCCTCTTATATTTAAATATATATCCTCTTCTACCGACCTCACCTCCTCTCGCGGTCCTCTCTCCGCGTCCTCCTCCACCGTCCTCCAGTTTTTCTCATCTCCTCACCACACTCTTTTCTTTCTCCTCCCTGCTTCAACAGTCCAATCTCCAACCTCTCTATACATTTCTATGGCACTAGCTGCCTTTTAACGCGTTCTCGTCTCCCTTTCATCAACTCTTGTCGCGCGCGTTCGTGTTCCTTCACCGACGCGTCACTGCCACTGCTGATTCAGGTGAGTGTCCTTTCTTCCATTTTCTTCAATCGTCGAGCATTCAAACTTGCTTAAGAGTTATCGTTCACAAATACCTAACTATCTTCATCTCTCAGTCAGTGACATTCATCATCCTCACATCCTCGCTGGTCGATCAATGCGTGCTAGATTGCGCTCTCTCTGCCTCTCTCGCATCTGAGCCGCCGGTGATTTCCATACAGCAAAAAAGACAGACTCCAGATCTGCCTTTTCTTATACACACGTTACGCCCTCTTAGCTTTATATACTCCGCTTTATATACTCCGCAGACATCTCGCACAGCTGAGCTTAAAAAGCTCGTCCTTCTCTCTGCCGAGCCTCAAACCACCTCGACCATCTCGTCCTTCCGGTTCCAGAACGACTCCCGCCCCCTTTAGCCGCGCGCCTGTCTTTATTTCTTAATTCAGCTCAACCACGTGCTGGATTAATATCGAACACGGTCTCGCTCTATTAGATTTTCCGTTCTCCGGTCCCGGGCACTCTGATTTGCCTCATCTCAGCTCCCTCTCCTCCAGATCTATATATCTCTTCCGGCGTGCTCGTCTTTCACAATGCTCGCTTCTCATCCTATAACCTCCATCGCCACTCCGCCTGACGCCGGTCAGAATCCCGCCGCCGTCGCTTCCGCTAGCGTCACCCCTACTCCAGTTGTATCAGAGACCAGACCAGAGACCTTCATGCTGTCTGCCGAAGCCCAGGAATTGCTGTCTCCGGACACAATGAACGCTCTCAAGGAGGTCGACAAACGTATGCTGCCTTTTTTACTCTCTGTGCAACATGCCCCATCTCTAACACCCGTCATCCACAGTCAAGATTTTCCTTGCCAGTGCTCCTGCGCGCATGATGCCAAAGGAGATGTTCAACCGTTTCCAGCTGCCAACCCAGGAATATGTCACCTGCGTTCTATGGTGCGTCTCCTATCTACCCCTCTGTCACTCGAACGCTCTACTGACACAATTCTGCTATAGGAAAGGAGTGTTCTACATCACCGGCACCGACATTGTTCGCTGCCTGACCTTCAGATTCCAGGCGTTTGGTCGGCCGATCAAAAACCCAAAGAAGTTCGAGGAAGGAATCTTCTCTGACCTGCGGAACCTCAAACCTTGCAACGACGACGCCCTACTGGAAGAACCAAAGTCAACTTTTCTCGAGCTTCTGTACAAGAACAGTTGTATCCGGACTCAAAAGAAGCAAAAGGTGTTCAACTGGTTCAGTGTACCTCATGACCGACTATTCCTCGACGCGCTCGAGCGCGACCTCAAGCGCGAGAGTATGGGACAGGAGGCTACCACCGAAGCAGTGTCAGAGCCCGCCCTCTCGTTCCAGTATGATCCTGATCAGACTCTCTTCGAGCAGCTGATGAAGGCTCTCCAGCAGTCCGCCACCTCGTCTATAGACGCCGAAAGTATGCTGGACTCTTACAACATGGGTGCTCCTGACCCGGCCTGGAATATGGCGCCACCTCCGGTCCCGACCGCTCCAACTTCCATCCACTCCCTTCCAGCTGATCAACTGGCTGCTCTTCCTCCTAACTCCCAGACCCTTGGACTGGCAGCTTTGCGGACGGATTTGATGGAATCGCCTGCAGAGGAGCTGAGTATGGTGAACGCATACCCTACAGACTTGCATGAAGTGGTGCCTCAGAACATATTGCGTGCGCGAAGAGAGATTCAGTTAGAGGCATCTCCTGCCCCTTCTTTTGACTCTTCGGTTCTTGATGATCCCTTTGATGTACGTATGGGTATGTCAAATTTCGAGCCAATGACGCCTGATACGCAACACTCGATGCCATTCCCTGAGCAGTACATCGACGCCCCATACTACAATACGTACGAGACCGAATACGACGAGTCAGAGTACGGTACCGGTGACAACATTCCATACTACCCCTCAAAGGGCTACCCTGTCCAGCACCACCACCAACAGGCTATGCCGCCGAACCAGATGGCGGACGGCAGACAGAGGTTTCCGAACCCTATGATGGCCCAGCGCGCTAGCTTGCTCGGGGGATCTCCTGTCTACAAGCAACGCCGTCGTCGTTCCCTGTCCGGCCAGCCATACCCACACCATGTGCCCAACTCGAGCGGCTTGGTCGGAGAACAGCATCAGCGGAGATATGTGCCCATGGACATGCCTTCTTCCAGCCGACCTCTGTCAAGCAATTCGGCCGGAAGCATGCGTTCAGAGCCCACGATCCTTCCCTCGCACAATGCCGTTCGCCGTCCTTATGTCGGTCAGCAGCGGCACCACCATGCGCATGACAACCACATGCACATGGTGCAGTCTTTGCAGGAAGAGGACGACTACGTCAATGCGGGTGAGTACATGGGTGACGACTACTCGCAGTACCTAAACTACAACGAGGTCGACCGACACTCGCTCCCGCCGCATCTCTTGGCCGAACAGCAGCAGCAGTACGACTATCAGTACAGTATGGCGCTTCAATCCCCCAAGACTATGCCGCGGTATAGCGGTAGCGGTGCTGGTGGGCCGATCAAGACAAAGGTTCAGCGTCAGGATAGTGGTGCTGGTCCCTACTCGATGGCCGCGACTACGTCAGCGTCTAGCACTGGCAGCAGCGGGCGGAAATCGCATACGTGCCCTGTTGCTTCTTGTGGACGGATATTTGCTCGCCTCGAGCATTTGAAGAGGTTTGTTTGCTTTTTTGTTTATTTTTTACTGCCGATGCTAACACTATATTCTAGACACGTCAGGACACATACAAATGAAAGGCCTTATAAATGCAAGATTTGCAACAGGGGCTTTTCGAGATCAGATAATCTTGCGCAGCATCGCCGGACGCACGATAAAATGACTGTTCTCAGTGAAGACCAAGTGGCTGCCGCTGCTGCTGCTGCTCGCCAACGCCAGCAGCAACAGCAACAGCAACTCCAGCAGCAACCTTTCCATAACCACCATCACCACTCTCATCATCAACAGCAGCAGCAGCAGCAGCAGAGACTGCAGAACCAGCAGCAGATTAAGCAGGAGATGTACTACGGCCGAGAAGTCGAGGAAGAATCTTCGCCTGTAGATGATGACGGGGACTATGAGAGCGGAGTTTCCATGCGTCGTCCTACGGCAGGCAGCGACAGTGGTGCCGAGTATGTGGACGACGAGCAACGGCTGGACGCATATACGCAGTATGGCGACAGCGCGTACTAGATTGTCGTGGCCGCGTAGTGCAAAAAGTTTTCTCCGGGTTCGTTCTATCGGGTGATAGAAATTGTTTTGTTTTGGCGTTCCTTTGTCTATTGGGATAGTTGCTCCGCGATTGCAGATTATGTTTTTATTTTTTTATATATATGTTGGTCTCGGAAATAGCTTTCGTTTTGTCTGCCTGATTTTCACAAAGTACATAGTTTGAAATTTATGCGCGGTTATATATATATACAATACCAGTTCTATTTTATTCATAGTCCAAGTTCACCAATAGAAAGCAAAAGTCTTATTTAGCGTTAGTGTAGATTTCCTGAACTTCATCAACCTCATCCAGCAGACCCATCAGTTTCTGCATAAGCAATTCCTGCCCCTCATCCAATTCGATCTCACTGTCCTCCTTAGGGATATACTCGATCCCCATCTCCTTAATCTCATAACCATACGAATCCTTCATTTCCTGCGCGACCTTCGCCGTCTCAGCCTGCTCGACCACGATCTCGTACACAGGCTTGCCATGGTCCGGATCGTCTTCTTCAAAGTAATCCTCGACGAGCTTGATATCCTCTGCGCCAGCTTCGAGCGCGTGCTCGAAGATCTCGTCAAAGTCGATTTCGCTCGCGTTGTCGCCCGTGCGTCTGACGATGCGGATGAGGCCCTTGCGGTCAAAGTAGAACAGACTCGGGCCGAGACTGCAGCCGGATTTCGTCAACGCGTTGCGTACAAAGCCTACAGTCCGGCTCTTGTTATCCGTCAATGCTTCTCTATATCCCACAACACGCATTAGCCAAAAACACTCTCAACCACTAAGATCCAGCGAGGAAAGGGACATACATAATTATAGCACATCCTCCAGGCCCGGAAGCCTCGTATGTTACACTCTCGAGCTGTTTTCCGTCTTTATCGCTGATGCCGGCTGCGCGTCGCAGGGCGCTTTCAATTGTCTTCTTCGGAACTTGGTTGCGCTTCGCGTTCTCGATGGCGTTCCACAGGCGCGGGTTGTTCTCAGGATCCGGGCCTCCAACTATTCAATCACAAAACCACGTTAGTAAGTCAAACCACACGAATAAAGAGTAGTGTGGTATAAGTAAATAGAAACGCGCGGAGACATACTCTTAGCAGCAGAGATGATAAGTCGACTATGCTTCGTCGCTATCGCCGCCCTCGCCGAATCGTGCGCAGCCTTGCCATGCTTAATCGTCGACCATCTACTATGCCCACTCAGCCTTCCGCTCGTGTTTGAAAATTGTCGGATCGAGTTGGTTTGTCTGTCGCTTTGCTGGCGAAACAGAGCTACAGCCGGCCGTGGTGCGAGTTCGGAGCTGAGACACAGTCCGAGGTGTCGGCTTGCAGATTTCAAGCCTGCGCGAGCTGAAAACAAGCTGATTGAAGCCATTCTGTTGCTTTTCTGCTTTCTGTTTTTGATATATATTCAGCCTTTTTCTCGTAAAGGTCTGATTGACTGCAGAGGAAGAAGAAACGGTGCTGCTGTTGAAGATAAAACAGGTTTCTTCGAGGCGAAGTTTCGGATTTCGCGGTCATTGGAATTTCAATGGTTGTGCGGCTTTTGGGTTCTGCTTCCATTTCGTCTGTACTCGAACGCAGCCTGAGCATTTTACTACTTTATTATTATTGATATCAAACGAATATTATTATACAGTTATATATTGTATGATTATATGTCTATAGAATAAAAATCATCAAAGACTTTTGTTTCCACCCTAACTCCAGAAAAAGACATATTAAAAACATAGACCGGGAAACACTACTGAATCTGCTCATATAGCCAATGACCCGTAATCCCCAGATCCTCAGAAACATTCAAACCATTTTCCAACGCCGCCTCAAGCTCACGCTTTCCAGCATACTCCAGGTTTTCGTTAACAGACGAGCTCTTGACTTTAATCGTTCCGTTTCGGCCAATCTCGAATGTGAAGCAGGAAATTCGACAGTCAGAGACTGACATGTCCTTGGTTGGCAGAAGCAGGCTTAGCTTTGGAGCTTTGCCGTATGGGGATTCGATGTGGAATGTCATTGAGTTTGGATGCGAGACTAAGCTTGACCGTAGAAGGAAACTTTCGAGACTGGGCGTGCTGCCGTGCGAGGGTTTGCTGTCCAGATACCGCTGATGGAATACGCTGTCGATTAACGAACGCACGCGGATACTTTGCCGGAGGATCTCGAAAACTGATTGGATCTGTCGTGGATGCGAAATGTAGATTTTCTCAACTCTTCGGGTCTCTGGCATCCGCGCAGATGATAAACTGAAACCGTACTCGATCGGGTCTCCGTTCCGGTCATAGATCGTGCGTCGCGAGTAGAGTGATTTGAACTCTGTTCCCTCAAGAGTTGGAATCGTTTCTGCTTCTGCTTCTCCGTTCGGATCGAGAATCGCGGCGTCGTAGTATGGGATCAGGACAGGCGGGTCTAGCACAAGGACAAATCCGTTGGATTGGTCCTCGAGGTTACTGTAGTCCGGCTCCTGCCAGTTTATACCACCACTAATAGAAGATACGGTCAGCGTGAAAAGCAAATGAAGAAAGAAAAAAGGACTTACTTTGGATTCACTATATCGCTGCCGATATAGTCATTGTTTTGCAACACACCCCAGCCACTTCCTGACCGGCCCGTATCTATCTCAACTATAACTCTCCATTTCTCTTTTGATGTGGTCGACGAGTCATTGCTGAGTTTGTGCTGACGAGACCAGTACCAGATAGAAAGTCCGAGCACGCCGTCGTCGTCAATCACCGGAAGTCCATGGCCCTCGCTCTCCGGATCTAGATGGAGGGAACATTCGTGCTTATGAATTCTCGCAAGAGCGGTCTTGTATAAATTCTCGATGATCTGAAAGTTATCCGACTCCCCTGCCGCGAGCTTTTCTGGACCCGGCGAAAGTCGATCTAGACGTGCGAATCGCTCGACATTGCGCGCAAAGGAATCGAGCGTGGGCTCCTGGAGATTGTTGTACAGCACGGTCTGTCGCTGTGGACCGCTTGAGCTGGATGTAAGGGTGCAGATGACTTCTGATACTTTGTTGCTAGGTAACTGCAGATCGACGTCGATGACCGAGATCTTGCCGCCTAGTGTGAGACGTTTTCCCCAGTCGTAGTCGTCTGCAAAGAAATCTAGTCTGTTGAAGTCATAGTTAGGTCCAGCAAGTGATACACGCGTGAGATAAAGTAGCAAACATACTGATTCGCTCTCGCAAGACGAGCAAGGCCAGCCTCGGAGATAGTTCCAGGCCGCTGGCGGATCAGATCAATGACTTCCTCGATCTCTCTCCGCTCGAGCATCTCACTCTTTGTTCTTCCAAACACCGGCCTCCGCTCACCCGCATTCAACTGCGTAAGCTGCGACAAGTCCGTCAGCCGGTCGCGTTGAGCGGGCTGTTTTCCGAATCCCGGGCCCGCATTGAGCTGTACTGTCGCTGAGCTTCCTACCGCGTTCGTGGCCGCGTCTAGTGCTGATGGGGAGAACGAGGCAAGTTGCGCGGGTGAGACGCCTAGGAAATTGTCTGGCGTGCCGGAAGGCGTGACTTCGGAGGAGGAGATTACTTTAAAGTCCTTGAAATTACTGAAATTGAACGGCGAGGATCTGGGGGAATCTGCCATGATCTGCTTCTGGAGTGTAGATAATAGCGCGGAGAAGCAGGTGCTGGTTTGGATGTGTTTACAGTTTGGTTGGGTCGTCGTTGGTAAGGGGTTTGTGTCGATGCTCTGATGCCAGCAGCAGAGCGCAGCTCAGCAGAGCGCGGGCGGTCCTTCGTACGATAAAAAGCAGTAGTATCTGTCGCAATACTGCTAAGAATGATCAGCTGCAAAGCGCAGGACGAGTGAGAAAATGCGTGCGGTCTCTCTCGCAGCCAGGCGCTCCCTCCACGGCTCTATGAGATATGAGGCACGTGCGCGTAGAGGCCGTCCGTTGACTGAGATACAGAGCCGCGGCAGAGGACGCCACTATCAAACGCGCCGTCAGCAGTGCGCTCAACCAGCAGCAGCAGCTGTCGCCGTGGAGCGACGACGAGCAGAGTCCGCGGCGGAGTTGGAGAGACGCGCAGCAGGGCCGCGAGCAGTCGAAAGCTGTCGAGAGCTGCGATTTAAGTCCGAGCACGTGATGCATAAAGCGCACGGCAGCTGTGCGATTGTGGCGCATTAGTCATCACCGCTGTTTGATAGTGGCTCAGCCGTCTGTGCTGACCTGGCCGGAGTATCTTCCTCATAACAACTTTCGCTGTATTCCCTCACTCTCTGTCGCCCGCACTTCTAATTCAACGCCTTCATCCACCGTATCTGCTCATTATCGCCTTCTATCCCTGCTCATACCATGTCCACCTACTCTTCCGCTGTTGGATCTGTGGTCGCAAACAAGGAGGAGCGCCGCCGACGGTCCTCCAGTATTATTTCCCACGTTCAACCAGAGACTATCGAAGAACAGATCGACCAGGCTGCTCTGCCTAACCTCAACGCCAACTGGGTCCATAACAAAGGTAATTTGATTTCTTGATAGTATGTTGTATTAAGAGATCTCTGTTTTTCTGGATTTGTGGTGGTGCAAGACTACTGTTTCAGCGTGTTATGGCGTTGATTCTCACCTTGTGTGTCTGCAACCCGCCGGATCATGGCCTCCGTCGGCGATTTCCCCCTCCACTAGTCCTTATTCTCAAAGCCATGCCGGATTACATTGATCTCTATCTAAACAACGAATCTTGACTCGTATATACTAATCATGCTCTCTCTAGGCGCTTGGATCATTCACTTTGTGCTGATCGCCGGCCTCAAGATTTTCTACGACCTCCTCCCAGGCGTCTCGCAAGAGTTAAGTTGGACGCTCACGAATATCTCATATGTTGTCGTACGTATCCAATCGTAGTTACTGTTTGTATTCTCTTCAGCTTCAACTAACAGCTCGACAGGGTTCATACATAATGTTTCACTACGTTACCGGAATACCGTTCGAGTTCAACGGCGGCGCTTACGACAACCTCAACATGTGGGAGCAAATTGACGATGGCGACCAGTACACTCCGACCAAAAAATTCCTGCTCGGAGTTCCCATCGGACTGTAAGCTTGTTCCATATCATAATCGCAAGAGACTCTAAAGCTAACACTGCATATAGATTTCTGGTTTCCACTCACTACACTCACTACGATCTCGGAATGTTTGTGCTGAATTGTATCGCCTGCCTCTGCGTCGTGATTCCAAAGCTGCCTAGTGTACGGTCCCATAAATCTGATCCTACTTTACTGAATTGGCATACTAACCACCTATCTTCGTACAGAGCCATCGCATGCGACTGACAGTTCCCGAGGTCCTCTCGTCAACCAGGGAGTCGTAGCCCATCTACCTCCGGACCTTCTCACTCGCTTTTACATTTATTCCTTATCGATTTCCAGTTTTTGTTTTATCCTTGATTGTCTTTTTTGCGCGCACATATCTCAGTAACTCTCCTTGATGTCCTGATCTGATAGGACGCTTGGATCGAAGTTTTCAGCACCTTGTCAGACCCTTCTACTTTAATGTTTATTCCGTGAACTTTACAACAGTCTCTCTTTACATTTCCTACGCAAAATGCAACTGATAACAGCGACGCACGTGCTACGATCGCTGCTAATAAGGCAGTTGCAGCCCACCACTCATTTCAGTGATTGTCAGATTATTTCTGAATACTCAATCAATTTTTGTGTCGTGTGGTGATTTATGAAAGCAAAATTTGTGGATGCAATAACGGGCCAGCAACCAAGCGACTCCATCGCGCGCAGCTTGATTTTATTTAGTCCATTACTTTCCTATATGAAGATGAAGTACGCTCATCTATGGGATAAGAAAGTGGATACCGGAGGTTTAGTGGTTGTGATTCATCTCCTCATTCTTTTCTTTTTATTTCGAAAAATCTCTCTCATTATGTGTTTGTGTTTGTTATGTGTTTCTATGTTTCGGGGGGTATAATGGGGTCTTTAGGTCGTCTTTTGGTTTGCGTTTGTTAGCTGGCATTCATATTTCTGCTTTCCTTAAACTATACATCTGAAATCAACCTATCGGGTGACTTGTCGTATGAAAGATGAGCGGTTAAACCTTCTATCTTATAGACGTCAAAATCGTAATATTTATTTAACAAACTCAACCATATCGTACAGCACTCTTACTCATAAACACACCGATTGTTTATTTAATAGCCTCCTCGAGCTGTCTCCATTCAGCCATAAGCTCTGTATTCTCCGTCTCTGGTTCTTCAAGATCCAACAACCCTTCCTTCTTCGATCTCTCGAGTCCCTTCTTGATCTCCTCCTTTTCCTCATCTGTGAATCCTGCCTCCGACTTTGCAATCACAAGCAAAACCTGAACTACCTTCTCAATCGCAGAAGAAGACCCCTCAACATGCAACAAGTCCAGCAAAGAAGGAACAGCCGACAGAGACCTCAAGATATCGATCTTATCCGCCAAAGGCTCGGTAGCCATAATACCTGCCAGCAGGAAAATCGAGCGCCGACGGATATCAGCGTCGGTCTCGTACAGATGCCGTTCGTCTTCCGGAACCTCGGCCGAGTCCACTTTCGCCTCGGCTTCCGACTTGATGATCTGAAGCAGCGTCTTCCACCCTTCCGCGTTCTTAAACGATTCGTATCCCTTTTCGTGGTTGCGGATCGCGGACGAAAGACAGTACATGGCCTTCAACCTCGCCTCCTTTGACACATCTCGCCGCGCAATGTTGAGGATGTTGGGAATAGCTTGCGGGTACATCAGCAGCGCTGCTTGCGACTTTGGGTTGTTTTGCACTGCGGTGCCAATCACCCAGCAGGCCATTTTGCGGAGAATAGGCGATGGGTTGATTAGCTGGTCGATCAGCGGCGCCCAGAGATTCAATGACTCGAGGTTATTCGCGTTGTCGAGATTCTCAACCAACTGTATTCACACGTTAGCAATCCAGTTTCATTCACCTACGAAGAGAGCAATCTTCACGCTATAGAAAAGACTCACCATCTCCAAATTATCAAACGCAGTCTCCTTCGTCTCGATATCGACGTCCGGATCCGTAATAACATTCATAGCCTCCTTCATCAACGACGCATCGTCAGGCTGTCCAAACAGCTGCGCCAACACTTCCGCATCCTATATAGAAGATATAATCAATCAGCAAATTACTTCAGATCAAGAACAGAGGAAACAGAGGTGATATCCGCGACTTACCGGTGCTTTCTGACGCTTATCCTCAGGAGCAGCCGACGCGTTGTTCGAGTTCTCCAACGACCACTTTAGTAGTTTCTCCATTATTAGTTATAGGTGAATTAAATTGTACTTGTGCAAAACAAAACAAGATATCAATAGCGAGGAAATAAGTAAAATTGGAAATCGTCAATTACTCGCAAAAATATATTGCGCCGCGCGGGTTTTGCTCCCAATGCAGCAGAATCTTCACGTTCATTCTAGAACTCTATGCCGTTTAAACTCTACTCGTCTACTGACATCATCCATCCAACTTCTCAATTCAACTTTTGGTGGATATTCACCAGCATCTCGTAACATATACAACAACACGTAAAATGACACAAACTCCTATAAACCAACGTAGGAAACCTATTTCGCACCCGCAGGCTTCGCCACAAGTTCATGCAAACTCTTCGACAAATGTGCATACAAAATGCGCAACAACTGAAGAACCGGCCCTTTCACCTTCTGATCCTCTGGCGAGTTTTCCACCAGCTCAAGTATATGCATAAGCTCTCGTATGTCCATCAGTCTCGGACACGCCGATTGGAAATGCACTCGGTCGCAAAGCGGACATACTTCTGGCACTATCGTACGCATAGGACATTCGCCCGGTGCATGTGTCGTGTGGGTACCATCGCAGAGAAACGGCTGGCGATAGGCGTATTCACCCATCGATCTATTCAGCATTTCCCATGTACGATCTCGTAATGCCATATAAGACTCGACTGTTAGTGTCGCTGTAGTAAATCTCTGCCTATCTGAAGGCTCTGGCGCTGTCTTTGTCACACTGGCTGTTGACTCTTTTGAAGACGAGCTGGCTGTAGCAGGTTCAGCCTGACTCTGAGCCGAAGCCTGAGCCGAAGCCTGCGCTTGAGCATGAGTCGGTGCTTGAGCATGAGTCTGCTGAGCGGGAGCATGAACCTGAGCCTGAGAATTAGCAGGAGCAGGACTCTGCGCCCGAGCTGGACCCTGAGACTGAGCGTGAGACTGAGACTGAGGCTGAGGCTGAGCTTGAGCTTGAGTATTAAGAAGAGAATGAACTGACACCCGAGCCTGATCCTGAGACTCTTTTTGAGTGTGAGCCTGAGCTTGGGTGTTAACGGGAGCAGGAAGCGACGCCGGGGCTTGACCCTGGACTTGAGCGTGAGTCGGAGTCTGGCTGTAAGCCTGAGACTGAGACTGAGCTTGAGTATTGACGGGAGCAGGGATCGACGTCCGAGCTGTACCCTGAGCCTGAGATTGAGTGTGAGAGTGAGTGTAAGCTTGAGACTGAGCTTGAGTATTGACGGGAGCAGGAATCGACGCCCGAGCTGGACCCTGAACTTGAGATTGAGTATTCACAGGAGCAGAAATCGACGCCTGATCAGGACCCTGAGCCTGAGTCTGAGTCTGATTTTGAGCTTGAGCACCAGCGGGTGCAGGAACCGATGCCTGATTTGGACCCTGGACTTGAGCGTGGGTCTGAGTCTGGGTGTAAGCCTGAGGCTGAGACTGAGACTGAGACTGAGACTGAGACTGAGCCTGAGTACTAGCGGGAGCAGGAATCAATACCGGAGCTTGAGCCTGAGGCTCAGTGGGAGCCTGATACCGAGACTGAGTATGAACGGGAGCAAATGTGAACGCTTGAGCTTGACCCTGAGTATTGCCAGGAGCCTGGACCTGAGCTTGAGGAGATGCCTGAGCCTGAGGAGATGCCTGCACCTGAGCCTGAAGCGGAGCTTGAGCATTAACAACATTCTGAGCAGACGCTGACGCAGACATCACAGCAGCCACAGGATCGCTCGAGGAAGATGTGGATAAAGGATTTCCACCCTGGGAGAGAGACGGAGAATTGGGAGCCGGCCCAGATAGAGCCAGAAGCTGAGATGAAAGCCCCGTCAAGACTTGAGTCAGAGCCTGTATCTCAGAAAGGTTAGCCCGACTCACACCCTGCTCAAAGAACTTGGTTTTGAACAGAAGCTGCTGAATATGACCCCGCCAGGCTGGATTCAGAGAATGTTGAAACTTCTGAAGCCCAATACGCATCTGCTCAATTTCAGCCCGCTGAGCCGGATTCAGTGCCTGCTCAGCCCGAATAAGCGCCCGCTGAAACTGAGCCTGCTGACGCGGAGTCAAAATTTGCCGAATTTGAGCCTGCTGTTCTGGAGGCAGAACGTTGAGCATAGTATTCATAGCCAGAGCCTGCTGAGACTCAGCCTGGGCATACATCTGGACGACCGCCGGATCGGGAGCCGCCTTAGCACCAGCTTTAGCCTCAGCTTTAGCCTTAACTCGAGCATGAGCTTTAGCACGTGCCAGAGCCTGAGTATGTGCTTGCTGCCGTTCCTGTTCCCAGGCAGCCTGGGCCTGCGTATCAGCTTCTGTAGGAGCAGGAGCAGACGTAGGAGCAGACGTAGGAGCAGGCGTAGAAGCAGGAGCAGAAGTAAGAGCAGGAGCAGAAGGAGGAGCAGATTCAATTGCGGGCACAACACCAACAGATTGAAGATCTTCAGGATCAGCCACAGCATCCGAAAAATCTGATGATGCGGGCGATCCAGCATTTTCAAACTCTGAGCCGGAACCCTGTTTTGCTGATTCCGCTTCTACTGGCCCCTCATCCTGATTATACTGTATTTTGAAAAAGCAGGCATCAGTCAATAACCACTCAAAGAAGCGCCCAACAAAAGACTTGCGAAAAAAACTTACCGATCCGAATAATGCAACGCGACGCATTCCTCGTCCCAAATGCTCCATTTGTAACTGTCGATCTTGTGCAGCTCTCTGCTCCCTCTCCTTCAATACCTTTTCCCAAAGATCAGAATCATCACTCGCCGCATCTTCGGCCGCAGCCAATAACGCGTCTGGTGCATCCACAAGATCATCAGCGCCTGTATCCCAGACTCTTGCGTAACCAAATGGATTTGACTCTTTTTCATTTGACTCGGATTCACTGCTGTCAGCATCTGCCTGTGCGCGATCTAAGAGTCTCTCGATCGCTGCATCGTCGTATACAAGACTCTTCTCTTTTTCCTCGTCGATAGGATCGAACAATGCTCTAGCACCGGCTTTCAAGATTGCTTGTGTATCGATTTTCTCATCTGTCTCCAGCGCGATCTTGTCAATCAGAAGATGATCTAGCGCCATCTTTTTGCGGCCAGCTTCATAGATTTTTTCTACAGCAGTATTAGTATCAATGAACAATCAATACAAGTGTGATAAAAAGACCTACCTTCGACTGAGCCTCGCGTAACGAGATTGAAGACAAGAACCTTATTCTTCTGACCAAATCGATGGGCACGGGATAAGGCTTGCAAGTCCTGGTGCGGATTGAAATCAGGATCGTATATGATAACAGTATCCGCAGTAGCTAGTAGAAGTTAGCACGGGACCATCCCCAAGCCAAAATAAATAACTCACCGAGATTGATGCCAACACCACCTGCCCTTGTAGATAGCAAGAAGACTGACATCTCAGATCCCTCAGCATTAAACAGGTCAATCTGCCTCTGCTGATCTTGAGCACTCATAGTGCCATCCATACGCACATATTTGATATCCAGCCCATACAAAAAATCCTCCAAGATTGTGAGCACATCAAGAAACTGACTGAATATCAGGACACGGTGACCTTTCTCAATAAGCTTGGGAAGCATTTTCGAAAGCAATTCAAGCTTGCCACTAGCAGATGTTAATCGGGCAAAGCTCTCTTTGGAATCATTGGTTGCTTCCTCAATATTCCTATCCAAGAAATACGGATGACACATGCACTTGCGAAGACTTAGAAAGACATGCTTGAGACTTGTGCTGCCAATCTTTGCATCATTGGCAATTGCCTTCAACACTGAGGAATTTCTTTCCAGCAGTGATCGAGCCAGACGCCTTTGGAGTGGTACCATCCGAACAGGGACAATGATCTCTGCCTTCTCTGGAAGTAACTCACGAAAAACTTCTTCTCTGGTACGACGCAAAACGTAACTCCTACATACACAGTGAGAAAGCAAACCAAAAGAAGTATAACCGACTGACTAAACATACTTTAGAATGTCACGAATCTCATTGACAGCACCTTCATCTAAATCAGCATATTTCCGTTCCATGTCATCTGCATCAAATTTTGTAGGGTTTAAGAATTGCAGCAAATTGAAGAGCTCGCGGACATTGTTTTGCAGTGGTGTTCCTAGAACAGCACACGGTCAGTCACAAAAATAAGACAAAACACTTCCACAACATCACAGCCTTACCGGTCAAAAGGACTTTATGGCCAACATTGAGTCTCAACAGAGAATCGTAAATCTGATTCTTATCACTCTTAAGCCTCTGTGCCTCATCCACAACCAAAACCTGCCACCTGAATTTCGACAAAAAACCAACTTCACTCAATACAGAACTGAAAGACGTAACCATAACATGACAATTGAGGGCATTGGGATCATGGGTCACATTGACTTCATAATCCTTCTGAACTCTGCGGATTTCTTTGCCACCATAGAGAGCTACTGCACGTAATTCTGGGGCCCACTTTTCAAGCTCTCGGATCCAGTTGGGGACTGTTGCCTGAGGCACAGCAACCAAAAATGGCCAGACTCTGTGCTTCTTGAACAATGCCAGAAAGAAACTGATAATTTGAACTGTCTTTCCCACACCCATATCATCAGCAAGGATTGCATTATGAGACTGATGCCATTTGTAGTACAGCCAATTCAGTCCTTCCAACTGATTTGGCATCAATTTTCCATTTGCGATGAAAGCAGGCTGCTTCTTAAACTCGAGATTCTTGAATGGTATTGAGCGAGCTGCAGTTATCCGAGACTTCACGTTTGTTGGTGGCTCAACGTAAAACCCTCTGATATACTTATTATAGGCTTTCTGGAATGCCTCATAATAGGCTATATCAGATGGTTTAGGAGGTGAATCCCAGTAGGTCTCTGTGTATTCTAGACCCTTGTACTTTGAATGTACATCTTCAACCTGATCGATAGCTGAATGTGCTGCATTTTCAGATCTGAATCCCATCTGACGAAAATGCTTGCCACCCTTATAATTGACCTCCAAGACTGAATCAATTATCTTCTTATCCTCAGAGATGATTTTTGACTCATCAAACTCTGCAATCGGGTGGTTTTTGTGAAAGAATGAGAGTTTAGGCCCACTGACAGAGCCTAAAGTCCAGTCACCTGGTAACCAGTGAAGATGGAAATATGAATCTGCTTCAAACTTCACAAGGTACTCTCTCTCGTATCCAGGAATGTCATTGAGATCAACAGTAGCCTTCTCCTCCTGATTGTATGATTTAGGACGCCAAGCTAGCAAACTATGAATGTTCTTCGTGTACTTTCGACACAATGGGCAGAAAAAGTCGGGGGTCTGTGCTTCAGGATCAAGATGATCAAAATGGACTCCCCTCTGGCATTTCAAGCAACGCAAGAGAAGTCTTCCAGCATCAAACAAATCAGCATTGTAGATTGTTTCCTCTTCAGGAGGTGGAGTGCCATCAGGGGTGTCAGGTGTTGCCAATGGTGGGTGGATGGCAGGAGGAATGTAGGTCAGAAGTTTTGTACTGTTGAGACCAGGAGTACCACATTCATAGCAGATATTTGTCCAGGCATCTTTCTCACTCTTACTATCGGAGATGCAGAGTCTGCATTGGAGAACCCATAATCTTGGAGTGACTCGAACAACATGATTTTTCTTGTTCAGAGTCGCACACTGCTCGTGGAAAGAAAATGAACATCCTTGACAATACACCAGTGGGTTGCCTTCAGAGTTGTCAGCCGGCTTGGAGCATGCTGCACAGTATGTAAGATGTCGAGCAACAAATGGCGAATGAGGATTTGCGGGTGCAAACACCCTCTTAACTTTGAGACCATGTTCTGTCAGAGCAGATGCTGTCCGTTTAGCCGTCTGCTTTGGTCTGTCAATATCAGCAGGTGTATCGGATTCATCACTGTGAACTGAACCAGCTTTTCTGTTTGCAAGTAGTCGCCGAGAGGTAGTTCGTCGCGCTCTACGGGCTCCAACACCCACCCGAGTTGTGGAATTTCCCTTATTCTCTGAAGACGATCGTTCCATCTCAAATTCGTCCAAGCTGTCTGATAAATCGGTGCTTGCATTTGAAGCTCCTCGTCCTAGTCTGGTACTCAGCCGCACTTTGCGATACTTTAGAGGCATTTCATCAGCAGAAGATGAATCTTCCGAATCAACTGGGCTGAAAAAGAGTCCATCACTCGTACGCCGTTTCCTTTTATTTGAATCTAAATCCAGCAGACCTTTGCGATACTTCAAAGGCCTATCATCTGAGGAAGATATCTCTCCTGTTTCGTATCCATCGGAGCTTTCATGTTGATCAACGCTCATCTGTCGATGATTCCCTGTTGAGGTGGATGTGAGACTTACTGATCCAGCCTTACTACTGCTAGCGCTAGATCTAGATCTCTTTTCCAGTAATGTCTTCGCCGACACCTCTAGATCAGATAAATCAGGTGTACTTCTTGCACTTCCGGCAGAATGTGCGCCGCCATCAAGATAGGAAAGATTGCCCAAGGTCGCGTAGTTTGATTTGCTTCGTTTCGCTTTCGGACCCGCCCTGCTCGCACGATTAGTGTATACTTGGAGAGCCTCAGGCCCGTTTTCGTAATCTTGGATCTGACTCTGCGGTAGCTATATATGCGTGAAAAATGAGTCGTGTACAAAAGTGACATTAAACCGAGCACAAACATACGATAAACCGGATCCCGTTTACTGTTTCAGCCTCGAGTTCGCCATTCTTAAAACAGTGTAGAACTCGTTTGATTCTGGAGATTGCAGAGCTGGAGGCGATGATTGACGACCGCGCGTCTGGATCTTGGTGACTGATCGGAACGCAAACACTAAAGTCGCTATAGGTCCTTGATGGTACCTGCGTCACCGTGACTCCATTCTGCGCGTCAGATTGCCGGGCGTCATCTGTTGTGGAAGCGGCGGTGACCTGGGCAGCAGTTGAAGCAGAAGGAGCAGGCGGTTCCATCTCACGACTGGTCGAGCTGCAAGATTAAACTGACGCACCAGAGATCCGCAAATATAACAATACCTATTCGCAAGCAGAAAACAGCAAGTCGAAAGATTCCATAAGACAGAAACACGAGAGTAGAATGATTATTTGGACGGTGCTGGGACGCGCCGTTGTGATGTCCTGATTTTCAATCAGGCTGGTCACGTGGCTTTTTGTAGGGTTTTTAGGTTATTGTTGAATGTAAGATATTACGTAATAAGATTAATTGAAACTCTAAAACGCGTCGTGTGTTCAACAAAGGAAACTACGCGCTGAACTCCTTGATAATCGCTGAAGTTGCAGAAAACATCACCCGCTGCTATCAGATATCAGTCACAATGGACTCCACAACTGCTCAGGTACTTGACTCGTTCACGGATAACCTGGTATCCACAAGATCGACCGAAGACGACGATAACCACTCAATCGACGACGATGAGTTTCTCGATTTGTTGGAAGAGGACGATAGCGGAGTTTTGGGCGCGCTGAGAGAGCAGAGAATGCAGGAGCTTCACTCACAGTCAGTATTTTGCTTGCTTTTTGTTGCAAGTGGTTTGTTGTTGACTTTTGATGCTGGCTGTAGAATGAAGGAGGCGAGACGGTTTTATGATTCAGGACATGGAGTGTTAACGGAGGTTAACTCGGAGAAGGAGGTTATGGAAATTACCACGTGCGTATCTAGTCTGTTCTTTCATTTCAGGCCCTTATTCTAATTTCTGGTATCTTACAGATCAACGAAATGTACAGTGGTACACTTCTTCCACCCCTCCTTCAAACGGTGCCAGATAATGACCGAACGGTTGAAGGTACAGATAAATGAATTTACTGCTGAGATGTGCAACAAGAACGCTGACAGATGCTCGACTCTCTAGACATTAACCGCTAAGCACATGGAAACAAGATTTATCAGCGTCAATGTCGACAATGCTACATTCTTGATCGTACGACTGAAAATCAAGGTCCTGCCGTGTGTCATGGCATTTATCGACGGCAAAGAAGTCCTGCGACTTGTCGGGTTTGAGAAGCTGGGTAACTCAGATGATTTTGACCCGGCGGTGCTGGAGTTTCAGCTACAGAACTGCGGTATGTTGTTTCCCATCCAGAGTATACTATAAAGCAGCTGCAGATCACTAACGACGAAATTACATCTAGGAGTCATCAAGCGGAAACTGGGAAAGCTCAGAGAAGGACAGTCAGCCTCGTCAAATACGATTGGCAAACGGTCCGGCAATGACAGCGAGGAAGACGATTTCTGGGATTAGTCTGCAGCAACACGAGCTGTTTTAGTAGATCTAGACAATAAACATACATCAATTATTCCTTCTTTCTTTCAATAATTCTCAGTTTATTTACGCGTCTGTGATGAGCAGGGCTCGGTTACCCGGCTATCCAATATAGGGGTTGAATCACGTGACTGTAGATTTAGTCGGCTGCGACGGCGTCACTGGAGCCGGAGCGAGCGAACAGGAGCATGCAGCTGTGTTGATATCCAGCAGTTGTCTACAGAGCACTTCGAAAGAGAATATATCGATGCTGTTTGCCTTGTAATCAGCTTGCTAATACCTGTCTTGAATCAACCTAGCGATCAGCGACGCTGCGAGCTGCTTCTCAATTGCGCGCCTTTTGATCTAGAGGCTCGAGTTCCTACACAAAATACGTATATACACTCCATCTATCCCGCCGACTACAGACAGCAATGATCTCTGCAATCATTCTATACAACCAGAAGGGCGAGGTGCTCATATCCCGACTGTACCGAGAAGGGCTCCGGCGAAGCGTGTCTGATCTGTTCCGGATCCAGGTCATATCAAATTCCGATGTAAGCATCTGCATCAACAAGTGATTCGCGATATCTTCTTCCTGACGGTGACTCTAATCTAATTTTTCCAGGTACGATCTCCTGTACTGACGCTAGGAACCACGACTTTCTGCCATGTGAAGCACGAGAATCTCTACGTTGTAGCGATATCCCGACAGAACGCCGACATTGCGCTTGTGTTCGAATTCCTCTACAAGATTGTCACCCTCGGCCGGTCATATTTCGGCAAATTCGACGAAGAGGCCGTGAAGAACAACTTCACTCTGATTTACGAGCTGCTGGATGAGATTATGGATTTTGGATATCCGCAAAACACAGAGACCGACACTCTGAAGATGTATATTATGACCGAGGGCGTGCGATCAGAAACGCGGATGGAGGAGTCATCGAAGATTACAATGCAGGCTACAGGTGCTCTCTCATGGCGACGGGATAATATCAAGTACCGCCGCAATGAGGTGTTTGTGGATGTCTTTGAGGACGTCAATCTCTTGATGAGCGCGACCGGTATGTAGTCTTGTGATGAGTAGTAGCATATCCCCCGGCTTGCGTTTCGCTAACATGGTTCTTATTGCTGTTTAGGAAGCGTACTCCGTGCCGATGTCACCGGCCAAATCATCCTTCGTGCTTATCTTTCCGGAACACCAGAGTGCAAGTTTGGTCTCAACGACAGTTTATTAATCGATCCCTCTGAAGATTTTCAGTACGTTTCAACCATTGGCGTGCGCCAACCCTCTGATTGATAACTAACCTCTTTTCTCCAGCTCTACAAAAATGTCAAAAGCAGCAGCGGGCTCAGTCTCTCTCGAAGACTGCCAATTCCACCAATGCGTACGCCTAGGCCGCTTCGACGCCGATCGTACAATCAGCTTCATCCCTCCCGACGGTGAATTCGAGCTGATGCGCTACCGCGCGACCGAAAACATCAATCTGCCGTTCAAAGTCCACGTACTGGTCAACGAAGTCGGGAAATCCCGCGTCGAATACAAGATCGCGGTGAAGGCTACGTTTGGCTCGAAACTCTTCGCGACGGGCGTGGTCATCAAGATCCCGACGCCGCTCAATACAGCTTCGGTATCGACACACGCGTCGCAAGGTAAGGCCAAGTACGAGCCGTCGGATAACGCGATCCACTGGCGGATAGCGCGGTTCCCTGGAGACTCGGAGTTTGTCTTTTCGGCAGAGGCGGAGCTGCTTTCGTCAATGACCAAGAACAAGGCTTGGTCGCGGCCACCGGTGGCGATGCAGTTTAATCTGATGATGTTTACGAGCTCTGGTTTACTTGTTCGGTACCTCAAGGTATTTGAAAAGTCGAACTACACCTCGGTGAAATGGGTCAGATATGTAGTGAGAGCAGGAAACTATGAGATTCGCTTCTAGAGTAGTTTCTGAAATGAAGTTCATGAAGAATTTATTTATACATTCCAAAACATAATGCTGTACATTTCTGCCACATTTGATCCGAAAGATTGATAGCGCAATTAAACATAGAGATACAGAGCCGGAGGCTAGATGACAACATAGCGATCAAGCGAGCGTGACTATATTTACATCATGAGATTGCTGGCGTATGCTATTCAAGAAATCGAAGTTAGTTATTGTCTTAATTAATGGAAAAGAGGCGAGACATACCCATGGGCTTGATGTCTGGATGCGGAACAGCTTCGTAGGTCTTAAAGTTAAGCTCGTAATCACTCTTGATATTGATGACGGCTCCCTTGTTTCCTTGCGTATCACTAAAACAGAAAAGGAAGGTTAGTCTTGCATGCAGTAAATATTGGCAAAGATTTCACATACCAGTAATTGGGCGCGGAGAAGACGGTGATCAAGCGACCGTCGTGCTCGATTTCGTATCCATTCATTCTAACCTCATGACTCCGAATAACAGCCATGAGCTTGTTAGCATCACAGAACCGTCTCGTGACATCCGGGCCAAACTGAAGCCCGACGCCTCTCTTGCTCGGGCCGCGACCGGGCTGGGTTTGCGGATCGGTCCAGAGCATTTCCATCATGAGACCGCTCTGGCCCGGTTGTTTTTGCGAGAACCGGTTGAACTTGCGGACATCGTCGAGAGTGATTCTGTCGTCGGAGAACAGACCGCCGTGGAGGACAAAGTAGTTGTTTCCGATGAGCGTGGCGAGCGGGATGGTGCTAAAGGCTTCGGAAAAGACTTTGAAGATCTTTTCGGAATACTTTGCTTTGCATTCGCCTTCAAAGCCGTAGACTTTGTTCATCTCGTCGGCTTCGTGGTTTCCTCTATTGAGGAAGAACTTTGAAGGGTACAGCCATTTGTAAGAGAAGAGTAGGAGAGCAACCTCGGTAGACCACGATCCTCGGTCGACAAAGTCGCCGTTGAACAGATAGCTGTGTTTCTCGGTGGGCTCGCCGTTAAATCTGAACAGCTCGAGCAAGTCATAAAACTGGCCGTGCGTATCACCACAGACTGAAAAGAGCTCGTCGTCCGCAACAGAGACTTCGACCATCGTTGGCTCTGATTTGAAGATCTTCATGACCTCGATGATGATTGCAAACACGTATTTGCGATGCAGTCTTTTTCCGGCCTTGAATCGCACAATCATGTCCTTGATGAAATCAAGCGTCATGACGAGCTTCGGCGACTTGCCATCCTCTGCCTTTTCGGTGGCCGACTCGAGTCTAACACCGTCATAGCCATCATCAACCACCATCGACGCATAATCTATACTATCAGCGACTGACGGCTGTTCGCCGACTTCAATCGCAGCTTCAAACGCGAGTCTGCGAACGATCTTCTGGCACTCGTCACGTTTTGCGCGAGCGCTCTTGTCACCGGGAGCACGCTTGACTACTGTCTGGTAGTCTTTCAGCGCGTCCTTGGGGCGGATGATGGCCGCATAAGCGGTCGCTCGGCGGTAGTAGGCTTTGATGTAGTCTGGGTTGATCCGGATAGCTTCTGTCGCATCGGCAATTGCTGCACCATATGATTCTTCTTTGATGTTTGCCTGTTGTTGTGGTTGGTTAGTCATGGCGAGAAGCACAATGCGTCTTTCAACAGTAAGAAAGGAGACTCATACCTGAGCGCGATTAGCCCAATAGACCTCCTTAGTCGGATCCAACTCGATGGCCTGGGTGTACAGTTCGACGGCTAGTCGGTAGTTACCCGTAGCCAGGATCTTGTTAGCCCCGTCCTTGATCTTGGCGGCTTTCTCTTGATCTGCCTTTGAGGGCGGCGGTCTATGCGAGATGTCGGATAGCTGGTCGACGAGCTCTTCGACGCTGGAAAGACTGGTCTCGTCGTCGGAATTTGAGGTGGCGTCAGACATTATTTGCAATTGAGTGTAGAGAATAGAAGGGTGAGGTAGATGAGTGTGTTTGGGGATGTTTTATAGAAAGAAGAGGTTGAAAGCGTATGGAGGCGAGAGAAGGTCGAAGAGCGATGCCGTCGCGTGATCTGGCTCTGCGTACGCGGGAAGAAGACGAAGAAGAAGGAAGAAGGAAGTAATTGCTCAACAGTCGAAGCCAGGAAGCTGAACGGAGACAACAAAGAGCAGCAGCGGAGGCAGAAGTGGAGGAGCAGAGGAAGTTGATGCGGGGCGTCGTTCGGGGGCAGGTTGGAGTCGAGGTTGGTTTATGCTTGCGGGGAGCATTATCACCAGAAGCCCTAGTTGCCGTATGTGTATACTAGGGGGTTTATACTGCTATTCTCTTTTCCTCCCCCTTTCTCTGTAGTATTTAGTTTCTGTTTTAATCCGTGTTATGTATTCTGTTTACCAACACTTAACACTTGTATACAATCAACACTCTCAACACCTCGCAATCCAAGCGGTGTTTACATGGAACCGCAATGGAACACCGAAGGGAGATCTTCAAACCCTAAATGGCCGTCCTGATTAGGCCACGTCGAGTCAAGAACCTGGATCATCCTCCACCGACTCCCTCGCCAGGCTCCCTCCAAGCTCTTGTTCTTCTTCTTCTTCTTGTTCTTCTCGGAGTGGTCTGAGAGTTGAACACTCGACTGCTTTCTTCTATAAAGTCTCCCGTGCGTACCAATTGGCGATCGATCGGCTGCCATGTTCTTCAAAGCTCAGAAAGTGTGCACGGCGATTGCTGCTTCGTTCCTCATCGTCCAGGGCGTCGATGCAGTCAAATCAAAGCTGATCCGAGGCGTTTCTAGCGAGGGTATGTACCTGTGCTTCTGTCTCTATATCTCACCTCTATTCACCGCCTTTGCTAATCCTCCCCAGATCAAGCTTTGTATGTGCCCAACGAGGCAGGATATTGGGCCTGCCTCGGACACAAAGACATCCTGATTCCAATCTCAAAAATAAACGACGACTACTGCGACTGTCCCGACGGCAGCGACGAACCCGGCACCTCCGCCTGCGCGAACGGGAAATTCCACTGCCAAAACAAAGGCCACGTCCCCGGCGTGCTACCTTCCTACCAAGTCAACGACGGCATCTGCGACTACGATCTCTGCTGCGACGGATCAGACGAATGGGCCGGGCTTGTCAAGTGCGAAAACAAGTGTCGCGAAATGGCCGCCGAGCTACAGAAGCGCGAGGCCGAGAACAGGAAAGCGCAGATCGCGGGGTGGACGGCGCGCACAAAGTTGGCGACGAAAGCAGCGTCGTTGAAAGCGAGCCTTCTGAAAGAGCAGACGCAGATCGAAGCGCAATTGAAGGCCGCGCATGCTAGAGTCGAAAAGGCAGAGGAGGCTGTCAAGATGGCTGAGGTTTCGTCTTCTATGCGTGTCGGAAAGAAAGGAAATCCGTACGTTGAGCGCTTGAAGGAACGCGTGTTGGAGTATCAGCGCGCAAAGGAAGCAATGGCCTCGCGCATCGCTGCCCTCGAGCTTCGCCTCCAAGAGACAGAGGTTATCCTCTTAAACTTGAAGAACGATTACAATCCAAACTACAACGACGAAGCAGTCAAGCAGGCGGTGAAGACTTACTCCACCTTGCTCGAAGCGCCGTTACCCGAAAGCAACTACGCCGAGCTGTCCTACCAGCTAAGCGCTGAATCAGACGACGAGCTGCTCAAGGAAGAGGTCGAGGACAACGATCCTGATCTCGGTAAGTTTAATCTTTCAATCTTTGTAATTCTTCTTCCCTATCTAACTTTTGGCTTCTAGTCGACTACAATTCATACATCCCCATAGAATGGCGCGTCTGGATCCACACCAAAAAGCGCGAACTAGTCGACTTCCTAGTCGAGCACGGTCTTCTCGCCCACCGCGATATATCCGAAACCTCAGACGTCAAGACGGCAAAGAAAGAACTCGACGAGGCAAACAAGCAGGTCCAAGAGCTCGACAAGAAAGCGCAAAAGATTGCCGACAACGTCGCGGCTGACTTTGGACCGGACGATATCTTCCGTGCGTTGGCGGGCGATTGCATCACTGCCGAAGTCGGCGATTATACATATGAACTGTGTTTCAATCAAAAATCCATTCAGAAGCCAAAGAACGGCATGATCACCCCGCTAGGGTAAGTCCAAATTTTTTGCGTGACTGAATAGGCTTTGCGAGCAAACGAGCAGCTCAACTAACCACATTTCATAATCTAGCAAATTCGACCGATACGAAGGCAACAAAATCTACTACACCGGCGGCGCCAAATGCTGGAACGGGCCCCAGAGAAGCACGGTCGTCGAAATGCGCTGCGGCGAGAAAAACAAACTGCTCTCTGTCTCTGAGCCGGCCATGTGCGAGTATTTGTTCCGCATCACTTCTCCTGCTATGTGTACGGATCCCGAAGCAAACGAGAGCGGCAAGGTCAGAGATGAGTTGTAAATCGGACAGGGTTGTTGGATTTGGAACGGGGAAAGATCAGGAGGATGTTGATACGGTGGTGTAAAATAGCATAGCATAAGCTGAAATATAAATCGTTAACCGGAATTTCGAATCACGGCTGCTAAAACGTATTCGCCATCATGCGACACCGAAGCCAGAAACCGCTCGTCCTCTGCATGACCGGGTTTGGAAATAACAGGTCGTTTGCCTGTTGTTCATCTATTAGATCTCGGACGCGTTCTTCGGGTCGCTTTTTTTCAATTTTCATGTAATATATCTTACTCTGACTGCTAACTGTGCACCAGTCTTTAAACTGAAACGACTTTTGCTCATGAAAGTCCAAAGCCTTGAACAGAGCCTCTTTGATAGCCCAGCTATGAATGATTTCCACCCGTCAGCCTTCATCCTTCCCCCCTTTACCCGCAGTCTGAAAAACATACCATCGACCAAGAAACAATTCCCCCTTCACTTCATCACCCCGGTATCCACGATATCTCTCCAACTCTACCGGATGCAGAACGCGCGCAGGGAACTTTGCGCGGTAAACCGGTTTGCGGGCCAAGAGCGCTGAGATGCGCGGCAGGTGCAAGATGTCGACGCCCAGACCTGCGACCGGCGCTGTCGGGAGGGGCATTTGCAGGAGACCGGACTGCAGGATCCGGATCTGGTGAGGGAGAGCCAGTGTTTTGGTGTTTTGCTGCTCGAGTGGGAGGATGAAGATTATCAGATATCGCGAGAGCAGAGATGTGTAGACTACGTACCCTATTTACCCTAACCTAAAACATATGATCTTTGTATATTCCATTGTCTATAGCAAGTGCATGTATTCCATATTCATAATCAAAGTACTTTTCTTCTGTTACGATCCGTCCACTTCAGATAGCACGCCAAAGAGCAAGTAAAACAAACCACCTTCCATATTCCAATCCATGTACCATCCAAATCCCATACCCCCCGCTAACTCCATAAAGAATCCAATACTCACAGCATATTCGAACCGGCGCTCACATCAAGAGGCATCGATGAACTAATCAGGACCGGCTCGGATATAGGTCCCAGACTCTGTTTGCATTGCTTGCGTTTGCTGGCAGCGCTCGTAAATATCGTCTGCTTTTTGGTAGGACTTTCTTGGTTCTTTTGCTGGCGTCTCGGTGATCTGTTTGTATCTTTGACGCTCTCCGGGCCGTATGCATGTCGCCTTGGCGGTGAGCCGTGTGTCTTTGTCGGCGACGAAGATATTTTGACGCTGTAGAACGAGTGCCTGTACAGAGAAGGCCGACTTGGCAGCGTGCTGGGGCTGAGAGGGGCAGCAGCGCGTAACCGAGAGTCTGATCTCTTGATGCTGGACGAGCGGTCGATTACGAGATTATCCGGAGGCCGGCGACCTTGCAGTCTAGACGAGCTTCGCTTCGGTATTTTCGGTCGCTCGGTGTCTGACTTTGTCGGAGATGCTGCGTGAGGTTAGATCATGATCTCTGGCTCGTACTAATGATAAGACCCTACTTACCGAACTGAGAGTGTCCTTTATCGATGCTTGATTTCTTCTGATGCAGAATTACAGCCGTATTCGAGGTTTGCAGACTAGTTTTGTGAAGTAACTCGGCCAGAGCCTTGTCACTCTCGACATTGTTTATCTCACTCAATAGCAGAGCTGATGATCGCTGGTGTTGGGCAATTTTCTTTTCAGCCGACTCTGGGAGCATCGGCGCAGATTTTTCAACTTCTATGGAGCGTTAGCGAGTGTTCTGCAAGAGAAATGATATATCTGTGTGAACGTACCTGCAGAAGCTCGACGGGACTTCCATGACGCGTCTGATATATTTCGAAGATGAGTCTTGACCAGCTGCGCCAGAGAGATCTTGGTTGGATCATTAGATTTAGCAATCGGTTCCACAGTGACAGTGACTTTGGTTTTCGCGTCCGATCCCAAACATTTAGTTGCAGCTTGGAGAGAGGTAGAGTCGTCTGGGAACAACGGAGAGTCAATCATGTCGGGATAGTCAGGCTGGGTATTGGCCGAGGACCAGGACGCGGTAGACATGGTCGCACGACAGGACGAGCGCGCGTCGCTCGACGTTCGCGAAAGATTGTCACCCGAAGATGAAGAGGTGGTGACGTTTAAGGTAGCACCTAGACACTGACCGGAGACAGCGAGAGACTGTCCGCGGAGACTTGACCCTCTTGGTTTGAAATTGCCAGTGGGAGTACTGTCTGCGTTGGCCTGGAGAGCGAGGGTAGCCGCTCTGGAGTTGCGGATCCCCTTGTCTCTTCGGATACGCTCTCTGAGTGCCTGCGTCGGACTAGAGTCCGAGCTTTCGGCGTGTTCAGCATCGCGTGAGGAGGAGACCCATGAGAAGCGCGACGTATCGGTTTCGCTGCCGGTAACAGGCAAGCTCTGGTCCGGGTCCGAGATGTCCATGATCTTCGGCTCGGCGCGGGCTGGAGTCGGACTAGGCTTGAACTCATAACCCTTTGCGAGCGCGTCGTTGTCGTCGTCAGAGTCGTAGACTGCGTGAACACGCGTGCTAGACATGACATAAGCCTCAGAGGGCGTGTTGAAGACGCGAACGGAGGAGGGCGCGTCGGAGTCAGGCGGGAGTTCGAAGCGCTCTGCTAGGCTGGGGAGGAGCAGGGACTGTCTGAGCATTTCAGGCGTGGGCAGACGGAGAACGGGGAGGCTTTGCTCTTCGGGGAGTTTGGAGACGCGTCGGCGCCGCCGCCTGACTTTGTTTTTGAGGAAGAATACCATGGAGGATCGATATAGAGAGTGAAGAGGAAGAAGAGGAAGAGAAGAAGAAGAAGAAGAAAAGAAGAAGAACAGACCGATAATTAACAGAAAGGGAATCAGGAGAAGATAAAGGGATGGAGGGTATGGCGATGGAGGAGCGGGAAGCGGGCGAAGAGTAAAAGGGGCAGCGACGAGACCAAATTACCGACCGGCTGCCTCATCGAGTTTAACGCAAAGTAGCTGCTACCACATCGTGTAGCGGGTGTAGATGATGTGGAATAGTAATAGAATAGTAATAGAATAGTAATAGCATAGAATAGCTATATAACAGCATAGAGTAGTATAGTAATAAAGAGTAGATTCATCAGGCTATTTACAAACATCTCACTCACTCGACTCCCTCCCACACCTCATCAGCTCGGTGTCGGACTCGCCCCGGCCTCTCCCGGCGGAGGCGGCGGACTGTTCTTCGCCAGCTCGTTATCAAGTCTCTCCTTGGCCCGGTACACTTTGCTCTGGATGTAGAAACTGCCGCCCTTCTCTTTGCTGTTCACGTTGAACAGGTGCTCGAACCGCTTCGCAACCTCCACCTGCTGCAGGTTTTGGGGCTCGACGTGCAGGATCCGACAGGCTTCTTCGACCGAGAGGCCGCCTTCTCTCGCGGCATTCGCGGTCTGTGTTGCGCTCGTGGCTGCGGCCTGTTTGTAGGCCTGGAAGAACGCCCGGCCAAAGACCTGCGCGCCGGTGACGATGACCTGTGCCAGAATTCGGTGGGCCTGTGTGTGTTAGGGTGTGTATAGTTGTATATATATATCATAGATATAGCTTACCATATCTCTTGTAGTTGTAGTTGTAGTGTAGTTTAGGTGTAGATGTCGCTCAACCTCCGGATCTCGTGGCAAAACACAAATCAACAAAGTAGAAGAAACAAGTGCTCAGTATTATACCCAGCACAAACTCAGCACGCGCTCTTCAACACAAATCGACTCTTCAATAAATATCAACAGACTCTCTGTTGCTGAACAAATCAAAGCCACTCAGTCAAAAGTCACCATCAGCAGCGAAAATTCGCGAATAAACGTCGAGTGGGAGGTTCGAATTAGAGTTTTCAGTGCGCTCAAACCGGGAATTGGTGGATTTCGCCTCGGAGCCCGGCTTCTGGAGATTTATCGCAGCTGCGCTTTCGGTCTGCAATTCTCTTTTGCTCTTTTTAGCAGTTCTTTATCGTATGTTTGTTGTTGTTTGTTCTTCTGTTCTTTATTTGGTGCAATTGGTATCGTTGGTTCGGCAATCACACTCAACTTCTATTCTGGGTCTCGTCGGATCCTTGTGCTGTTCCGTCGTCTGATCTGCATCAACCTCTGCCTCCCCAGAATCCTCTTCTTTCTATCCAGTCAATCCTAATATCTCCTACCTGCTCTCTATTCTAGTCTCTCTCAAATGGCTCAAATCAGCACCGACGAGCTCCGGGTCAAGTCCCTCATCTACGAAGGCGTAAGTCCTGTTATCGTCTCTTTTCACTCTCCCTCCGCCTTGTTCCTCAATTAATCCCCCTCTCTCTCCAGCTCGAGCGAAATCAGACTCTCCCGGTCTTTCTCACCAGCGTTAAAGTCGTCGGCGGCGTGCACACCCGTGACTCCCTTCTGCGAACTCACATCGACCCTCTGCTCGCCAAGCCATACACCACGACCACCCTCCTAAAAGCCGTCGACGAATCCACCCAGCGTCTGCGGTCGTTCGGCATCTTCAACTCCGTCGCCTTCGGTCTCGACGTCGCTCCCTCGGCCAAAAATGCAAACCTCAACTACATCCCTCTGGAAGGAACCCTTCTTCTCCAGGAGGCCTCGCGGATTAAAATCAAGACCGGCACCGACATCGGCAACGGTGACGTGAGCGCCTACGCAACCGGCTCCATCGCGAACCTCTTTGGCGGCGCAGAGACCCTCTCTGCCGACGCAAAAGTCGATAGCTTGAAGCAATCCTCCTACCTGCTCAACTACAACACCCCCATCAAAAACTCCAGCATGTGGTCCGCCGATTTCACCGGTCTTGTCACCACCAACGAGCGCGACTGGGCTTCGCACGAGGAGACCACCCGAGGCATCCGAGTCAAAGCTGTCGGACCCGGTGTCTTGGGCGGTGAGCAGGAGATCGGCTACGAGGCATTCATGAGAACCGTCGGCAATCTTCCTCGGCACGCCAGTACCAGCGTCCGCACTGGCTCCGGCGAGAGCTTCAAGTCTTCGGTCTTCAACCAGTTCTCGGTCGACAAGACCAACAGCATCGTGTTTCCCACCGAGGGTTATAAGCTCAAGCTGAGAACAGAAATTGCTGGGTTCGAGCCAAACAACAAGGGTGACGTGCAGTTCATGAAGGGCGAGGCTCAGAGCACGTTCGTCAAGAGTTTCTTCAACGAGAACATCACTCTTTCATTCGGTGCGCGTGGAGGTCTGCTTTGGAGCTTGCTTTCGAGCGGGAAGACTTATCTTCCTGATCGATTCTTCATCGGTGGACCAAACAGTGTTCGCGGATTCTACTTGAACAGACTGGGTCCTAGTGACGATGGTGAGTCGTATTCTTTTTATGTAGACTCAGCTTGTACAGTCCAGCTAACACAGTTTTTTTATCTCCTACAGAAGATTCCATCGGCGGCGAGGCCTTCCTATCCACTGGCGTCAGCTTGTTCTCCCGTTTCCCCAACATCGCAAAGGAGTCGCCATTACGTCTCCATCTCTTTGCCAACGCCGGAAGTCTTCTCGGCATCGACCGTCTCGACCCCTCTCGCACATTCAAAAAACTCGTGAGCGAGCCCTCAGTCTCGGCCGGTGTCGGTGTCATCTACGCCCACCCTGTCGCCCGATTCGAGCTCAACTTTACTCTCCCGATCGCTACCCGTGCTAGCGAGTTCCCGCGAAAGGGATTCCAGTGGGGATTGGGCATGTCTTTCTTGTAGAGTGTTTTAGATTGTTGTATTCCATATCGTCATCTGTCGGAACTGAAGTTTGTAAAGACAAACCCAACGGTTCGAAACGAGCCATTCTAATATTCGGCAACTGCTTGGTTAGTTGTAGCGCCGTTCTGATGCACTCATCTTGCAGACCAGCTCGTCATCTATCACTGATCTCTGCATAGTCGTTACTGTTGTATTTCTCAGTGGTTCTTCCTTTTTTGTGATTATTTCTTGCCCAGTTTTGGATTCCTAATGCATGATGAAGGATACAGTTGAAAGAAAAGTCACATGACTTTCATTACATAATCGTTGATCTCCCAACCAGAACACGAATGCGAGGCCAACTTTAAAAATGAAAAATAATTCGCAAAAAAGCTGACTCGGCGCGCCGGAAATTCATCATCTTTCATTGTTTCCAAGGAATTTCATTGTTTCCAAGGAAAGGGGGAATGGTCAGTGAATAATTGTTGTATATTCTTGGATATTCTGCTTCTGTTGTGCTTTATTTGATTTGCTTTGACGCACTGCGACTTGAGCAAGACAAACTACACTGAAAACAAAAGAGAATCGGCTTCTACCGGGAGACTCCACGACAGCAAAGATGGCATCACAAACTATGAGAATGGCGACGAGTCGGCGGATGAGCACGGCCATATTACAACGAGGAACTCTGCAGTCTCGACAATTGCAGCGCGGGGATATAATACGACAATACGCCTCGGCGGCAGCAGCAGCCTCGACTACCGCGGCAGCTGAAAACAAAAAGACGACGAGCAGCACGAGTGATAGCAAAGCTTCTACTACTACTCCGTCGACTAAAACCGCCGGTGCATCAGCGACAAAGTCCACGGACTCAAAAGCATCTCAGACGCTTCCACCACCAAAGGTCAAAGTCGTCCTGAAAGACTACGACCCGTACGAGAGCCTTGACCCCGACTTTCAAGATTCGAGCAAGTCTGTTGCCGACCTTGCGGGCGCGGCCTCGTGGAAGTCGGCGATCGTGCTGAAGTTTATGAATTTGTTGAAGATGGATATCGAGGAGAACCAGGCGGCGCCTGTCGCGGGTAGAATCTATGTCGATGTCTGCAAGATGCAGGCATATCATCCGCCAGAAGCTACCGAGTTCTCTGATTCTGCGGAATTTTTCTACAAGGGTATGTGACTTTGATTAATGCTGTCTGTTATCCATGTATACTGATAACGTTTTCATAATTCAGATCTGGGACTCACGCCGTCTCTCGCCCAATGGTTCCAAATAACCTCTCTGCACATGTGGATCATGCTCGTGCGCATGCGCGCTCTGCCCGAGAAATACGCGCCGGTATACGAGCAAGCGCTCGTCGACGGAATCTTCATCGACATTGAACGCATGCTCGTGTCCGACTACAAGATCAAGAGCGGTCGCATTATCAACAATACCATGAAAGAGCTCAATCTGCTGCTGCGCGGAAGCGTGTTGGCGTACGACGAGGCGTTGATGACGAACGATGCTGTGTTTAGCGCTGCTATCTGGAGGTAAGCTCAACTTATCTTCTCCTATTCTCATATTCTTCACCCCGGTGCTAACACTACTCTCAATCAGAAACATCTTCGGCGCGAAAAAGGAAATCGACATGAAACACGTCGCGACGCTCGTCAAGTACGCGCGCGCACATCTGTACGTGCTCGAAAAGATGTCTGACTTTGACTTTGCCGTCGGAAGATTCACCTTCCTTCCCCCCTGGCTCGATCAGAACCCGGACAACATCCTGCAGTACCAGCCGCCGCCTCTGCCGTCTAATAAGATTTTCCCTGGCTACGAATCCAAGTTCAGCAGAGATAACTAGGTGCGCTTTTATATAACTACATCTGTCTGTGTGTTTTTGTACGTTGAGGTTGGAAGATTGTGGGGGCATAAAAAGGTTGGAGAGCAAAAGTGGCGATTGAGGATCTTGATTGTACATAGGAAACAATTTGCACGAATCCAAAAATTACTTTACATAATTGTAAAAAGCTCTATTCTTTTGTAACATATGCTATGCATTACATATCTGGAGATGTCTACCGCCCGATGGTCCGCAGAGGCGCCTTGAGCGCCGTGGCAGCCACTCTTGGAGAATAATGCTTCTGCAGAAGGAACGTCTCCCACATATACGCCGCCTGAGGGTTACTAAGTTCAGGCGAGTCGATGTCAGCTCTATAAACGCCGTTCATAACGCGATCATCGGTCGAGAACAACGCTCCCAGTGCTCCGCTGCTGATATCTTTATCCCCCGCCGCCTTCGGTCCGACCTGCGAGGAATACTTGATACACAGGTTTTCGAGGATCTTCATCGCCGCAAATCCCGATTTTTCCGGGAAATGCAGCGACGTGAGCGCGAGCCGTTTCGCGAACGCGACCATGCGCTGGTTGTTGTTTGTGCCGGTTCCGAACGAGACGGTTTTGTAGTGCCGGTTGAAGAAAATCGCGTCAAAGCACTTGATGACCATCTCCATCTCCGTCGAGAGATTAACCCGCGCCTCGAGCTTTGACTTTGCAAACTCGTCGTCGCGCTTAAGCGGGTCAGCGAGCCGGAGCGACTTATTCGACTGCTCGATATCGCCGCTGAGTGATAACGGCATCAGGATCGCGTAGAGGTAGTTGATGAAGAACGAGAGATCGAGGCCGATACTCTCGCCTGCTTGGCCGGAAAGAAGCGTGAATGCGGTGACGATGCACAAAAGACCTTCGCGGATGGCGCCGGTTTTGATGGTTAGACTGCTCTCCTCTTGGTCTTCGTTGAGTTGGCGGTCGCGGACGAGTTCTTTGAGAACTTCGAGGAGGTCGCCGAATAGGTCGGCGTTGATTAGGTGAGCGAATCTAGAAAAATTGTTAGTAAAGGAAAATTGTTCTATGACAGAATAGTAAAACTTACTTGGCCAATCCTTCCAGGGTCGCGCCCATGAGACCACTAACGCGAAGTTTCAGGATTGTGAGATACGTCGAAAACACAGTCTTGAGCGTCTCAGACTGGTATCTCTCCGTTTCCTCCTTTGACGTCGCATGCTCGGCCTTCGCCAGCTCCTCCTCAATCTGCTTAATCTCCTTCGCCTGTTTTTTCTCCTTCTTTGTCCGATGAAGTCGATCCTTCTTCTTCATCTTCACCGGCTCCTTCGCCGCTCTATCCAGCCGCTCCATATCCAGCGTCGTAAGCTCCGTCAATAACCGCAAGTGCAAAAACGAATTCAGCACCACCTCGTCGACCTTATACTTGCGCCGCTTCATCATCCCCGTCATGATCTGCACCGCCTCCATCGACGCGTGCCCGCTCTCGTCCTCGTCAAACATCTGGATGATTGCATCAATGCACTTTCCAAACCCGGTGTCGTCGCCCGCGTCCTCGGGCTTGGCTGAGTGCAGATACGGATGGCCTTCTTGCAGAGGGTACCGTCTGCGGCCGAGGCGCTGGCATATGGTTTGGAGCAGGTCCGAGCGGAAATTGAAGTGCGGGACCGAGACTAGAAGGGTACACGCGCACGACAGAGCCGTGAGCGCGAGTTTGCGAATCGCGGGTGCCGCCTCGGGATTGAATAGACCTAAAAACCAATTTCATTAGCTCCCTCCGTATTTGCAAGCATTAGCAGATAGTAAACATACCTCCGACGATCTCTTTAAGACTGTCGACGTAGGATTTGTAGTTCAGCACAAGCGACTGCTCGAAATTCCGCAGCTTCTTGACTTCTTTCGACACCTTCTCCGCGCGTTCTGCATCGGTCAGGGGACGGATTCGGTAGCTGTGAAAGAAAAGAAAAATGACAAATTAGCTCGGCGGGTTCCATGGACAATATTGAGGAAGGAAGCATCTTACCCTGGGATGATGTCTCGGTACACTGCAAGCTGAGTTGCTAGAGCGAGTCTCTTGATCTTTGGATGCTTGTTTTTCTGGATCTCGAGAAGTTTTTTCAGATTCCCGACCTAAGAGAACACAACCGTGTTAGCTTCACTGTTGTCCACAAAGATATGAAATGAAAAGTACTCACGTTCTCCTCTGGATCTTCAATAAGTTCGCTGCCCAACTTTGACAGCTCTTCCTGCGCCAGTCTAATCCGATCCAACTCAGGAAGCTCAGGCTCCTCCTCCTCCTCCTCGTCCTCTCCCTCCCCGCTTTCCTCCTCACTTTCCTCATCCTCTTTCTTCGCTCTAGCTTCCCGCTCAGTAACAACCCGCTTGATCGCACCCGTCGCAGTCTTGATCGGCAACCGCTCAACAACATCCATCTGCTCTTTCACACCCCACGACCGGCCTTGTTTCTCATAATCTTGCTCCTCGTTCTCCGATCCTGATCCAAGATCATCATCGCCGTCCTCGTCGTCCGAGACATCCATACCCCCATCCTCCTCTCCACTCACCTCCTCGTCCTCATCCTGAGCGCTGACCTCTTTGCTAGTCCGTTGCACTTTTTCCCCCTTCCGTCGTTTACTCGACTGTCTCCCCCCGCCGCCGCCGTCGTCGTCGTCGACGACCGCCTCTTCAAACCCTTCTTGCCGTTGCTTTTGCCGCTACCACCACCACCGCCATTTCTGCTCTTAACATTCACTTTAGACGGCATTACTCTCCTTCCTCTATCCTTACTCAAGTAAAAAATATAATAATAAAGAATACCGACTGCTCCTCACACTTTCTTTGTGCTTTTCTCGAATAGCTGCTTGACTTTGAAAAAAATCCACCACCGCAAAAATAAAAAGTTTTTGCCTGGGAGTTTTGCTGGTGGTCGAGAGTTGCGGGTTAGGGCCGGTTGTTCTTCCGCCCTGGCTTTTACAATTACAAATGTAAAGGCAGATTTATGAGATCAAGAACGTATTTACAGAGTGAATTTGAATTAGATATTATTGCTAGAATCGATAGTCGTTGTAAATATACAGATTTGCGTTGTGTCATTATGAGATATATGTCTCCCGCATCACCACATACTCCCACTTCCTCTTATATCTACATCCCCCTGAGTTACATCCTAGAGCCCACAAAAGAAAGCTCAAGCGGCCTTTGCCTTTGCCTTCATCTCCGCCTTTCTCGACAAGTTCTTGAGCTCAAACGCTTCCAAAGCAGAGGACCGGCCCTCGTCTTCCTCTGCAGAAGAATACGTCGCCGCGCTGTGGTACACCTCGTCGTCCTCGTCGTCTTCGGCAAAGATGTCGTCGTCGTGGGCTGCTAGAGAAAAGTATCCTGAAAACCCGCCTTTGCCGATCGGAACTGGTCGGACGATGTATTCATCCTCTTTGCCCAGGCGCATGCTTCTGCTGCTCTTTCCGCCGCCGGGGTAATAAGCATCGACAGCGCCGTCGTCAGGACAGGCGACGTCCCAATCAATCCAGTCCTCATGCACCCTGCTCGCGTAGGCAAAATTATAATTGTCAAGCTCAAACGGCGCAGGACGGGTCATAACCAACATGGCGGTCAATTTCGCGCAGAACCTTGCAAAGCACTTTTCAAAGTCCATCACGGTCTTGACTGTCCGGCGCTTGACGTCTGCTTTCCAGTAATTGTGGAACTCAAACAATATGTAGGAGTGCAGGTCTAGCACTAACTTCCAGCAGCTTTCGACCTCCCTTGTGTTTCCATCCTTCTTATCTTCGGGTACAGACGAGTTCCGGTCAACCGGCGCAAGACTGAAAAAGAGCCACATGCGAAGCTGGCCGGTGGCGCACAGGCGCGCGATGAACGCGCAGACGTGGATCGACGCGAGCGCGGCGGGATACCAAGGCGTGGTGATCATGTCCATATGTATATCCGGCGATCTGGACTCGACCACGATCTGCGCTGCTCTCGACGGATGGTTAAGAACAAAGCTGTGGAACGCGATGATTCCGAACCGGCCGGTGCCGCGAAGATCGTCGGTAGGATCGAAACCTTGGAAACCGAGAGTGACCCAGTTGAACCCCGCGCGTGACTCGCGGGACATCAGAGGGGGTAACGACGATGGCCACGACTCGGCGGCGTGGACTGCATGCCATAGTTCGACAAACATGTCACTTGTGCTGAGGCTGGTAATCTCTAGGCTGCTGAATCTTGTTGTAGATTTTGGACTGTGTGAGGATGTCGCGGTGGTTGATTTTTCTGCTATTGTTGAGGAAGTTGTAGATATGTCTGAAGACGAAGGAAGCCAATCTGCGCGCTGAGCACAAGCAGCTCCCACCTCGTTCTCAAAGCACTTTACGAGTATATGGCTCTTAACCGCGTGCCGCTCCAAAAACACATACCCCGGCGACTCGAACGATATATCTTTTCTGCGGGACAGCGAGATCGTCACCGACGTCGCGAGATCAGAAGCAGTCATCACCGACGACGTCGTCGCAAACCGCTCGATCGTGTCAAGTTCCTCGTGCAGCGCGGTCGACAAATAGAGCTCGTTCGAGATCCGCCAGATCGACCGCCGACAGAGCCAGTCGTTGTACCGCAGTTTCCGAGTCAGTTCCGAGATCTGCGAGGCGGCGGCGGGCGCGTCGCGCGCAAGCGAGTTGTTGTAGTTTTGCGTGCGGGCGAGTGCGATTGCGCCCTGGCGAGCGAGTCTGTCGAGCGCGCTGAGGCCGACGAGGATATGCAGCACGCGTTTCCAGAGCTTGTAAGCCGAGATGACGACGACGGCGACAAAGATCTGTAGTTTTGCCGCATAGAATGAGCTTGATGATGATTGATTTCGTGATTTGCGCGCGGAGGTGGCGGGTTGGATTGTTGATGATGATCCGGATTGCGATTGCGAGAGAAGAAGGCGTTTGGCGGCGACTATTCTTAGAGAGATCACGTCGCCTAGAGACTGCGCGATGAAGACAAATATCTGCATCATCGTGAAAGCACAATCATAAGCAGCGATAGAAGTGAAAAGATGGCGAATGATTGAGAAAGGTCACAGCAGCATAGTGCTCGAATCAGTAGAGATGAACGAAGTTAGCTCTAGCTCGACGACCGCAATCAGGCAAGTCAAAAGTGTGATAGAGGTTATATTCTGATCTATTCTTCTTGCGTCTGTAATTGCTTTCCAAGTCTCTAAAGACACTGCTGAGAGTGACGATATCGCTAATATCTGTCAGCTCTCGCTTGCATGTGACACTGTAATTTACGTTCTGACAAATGTATTATGTAAACCCGATTTTCACTCAACCATCCAACAAAACAGCAAGCAAGCGATTAAACAATAATAATAAACAAAACAGATAAAACAACAGATCATTACCGGAATGCAAAACCAATTATTTTTCCCCCAGAATCTCTCCTATTCTCACGAGCTGATGCACAGCACCGACCGTTTGAGCACAACCGCCATGTCTCTGGCAATCCCCCATTTCCGCCCGCTCTCGTCCAGGATATCGCAAACCTCTGTGGCAACCTTCCTTAACAATCCATCGTTTTCCACGTCCCGGATACTGTCGTCGCCGGTGATGTAGTGCTCCGGTCGGCAGACTTCGACCTCGGTCCCGGCTATCTTGCCGTCCGGGTCGAAGAGCCCCGCAATCTCTTTAACTATCGTTCGCTCGTTCTCCGAGATTGCGCCGCCGCTCTCCGATACAGCGTCAATCACAGTCAGCCAAGCAATCGTGTACAGACATGCATCCCAAAAGGCCTGCAATTCGGTAGTGTCTCTTATTTCCTTGGACTTGTTCTGACTGCTGTCGCCGCCTTTCGTATTGAACGACAAGATGAATGTTCGCATATACTCGATAGCTCTGTAGAGTGCCTCATGGACATGCTTGCCATTACGGCCGAGTGTGCAAATCAAGTCTATCTGAAACTCATCTTTGAAATAAATATTCCCGAAAATGTCGGCCGCCGACCGGATCTCGCTCTGCCGCAGACGGCAGGTATGTAGCAGCGCCTCGCACCGTCGCAGCGGCACTTCGTCTTCCTTTGCTTTTCCCGCCGACCGGCGACAGACCAGAATCGACGACAGCTTCGCGAGCAAGTTGTCGACTTCTTCGCACGAAAGTGAGTTGAGCAGGATCTTTCCCTCGACTTCTCCGTGCTGCTGGCTCGCAGAGTCTGTAGAAACATACGACCTCTTTGACGCCTTTTCGCGTGCCATCATCCGGTAGTAGTCTAGGATTGCGTGCAGGAATATGCTCACTGTAAAGAGACCCACGTTTGCCGAGCCGCCGTCTAGATTTAATCGTGTCGAGGGCTTCATCGATGCCGCGGCCATGTGGAAATACCACTCTTCTGCGGTCTCTGCTTTCCAGAGTCGGTCAGAATCAGGAAGCGGCGGCTGGCCGAGCTCGTTCATCCACGACAGGCCGCAGCGGTTGTTGCCTTCGCTGGCGTTTCTTTGATCTTTGATCTGGTGGTATCGATACTGCTGCTGCTGAAAGAGAGGTTGCTGGCCGTACAGGAGAGAGACCATAGACATGAGATCAGAGCATGCCCAGTACAGTCTATGGCAGGTTTGTTTTGTGATCCACTGCTGCCAATCAGATGCCGATGAAGGGGACGGAGACTGTGAAGAGCCGCTTGCTTGCGACGAGTGACTATCTTTAGATAGCGGAGCTTCGGCGCCAAGCTGGGCCATAACAAAGTCGGCCACCTGGCAACTGAAATCATTCCAAGCAGAGATATTTTGCCGCAGTTTCGAGGCCGTGTCATCGAGATAAAGTCTGATGTTTCCAAAGTTGCCGCGCCAGACGTCAAAGAGATGGCAGAAGAACCTGGCCTGGAAGACTGAAAGCTGGCTCGAGTCCGAGTGCATGCTGTCAAACACTTTTGAGATGCGTGCGAGAGCCTTTTCGTTTGCCATCCTTAGCTGTACGGCGAGGTTGTCTTGGGACGAATGAGTTGCGCCGGTCATGAAGACGGTCAGGAGCAAGACACTGTCACAGATCGAGTCGAGAATGCTCTCTTCGTCTTGTGGTAGATTGGAAGCCATTGCCAGGAACCGGAACTCAAAGAAAGATCGGTGGATGATGGGAAGCACGGAGTCAACTTCGCGATTGAATGTGTCGAGGTAAGAGCACAAGACAGGAGTTTGCGGGATCAAAAGATGAAAGTCAAAGAACTCGCCGCAGAGCTGAGAGAGGTGAGAGACAAAGACAGTGCGGAGGTCGTCAGTGAAGATAGTTGAGTGTCTGGCTGACTCGGCAGAACTCATTGAAAGGGAAGGGGAGGTAGTGGAATTTTGGTCGTCGGCAAGAAACCCGCTCCAGGAGGCAGAAGCCGGCACGGTGTCGTCGTCGAGGACGATGGAGAGCTGGGGGGAGGGAGGCAAGACAGACTGGGGAAGAGGAGGAGGCATGAGTTCAAAGTCTGAGTGAGCTGCGTAGGTGGTTGAGATAGCCGAGGGTGTGAGGCCGCCTGCAGCGGAGACGGACTTGCGGTGGCTCTCCATGAGGTCGGATGGGCTCATGTAGGGAACGATAGGGTGGTGAGTAGGGGCGGCAAGGTCGTCGTCCAAGTCGTCTGCATCTTCGCCATCCAAGTGGTCGCTACAGCTGCTGTCTGCTCTGTCAAAGCGCGCGGCATGGTCAAAGGAGGCAGCAGGCTCGCTGTCGAAGGGGATTGTGATGGAGGCTATCTCGTCGATGAGGGAGATGGCAGGAGGCGAAGGCAGGGATTCAGCAAACTCGGAGTGGAGAGGAGGGGCGGAAGCAGCCAGGGCTTCGGCGGCGCCTTTGGAGGCGTTCTCGCTGCCGTTGTTGCTGAGAGGAGGAGAGGGAGGACATTGAGGCGGAGGAATTGATGCGGCGGAGGATTTCTGGCGAGGAGGGTAGGGCAGTTTCTTTGACCTCGGTTTGTGTTTTGTGCGCAGAGGCTTTCCGGAGAGCGCCGAGCGGGCGCAGTTTCTGATGTGTCGCTGGAGGATGTCCCTGGAGGAGAAGAGGTTAGCGGTTGGTAGGGGGGTAAGGAGGTGGATGGGTGGTGCGGTGGGGCCGAGGCAGCGGTGATGAGATGAGATGAGATGACGTACTTGCGGCCGAAGGAGTTGTGGCAGTAGGAGCAGTCGAAGGGGCGTTCCATTGTGTCTGGGAGGAGGTTAGGAATTATTCCGAGGGAATCAGAGAGGAAATAGAGGGAGGAGAGGGAGACATACGAGAGCGTTTGTGACGGACGAGGTGCTCGGAGCGTTTGAAGGACGCGCTGCATTGCGAGCAGGAGTAGGCCCGTTTGCGCCGGGCTGCTGGGGAGGGTTCGGCGGTAGACATGAGCAGAGTAGAAGAGAAGTAGAAGAGAAGTAGAGGATATGTTATGGGTATGTAACAAGAGAAGAAGAGAACAAGAGAAGAGCAGTTTGCTGGTGGCTGCACAGGCCACGAAAAGAATCTGGGAAAACGCGGGGGAGCCGCTCGCTGGAAGCTGCGGAAGCTCACGTGACGGAAGACTGAGTGCGGATTAAGGTTTAGCGTCTTGTTGACGGCTTCCCGCATTCATCCCGCCGGAGATCCCGATTAGGAAATTATTGGCAGCAATGCGGGGCAGTCACTTGCCCTGCCGGGACATCCCGAGCAGCCTTCCGACGGTCTTCCGTAGCGAGCATCCGTTGCTATTAATGTAATGGGTGCTATTAGATGCTGAAAATGAGTAAACAACTGAGAGTAAGTGAATAGAACAGACTAAGAACTATTCCTCAACTATTATTCAAACCCAGCGGACTGATTCTCGGGATTCACGGATTCAGTGCTCGAAGAAGCTGCGAACCTTCGCGCGAGTGCCGGCATTTTGATATTACTAATACAGTTCATAAGCATTAACTAATGCATTACTCATCACTTCTCCTCAAAGTCCATCGCCGTCTCCTCGACGCGCATCTGCTGCGACGCGCCAATCCACGCGCTCATCCCGGCTCGCGTCGCTTTTCCTTCTTCTTTTGGTTTCGTGGATCCTGATTGCTGTTTCTCGTCATCTCCACCGTCGTCTTCGTCGCCGTCGGACCGGTCGCTTTCGGAGCCCCATAGCAGCTTGTCCATCTCCGCCTCCATCCCGGTCGCTGTCTTCTTCAGCAGGAGAATCAGTACTCGTCCGTAGATTGCGTATTGCTTGTAGTCTGTAGTCATCTGTGGTTTCATGTCTTCTTCATCTTCTTCGTCTTCTTCACTGCTGGCCGAGACTTCTTCTCCCTCCTGCTGACCTCCATCTCCATCTTCCTCTCCAACTTCGTTTCCATCGCCCTCTCCATCCAGATCAATGATCCTCCTCTTCCTGCTACTTCTCTTCTGCCGCGGCCTCCTCTTCTGCGACGCCACCTTCAGCTCCTTCATAATCAACCTGCTCGTGCTCTCGTCATTCCGCAAAAACATCTTGCACGCCCACCCCTCCTTCCGATTCGTAACATAGTCTCCCTTTCCCCCTTCAACCCTTCCCAACTCATACTTGACCCCTTCACTCTCCCTCTCGCCATCTCCACCACCATTCTCGTCCCCACCGCTCCCTCTGCTTAGCCCATCGAGAGTCAGCTGCCGCTGCCGCTCATCACCTCTGATCGCATTCGCCATATCCCCCGCGCCCATCTTCCCCGCTCCAGCCGTCGTATCCCGCAGCCGCATAAACACAAGCGGTTTCACCGCCTCAATCACCGAATGCAACCGCGTCGCCGACGATGTCTGCACCGACGCCGGCCCGCAAAAGTACGCGATCTCACTCGCGTCCGCGACGTGCGCCCGTACGAGAATCGTCTGGTGCTCGGTCAATCTCAGGTATCGTCGACTATTCCACCGTTAGCATATCTTAATCATCCTGTCTTCTTCTTTTTTGCATATACCTACATGAATGGCATCGTCCTTGCGCAGATCCTATTCACGTCCACCTCGCGGTCAACCAAACTACATCAAAATCTGAGCCGCACCAAACTCTGCTCGTTCTACTCATTCTGGTGATTACCATAAAGAACGTCGTATATTCTACAAATATCTACAAACCAAACCAAATCCACCCCAATTCATGCTAAATAAACAAAATACCCCTCTACCCCAGAAATAACCACAATCTATCGTATACACAAACACCTATATGCACGCGCTCCACCTCTCATACACTATCTCACATCTATCCTGCTCATCGTCGAAATCCAAGCACTAACCGCGGAGACGCGTGATTGGCAGTATGGAAATACGACTCGCACGCCTCCGCTAAATCAAGCGCGTTTTCGTAAAACTCCGGCACTATTTTCCCTCATTAGCAAATCAGTCCTAAATCACACATGACAGAGCAACAACTCACTTGAATATCCAATCTCAGTCAGCACAGAGCGCACGCTAAACAACTGCACTTCCGGTAACGCCCGCGGCGGCTCATTCAATCTCTCTTCCGCCTGCGCGCGCTTTGCTTCCATCATCTTGCGCTTCGACCGTCCTGATCCCGCTATTGAACTGTAAAACGAACTCCGCGAACTTGCTGTCCCTTCGCGGTCGCGCGATGACGACCACGACATTGAAGACGAGGAGGAAACATTTCGTTGCTCTCGTCGTAAGGAAGGTTGGCTTGCGTGGTGACGTAGTTGTCTTGTTGATGCTGACGTGCTTGTCGAAGACTGCGTCGGTCGCGTCTTTGTAGGATTTATCGACGGCGACGGCTGATGCAACACAAGCGGCTGCTGCTTCCCCGCAAAACTAGCCGTTGGCGATAAAGGCTGTCCTGTCCCACGCGAATACGTCAGCGACGTCGACGACGACGACGACGCGAGCCAAGTCGGCTGTCGTTGTCGCGCCAGTCCCGCGGCTGAAGCAGGGAGCGGTAACGAAGGCGGTGACGAGGCAGGCGACATTGGGATCGTTGCTGACGGGGCGAATGTCAGAGGCGAGACGCTGTGTTCGCCTGGTGAGAAGGAGTGCGAGTGTGTGTGTCGTTTCTGCAGTTGTTGGACGTGCGGGTTCGTTGTTGCCTGATTCTGTGGCTTTGCAGTAACTGTAGTGGTGCTTGCGGTCGTGGTCGTGGTACTCGGTGATTTCTTCTTTGGTGTCGAATCCGGCGTCATAAGACCGCTCACGATCTTTGCTCTCTGCGGATGCGCAATCGGCGTCGTCGGTCGCGCTATACTTCTACCTGCGTCCGCAACGCTGCCTGTATCTCGAGCGATTCTAGCACTAGCACCAGCAGCAGCAGCGCGGCCTGATATCCCAACCTGAACGCTCTTGCTGCGACTATGTCTCGGTCGCGCAGCAGCACTGGACAACCTCTTGCTTTCAACAGGCTCGTCGAACTCGATCGGCGCAAAATACTCAGACGTGCCCGCGCCGGCAAACAAGAATGGCAGGTATCCAGAGGTCGGGCGCGGAGCCATCAGACGACGAAGAGAGAGTTGAGCAATCTCAGGAGCGTGCGCGGCGTTGAGCGTCTAGATCCTGCTCGCCAGTGATTGTCTGTGTTCCTGGCAGACTGGTGAACTGGGTGGATCTGTTATCGTCGAGAGAAGAGGGGAGAGGTGTTGGAGGTGTTGAATGGATTGTGCTCGTGCAGTGGCGCATTCGGTCTGGAATCCACGTCTTCAACGTCTTTGAGCAGACAACCAAATCAGCACAATTAAACACACAAAGCCACCTTTTTAAAATAAACAATCAAGCCAGACAAGGAATTAGAAAAATACAATGCACTTGCTTTGAGCAATTGCTAGAATCTACACTTCTCCCGAGGAAAGATAAACGAAACCAATCCAGCCACTGAAAAGGCTAAAAAGAGACATTCATTCCCGCCGCGCCGCAGCCGAGCACGCGTCTTCTGCGCGTCGTTTCGTTCTTTTCTGTTAAAAGTAGGTTGATACACAATAGTGCATCAATGTAATTACATGTATTAAGAGTATTAAACTGTACAAACCGGGAGAAAAGAAGACGGGCGCCAAAAATACAAAAAAAAGAACCATAGAGAGAAGGGTTTCCGAAGAAGTAAGAATCATGATCCAAAAAACCTTGAGCTCTGCCAGCAATAGTACGCAAATGAAGTGCAAAAAAAAAGGAAAAAAAACTTAATACAGAACAACCGAGCAACTGAACTCCCGCGCGTTGGAGAGGAACTTGTGCGTGGCAGTGTAATGATAGTAAATCCCGCCCAAGACCGCGACGTGCCACAGATTATGCGACGCGCCGATCCAGTCAAAGATCGAGCCCGGCAAAAGCCGCTCGGGGAAAAGAAAGCCGTAGACGACGACGCCGGTGAGATAGCACAGCAGGCTTTTCGTGATTGGCAGGTAAAACCACAACGTGTTCATGATTCCGCGCGTCCACGACAGATGAATAAGCGCGAGCCCTCCCGAGAGCGCGAGACAGACAAAGAAGGAGATGCGCAGCCAGCGGTTTTCGGCGCGGTCAAAGGCCGGGTGCCATGCAAACACCACGCCGGCGACACCAAGAGCAGCGGTCGTGCCCATGTAGAGCGCGCGCGCGCTGGGCTGGCAGTAAAAAGATGTGTACTGCGTCGTCAGGATCGAGCAGGCGATCAGGATCGAGATCCCGGTGTAGTCCACGCATGCGAAGCGGCGCTTGTCGCTCAGGCTGCCGATGCTGTTGAATGTATGCCAGATTGTTGAGGTCAGCAGGCACTTGAGCGCTGCAAACAGAAAGATGCCAAACACGATCCGGTCGTAGGTCGACATGGTCGCAAAGAGTGGCGTCGCGGGGTAGTAATACAATGCGACCGCGAGCATCATGATGAATCCTCCGCCGTGGGTCCAGATATTACAGGTCTCGTTGTGGATCTTGAACATGCTCAGTATACACTCGGTGTAGGTAGCGCAGAACCGGTACCCGCGGCAGATATACGGGTTGTCGCGCCACTGCAGCGGAAGCTCTTCGTACGTGATTAATCGATACCGCGCAATCTTGAGCGCGGCCTCGATACTGCGGTCAAACACGTTCACACCCTCGCTCAGCTTCGAGTCAATCGCGTGGACAGTCGAGTAGCACTGCGCCTCCAGGTCCGTCAGCTTCTGCTCCAAAAACCGCATGCCGGCCGCCACCGAGCTCGGAAGTGAGCCCTTCGACACCCACGACTCGGTATACCGCTTCTCAAGAATAGCCACAACCGCCTCGCCCCTTCGCCAGCTCTCGCCAATCACTTCGCCCCCGTTCAGCAGCCGGCCGCACGCCTCCCGTACAGAGACCAGAGTCTCATGCGCGTTGTTTAATGACTCGTCCAGACGCGTGAGTGTGCCTGCGCCGTAGGACTCGAGGGCCTCGAGTCTTTGCTCGAGATGACTGAGAAATAAGTCGAGCTAGAAGAATCGGGTCAGAGCCTGTCTTGAAGTTCAGTAATTAGATATATTCACCTTGAGCAACACGAGCTCCTCAATAGACTCAGGGTCCAGCGAAGACTTTTTCGAGTGTGAGTGAAACGAATGACGCCGCGACGACGCGCCAGACGCCGGCGCCGAAAGCTGGCATGTCGTTTCGCGGCCGCTGCTGGTGCTGCTGGTGCTGCTTGTCCGGCTGGCACTGCTGCTGTTGTTGTCGGTCTGTCGTGTATGAGACCGCAGCCTTCGCTGCTGCCCGTCTTTCTCGTCCGCCACCTCCTCCTTGAGCCGCGACGCCGTGCTTTCCAAAAGCGCACCGACCTCTGTCGCCTTCGCCATCATCACCAAAAACTGCGTGCAGGGGAAAATAGGAGAGGCACCGGAAGTTGAGAGCCCAAAGTCAGAAAGTCCGCGCGAGAGGCGAGAACGGGCCCGATGGCTCGACATCGATTGGCAAAAGCTGCCCAAAACCCTAATTTTTGTTGGGCGCGCAGATTTTTAGAGTTTTCTGGCGGTCGGCTGACCCCTGAATTTAAGGTTCTCGCGCACATGACTTGGATCTGGAAATCGGTTCCGGGTGCTGAATGCAGAAGAGCTCAGGTCTGCTCTGCGGGTGTCTGCGGGCGTCGTCGCGGGTGGCTGCTGGTGGTGGAGGAAGACGAGGGAGTGGCAGCACGGCGAGTCTTCTTGGGCTCTTTGCTCTTGCTCTTGCTTGGTGGGTATATCCACGACCGCAGCCAGACCATGATAAGATAGTATGCCGCCGAACTGCCAAACTCCAAAGCACAGTGATAGATCATCGTCTCGAGCATACCCTTCCAGTTTCCGAGCTCGAAAATATTGTAGACGCCGTCGGTCGGAAGGCCGCGCGATTTGAGCACGAAGCGAGCCAGGTAGCGGTAGTAGATTATGTTCAGAGGCGCCTTGTACACGGTTGCCAAAAGGTACTGGATCGACGACATGTTCACGACCGATATCGCGTGCCCGAAATAGCCAAAGCCGACAGGTCTGCGCCAGTTTAATACCTTTGTGAACAGAAACGACGAGATGGCTTCTTCAGCGAGGCCGAGCGGGACGAGGATGAACAGGTCGAGTCGGCGGAAGAGGAGGATGTCTGACCATGTCTGTCGGGCTGTAGCTAGTGATGGGAGAAGTTGATAGTACGGAGCAAGGTCCATGCTCTGAAGAACACTGTGCTCAAAGAGAGGGTAGCGAAACGTCCAATTAATCGCTTTGAGCCTGGGTGGAAGTCGACTGTCAGCGCGCTGCCTGCCACACAGCAATCAAAGATAAGCAAGCACTTACAAGGCGTCTCCAACAATCGACAAAATCGCTGAGATCCGACCTTTCGCATACTCGGTCGAACTCATGCTCGGAACCAGCGTCGCCGTGCACTCATGGACCATGTCCGCAAACGTGCCCGCAAACATCTGTGTCCAGCTCCTGCTCGCGCGGCCAGCTGCAATACTGCTGAGTACAGTTGCTTTCGAATCCCTAAATACTGCACGCAATCGAAAAAGTCTTGAAATCGGCTGGTCCAGAATGTAGAGCAGACCCGTGAACGGGAGCTGCAGCACGAGCGCGCACGAGTCCGCCAGCTCTCTGTTCTGCTTCTCCGTGAGGCTCTTGAACTTTGCAATGTCTTCATTTCTGCCCGGCTCCATCAGATTGATCGCCGCAGACATAGCCTCTATACGGCCTGCGCGGAGAAGATTGTTTTGCGCCGTGATCAGCTCGCGATTGCGAAAGATCATGCGCACAATGTCGGGATCCATTTGATCGGGGTCGACGCTGCGCTCGGACTGCGGGCGGACCGAGTTCTGGCGGCCGAGCGCTAGCCGCTGCAGACGTGGAGAAATCATTTGAATCTGGTCTCCGTTTCTTTTGCTGTATTGGTTGAGAGGGATTGTGGTGAGTTTGGATCCAGGACGATGGCAGAACGAACGTGAAGCGTGTGGAAAGTGCATTGTTTGTTCTACGAACTTTAAGTCTTAGCGAGGAGATGAGGCGGAAGGGCAATCGTCTCATTCATGAACCATCAGCTGGAGATCTTTATCAGCGCAGACTATCAACTGTCTGAGGTTTTTCATACAATCATGCACTGCAAGCTGATAGTTGCTGTCTAGTTGCGAGACTGTTGGATGAGTTGTATAACGGGGCTTGGACTGTGTCCTGTGGTTAGTTATGGGCAAACAAGACGCAAATATGGGATTTGGGATATGACTAGAACAGGTGGGATGTTATTATGCATGGCAGTCATTTTCTTGGTTGACCATGATATTCTGTGAGGTTGTGAAATAAGTCTGAGCAGTTAAAGCGATGATAGGCAGTCGAGGATGGCTGTGGTAATGTTTCTGTCTCGATGCTTCTCAGACTCAATAGCTATAGAGCGATGGTTCGTCTGTTATGACCCGTTAGATCCTGTTCAGTATCGTCTGAATATTTGGTCAACTACGCAGAAGTTCGTCGCAGTACCTGTCTGATTGTGCATGCGTACCTATGCTGTATGTTAGTCCAAGCTCTGGTGCCACTCTGTCAAAGCATATGATACCCATCTGTAGTAGACCGTTCGTAGCGTTCTTGGTCGTGTTTTGGTCCAATACAGTGCTTTCTTACTTCCATGAGGTTTGTATGAAGTTCAATGAGATGATATGCGGTGGTCTATGTGAGATCTTGCTGTTTACTGTTACACGAGAAGAAACGGCCTACCACGCACACCGCCAAAACAGAGACTATCTGCCCTCCATCAACAACTGCTCAGTGATCTTCTTCAACATCCTCCTGTGATGCAAATGAACTCTTCTTGTGTATCCGGTTTGATTTACACACTGTATCTTGACCTTCTAACAGTGCACGCAGATCCTTCGGTCTCAGCCAGCTCGTCTGACGGCCATCGCGAGAGCCATCCCCTGCCGCTACGATGCCGCTACGACGACGATATTCACATGCTTCGATGAAACAGAGTGCCAAGTGAACTTCTATTCACGATGAACTACTCTACTGCTGTTGTATTTTGGTCTGTGGTGGACTGGGGGAACCCCGCTGTATGCTGATGGATGGCTCGCGGACGCCTGATTTGAAATCTGTCTCTCAACACGTCCCTACAGCAGCAAATACATTGTCAAATAGATGAATTCGGAAGCTACATTCATACACTACAAGCTACAAGTCAAACGAGGATCACTTCTGGACACTACCCGCCGCTACGTCTCGAAAAGCTCGCCATCCCCCGAAACAATAGCGGGCTAAGTTTGATTTTCCGTCGGTTTTGTTCGCGCGCGTCGGCTACTTACCCCGATTTGGCAATTCTGCATCAACAAAATTCATTTCCAGGCCGATCTAAAATGACTCACGCGACTGGTCCCCGCGGCTCAGACTGGAATATAAAAGGGGCGCTTTCCCCCTCTCCCTCGGTCTCTTTTCTCCTTCCTTCATCATCCTCCAAGAGCTCCAAGAACTCCAAGAGCCTCAGAAAGAGCTGGACTTTCTTGAACACAATGGAATCGAACAAGAACATGATCTTCCTGTTAGTATCTCTGATCTTTTTCTCTTATATGATTCATACTGATGACTATCAGTTGTCTATTATACATCTCATACTCCGTCACGAGCAACAACACTTGAGCATCCTCATGCCACGCGATGCTTGAATATGCATCTTCCTCCATCAACGTCCTTTTGGATCCATGACATCAATCTACTCTGGATCCCTTGTGTCGATCTACCTTGATCCACTTCTACCTTGGACCAGCATCGATCTACCTTGATCCACCTCTACTTGGACCAGCATCGATCTACCTTGATCCACCTTTACCTCGGATTGGTATCAATCTACCTTGATCCACCTCTACCTCGGATCAGCAATCTCTCGATCCTCGCGTGCTAGCGGAAGTCTCTTGCTAAGGTGAGTACCTATAGCAGTGATTATTCGTCGTACCTGCATCTTACTAACGTATGCTGCTAGCCGTGACAAATTCATATCTCACAAAAAAATATAAAAAAAAGAAATGTCACCTCAATGTGGTGTTCTTCTGTTCTGTGATCTGTTTATATTCTGTCAGCAACATACAACAAGGCGACCAGCTCAGCTTACTGGGGAAGGAGAGAATAACAACGGTCAGCAATCCGCTCGATTTCGGCATGGCGACCAGCTCAGCTTGCTGGGGAAGGAAGGTGACAGTACCCGACACGGCGACCCGCTCAGCTTGCTGGGGAAGGATGATACGGGGGATCAATGGCGGAGGGAAGGGGATGAGACGGAGAGAAGGGGATGGGACGGAGAGAAGGGGATGGATTGTTATGAGTTGTATACTGACGATGTCTATTATCCCGTCAGGAGGAGGGAAGGGGGTGGGATTGTTTATGAGCTGACCACTGACGATGTCTACTATTCCGTCTGGTGGTTTTGCGGTGATATATAGCGATGAAGATTATTCTGTTGTATATGGTGATGGTGTTTGTATAATAATGTATCATATTAAAATCACTTTTATGACTGTAGTAAAGATGATTTAGTAATTATATTTAAGACTAGTGAGATCAAGCCGGGGTCTTGACCTGAGCCACCTTGTTCTCCCGCAAGCTTTCCATCAACGCAAACCCAATAGAGACCGCCTTTGCGGCGTCCTTGAGATCAAAATGCGGTTTGACGTCGTCCAAGATCCAGTCCCTGAACCCCTCGAGCTCGAGTCTAAAAGCCGGAGCAAAGACCTCCATGTGGCTCTTTGGACCAATCATCCTGGTTCCGTTCTCGTCCGAGATATCGAGCTGCAAGAGGCGAGGCTGGCCGTTAAGCAGCAGCCGGCCCTTTGTGCCGATGATTTCAGTGCGGGAGTGGTGGCCGTGTCTGTTATCTCTAGATCCGTAGAGCGAGAAGACTGTTTTGCGGTCCTCGAACGAGACGAGGCCCATGCCGTCGTCGACGTCGCCGAACTGATCGAATTGGGGAAAGACGACGGCCGTGCCTGTCGCGTACGCGGTCGCGGGTTTCGCGTCGCGGCCGAGGAGGTAGAGACAGATATCAATGTCGTGGATATTGCAGTCGACAAAGATGCCGCCAGAGTGCTTGATGTAGTTTATTAGAAACTCGTCGTTTTGGTAGAGATCGGTAGTGCGGGAATGGATGCTGATGATGTCGCCGATCTCGCCGTTTGCGATGCGCGCGCGGGCGTCGACGAAGAGCGCGCCGTAGCGGCGGGGGAAGGCGCATGCGACTTTGAGGTGCGGGTAGGTGAGCGAGGTGGAGTAGACTTCCCATGCGTCCGCGGGGGTTCCGCATAGTGGTTTTTCGCAGAGAACGTGTTTCCCCGCGGCGAGAGCTTTAAGCACCTGCTCCTTATGGAACGCAGTCGGCGTGACGAGCAAGACTGCGTCGACGGAGTCAAGCGCGAGGAAGGTGTCAAAGTCGGCGGTGACGAGCGCGGAGGGCGCGGTGAGTACGGATGTCGCCCAGGCGATTTCGGAGGGGACGACGGTGCAGACTGCGGTTACTTGGACGCGGGGCATGGTGAGTAGGTTTTCGATGTGGATGCGGCCCATGCGGCCTGCGCCGACGACGCCGATGCGGAGGGTGGTTGGGTTTGAGAGGGTCATTGTGTTGAGAAGATGATAGCAGAGCAGAGTAGAGCAGAGCAGAAGAAGAGGAAGACAGAGGTATTTATATACAGCAGATAAACAGCAGAATCAGCGGGATGATAACCCAAACAAGAACCAGAGACAGATGAAGGTGGTTTGTTAGTTTTAGCAGCGCAGAGAAGATCGCGAGCGAGAAGGGCGACGAAGGCAAGAGCCCGCGGCTCGGCTTTGTCTGTCGGCTCAGGTTTGCTCTTGTTTTGTTGTTATTGCTATTGTTGCTGATTATGATTATGATAACCAATTCTTTATAATAAAACAAACAAGCCTAAAGAATACACAAAGTAATTACAACAACGACAACAACGACAACAACCGAAAAATACAAAACAAAACCCAATCCGTCCGTCCGTTGATCCCCCATAGCTTTTCGGTACCCAGAACCACCCACCCAGCCAGCCTTGCACCTTCTTTTTGCCTCTGCTTGATAACAACTGAACAGTGGATTTGTAATAAATTGTACAATGATTGAAACGAGAAACCAAAGACAGTAAAAGCAATCTTTTATGTATACCGACCTCCGCACCTCTTCCACACCCACTCATCTCTCCTCCATCTTACACCTCTAAACCTCCTCCTCCAGCAAAAGTCTAGCGTTCTCCTCCGAGCACACGTAGATGACATCGCACTGGTCGTTAAACCCATTAAACCCCGTCGCGGCCGAGAGCGTGTACGCGCCAAAATTGTCGAAATACACCCAATCGCCGACCTCGAGCGCGTACGGCAGCGTGCACTCGTTCGTGATGCAGTCGATACCGTCGCAGGTCGGGCCCCACACCGAGGCCGTGATCGGCCCGCTCTGGTTCTCGGCAAGACCGTACATGAAGCGGCCTCGGTGCGTGAGCACACGCACGGCCGGGTGCTGGTGGTCGAAGAGGATGCAGTTCATGTTGCCGTACACGCCGTCGTTGAGGTAGAGCATCACGTTCTCGAGCTGGGGCACGTCGCGGCGCGCGATTACATGCGACGCGAGCGTGAAGGCCGTGGCGGCGTAGTATCTGCCTGGCTCGGCGATCACGCGTACGCTGGGCGGGAAATAGGCGTCGACGACAGGGCCCAGCAACGCGGCGATCTCTTCAAAGTTGTCGTCGCAGAAGCCACCGCCGACGTCGAGCGTGGTCAGCGTGAGACCGAGCTTGGCGGCGACTTCGAAGACCTTGCTGGCGTTGTGCACGGCCTCGGCGAAGGGCTTGCCGCCCGCGGCGCCGGAGCCGACGTGGAAGGACACGCCGACGACGTTGAGGTCCAGGCTCTGCGCGAGCTTGAGCAGCGACTCGGTCGACTGCAGGTGCGCGCCGTACTTCATCGAGAACTGGCACAGCGAGTCCGTGTCGTCGGTGACGATGCGCAGCAGCAGTTCAGCCTCGGGGAAGTACCGCTTGATCTTCTGTAGCTCCTCGGCGTTATCAAAGGTCATTTTGCGTACATCTCTCTGGCACGCGTAGCGTACGAACGAGGCGGCTTTGCACGGGTGGGCGTAGACAATACGCGAAGGGGATACACCGAGGCTGAGTACGAGATCCATCTCCTTCTTGGACGCGCAGTCAAAGCCGGTCCCCAGGCGCGCAAGCAGCTTCAGCAGCTTGAGATCAGGATTGCACTTGACGGCTGTAGAGTAGTTAGTAAAGAGACGATCTGCATGTAAATCCAGACTAAACAAACACACCATAAAACGGCTCCACCCGAGGCAGGTTCTGCTTCCAGCGCACGTGCTGGCGATAGACCTCGCCGATATCAGCGACAAAGAACGAGTCCTCGCCGCCGGCATCGCAAGAGTCGGTGTCGACCCGGCCCACGCGGTTGCGGAAGGCGCGAGAGATCAGGGCGTGCGCGTGCGCGGCGGGGGTCGGAGCAGGAGCATGGGCGGCGGCCTTGAGATGCGCGACAAGGGCGTGCGAGACGGCGAGCTCGTGCGCGGCGAGGGGTGTGCTCAAGGACGGGGCACAGAGAGCATTTGGCGCGACTTCGGTCATCAAGAGGGACTTCAAGCGGCAGGAGACGGCGATCTGCGGGGCGGCAGAGTGAATAGAGTAAAAGAAGAGAAGGAGAATGAGACTAGGAGTATCAGAGGAGGAGTATTTGAGGAAGAAGAGAGGAAGGGGATAAGAAGATAAGAAAATATCGACGATGGTTGGGAGCAGAGGCCGAGTAGAACGCGGTGGACGAAAGAAGAAAGTACCCTGACTGCGCCACGTACATCTGTGGCGGTGCAGATGACGTAGCGCTACTCCAGGCGTCGGTACTTCACCACCGGCCCATCGCCCTCTTCTCCTTCTTCCTCGTCTTCCTCCGCGTCGTCAAACCGGCCGTTGCTGCTCTCCTGCAGTCCGTTCTCGGGCAGGACTAACCGCTCCTCGCCCGCGACCGCAATGTCCGCAAACTCATCCACGTTCTCGGCCGTGATCCACTGGTGTCCGCTGCCGAAGATATCTGCCGTAGAACCCAATACCCTCACTGCCTCTCCATCGTCTTCGCCGTCGCCGTCGCCGTCGCCGTCTTCAGAAGGATCTGAGTCGGGATTCATAGCAGAGCACTCCGAAAGCGCCGTGAACAACGCGCTCAAATCGTCCTCTGCGCTCGCGCCCTCGACGGCAGCGACCACGACTTCCAAGACATTGTCAATCTGCTCGTCGTCGCCGCCGGTGCTCTCATCTGTGGGATCAGCAGAAGATGGCGTTGTGAAGGGAATTGTCTCGAGTTGGAGGTAGAGGCCGCGCGACGGGCTGCTCTGGATCGCATGCATCGTCATCGCGCTGTATGGGATCGCGAAACCTCTAGACCGCGTAGGGTAATGAAAGATCAAGTTTCTATAGCAGTTCTGTCAGTAGCAGTTCACTAGCAACCAAATCTCATTAACATTGTCAGATCCCGCACCTCGACGAAACATAGACATCAAACCGCGCACTCTCCCCCTCCCCCTCCCCCCCCTCGTCTTCATCACCACCACCCACCGCCCCAAACCCGGCAATCACAGCATTCGCAGGCGAGAACGTAGCAATACGCAAAGGAGAATAGTAATACAGCACTGCCGCGCCGTCCTCGTCCTCCGCCGCCGCTGCTTCTTCGCCGCCGCCGTTCTGTTCTGGCGCTGCTGCTGCTGCTGCTGCTGCTGCGGAGGGTACAGAGGATACTGCTCCTTCGGGGGCTGGTACGCGCGAGCTTGAAAAGACAGGTAGCTCGGTGATGATTGTGATTGCCATTCTGCTTCTATTTCTGCTCTTCTTTTCTGGACTAACAGAGTAACAAGCAGCGACCGCAAACCACGAGAAAAAAGCAGGAAGAGCTCATAGGGTTAGGCAGACCTAGTTTGGCATACACAAACAAAGCCGAGCATGTCTTTGGTATTCCGTCTTCTGGGTGGTGTGCTTCAAGCATAGCAGGTTCGAGGTGGTTGTTTGAGGTGATTGATGATGTTGTAAAGTGTTTGGAGGTGCAGGAAGAGTGCTGGAGGGTGTGTGTGGGTGCAGAGGAGACGATGTTCGAGGCAGACGAGCTGCTGCTGCAAATCAAGCCGCACGGAGGCATCAACCTGCTCGACACCACAGTCTTCCTCCGCATCTGATACCATCAGATATAAAGACAATAGCAATTGACAATTGATCATCAGGCTAATCACAATGGATTTGACAAAGGCAAAGATCACTGACGTGAAGGATTTGGTGAGTTTCTATGACTGTGTATCTGTGTCTGTCTGCTCTGTGCTGACGAGGTTTAGAAATCCGAGGATGCGAGATGGGTTAAAGTGAGCCATCCCCTTCATCCATAACAGAAACAAGCAAAAGACACGTTGCTAAATCCTATTTCTTGTATTGATAGATTCAAAAAGTGTACTACCAAGACCCCAACGGGAAAGGTATCCCTCCTCTCTTCACCCCAGCACACTTCGTCCGGTACTGACCCTCATCTATAGCTCGCGACTGGGAATTCTGCTCCAGACAGACGCGCGTCGAAGGAAGTGATGTTGATGGTACTTGTTTTTCATTTGTTTGTTTGCCGGTTTTTGTCTGGTGGGTGATGATGCTAATTTATAAATAAAGGAGTCGGAATCCTCGCGATCTTTGAAAAGGATACTGGTCCCGAAATCCTTCTGCAGCGCCAATTCCGTCCCCCCGTGAACGGCGTACCGTGCCCGATCCCCTTCTTCCAAGCCGATTTATCATTAACAATCTGGACAGGTCGTGATTGAATTCCCCGCCGGGCTGCTGGATAAAGGCGAGACGCCCGAGCAATGCGCCGAGCGCGAATTGTTGGAGGAAACAGGCTACATCGGCACCGCGTTCCATAGTAGCCCCATTCTTTTCTGCGATCCCGGTATGTCTCCTTCTTTTCATCTTTTTTGATTCATACGACGTTGTCTTTTAGTGGGAGAATGTGACGGTGGCTGACGATGACGCGCAGGATTCTGCAACACGAATCTGAAACTGGTGCAGGTCTCAATCGACCTCTCCGACGAACGCAACAAGAACCCGAAACAACAGCTCGAAGACGGAGAGTTCATCGAGAACTTCACTGGTCAGTCACTCTTTTCCTTCTTTTTCTTCTTTCTTCTTTCATAAAGGGCTTCGTGCATGCTAAACATCTTCTCTAGTCCCGCTCAAGGAATTCCCCGAACGACTCGAGGCGCTGGCGAAGGAGGGATATATCCTCGACGCGCGCTTGATGAATATCGCAGAGGGCATCCTCGTTGCCCGCAAGTATGCCTTGTAATCTCTCTCGCTCTCTCTCTCTCTGTATAGTGGTGAGATCTGATGTCAAGGTTGCGGATTTATTGTATTGATATTCAGGAAAAGATACAAACACATGTACTCATGCAAGACAAGATAAGAAAATTCGTAGCATAAATTTATACTAAACTACTCAATTACAGCAATATCAAAAAGACACGACGACACGACGACAACAATAGAAGATCCCACGCTCGTACAAGACCACTTCTAAAACAGACTAGAAACTGCATTGACTCGAAAACAAATTAAATATCCTGTATCCAGATGCGAACGAACTCCGTTTGAGTAGATATATAAGGTAGAAAGCATACGACACCACGCGCTACGCTTTGCTTCTAGCGGTGGTGTTGCTGCAGAGAGGGAAAGAGAGAGAGAGAGGGGGAAAGAGATCATCTCAAGACGTTGTCGAAGCGTTCGCCTGCGACGGCGCCGCCTGCCATTGAAGAGCGCACGTTACGCTTGAATCCGTCGCGGTTGCGCTGGAGGTCCAAGGCCGCGTCTGGGGAGTGTTAGTCAGAAGAGAAGAGAGAGGGGGGGAGAGGTGGGGGGTACCTTTGTTTAAGGGATCTGAGGCGTTGGGTTCGAGGAAGAGATACTGTAATCCAACGAGGACGGCGTTACTGTGCAGTGTTAGTTTCTGTGAACTGGATTATCAGAGAGAAAAAGGAACTTACAGGTTCAAAACAGGCTTCCAATCCTCACGCAGGATATTAAGGCACACATTCCCCTCCAAATCAATATTCGGATGATAAATCTACCCCATCCACCACCGTCAGCTCAGCTCCCACTCTCTTATCCCTCCTCTCAACAACAACAACCTCAACAGCTACAGCAGCAGACATACCTTCTGAGTACACTTCACCTTTGGCGGCTCGTGCGGGAAATTGTTATTAATCTTGAACGTGAAATTGAACCGGCCGCCCTGGTACATTCCCTCGTCGGGCTCGATCGAGACCAGGAAATTCAGCAGGTCGTCCGGGTTCGGAAACTGTGTCTTGATCGTCGAGGGGAGCGATAGCTCAGTTAAATCTATATCAAACTCGTCGTCAGCCTGTCTGTCTACTTGTCAAATCGCAGCACAGAGAGATACCCTTCTGAACCCGAATCTGCGCGGCAGTCACTTTCTTCTTCACCACGCCGTCGCCGTTCGCGGCAGCTTCTTTCTGCTCCTGCTGCTGCTGCTGCTTCATGCTCCAGATTTTCAACTACACGCACTCCTCGTTAGCTCTTGCTTCTCTCCCCTCCCCTCCACTCGCCGTGTAGACGATAGTAGCATAACCATCCCGATCGTCCACCGGTATGTGAGTCGCTCCTGCTCTTTCCAGCTTGATAGAAACAAGGTGTGCTACAAACCATTTCGTCGAATTGTCCCGCTGTATCGCTATTAAATGAGCTACAAGTGGAGTCTGCGTAGGGTGGGCGTCGTGGCGACTCTGTATCGTGGAGAACATGTCATCGCGTGCCAGGCTCACCTAACAGAACTAAACCCTCAGCCATGTGCGCAATAGAAGCACATCTACAAGGATCACTACTCTCGCCTGAGTCTACAGTCAACAGAAGAACACCTTCAATACTCGTCAAGGCAAGACGCAATTGATGAGAGAGAACAATACAAATTGGTGTGGAAAACTATTGTTTACAAAATTTGCACTTCAGGCAAACTATTCAAAAAAAAAAAAAAAAAAAAAAAGAAAAAAAGTACATAAAAAACATAAGACTTAGGAGAGGAGAAGGAAAGGTTTACTCGCGAGCAGCCTCGGAGACCATGTCGACGCCGTCAACCGGGCCGCAGACGGTCTCGACCATGATTCCGGTGACGAGGTAGGGGTCGATGTTGGAAGCCGGGCGACGGTCCTCAAAGTATCCGTAGCCGTCCTTGGAGACGGAGCGGGGGATACGGATGGAGCAGCCACGGTTGGCGACACCGTACGAGAACTGCGAGATCGAGGCAGTCTCGTGCTTGCCGGTCAGACGCTTGTCGTTGTCCTCACCGTAGACACCGATGTGCTCGAGGTGGCGCTTGGAGAGCTTCTCGATGGCGGCCTCGATGTCGGCCATACCACCCTTGGTGCGCATGGCCTTGGTGGAGACGTTGGTGTGGCAACCGGCGCCGTTCCAGTCTCCCTGAAGGGGCTTGGGGTGGAAGGAAACCTTGACACCAAAGTCCTCAGCAACACGCTCGAGAACGTATCGGGCCATCCAGAGCTCGTCGCCCATGCTGATTCCGAGGTTGGGTCCGACCTGGAACTCCCACTGCGAGGGCATGACCTCGGCGTTGATGCCGGAGACGTTGATGCCGGCGTAGAGGCAGGCCTTGTAGTGGGCCTCGATGACGTCGCGGGCGTAGACCTTGCCGGTGCCGACACCGCAGTAGTAGGGGCCCTGGGGGCCGGGGAAACCTCCCTTGGGCCATCCGTAGACGTCTCCGTACTGGTCGAAGAGGGTGTACTCCTGCTCGATACCGAACCATATCTCCTCGTCCTTGTGGGCCTCGAACAGCTTGGAGGCAGCGGCGCGGTGGTTCTTCTTGTTGGGGGTGCCGTCGCTGTTGTAGGTCTCGGCGAGGACGAGGATGTTGTCGCCCCGTCTGAAGGGGTCGGCGTACATGGCGACGGGTCTCAGGTAGATGTCCGAGTCGTGGCCGGGGGCCTGCTCGGTCGAGGAACCGTCAAAGTTCCACTCGGGGAGCTCGTCGATGGAGGTGGGCTTCTTGTCGAGGGTCTGGAGAAGTGGTATTAGTATTAGAGATGAAAGCAATTGTTAGCCCGCTGCATGCAGATCCTCCATCTTGGCTGGGGTCCAAAATTAATTCCGTGGGGCTTCGAGCGAGTCGGAAATGGGTCTGAGTCACAGCCAGAAATAGGTCGTTGAGGTGTCAATGGAGGATGAGGGTCAGGGTTGTGAACCAGAGAACAGGTCACCGCACCGCGCGGCGCTCTCGGTCGGCCGGCCGACGGCTTTCAAAGTAAAAGACGAGATTAGTCGACCGAGGAAGAGCCCGAGCTCAGGATTCGGCCAACCACGGCGAGACAAAAGCGAGCAATGCAGTTCCAGTAATCTAGTAGTAAGATACTGGGAATGGCACTGGTCAATTACTACACTCTCTTGAGCTAAGAGCAGCGCAGAAAGAGTAGGAGCAACGGAGAGAACAATGATAGGAGAAGGAATCCACATGCAGCGAGATAGAATGAGAGATAAAATGAGATAAACGTACCCGGCCCTTGGTGCGGAGACCATTGGTGCCATCAATCCAGACGTACTCGGCAATGACCTTGCCATTCTGGGGAAGGTCGGAGTACTTGGCCAACTGGAGGAGAGGAGTTAGTTGTTGTAGAGAGAGAGAGATAGATAGAGGGCGTTGCCGGCGAAGAGAGGCGACGACGTCGACATCTCAGCGTCCACTCAGAGCAAGAACAAAGACGTCGGAACCAACGCCAATTCCAGGCACCGATTCGCTGCAGATGGAACTAAAGCCGTCGGCGAAAAGAAGCGGCGTTGCAGGGTTCGGTTGGCTGGCTTGAGACCGTACGCAAGACAGGCAGCGGACAGTCACGCACATGTCTTGTGAACAAGGCGAAACCGGGCCAATTGCGCTCTGAGCGGGCGCCGGAGCACAACTTGCAAAGAAGAAGCGGCAGAGAAAACAACGGAGACACGTACGATAGGGGCCTGGGAGAGAACGGTGGAGGACATTGCGGTGAGAGTTGGTGAAGAGCGAAGAGGGAGCGGTGGAGGACAGGAAAAAAGGCGGGTTGGTGGAAGACGGGCAGGAAAGCGGTTAAGTATGCGGGCGCGACAAAGTTGGCAGAGACACAGCGCTAGGCCGGATCGGGATTAGGTTGTTACCAAGGGCTAGGGCGGGTTGTTGGTGGACCCATAGCAGAGGACTCAGGCGCTGACCCGGCTCAACCAGCTCTGGAGAGTCTACGAGGGGTAGAGAGAAGTGAGTGAGAGTGAGAGTGAGATGGTAGAGAAGAGGAGGAATTATAGAAGATGAAGATGTTGGCTGCTGTGGACAGTAGAGACAGAGGGCAGGAGGGATTACAATAAGCCGGTGCTGATTGGCGGGGAGAACCGGAGACGGACAGCAGAGAGTCGGAGGAAGAGGAAAGGCTCCGACAGCCTGCGCTTAGAGATCAGGCCGGGTCTCGCCAGACCCCAGAGTCGAGCAGAGAAGAGAAAGAGATGCTCTGCTATCGCAGCTGAGGGCTCAAGTGCCTCGAAACCGGCCTTTGGCAGTCTCGAAGCGGCCGGCGGGAGTTCTGTGAGGAAGTAGTGGAGGAGTCACGTGAAGATGCTTTGTCTTTGTCTTCCTTGTCTTCCTTGTCTTCCTTGTCTATCGCGAGATGTCTGCCTCCTCGCTCAGCACCACCAGCAACATTGTAGACATATCTCTATCATATCAGTCATTCATCTCTTAATACACACTCTCTACAACAGCTAATAGAACAAGACAGAATGCCCCCCCGCCCGTTGTTTCGCCTAGCTTTCGGACCCGCGTAACCCTCAAGCCACCAAACTCATTCCCTTCCTCTCGACGTCGACGTCCAGCGACCGCGGTCTTCTTCCTCGTTCTCTTTCTTTCTCTCTGCCGTGCGTTGCTTGTTGTTCGTCTGATGCGGGCGAGAATAACAAACCATACTCGGTCATTCATCTTCGTGGTATCTCGTCGCTATCTACTGCTAAACTCGGCAGCCAAGCACGGTGCTGCATTGACTATCCGCGGCTGCTGATTGGCTGTGTCGCTGTTATCGGTGCCTGGCCGCGACTCACTCATTGCTGTTTACTTGCCTCAGTTGGCCATTGCGACCGAGAGCTTACCCAGCCGCTTATCGACTCTGCTCTAGTAAATGATGACGATATAAATGGGACAATGAATAATAACTAAATAAAATATGCAGAAGAAGATGGAAAAAAGAGTGAAAAATCATGAAAAAACATGAAAAAAGATCGTTAAAATATTTTCGTTGCTCGTTCACTCACTTTCTCTCCGCTGCTCATCACCTCCCGAACACCTTCCTCATCACCTCCTTCTTCACATCCACCCACCTGACCTCTCTGTCTTGTCTTGTCTTGTCTCTTTTCATTCTTTATTCACAGCAATTCAATTACAGCACACGAAGATCTGCACGTCAGTTGACCCGATCTTCCTCTTTCCTCCTCATTCTCATCTCCTTCCCTCCTCAATCCTCTTTGCGCCGCAATATTCACTCTCCTCTTATCTCCCGCCTGTCCATCTGATCTGCTGCTCCTGCTCTTCTGGTCCTAGTCTCAATTATACTCGTAGTCTCGACGCACTATGCATCTCCTGCGTCTGCTTCCCCACTCAACACAATACCCTCACCTGCCATCATGCGGGGTTGGCGGGGCTCCAGGTTTTCATTTCATCTTACTCCATCTCTCCTGTCATTAGTATCTATATCATAATGCAGAATTAGAATTATATACACATCGCAATTAAGATCTAGAATATATACACTCTGAATACGACGATAATATATACACATCGCAATTAAGATCTAGGATATATACACTTCACTTCAACAACTTCTTAAACGCCTCCTTCCCGGCATTGAACTTCCTCTTAAACTTCTTCCCCTTCGACGACGACGACGACGGCAAATTCACCGCCCCCGCTACAACCGGCGCCCTCCCATCCCCACCACCCACACGACTCGGCGTCGCCGGCGGTCGTCCCCCGTGCGCCTTCTGCTGCCGCCGCGCAAACCAATCATCCCTATCGCCGTCGTTATAGCTTGCGTTCCGACTGCTGTTGTTGCTGTTGCGATCAGAGCTATGGTTGCTTGTCGCGTAGCTTGGTCGATAGCTATCGCGCGGCGACGAGAATGATGGCGGCGGAGGGGGGCGGCTGAATCGGTTGTGGCTTCTGTCGCTGTTGTTGTTGTTGTTGTTGTTGTTGTTGTAATTTGATCCGCCGTTGTAGTTCGATCCACCACTGCTGGGTCGGTAACTATCCCGCACACTCCCTCCCCCTCCGCGGTTTCTACTGCTGTTGCTGTTGTTATTGCTGCTGCTGCTGCGCTTGCTATCCACAACCTCAGCCAACTCCCCGGTAAGCTTATACCCCGTCGGCAACTCCCGCATCGAAAACACAGAGCCCTCGCCAAACGCCTGCATCGGCGGCCGCTGCTCCGGGCAATCGTCTCCGTAATGTCCTTTCGCGGCACAGTTGTAGCAGAATATCGATGCTACCGGTTTTGCTGTGCTCGTGGGCGCGTACTTGTAGTGTCGCCATATACTTGGACAGGTCTATAATATGTCAGTCAAGTTCTTTCAATGTAAACTGTTCAATGTAGAATACTCACCTCCGGAACATGAAGGTCGGATCGACACCGATTACAGTAAATCTGTCGTCGAGGCTCCTTACACTGCGCAGACAAGTGCCCCAACTTATTACAATTCGAGCACCGCCTCGTCTTTGGACAATTCCTCGTCAAATGATCGCCCATCTCTCCGCACGTCTGGCAGACAACAACCTCGCACCCGGCTGCCATATGCCCCGGCTGATGGCAGTTCAGACACACAACCTCCATCCGCCCCGCCATATCGTCCATGAACCCAAAGTACCGCCCTTCGCCGCGCTGGTCAACCAGCTCCGCCGCGCTCGACTCGACCGCTTTCTTCCTCGCTTCCTCGTCCGCGGCGGCTGCCGCTGCGGCAGCTAGCTCGCGCTTGCGCTTTTTAGAAGCGGGCTTCACGAGCAGGTCGGCGCGCTCGACGGGTTTGCTCGCATCCGCCTCGTCTTCGCTCTCAGACTCCTCTTTCTCTTCCTCGACTTCCTCGTCGCTGAACGGGTTGTCTATCACCGTGATTGCGCCGTCCACAACGCCGAGCTTGAGATACCGCGGCGGGCGGGTTGATCCTTTCGGTAACTGGTCTCCGGGAGCAGACACAACTTCATCATCCTCTGCGTCTGTGATTTGCCCCTCCTCCTCCTCATCATCATCCGGGATCTCGATCGGCGACGATTTATCGTCAATCTCTATAACCTCATTATCAGTACCACCGTACTTTACAATCTCAACCGGCGAGCTCTCCCTCGACCCATCCGAAGACCCAGCCGGCGTCTGCGACTGCGACTGCGACTGTTCGCTCATCTCGACATCGTCATCCCCATCGCCATCACCCTGCCCTGTCTTCGCCGCCTTCTGCAGCGCCTTGCGCTGTCGTCGCAGTAAACGCTGCCGCTGCTTCTTTTCCTTTTTATCTTTTCGGCGCTGTGCTTTCGCCGCCGCCACGCGCTCGGCTTTCGCTTCTTTCGACGACGTCGCAGCGTACCTGCTATCTTGCTCCTCTTCTGCCGCTGCTGCTGATGTGGGGTCTATCCGCTGGCGCTTCCGCTGCGGTTCGCCGGCGTCAGAGTCAGTAGTAGACGCGGCTTCGCGGCGGATGATTTTGCGAAAGAGGTTGCTGGCGGTCGAGGACGAGGACTGCGCTGCGGTCGTCAAAGGCGCGGAGGGGGTTAGTGGTGAAGACGGCGCATCGCTGAGGGATATGAAGGAGTCGTCGGGTATGCTGGGTGTACCGGGAGTACTTGGCGGCGAGCTAAGGAAAATGTGAGTGAGCTTCGCGATGCGATGGGATGCGATCGATGCGTGGTAATTCACGGAGGAGAAACAGGAGAAACAGCAGCGACCTCAGAACAATAAATAAATTAAAACGTACTTTTCAACTTCGCCTATCATCGCTGATAAGTAGGAGAGATGTGGATGCGAGGAGGGTGAGATGCGAGGAGAGTGAAATTTTATGCGTTGATATTTTTCAAGCGTTGCAAAAGAGTCGTTGAGTTGATGTTGAAACCCAATTTTTGTCGCTGGGAGGAAGTTTACCTGATTCACTGATTACTTTTGTTTTATGAAGAGAGATTTTGCTGGTTTCTTTTCTTGTTTGTTTTGTTTATTTTGTTCTATAATATTACTGGTTTTAGGATTTAGAAAAAAGACATTAGCAAAGGCGATGTAGTGGCAATCAAATCATTGATATTCAATATTCATCCACGTCTCTCAGATATTGAGAATGACTCTGCGGCTTGTCTATTGCCAAACTACTCCCTCGCTGGCTTCACCTTGCCGACAGCCCAACTGATACACCTGATAGATGTGCACGGCAAAAGATGATGGACGACAAAGCTGACGAAGCTCCACATGATCTAAACGACTCTACGCGAAAATTCCGGTGATGAGGAACTAAATATGACTGCTACGCGTGTTAACGCGTCTATCGACAGCGATATTATCGACTCCGACTACGGCTCCGACGATTCCTACACCGAGTCTGACTCCGACTCCGACGACGACCTTAACGACCTTATTTGTATGACCATCATCGCGTTGATCGAAGAGCAGCGACAGGAGCAAGAACGCTATGATCAGGAGTTGGACGAAGACCTGACGGTCATGTCAGCTGTAATAGCGGTGCTGAGAGAATACATAGCCACTAATGGGCGGTTTGATCGGTCGGTGAGGAGCTCAGAGCTACGAGGGGCTGCGTATGTTGAAGATGTTCTGGATGCAGAACGCGACGACTTTCACGAGATCACGCGGATGGAAAAGGACGCGTTTTCTGATCTGGTTGGGAGGCTTGAACGGGAAGGTCTGAGATCGACGAAGAATATGGATAATGCCGAGATGCTCTTGATCTTCTTGTCTGTTTTTGGTTCCGGGTGGTCAGTGGGAATGGTAGCTGAGCGATATCGACGACGCGTGGGCACAGTACATGATGTGGTTCATGCCGTTCTACTAGCAATGGCAGAGATCCCAAAGACTGAAATCACTCTTCCATCCCTCACCCCCAGCGACCGATACCCGAACCTCTCCTCTGATCTCCGCACACATCCACCCCACCGCACCCTCGCGCTCTGCCCTCTCTGCTCTTCCCCTTCCAGCAGCGGTGCCGACAGCCTAGCGAGCTAACCGCGCGAAGCCGAGCTCACGTGACTATTTGAGGGGTTGGCGAGCCCGGAATAATTTTGCGGACCGCGACGGCTGCGATTGCGAGCTTTTGAGCAGCCTGTGCGGAGGGAGAGATAGTAGAAGATGTAATTGACGTAGAAACAAGCAATTGACGAAGATATATGTACAATAACATTTATAACAGACACTCGGGCAGTCTGGCTGCTTGCGGGCTATTTTCCGCAAGATGGAAAAATTAAGTCAACCTGATTTGAGCCGGGTTTACGCTTTTGCTCCTCCGCCGCCTCTTCTCTTTCTATATCTTCCTCGCCTTCCCATCCCCTCCGTCCCCAGCTTCCTGCCACTCACTCCCGCCTTCTCTCTCTCCGCAAGACGCAGCAGAGCAACAACGAAGCCAGCAGCCATGTCGTCCCAGATGGAAAAGTCAACTATCCTCTCCACGCCCCTGCACGGCCTCTACATCCCATACGCACTCATCATCGTCGGCACGCTCATCGTCAAGCGCGAATGGATCGGCTACGGCGTCATCTTCGCGACCACCCTCGCGGCTCTTAAGATCTGGCGCGGAAGTATGTCTTTCTGTTGTTGTTCGTCAATTGCGTTGTTGCGCGTGTTTGTAGAATGGATAAGGCTGACTTTTTCTCTCTCTTTCTTTCTTCTCTAGGATCGCGCAAGGTGCTCAACCCAACCATCTTCCAGGAGTTTGAGCTCAAGGAGAAGACCATCATCTCCCACAATGTCGCCATGTACGTCTACTTGTTGCATTAGTACCCGCGCTCTGCACGCAGTCTTCTCTTCTTACAATCTAACTCTCCCAGGTACCGATTCGCGCTCCCCAGCCCAAACGACACCCTCGGCCTCCCCATCGGCCAGCACGTCAGCATCGCCGCCTCCATCGACGGCAAGGAAGTTGTCCGCTCCTACACCCCTGCCTCCTCCGACGATGACCGCGGCTTCTTTGATCTTCTCATCAAGGTACGTCTTTTCTTCTCTTATCTACCTCGCTCTTCTTGCTGCACAACTAACACCCGCAGTCCTACCCTACCGGCAACATCTCCAAGTACGTCGCCGGCCTGCAGATCGGCCAGACGATCCGCGTGCGCGGCCCGAAAGGCGCAATGGTTTACACCCCTGGTCTCGTGCGCTCGTTCGGCATGATCGCCGGCGGCACCGGCATCACGCCCATGCTGCAAATCATCCGCGCCGTGCTCAAGAACCCGGACGACAAGACCGACATCAGCCTGATCTTTGCCAACGTCAACGAGGAAGACATTCTGTTGAAAGACGACCTCGACGAGCTCGCGGCGAACCACTCGAATTTCAGAGTCCACTACGTGCTCAATAATCCAAAGGAAGGATGGACCGGCGGCGTCGGCTTCGTTACGCCTGAGATGATCAAGGCTTGGTGCCCGGCTCCGGCTCCTGATATCAAGATCCTCCTCTGCGGTATGTCTCTATATTCTCTATCTTATGTTTGCTGCTTTCTAACTTTGTGTAGGTCCCCCTCCCATGGTCAGCGTCATGAAGAAGGCAACCGCTGAGCTCGGCTACGAAAAGGCTAGACCCGTTTCCAAGCTCGAGGACATGGTTTTCTCATTCTAAGCTCATCATACTCTCTTTCTTACTCTGCCTGGCGGGCGTAGATGGAAATACAGTTGAAAATGTAATGATAAAGTCAATTTAATATTGGGAGAATGCTTTATTTTTGAAAAAAAAATGACAACCTCGTCATCATTAAAGATAAAACAACAACATTTCATATATACAAAAAAAAAAAGATCAACAGGCAAAAGAAAAGGGGGAGGAGAGGAAAAACAGAATTATAATAGCAAAGAGAAATAATAATAATAATAGATAAAATCAATAAATAAAAAAAAAAGCCTTTTCCAGATCATATATTACAAAAGAAAATTCACTTTTTGGTCAATCAAGGTGAAGCCTTACTCATGAGTGCAGGCAGGAGGATGATTAGATCAAAAAAGAAAAGATCGGTTTCTCTTCTCTCTTTTTCCTTCCTTTTAACCATCGTTACGAGAAATAAAAGTGACGAGCTTACTCCTTCTTCTCGCCCTCGGCAGGGCCGTCGGTCGACGAAGTCGAGCTGCCGCTGTTAGCCTCCTGCTCGGCCTTCTTCTTGTAAACCATCTCGAAGAGCTTGAGCGAGTTCTGCTGAACCTCGTCGCCCTTGTTCTTCAAGGTCTCGGACGCGATCTCCTCGCCGGCCTGGGCCTTGCCAACAAGCTCGCGGAGCTCGCTGATCAGACCACGCAGCTTCTCGGCCTCGGCCTTGTCGATCTGGTCGGCAAAGTCCTGCAGCGCAGACTCGGTGTCGTTGCAGATGCTGTCGGCGCGGTTGGCGGCCTCGATCGCCTCGCGGCGCTCCTTGTCCTGCTCGCGGAACTGCTCGGCGTCGTTCACCATCTTCTCGATCTCGGAGTCAGACAGACCGGACGAGCCGGCGACGGTGATCGAGGCATCCTTGCTGGTGGCCTTGTCGCGCGCGTGCACGTTGATGATTCCGTCGGCGTCGATGTCGAACGAGACCTCGATCTGGGGAACACCCTTGGGCGCGGGGGGAATACCCGACAAAGTGAAGTTGCCAATCAACTTGTTGTCGCGCACGAGCTCACGCTCTCCCTGGAACACACGGATCTCGACCGAGGTCTGGCCAGAGGCAGCGGTCGAAAACACCTGCGACTTCTTGGTGGGGATGGTGGTGTTGCGGTTGATCAGACGGGTGAACACACCGCCGAGGGTCTCGATTCCGAGCGAGAGCGGGGTGACGTCGAGAAGGAGAACGTCCATGACCTCTCCGGAAAGGACACCACCCTGGATGGCAGCACCCATGGCGACGGCCTCGTCGGGGTTGACCGACTTGACGGGGTCCTTGTTGAAGATGCTCTTGACGGTCTCGCTGACCTTGGGCATACGGGTCATACCACCGACAAGGATGACCTCGTCGATCTGCGAAGCAGTCAGACCGGCGTCCTTAAGGGCCTTCTTGACGGGCTCGACAGTGCGCTTGATCAAAGGCTCAACAGTGGTCTCGAGCTGCGCACGGGTGAGCTTGGTGTTGATGTGCTTGGGGCCGGAAGCATCGGCAGTGATGAAAGGAAGGTTGATATCGGTCGAGACAGTCGACGAGAGCTCGATCTTGGCCTTCTCGGCAGCCTCACGGATACGCTGGATAGCCATTCTGTCGTCCTGGAGATCGATTCCAGAGTCCTTCTTGAACTGCTCAACGATCTGGCGGACGAGGGTGATGTCGAAATCCTCTCCTCCGAGGTGGGTGTCACCGTTGGTCGACTTGACCTCGAAGACACCGCCCTGGATCTCAAGGATGGAGATATCGAAGGTACCACCACCGAGATCGAAGACGGCGACAACACGATCGCTCTCCTTCTCGAGACCGTAGGCAAGGGCGGCAGCGGTAGGCTCGTTAACGACACGGAGGACGTTCAAGCCACCAATCTGACCAGCGTCCTATTAAAAGAGTCAGCATTGTCTTCTTCCACGAAAATTGAAAAAAGTGAAAAGTCATACCTTAGTAGCCTGACGCTGAGCATCGTTGAAGTAGGCAGGAACGGTAACGACGGCGTTCTTGACGGGCTTGCCGAGGTAGCTCTCGGCAGTCTCCTTCATCTTGTTGAGGACGAAACCTCCGATCTGGGAAGGAGAGTATCTCTCGCCACGAGCCTCGACCCAAGCGTCACCGTTGGTGTGCTTGACGATCTTGTAGGGGACCTGCTTGATATCCTTCTGGACCTCGTTGTCCTCGAATCGGCGACCGATGAGACGCTTGGTGGCGAAGAGAGTGTTTTCGGGGTTGACGACGGCCTGGCGCTTGGCGGGGACACCGACGAGTCGCTCACCGTCGGCGGTGAAGGCAACGACGGAGGGGGTCTATGATGTGTTAAGAGATGAGTGGAGGCAAATCAGAGAAGAAGATAATGCTTACCGTTCGGGCACCCTCGCTGTTCTCCAAAACCTTAGCGATTTTACCTGTAGAGAAGAGAGTGTTAGGAGGTGTTTCTGCAAGAGAAATAGAGAATCCGGAGTGAGAATCAAAACGTACCCTCCATCAGGGCAACGGCCGAGTCTATGAAATGAGTTAGCCACCGCGCACACTACAACAAAACAAGAAGAATATAGCAAGAACGTACTGGTAGTTCCCAAATCGATACCGATGACGGTACCCTGGACCTTGCCGTTCGAGTTGAAGCGGGCGCCAAAGGTGGAGGCCTGGATAGGCAATCTCCGGGCGGCGGCCTGGTGAAAGAGAGGTTAGCAGGAGCGCAAGACCAGATTCCGACGAGAAACAAAGCAACATACCGAGCGGACAGAAGTCCGAGCTAATCTAGAAGCCAACATTGTGCGATATGTGAGTGTTTTAGCAGCACAAGCAGAGAGAGGAAGAGGAAGTGGATTTATGCTGAAGCAGCAGAAGAAGAAGAGTCCGGGAAGAAAAAATTGCGCTCAATAAATTCAGGCCGGGGCCGGGGCCCAGCGAAGAAGTTACCCGGCCGTGGAATGCAATGGAAAGCGACGTCACCGATGTGCACGTGACTATCCGCAGCGCACTGTGGCGGATGCGGCGGCACCGGTCGGAAGCGTGGCGGCCTCGGGCTTCGAGTTGGTTCGGGGCGAGAGAAGAAGAGAAGATGGTGATGATGTCTGTAGAGAGGGAGTAGAAGTAGAAGAAGAAGAGTGAAGAGAAGGGAAGAGAGGGGAGGTGCAGAGAGCGCTGATATTCACTGTTCACCACTCTTCACGACTGTTCCTATTCACTGTAATTACTCCTAACAGTCTATTGTTTATTGTTAACTATTCTCTGCAGCTATACTGTCAGCCCTCCTCTAGTCTTCTGTAAGCATCTGAGCTCTGGCTCTGAGCTCTGGCTCTCAGCGACGCATCATCGCATCGCATCGACTTCTTTGGGCAGACCAACCACGTCTCCACCATCACCTCCACCACGCTCCCACAATCACCTCCTCACCTCCCATCCCCACAGCTGCTCACAGCACCGTCAGCAGCGCGTACCCTCAGACGAGCACTGCACTGCACACCGCTCGACGGTCTGTCTGCTGCTTCTTGTTGTTTGACGAGTATTGGTCATTGTCTGTTCATCAGCACTCCTCGCTCATAGCAACTGCTTCTCTGTATCTCATATCGATATCCAACTACAGCCTATCTATACCTACCTCATCAACTACTATCCTCACCAACTATCTCCTCCTCAACATCACCATGTCTGAGCCCTCAGTGCACAGTCCCGCGCAAGACAGATCCCGCGCACCGGTCCTACCCCGAACCCTCGTCCCTCCATGCTTCTTCAACGTCCCCTCCACCATCAACGACTGGCGCTACGAGTGCCGCCGAATGGCGCAGCTCATAATCCCAAACCTCTTCCTCGGCCCAATGTCTGTGATCCGCGACGAATCCTTCATCACCGAAAACAACATCAAGCTCGCTCTCAGCATATCCAGTCCGCAGACGTGGCAGATCCTGCACAAACGATACGCTGGCTTACCACAGTACCAGGCCCTACCGGTCTCTGGCACCGCAGATCTAGTCAAGACCTTCCCGCAGGCGAAACAATTGATCGATAACACTATATCCGAAGGAGGCTCGGTCTTGGTCTACTGCGAGACTGGCAACGAGATGAGTGCTGCCGTGGTCGTCGCATATATAATGGAAACTAATCGGTATGCTTGTCGTTTGTCCCTCACATGCACTAGCTAATCGCTGACGCCGTCTTCCTGCAGATGGGATCTAATCCGTTCTATCCAATATGTTCAGTCGCAAAGGTTCTGTGTCGCTTTAGACGATTACGTAAAGTACCAGGTATGTCCTGCTCCTCTAAAATAACTCAACATCATTGAATTATTGCTGACCTTACTCAATATTCTAGCTTCGAGTATGTGACTTCCCAGCATGATATATCAAAATTCACCTCCTAACCGCAACTCTCTGCAGACATACGAATCCCTATGCGTGGCTCGACAAGAAGTCAAAGAAACTCCAGCTTTCAGCCATAATCGACCTGCCGTCAGACGTACGATCGACGACCTATACGAAGACGACGACTCGTGAGCTTTCTCTCCTTCAGTTTTTCTATCTCTGAAGTACTTCCTCACTGACTCTTTCTCAGCACATTTACTCGCGAAGGCTTGGCTCCGTTCAATGACGCCAATTCTACAGATCACGAAATGACAAACTAGCATCCAGCTCTGGTATCCTTCATTTCTCTTGTTGCATTTATGTATGATACAGTCTCATCTCATTTTCGTTCTTGCTCGTGCGGTCTATCCAGAGCTTTCACATCACAATTCGGAGTGGCGTTTTCTTCTTTTATAGCATAATTACATATTTATTCTAAATACATCCTACAGCCCCGCCAATTTAAACGGCCGAGCAATAAACGACTCCATCATCCTCTTTGTAAACTCCTCCAAATCTCCCTGGCTAGAAACCTGCTCCTCAATCAAAGCCATCGCCTTCTTCTTCAGCCCATCATCAAGATCATCCAGCTGCGGCGCGTCCTTCGCGTTCAGCAGCTGTCCCTGCGGCACCGGGTATTTCAGCGCATCAGAAGTCACCAGATCGCGATACTCCTTTGCAATCTCCGCAATCACCGCGTCTTTGCTCTCCAGCTCGGCCTTTGACACAAGTCTCTTGCGGTCGATCAGCAGGGGGCGAGGCAGCCCGCGCTGGAGAACTTGAGATCGTCTGGCCAGCGCGCGCTCTTCCTCGATAGCTCGAATGGCTTTAATCTTTCGCTCTCGCTCGCCCGCATCCTCTTCCAACTCTGCCTCTTCCAGTTGTACCGCGAGAGAAACCTCTTCTTCTTCTTCCGCTTCCTCCGGCGCCACGATTTCAAAATCATTCTTTGGCTTTGGCAAATTACTAAACCCTTTCTTTAGCAGATCAGCAATGCCTCCACTTCCGCTCCCAGACCCAAAAATATCGTCTTCAGCTTCATCCTCATCAACCTCTTCCAACACCGGCGCCTTCGTCCCTATCCTCACAATCTCATCCACCTCTGCTTCCGACACCTGCGGCGCAGGCAGCGAAAGTCTCCGCCTCTTTGAAATCTGCTCTTCTTCCTGCAACTTTTGTAACCGCTCCGCGCGCATCACCGCCTGCTTATCCGCCGCGTCGGCGTCCTTGCCCTCCTCCTTTTGCCGCTTATGGCTCGCGTTCGGATCTTCGGTGTCGCGTCTTCGGGTGCCGAATTTCTTGGTTCGCGCGTCGAATATCGCTTTGTCTTGGTAGTTGGTGTTGATCTCTTCGGTGGTGTCGTAGAACCCTGGCGCGGGCTGGTGCTCGAATGGGATATCAGCGTTGTAGTCCATCGCATTGCGGTTTTTCTTTTTCAGTTTCACGCTGTACGCGTCGTTAGCACCAACCAATCAAGCAAAACGGTAGTGAAGAAACCACTCACTTTATTCCCGCCTGTTTGAGCTCGCGCCGTTTCTGGAGAACAGCAAGACGACGACTTTCCTCAAGAAGACGCTCTCTGTCTTTCCGCTTGGCTTTCTTGCCCTGCGTATTCGCAAGACGAGCGCGCGCTTCTGAAAGCATCTCTTTTTCATCTTCGTCCATGTCAATCGCATCAGGACGTGCGGGTCTAGAAACATAGCATGTTAGTATTTGTCAAATCATACCGCTCTACAGTTATGGTCTTACTTCGTCTCCGGATCAGGATCGATCTCTCCTGGTCTCAACTTTCTGATCTGATCAGCAGCATGAGCTTCCCCTCCCGGTCCCATCAGCCCAAGCTCACCACTCTCCAACGCTTCCGCATCGTCCAGCAACTTCTGGTACCGCTCGAGGCACTGCGTGGCCGTGCGGCCAACAATCGGTGCGATCGTTCGCCATTGCGTGGGCATAAGCTTAGCGAGATGCAGCAGTTTTTCGTCCTCCTCGCGCGACCACTCTAGCTTCTTGATCGACGGATCAAGCCATTCGTTCCAGCGGGCTTTGACTTGCTTTGCACTCTTGCGGTTGAAGAGAGAGGATACTCGAGACCATTGATTGAGACCGTACTTTGCGATCCTAGATGTTAACAAGAAAGTCAGTATTCTGTCAGGATGTACAACTGTGATGACTGAAGTGTCTGAGTGGTCTTACGCAGCTCGAAGGATCTCGTCTATGTTAAACAGGTCAGTATATACGCCGTAAACCAAATCATCAAGACTACGAGCTTACCTTCAACGTTAGTCCACACGCCTCCCTTGATATACGGAGCCATGCTGTATTACACCTTCCGGTTTTCTGCACTGCTCTAGCAATAATCCAGACAGCTGAGTACTATAATCCACACTCCCTGTCTCTTTCTCTCAGACTGATGACTGCGAACGCGGTGATGAATGCAGTTTATTCAGCTTTCATTTGTGTTTACTGAAGCTGTTGAAGTCAAAATCTTGCCGTTCAGAATGTAAGCTGAGGCGTTGGTACCAATATCCCACCACAGCCATATGATATTCACAAAGAAATCTCTATATACTCTATAGGATGCAGATGTAGTGGAGTTTTAATATGACTTTGACTGCGTGTTTAGTTTGCATTATGGCATGGGTGTGAAGAGTGAGTTTGCGGGAGGATCAGTGCCGCTGCATGGTAGTTGTCGACACAGCTCCTACTTTGCAGGATTATCAGCATCACTACTATTTACCATCTGACGTAGATAGCCCGCTATGATTATAATTTCATCAGTGGGTTCCGCTGCCTTTGGAATTATGCGGCTCGACACAGTCCAAACAGCACGGAGCGCTTGTGCAAAAATTGCTGATTGTAATATATTTTCATGATTCCATACCCCAAACTCCCAAAGGTACATATCCGGTACTCACTTGATCCTAATTTCTGCAATCTTCAAACCTCAAATGTTTTTCAAGGTATCATCTGTTCTCATAAGTAGAATTATGGTGATTTCCCAAGCCGATGGAGTTGACGATAAACGAGACGATAAATGATGAGCATTTCTCGCAGCGAGTGGCTTTCGTCGTCGTTGAGTCCCATCACAAACCATGCCAGAGAGAAAGCACAACATAATAATAGAAATTCAGAGCTTGTGGGCACACCGCGCGCAAGCTCCAGTTCCGCACTTTCCAGACGCACCCTGGTACCCCCACGACGCCGGATGCGAGATGCGCGAGTCCGACTCCCGCGCGCCCGCTTTCGCCGAGCTGAGCGCGTTCAGCCGGCCAAAGAACACAGGGTGCGTCCGCGCTGGATCGTAGCTGAGACCGTCGTGCTTTGGTCTTGAGGCAGAGGTCTGCTGTTGGGGGGCGCTGGGCATCGGACAAGCAAGTGGCGGTTTTGAGGGCGTGAACCGTGGTCGATCTGCGGGGTTGTCGACTGTCTGGAGAAGATGGTTGGCAGGTCAGCTTCATGTAAGTAGTATGCAAATACCAAACCAGCACTTACCGGCCGCTTTGACTGGAATAGAGTAAACATGGCTGTGAGGAGGAAGGCGAGGTGTGGGAAGAGGGGAGCGTTTGTGGAGAAGCCGAGGAAACCAAAGCCGCAGCGATATCGGCCGCCGGTTTTTATTTCTGTTCGTGGTCCTCGAGCAGAGCTTCGACCCTCTCTGACTCACTGTTCCTGCTCCTCGCCAGACCTGTTTGTTCACCGGATCATCGAGGACCAGAACAGCAGCGATGTCGTCCGGAAAGGCCCTCGTCGTGTTCAAAGACGCGCTGTTGCGTCCGCAGCACCACGGCAAGAACCTGTTCACAAACCCACTATCGCTCGATATCCTGCCGACCCAGAAATGGGCCGTCACAGGCACACACAAGTCTCGTCTTTTGCAAGCCCTGGCCGGTCAATTCACCGCCGTGCCGGCTTCTTCGCGGACCTACCCGTTCTTGGAGAACAAGGTCTGGCCGGCGACCGCGTGCAGCTTGATCATGTTCGACACCGACATCAAGCCCGCCTATCTGGCGGCGCGATACGAGTTCTTCCGCGAGGCCGAGGACGCAGATCTTGAGTCTTTTCTCAGAAGCGCGTTCCATGCAGATAAAACAGATACGGCGGCGATTGAGAAGCAGGAAAAGGTGTTTAATGAGGTCGTCGATAGACTCGGACTTCGGCAATTGCTCAAGCAGTGGGTGGTTACGCTCAGTAACGGACAGAATCGACGCGCTCGCATTGCCCGGGGCCTGCTGAAGAGCCCGCGGATCCTGCTCGCGGATGAGCCGTTCCGTGAGTAAAACAACTTCTGGCTACTTTTATTGTCTAATTCTAACGAGTACTCTAGTCGGACTGGATCCTGGTGCTACGGAGAACCTGGCAAACATGCTCGGCGAGTTGTATCCCAACCCATACGTGATTCTCGGCCTGCGCGCGCACGAGCCGGTTCCGTCGTGGATCACACATATGGCTGTCGCAGACGAGAACGGGATTGTCGATGCCGGAACGAAAGAGGCTGTGGCGCCGACGATCAAGAAACTGATTGACCAGCGCAACGCCTTGTTCCACGATGTCGAGCCGTTTGACTTTGAGGCCGCGGGAATGACGCCCCCGTTGCGCGAGGGCGTGGAGTCTATTATCGATATCGATCACGCTACGATTCAGTACGAAGACCGGATGGTTATCAACGATTTGAAATGGGTCGTCAAGCGCGGCGATCGATGGCATTTGCGAGGAAACAACGGTAAGCCTACATTGATCCACAGACCACCCCGGACTCGCTGACATCTCTGTTATAGGATCGGGTAAGAGCACGCTGCTCTCGATGCTCACTGCCGACCACCCCAAGTCCTGGAACTCAAAGATCAAGATGTTTGACGAGCCGCGCAAGGTCGGCAAGCACAACTACTTCTCAATCAACCGCGCCATCGGCCATGCTTCTCCCGAGATCCACGCTATCTTCCCCAAGACCCTGAAAGCCAGATCGGCAGCTGCTACCGGATTTACTGTCGGCAGCTTCCTGCCGCCTGCTGCGTCTGCGCATGTCGCGGGCGGTCTGAACAAGGAGCAAATGTACGAGCGCGTGAATAAGCTACTGGAGTACTTCAAGGTCGACGGAAACACTACGTTCGGCGACCTCACGCTCAACGACCAAAAAGTCGTGCTCTTCATCCGCGCAATCATCCGCAACCCCGAGATCCTGATTCTCGACGAGGCCTTCTCGGCCATGAACGACGAGAGCATTTTCCGGTGCAAGAAGTTTGTCGACGAGTGGGGCGGGACGGTGATTGCGATCGGCCACGTCAACGACGAGATCCCGCGCTGCGACAAGTACATCCGTCTGCACGGCGGACACACCAAGCCCGAGCAGGGTCTTGTCGAGTAAGAACAGAGAGCAGAAGATAAAATCCGGAGGAAGTAATCGGCTATTCGCTCTCTGTTCCCCATATCAAAATAACCAGTGTAGATAGATAGCAGTAAATGTGACAATATTATGCAGTTGTGGCTCTAAACGCAGCTTCTTTTCCCATTTATGCCAAAACCAAAAGTTGGCGTCAAAGTCCCAGCCAGTAATTTTTTTTCCGAGTTTTCATCGCGCTGCGATTTAGTTCACCTTTCAACCTGCTATCGCCTTCGACCAAACTGCTTCTTGCCTTGGTTGCTGGTTTAACGTATTGTATGTTTGGTTCTGTGTCTTGTTTTTGTTGTCTGGGTGTCTGGCTGGGGCTGTACTGGCTCGGCTGGTCTGCGCGGTGCTGAAATGTGCTAACATCTCCTTAATTGCTGAAGCTTGAATTATATTTCTTCAACGACTTTTGATCTTTCAATATGGGTATGTGTTTGCTGTACTATTCAGTGGTTTGTTACCTGCCAGAGAGCATCAAAACTAACAGGTTCATCGTGCAGGTCCTAAAAAGGGAGTTAAGTTGAGCCTGGGCTCTTTCTTAGCCGATGAGAGTAAGGAGAATTTCTCGAATGCCTCAATATTTGCAAATTCAGGCTGACATTTTCTACTTAGCTTTCGGATCATGGGCTGATGATATGGTTGAGGACTTGCCTCCTATTCGTAAGTCGTGCTCTGTCTTGTTAATAATAAAGAGATGTTTGTGCTAACCTGCTATCTATAGCTTCGAGTACGCCTTGCTACACTACCTTGCTGTTAGTTCTTGGGAGCAGTATGAACTAATCTTGACCTTTAGGCATGGGCAACGATCGCTACGGCAACTCATCGAACGACCGTTACGGCGACCGCGCTGATCGCGGTGAAAGATTCGGCAGTGGTGCGCCCGACCGCTACGTTCCCCCCTCGCGTCAAGAGCGTCCAGAGAGAGGTATGCATGCGAGCCCTTGTTTTACAGATGACGGTCTGCTGACATCCGTACTAGACTTCAACGATCTGAGCCGAGGAAGCAAATTCGAGAGCTCTGAGCCCCTCCGCGATGGTCCGCGTGATGAGTACAGACGCCAGGAGCGCGAGCCGCTGCCTATCCCCGACGAGCCTCCTTTCACTGCTTTCATTGGAAACCTTGCGAACGAAGCTGTCGACGAGGACCTTACTGCGTTCTTTGACGGATTCCCGATCAAGACTGTGCGCGTCATTCGCGACCGCATGGAGCAGCCAAAGGGATTTGCTTATGTCGAGTTTGAGGACAGAGAGGCTCTGGAGAAGGCGTTGGACAGAACTGGCGAGGAGATTCTGAACCGCCCTGTCAGAATCAACGTTGCTGACTCACGTACGTTGTCTTTCTTTTTCTCCTGCGTATATATTTTCAGACGCTAACCTCTTAATCCTACAGCCAAGGATGACCGTACAACCGGAGAGTGGAGAAAGAAGCCGTCTGACGGCAAGGTTCGCGATTTCGGCAACTGGGAGCGCCGTGGCCCTCTCCCGGTGCCCGTCGAGGACCGACGCACGAGCTTCGGCAGCCGTTCGTCGTCCGGCTCGCGCTCGAACCGCGACAGCGCCGAGCCCGAGAACCCGCGCTCGTTCGACAACTGGCGCGGCCCACGAAACCCAGAGCCCGAGCGGATGTTCCGCAGAGGCCGCACGCCCGAGCAGAACGACGGCGCGGACCAGCGCCCTGCTCCTACCGAGCGCAAGAGACTGGCACTCAAGCCGCGTACCGTGCCCGTTGAGGCTGCGGCTGCTCCGGCGCCTGCGCCCGTCACCAAGAGCAAGTCGAACCCGTTCGGCGGCGCTGCGCCTGTCGACACTGCGAAGAAGTTGGCCGAGATCGAGCAGCGACTGGCCCAGAAGGAGGCCGAGCGCCGGCAAAAGCAGGCCGACGAGGCGAAGGAGCGCGAGGAGCGCGAGGCGGCGGCTGCTGCTGCGGCTAAGGCTGCTGCCGAGGAGACCGATCGGGCGATTATGGCGCACCGAAAGACTGGTGACCACGCTCCGTCTGCTATTGCTGCTGCTTCGCCTGCTCCTGTCGAGGAGAAGAAGGAGGAGTCCCCCGCGCCCGCGCCTCCCAAGAAGACGTTTGACGTTCTGCGCACTGCTGCTGCGGCCGATGACGACTTTATCCCGGATGACGAGGACGAGGAGGCCGCTGCGGAGGAGGAGAAGAAGGAGACTGTTGAGGAGACACCTGTCCAGCAGGCTGCTGACGAGGCTGCTGACGGCGATGACTGGTCGGTTGTGTCGAAGCCCGCGAAGAGAACCAACGGCAAATAAGTCATCGGTCACTAAACGATTGATTGGGCCTTTGGGATGAGACGAGAATGACATGTTTACTCTGAGAAAAGAATATCACCGAGATGGATCGCATGCTTAATTGGATGAATGGGGGGCGGAGATGACGCGCTTCGTCTACTTGTCTGGATTTCTTATTTCTTTCTTTCATTTGCTTGATTGTAGTTTTATATCTCTCTGCTTTTTATTTCCTACTTTATTTTACTATTCTTGATTACTTTATGTGGTATATAAAAGTTCTATCTAGTTTTTTCTACCGATATCGCGACGAGTACTACCGACGACTGTAGCAAGCCTGCCCTGTAGAATAACCTGCTAGTATATTGGAATAGTAGAGATAACCGAGACTATTTGAAGGATATAGTGAATAGTTATCAGAACAGTCCCTGGTTGATGACATCAGGTCTTCATTTAAAGCTTTATCATCCGCTGCGGCTGCTCATCTCTTTTGAAAGCTTCACGACTCTGCCAGACAAAAGCAGAAATCGACCTTTTTCTAAACGCATACTGGCTCTGTATTCCAGATATCTACTGTATCCTATTATCTTTTTGCTTATGGCTTCTATTTTTCAGAACATTCTCCGCGCCGTCAGAGGTCCGTCGATCGTTGCTAACGGGACCGCTGGTTTGGCGTCCACTGCAGGTGCTGTGTCTCCGACCATGACTGTGCCTGAAGGTGCTGAGATTGCGACTATTGCTGCTGGGTATGTTGTTATACTATATAGTTGAGGGCTGTTTTATTGGACTTGCGCTGACGTGCTGCTTCTAGGTGCTTTTGGGGTATGTCGCTGGTATACTGAGATTTTTACCTACTGCGGTTACTAATTGCCTGATGAACTTGCAGGAGTCGAGCACATATACCGAAAGTACTTTGGTAACGGAAAGGGATTACTTGATTGCCGCGTAGGCTACAGCGGTGGCTCGGTCAAGAACCCGACTTACAGAGAAGTCTGTGGCGCCAACACCGGCCGTAAGTCATCATCATATCGTTCCCAGCATGTGCTCCTCGCTCTAACCGCCTTATTATACAGATGCCGAAGCGCTGCAGATTGTGTTTGACCCCAAACTAGTCTCCTACGACACTCTGCTTGACTTCTTCTTCCGCATGCACGACCCCACGCAGTACAACCAACAAGGCCCCGACCGGGGTCCGCAGTACAGATCGGTGATTTTCTACCACTCGGACGAGCAGAAGCAGACTGCAGAGGAGGTCAAGGAGCGGCTGCAGAAGACGTTTTATCCGGATACTCCGATCGCGACGCAGATTGTTCCGATCCAGACGTTTTGGGACGCTGAGACGTATCATCAGCTGTATTTGGATAAGAATCCTTACGGGTGTGTTTTCTATGCATTGATTTGGCAGATACTTAATAGTTGAGGTGCTGACTGTACGTGTTATTTATCTAGATATGAATGCCCTACTCATTTCCTTCGGACGACTCCTATGAACCGCTAAGCGTTGGATGGGCTAAGTATTGGATGGGCTAAGTATCAGATGGGATGTGGTATGAATACTAGTTTCGTTAATGAAGTTATGCACCTTTGAGGATTCAGTTTGAACACTCGCTGCTCTATCATCTTACTCTGAATTTCCGTATATGATATATGTAATGCCTTTAGAAGTGCTTGAGACTGCTTTCCTTCCTCCAGCAGACCGAGTTGATACCAGCCGGCGAGTGCTCTGAGAGGACGCAGCTGACCAGACGCACAAACCTCAGCTGGATATCACATCGTCTATAAACACCATATCATAAACAATCCCTTCTATAACTCCATCAAGCATCAAATGAATAATCATTGATCAGCAACTACTAACAGACAGTTAGTCATATCACCCAAACCCTATATAATCAATCCACTCCGGGCCCCAAAGCCGCGCGAGCCCAAGTTTTTTTTTTCTATTTGATCCATCGCCATCTTCAATCTTCGCAGACACATAGTTGTGCTGTATTTTTGAGCTGATTACTGATTTACAACTGAATACTGTACGCAATGGCTGATACTAAGCCTGAAGAAGTCGCCGCGAAGCTCGAGGCTACTACGATTGCCGACGCACCTGCTGCTGCTGCTCCGGCCCCAGCTCCGGCTAAGGAGGCGGGCGAGAAGAAGGGCAAGAAGGGTGGCAAGGGCGGAGACGGTGCTCAAGGCAAGGGCGGCAAGGGCGGGAAAGGAGGAAAGGACTCGGGCGCGAACTACAACATCAATCTGAAGAACGCGGTCGACGGACAGGTGGTGACTCGTTTCCCGCCTGAGCCCAGTGGATATCTGCACATCGGACACGCAAAGGCTGCGTTGTTGAATCAGTACTTTGCCCAGCATTACCACGGAAAACTCCTCATCAGATTCGACGATACGAACCCTAGCAAGGAGAATGTAAGATACAGAGCTTTTATCAGATGAAGAGCTTTGGCTAACAGCGAGATAGGTGGAATTCCAAGATGCGATCCTTGAGGATCTCGAGTTGATGGGAATCAAGGGCGACTCGGTCTCGTACACTTCGGACCACTTTGACACTTTGTACAAGATCATGATCCAGATGATCACCGACGGCAAGGCCTACGCCGACGACACCCCGGTCGAGCAGATGCGTGAGGAGCGCACCGAGGGAATCGCCAGCGCCCGTCGCGAGCGCACTGTCGAGGAGAACTTGAAGATCTTCCAGGAGATGTGCGATGGTACCGAAGAAGGTCTCAAGAACTGCATTCGTGCGAAGCTGTCGGTCACGTCGCCCAACAAGGCGCTTCGCGACCCCGTCATGTACAGATGCAACCTGACTCCTCACCACCGTCTGGGCACCAAATGGAAGGTCTATCCCACCTACGACTTTGCGTGCCCGATCGTCGACTCAATCGAGGGCGTCACCCACGCGCTCCGTACCAACGAATACCGCGACCGCAACCCGCAGTACGAATGGGTTCTTAAGGCCGTTGGAATGCGCAAGGTCAACATTTGGGATTTCAGCCGGATCAACTTTGTCAGGACTCTGCTGAGTAAGCGCAAGCTGCAGTGGTTCGTCGACCAGGGTCTTGTCTCCGGATGGGACGATCCCCGGTTCCCTACCATCCGCGGTGTGCGTAGACGCGGTATGACGATCGAGGGACTGCGCAAGTTCATCCTGGCGCAGGGTCCGTCGAAGAACATCCTGAACCTCGAATGGAGTTTGATCTGGGCTACAAACAAGAAGGAGATCGATCCCGTGGCTCCCCGGTACGTTGCTGTGATTGACGAGAACAAGGTCAAGATCACGCTCGAGGGTGGACCTGCCGCTACTTTCACCGAGGACAAGCCCAAGCACAAGAAAAACGCCGAGCTTGGAACCAAGAAGGTTATGTATGGGTCTGAGATCTTTGTGGATCAGGAGGACGCGCAGACTTTCAAGGAAGGTGAGGAGATCACTTTGATGGACTGGGGTAATGCCATCCTGAAGACCATCCACAAGGACGGCGAGATTGTGACTGGAATCGACGCCGTGCTGCACCTCGAGGGTGACTTCAAGAAGACCGAGAAGAAGGTTACCTGGCTCGCGAGCACTCCCGAGCTGACTCCTGTCGATCTCGTCGACTTTGACAGCTTGATCACGAAGGACAAGCTCGAGGAGAACGACGACATCAAGGACTTTGTCAACCCGAACACCGAGTTCCACACTGCTGCGGTGGCTGATCTCAACGTGCGTGAGCTGAAGGAGGGAGATATCATTCAGTTTGAACGCAAGGGCTACTACAGACTCGACAAGCCGTACTCTGAGTCTTCGCCTGCTGTGTTTTTCACTATTCCGGACGGAAAGACCGTTTCAAAGTATGGCGCGAAGAAGTAAACTGTAGTATAAAAATGTTGTTGCTATCTTGAATATATGAAGTTTTTTTATTATTCTGAAAGAAGGATATATACAAGTAGTATGATACGTAGTTATTTTTACAATCTCCTCATCAATTGCCATGAGCAACCTACGCCTCAGCCTCTTCCGCTTCAGGCTCTTCAGATGCAGGTGCCCGGCGACTCAGTGCTTCCTCGTACTTTTCCAGCGTCCAACTGGTGAAGTTGGCTCGGCCCAAGAACTGAGCACGGGCAGCCAACGCCTCGCGGAGCTCCCTCTGTTTAGTCTCAAACAGAGAAGTGAGTTTGCTGTTGAGCTTCAGAAGCTCCGCGTCAGACTGATCAATGACCTCGCGGGTCTTGACGAGTCCTTGGTGGGTGAGTTCAAAGTCAACGAGCAAGCGCTCTAGCGCAATCAGCTGATTGTTGGTAAACGACTTGATTGAGCTCACAGGCGTTGATATTGGGTGCTCGTCGACAGCTCCTCCGAGAAGCTCGGTGAATTTCTTGACGGCTGCAGCGTGCTGGATGGGCAGGTGGGCAGGGATATAATAGGAAGTGTTGTGCATGATGGCTCCGAGCGAGGCGATAGCAAGTCCGTTGTAGAGCGGGTCATTGACGTAGCGCTCGAAACGGCGAGCGACGGTTCCCGTGCTTGAGACAGAGTGCTCGGCCAGTCGGAGATGGATTGCGTATGTTCGAAGGAGCTCGTGCCGGGTCTCGGGGCCACGAGAGAAGTTATGCTCGCGGGGGGTGTTCATAAGCCGGGTGGCCTCTGGGTAAAACCCCTTCAGGACCAGGTGTCGGAAGAGTAAGGCCGACTGCCAGTCCGGGGTGCGGTATCCCCTTTTCTGTTTTCCCAGACGACCTATGAGCGCCACGAGCCCATCGATATCGCTCTTGTGCTCAATTGCCTTGATCAGCGCGGTAACCTCTTTTTGCGAAGCAGGTCGTGCTTCAATAACTCTTTTGCGTCCGTTGTTCTCGAGCACGCGATCTTCCTCTGTGAGCTTCTTGCCCATCGAGCGCCGCAGGAGGATTTCCTGCGCAAGCTGGCCCGAGGCAACGTCGGTCTCGATCACGCGTTTCGTGGTCTTAGTGTAGAGGGCGTCGAGCAGGGTCTTGAAGGACTGTGGCGGGCTCGGGGTCGCTTCTGTGCTGCTGAATCTGACCAGCCTGCTCGCGAGCAGCGCGGGCGCCCTCCGACTGAATGATACAAGTGTGCGCGACATATTCTTCGAGTCGCAGCCGGGCGGAGAACAGTTCGGTGCGTCGGGGGAGGGTGTTTTCTGCTGGTTCGCGAAGTAAATGTCGCGATGGCTTCCGATATGGCAGAGCTGCGAAGAAAAAAAAGATTTGGGACCAGACCCTTGTGCTGACAGTACGCGGCCCTTGAAGTGTCAGCATTACTATGAAGTATAATGGGTAGGTTAATACAGAGCAAAGTATGAGTAAAGTTCGTAATTCCCACCCCAACACAGCACGCGGTTTGTTAGTGTGCGCGCGGCCAGTCTGAATTAAGGGGCGGCCGCATTTCTAACTCGACCGTCACAGCAACAGCTTCTCACTCATCCACCCACGCGCCTCTCTTTATTCTCACCATGGCCCCCGAAATTGGAATCGCTAACCTGCCTGATCAGAGGTGTGTTTTGTGCTTGCTGCGGTTTCGTAGTGTCTGCTGTTGGGGTGGGAGGGAGGAGGGAGAGAGGAAGGAGAAGCAGACACGCGACGCGTCACCTCTTCAACAGTCTGCTTTGCTAACGACGGTTCTTATCATTTCTAGACGCAAAATTGTCTCGAAGCGAGGTGCTTCGTTCACGTTGATGGTCTGCGGAGAGTCTGGATTAGGTACGTGTGCTGTGCTGTGGAGGAGAGCAAGAGAGAGACCGCCGAGGAGGCACTAACACGTCAACTGTTTACAGGCAAGACCACCTTCGTCAACACCCTTTTCTCCACCTCGGTCAAGAGCTATGCGGACAACAGACGTCGACACGCCAAGCAGACCTCTCAGACGGTCGAGATCGAGATCACAAAGGCCGAGCTCGAGGAGCGGGACTTCAGGATCCGCTTGACCGTCGTCGACACTCCTGGCTTTGGCGACTACGTCAACAACAAAGAAGCGTGGACGCCGATCGTCGAGTTCCTCGACGACCAGCACGAGAGCTTTATGGTGCAGGAGCAGCAGCCTCATCGTGCTGAGAAGGTCGATATGCGCGTCCATGCCTGTCTTTACTTTATCAGACCTACCGGCCATACCCTCAAGCCTCTCGATATCGAGGTCATGAAGCGGCTCTCGACCCGTGTCAATTTGATCCCTGTCATCGCAAAGGCTGATACAATCTCTTCGGAGGATCTTGCTGAGTTCAAGCTTCGGGTGGGTGCTAGAGCTACTATTCAAGTGCAATGAGAAGACTGGCTAACAGTATTATTACAAAAATAGATTCGCCAGGTGATTGAGGCACAGGATATCAAGGTCTACACTCCTCCTATCGAGGATGACGACCCGCTCATGGCCGACAAGGCACGCGAGATCATCGCCGCGATGCCATACGCAGTGATTGGATCGGAGACCGACGTGCAGACCGCCGACGGCCGCGTGGTCAAGGGCCGCCAGTACCTCTGGGGCGTTGCCGAGGTCGAGAACGAGGAGCACTGCGACTTTGTCAAGCTGCGGGATCTGCTGATCAGAATCGACATGCTCGATCTGATATACTCCACCGAGGAGAAGCACTATGAGGCCTATAGACTGCAACAGATGGAGACGCGCAAGTTTGGCGAGGCCAGGCCGCGGAAGCTTGATAACCCCAAGTTCAAGGAGGAGGAAGAGGCGCTCAAGAGACAGTTTACAGAGCAGGTCAAGCAGGAGGAGAAGAGGTTTAGACAGTGGGAGCAGCGTCTTATTGCTGAGCGCGATAGGCTGAACAAGGATCTCGAGAAGATCCAGGACAGCATTCACATGACGCAGCTCAAGCTTGATGCTCATCCAAACTACTCGGGCGGCCGGAGTAATGCTAAACGCTGATCTGGTTTTTTCTTTTTTGTTTTTTATATTTCCTGTTTCTTTGCTTGCTCTGTTTTTCATTCCTAAAGGACAACTAAAATTCCAGTACTGCTTTGTTCATCTTGTTTCTCTTTTGTCTTTGTATATGATTATGTTTAGGGTTTGCTTCTTCAATGTCTATCCAGTTCTTTTTCTCTTTTCCAGATCTGATTGCTGTACTGGTATCGATCGTCCAGCTGTGAGGTTTACGACAGCAAGTCTATAGTTTGCGTGGATTGATGGAGTAGTGTGCAGTAATACAATGTTTCAAAAACTAAATGATTTGAATTGATTTGATAATCTGTACTGTTTGTTGTGTATCCTACACGCATCATTCTTTCTCCTTACATTCTAAGAATGTTTAAACGAATCCCTTGCGAGCTGGATGATACAAGTTAGAATCCAGAACACGATCTCACTATATGAAATGACTATATGAAACAGAAGCACTTACAGCCAGTGAAGAAATACTGCACAATAGCAACCTGCCCCAAAGCCATAGCGACAATCGCAACCGACTCCACGATCTGGAACCAAAAGATCCTGTTCTCGGTCGACTTGACTGTCGCGAAGTTTCGGTTCTCGCGCGTGCGGAAGTATTTCTGCGTCCGCGAGATCGTAGTCAGCTTTCCCGAGACGGAGTGGATGCTGTTTTCCAGAGGCGACACGTCTTCTGTCGCGGTAGCGGGCTTGATCGGTAGTTCTGCGCGGTCCTCGTTCTCGACCTGGGGTTTGAGGATGATTAGTTTGGTGATGCTTCTTCACAACGGCTCGATTATCTGACGACAGGGGACACATACAGCGATCTCAAAGTCAACAAGCTTTTCAGCAAAAGTCGACATCTCGTTCAAAAAGCAGAATCGGTACTCGCCGACCTCGTTGGCGGTAAACACGAAATCTCCCTGACGCTCCTTCTCTCCTTCGAGGATTAGTTTCAAAGTAGGCGACGTGACAGCGTAGTCGATATCGAACGATCCTCCGCTTTGCACCTACAACAACAACAATCAACAGTAATTAGCAAAACAATCCACACACAGTCTTCAGTAATTAAAACACACGACGCACAGCGAAATAAAACGCGACTTTGACACCGGTCTGCTTCACGTCGGCGTAGAAGCACGCGCGCTCGTTCGCGGCCACGCTGTAGGTCAGGGCCGTGGCCGAGACGTAGCTGACGAAGAGCGAGAGCAATGTGAGTAGTTTCATCATTTCTTGTATTTCCTTTTTATCTGTCCCGATTGCTTTCCTTTCTCTCTTTCTTCCTGCTCGATCCAGATCCTTCCTTCAACAGAGCGGGTTGTGGACACCTCGAGCGTGTCGATGCCTCCTCAATTCAAGTCCCGTGACTTCAACACAAACCCCGTTGCTAACAAATGACGTAAGCAATTCCGCTTACTCATCAGCTAATCCCGCTATTTAATCCAAACCTCCACCGTTATCGATCGTCTTCCCTCCGCAAACAGAGCCAATTCCTCTTTTACCGCCCGAGTTTTCTTGTTTCCCCAATGTCGTTGGCCAAAATCATCCCGCCCAAGCCGATTAAGCTGTACTGCTGCATCATGTGCGTTTTGCGTCTAATTGAGCTCGTGGAAGGAGCAAGACTGCTAACGCTGACGGTTCTCTAGCTGCCCGTGGGCTGCGCGCACCTGGATTGCGCTCACTCAGGCGAACGTCGAGTTTGAGTACATTGAGATTGATCTCAAGAACAAGCCGGATTGGTTCTTGAAGGAGGTCAACCCTGGCGGTGAGTTGGAGTTGCTAATCTGATGTTTATCTGATGGTTGTTGGATAAGATGCTGATAGTGGATCGTGGATAGGCAAGGTTCCTACTTTGAAGTATGGCGACGAGTATCTTATCGAGAGTGCTATCACTACCGAGGTATGTATATCCAGTTTTGCTCAGCTGCTGTACGTTTACTCGAGTCTCACTGACTGTATTCTGGCCATAGTTCGTCGCCGATCTTGTCCCTGAAGGTATCCCACTCTACTATTTCCCCAATTCTCTCTATTTTCCTACTTATCTAACCACTTCACCCAGCCAAATTGCTCCCCAAGGACCCCTTCAAGCTTGCCCAGAGCAGGCTTCTTTCCGACCGCTTCTCGGAGTTCCTCTTCCCCGTCTACCGCAAGAGCATCTACGGCGGCGATGTCTCGGCCTTGAACGATATCTTTGATGCTATCGACAAGTTTGTGCCGTACTTGGTCAACGCTAAGCCGTTTTTTGATGGGTCTGAGGTTCCTACTTTGGGTATGTCTTATGCTTGTCCTGTGGTTATATCTTCTGGGTGCTGACAATTTTTACAGCTGAGCTCTTGGTGGCCCCTTTTGTCTCCCGCGTATGTTTTATCTCTTTATTCCAGCTTTGGAAACACATCCATAAACTCCTGACGTTAAACTCCTGACGTTATACTAACTCCGCCTCAGATCTACCTCGTCCTCGAGTCTGACATCGGTTCCAAGGACGTCTTGACCAAGCTCTCCACGTAACCACACCCTCTCATCTTTACACTCTACCCCTACCGTCACGCCTTCTAACTAGTTGAGTACACCACAGCGACCCCAAGTACGCCTACTTCCACACCTGGGCCACAAACCTCATCGCCTCCCCCGGCGTCGCCGGAACTTTCGACAAGGCAGTCGTACGTATCCTTCACTACCACTTCCTCGTCTGTGAGACAACCAATACTGATACAATTTCTCTTTCGTCATATAGAACCTTGCTCACCTTGCTGAGCGCATTACTAGTCTCAAGGCCAACTAGCTCGCCGGCCAAAAGCTGTGAGAACGCGCGGTTGTCTGCCTGGTGCAGATGCAGATGTAGATGCAGATAGGCGGCGTCTAGCTAATGTTCTATTACTTCAATAATATGACATCTCTTAACCATCACAAACATAAACCATATCTCGACTATACAAATAATCCATCCGCAGATTTTAGACACATAATGCAACAACCTACGATAAAGGTGTCATCAAAACCTAACCCGCAACCCGCCTTTAAACCTTGCAATACGCGAAAACGCCAAACGTTGAAAGTAAACGGTCCGAGTCAACAGTGGTCTCGATATTTTTAAGATGAATAAATTACATTAAACCAGATCTTCATTATTTTTCACGAAAGACAAACGAACTATGCAGAGAACTTATAAGCAGAAAGATAAGATAAAGAAACGGCGGGAGAGGAAAATGAAGGACGGGAAAGCAGATGTTCTGCATCTTTCGAGACTGGTGAAATGAAGCAAACGGACATGAAACGTAGAGAGAGGCCGCATCGACAAGAGTAAGTGCGACAAATAAATGACAATGACAAAAGCGTTGATAAAAAACAATGAAAGAGGAGGGGAAGAGGAAAAGAGGAAGAGAGGATAACGCCGTTGATAAAGATCGAGACTTTGGAAGGAAAGAGATGGAAGTAGTCATGCTTTCAGAAGCCATCTCTGCGTCATTTTGGCGGTTGAAGTGATCAACCAGACTACCAATAAGCAGCATTGTAGAATGGAAAAAAACTCAATCTAAAGCAGTATGAGTATGAGTTGAAGATATAAAACGAAGATATGTACCCCAAAGAAGTTCAAGGATTCTAGAGAGCGTAGGAATATAATACAAGAGAACGCAGAATACTGCCGGGCGTCTTTTTCTTTCTCTTTAGACTCGATGATGCCCACGAATGGTTTCGTTTTCACTTTTTGGAGAGATCGCGTATGCATGTGAGAGGAAACAGTTATGGAGAAAGAGGAGACTGGGGTACAGCACTGCCCGGATGCGTGCCCGGCCGTATCAGGCCTGCTGTTGCTTTTTGATCTGTTTATTGACAACGTTAGTCTTTCTGACTCACTACTAGTACAAAATGAGATGCTCACCGTCATTCCACGAGAGACAGGCTGCTATAAGCTGCAGCACTTCAAACCGCTTCGTGTCGCTCCGGGGTAGACTAAGAAACGAAAGGAGAAGGTTTGTGATGAGTTGTCTTAAGATCATTGCGTTAGTAAGGCAGGTCATCTTCTAGGGTCTGCATAGAACATACCGGTTGACGTTCTCGTCTGGCTCGCCCTTTTTCAGGAGTCTCAAGGCCTTTGTCAGATGCTCGTTCAGAATGACAGCTATCGAATAGATGTTAGAACTCATACACTGCGAAGAAGATGCAAAGAGAATATGTACGTACCCTCATGTCGAAGTTTACCAATCAGCAATGTCTTCTCCTTGACTTCCTTCTCAAACGGCCTCATCCTCTCGAGATCCTCCTTCGTACTCGTGATTTCCGTCTTCAAACCCTGCACCTCCTCACTCAACGCAACCTTCTCCTCCGTAAGCGCATCGATCTGCGCCTGCATTTTCTCAACCAAGTCATGCAGCTCGTTATTCCGCTCAACCTGCATGACCTCGATCGCCTGCCGTAGACTGATCACGTTATTCGCCATATCGTCGCGCTCCTTCAAAACAGTGTCGTGCTCGCTTTTCAGACTCTGGTATTCCTCCTCCAACTCCGCCGCTCGCTCAACAGTCGCTATCCGCATCGTCTTCTCCTCCTGCGCAATCAACTTCCAATCCTCAGCCGCGCGCTCCGCTTCCGTAAGCTGCGTCTGCAACTTCTTCTCCCGAGCGACGAGCTCGTCGCGCTCGCGCGCGAGAAGATCTTGAGAGGCAAGAGAGCTTTGCCGGACTCCGGCGAGTTCTTTGGAAAGCTTATCGGCTTCCTCGGATGCTGTGATGACTTCTTGCTGCAGAGTCGTGATTGTCTCCGAAAGCGCCTTGTTCTTCTGCTCGAGGTATTCGATGTTTGTTTTTTGTCGCGCAATTTCCACCTGTTTATATGATAGTGAGTTAGCAAGCCGTCCTGAATAAGATAACGCGGTAAAGAGAAGGGGGAGATCATACAGAATCACTCTTCAATCGGTCACCGAGCGTGCTTCGAATATGTGAGACCTTGCCGAGCAAGTTCTTATACTGCACCTCGGCCTCGCTCTTCGCCTTCTCCGCCGCCTCAACTTTTGCCAGCAACTCCTTCTTCTCCTCCTCACTCTTCTTCTTCTCCTTTTCATGCTCGAGCGTCAGCGCCGCAAGTTTCTCCGCAAGCTCGCCTTGCTCCTCTTTACTACTACCACTCTTCGACGCGTCCTCCTTCGACATCTCAGACGACATCCGCGACGACGACGGCGTATCCTGCTCTTCCTCCTCTTCCTCCTCTCCCACCGCCACGCTATTCACGCTCTTCTCAGAGCCGTCTGTCGAGCCCGCGTCCGGCGATTGTCCTACCTCCTCCTGCTGGTGCGGGGGATTCGTGTCCTCCGCGTCCTCGGCCATTCCTGCGCTTGGTGATAGATCCTCGTGCTTGACTATCTCCGCTTGCAACCTGCGTAAGTGCTTCTTCTTAACCGCTATCGACTAGGTGTGAATAATATCCTGGTGCTTCAGTCACTCAATTGCTGTCGCTGCTGCTGCTCCTCGACGACGGTCTACAAGCCCTCAGTCAATCGATTTGCTTTTGATTCAGAGGAGACAAGGAAAGGTTACCCGGCCCCCAACCGCCCGCCTGCAGCCTACATATCTGTGATAAGTAACAACATGCCCGTCGTCTTCTGGCAGTTTTTATGTACATACAAAAAGATAACAAACAGTAAAACAAGAGAGAAATAAGGCGAAGAATGCAGAAACTCTGAAAAAGTTGGACTAGAACGAGCTCTATAATAATAGAAAAAAAAAGAAAAGATAATGAATAATCCGGCATAGAAATACACAAACAAGGAAATAGAAAAACAGCATCCCTGAACCGATCCGACCCTACTTACGGAGTATCGCACTTGTTTACGATATCAAAACAAACAAAACAAAACAACAAAAGCAAAAACAAGAACTGAGACTGAGACTGAGACAAAAAGGGGCGATTATAATCAAATGAGAGTGGAGTGTATGCATGCTCCTGCTTGCGCAACCAAACGCAAAGAAAGAAAAGTGCTCGAGAGCGGGTGATCAGTCATCCGCCTGATCCTCTTCCATCTCTACCCGCAGCTCATGGCACAGATCAAAGCACTATCATAAACTGTTAGTCTCGGTTCGGCCCTCGACACAAACTTAGAAAGACATACCTCTGCCAGAAGCGCATTGAGAAGACCCTGGCCTTCTGGAATCGCGTTGCCGATCATGAATTTTCCATCAACTCGTAGGTTATCAATCGAAGCCAGCTTCATTTGATACGGATATAGTTCCCTAGTCGACGACAGTCCTCCCATTCGTTTCACCTCCATCAAACACTTGCGGACCGTGCTCAGTTGGTTTTGGATCGGCATTAAAGCTTCTGAGACAGGCTCGCTAGATACCAGTAGTCTGTAAATCAAAGCGTAGCATCGTCGAAGAAGGTACAGCAGAACCTGTTTGTCACAAATTAGCAAATCATCAGAGAGCATTCCCACAGTGGCATATAGGAACTTACAGCCTGGCCCTCGGGAGCGGTGCCGTCTTCATCCAGAAACGATCCGTTGACTCTCATATCATCGATCGCCTGGAGTTTCTGCTGGTAGTTGTACAGATCAGTCTCTCGCAGGGTCCAACGATGGGTCAGCATCATGCCTTCGAGCTGGTTCTTCATCTCCACAAGCTGGTCATAAATCGGTCGCAAGCTATCAGCAACCAACTCCTTCCGCGCAAAGAAATCATTCAGCACATTGTGGCACTCCTCGAGTAATCCGTTGAGCACATTCTGGCCATCAGGGATGTTCCCATCAGGCGAGAGGAAATTGCCGTCCACCCTCTGATTTTCTATATTCCGCAGTTCTTCCTGAAGCTTCTTCAACTCTGACATGTGCAGCTTGGGCATTGATCCGACTGAAACGATCTGCCGTCTGATCGACACAAGTTTTTGTAAGATCGGAGCGAGTCTGTATATCAAGCATTGATCAGCACACGTTATCGAGAATATGTAATGCAATATAATGAATATACGTACTCGGGAGACACAACCGCAAGCGAATCGAACAGTTCCCTCAGAGAGTGCTCTATAAAAGATCAATTAGACTGGCTCAAGAACAATGCAGTAAACTCGTAGGAAGCGTACCGCAGACGCTGGCTTTCGCCCTGATCAGCTGGATTATCTCCGACGACTCCGTTGGGTCATCGCGCTCGATGATTCCTTTAATTTCATTCAGCCGGTCCTGGATCGGCTTCAGATCGTTTTCAGAGTACACGCGACTCTCATGGAGATGGTCGAGAAGGCGCTGCAGTGAGGAAAAGAATCGTCAGTCTCTGGGAATTTAGCCGATGTCTACAGGGCGTGTGCACTTACCTTGACTGTAGTCAGCGAAGCATAGGTTGCTGGAGCCGTCCGAGTGAGACCGATCGTGAGGAGAGAAAGTGAAAGGAGCTGAAATACATCGTCCAGCACAACGTCGACTGTAGATCGGGTTAGATAGAGGATCACGGAGGAAGGTTATTGTCATCAGAGTATGAATGTACCTCTGTTCTGTTCGTCTCGTAGGCCCGGTTGCTCACGGATGTGGTTGATTTTCCGGACTTCGGCAATTAGTTGATCGTAGAGTGAGCTGATATCGCTCGACTTGATGTATCTACAGCTTTGTATTAGCGATCGGGGCCAGCACACACCAGAGACCACACCGGACAATGCTCGAGATAACCATTAGGAATACGCACGTTGAGCGATCCTGCTTGATCGCAGTGAGCCGTTCACGGATAGTGACAAGCCTCTGCAGGATTGCGGTCTCGTTAGCGGGCACGGTAGGTGTTCCCATGGCTGATTGTGACGATAGAACGGGGACTGAATTGGACTGTTGAAGGCAGATGCCGGGATGGAAGGTGCTGAGCGTAGTGGAGAAGGTCTGTTGACCGTAGTTGGGACTCTGACGAGTGCCCGATTTGAGTTTGGGCCCTAACCCGCGGTGGCCTGTCGCCAATCAATTCCGGCCGCCAAGTGATTGATTTCCCTTTCTTTGTTCTTCTTGACTACGCCTGGGCTCGATTGTATCGGGATTTATTATCCAGGGCCCGGGGAGGCTGGGTCGTGGCTAAGATTTCAACAGGGGGGTGAGAGATTAAACAAAAACACGCAGGTAAGCGAACAAGAAGCGACCGAGACAATAGAGTACAATGACATTCATACACCCAGCAGACGAAAACAAACAGAAATAAGACAACTCGGAAATAAAAGAAAACATAGACAGTCCGGTCTGATGTTATGACTTCTTGAACTGCATCTCTGCCATCAGCGATATGTGACTATAGAAATATAGAGTTAGTATCAATATAAAAGCAATAAAAGCAATGGCTATCATCCAGTTCAACTTACTCTGACGTGAAATGCGCGTTAGGAAACCCAATAACCTTAGACATGTACTCCTTGTCCGGCTCGCCCAGCAGTCCGGTCACAGATAGATTGTTGGCCGAGTACCAGACGTAGTCGATCGATTCGGTGAACGTAGGCGTACAGTTCGTAAACGACAGCTCTCCGATGTTTGAGTACGCAGACTTGAGTGTGAACGGGTGCTGGATTCCTCCCGCCGTAAACTTTCCGTACTTGAATCCCTGCATATCGTTGTGGTCTCCCTTCACCTCGCCGTGCGTGATGAGCTCGTACACACCGCTGTCCACCGTCGAGTTGAAGTCACCGCACACAATCATCGGTATCTGTGACGCAGAGCTATACGCTTCCTTGTGCAATTCCGACGGTTTTGTCTTTGCAAACTTCTCGCCCATGTCTCGAATCTCGCTCATCAGCAATCCGACTTGCACAAGCTTGACGTCCATCTGCAACGGATCCCAATGCAGATGAGTGTTTCCAACAATCAGTCGGTTGCCCGTCTTGATGTGCTCCAAAAATACAACAATGGCAACATTGTCTCGTGTTGATATTCGGTTATAGATGTCCGGGAACTTACTGATGGTCTCGTTTTCCCATAGTAGTTTCAGCGCGGCTTGGTTGTACTCAATGGACTGCTTTTCCAGCAGCTTGAAAACAGACTTCTTGTAGAATATCGCACAACCATCAACCTTCTTCCGCTCCTTGTCTCCCATAGTCTTCACTCTCGTCTTGGGCCAGTAGTATCCACCATAGTCTTTCAGCAGAGGAGTCAGAAACTCTTCGTATGTTTCTCCGTCAACTTCCTGCAGACAGAATATGTCTGCGTTGTATCTTTGCAACTCCTCCTGAAGTCGAGCCTTCCGGTATTCCCAAGTGAGTGCCCATTTTGGACAATAGCCGTAGATTCCAGTATACCGATCACAAAGAATGTTGTAAGAAACCACAGTGAAAAGTTCGTCCTTGTGATTCTGTGCTTCTTCATCCAGTTCGATCCAATCTCGGTCTGCAGGAGTAGGAGGGGCTGTAGCAACATAAATCAGTATCACACTCCATCAAAACACTGATAAAAAAAGCAGCTACTTACGAGGACCGTTATCTCGGAGCTCAACAATAACACCTCGGGTACCTTCTCGGGACATCAGCGACTTGATGGACTCAGGTAATGGATTCCCTTCTATTCCCAGCACTTCCAACTTGTACAGCATTCCCATTTCAGGCGGTAGATTCGATATGTTGTTGTCGATAATCAAGAGCATCCGCAAACTCCGCAGCAAACCAATCTCGGGAGGTAGCGAAGTGAGCATGTTTCCGCTGAGATCCAAGACAGAGAGCTGGCACAGATTGCGAATAGCCCCAGGAAGCGACATAAGTCTGTTGTGATTGATGTAAAGCTTGTCTAAAAACTGGTAGTTGAACAAGTTGACGTTGATGTTGCGAAGACCTTGGCCTCCCATATCAAGCGCTGACCAGTCCTGGCGGTGATCGTTGATTTCATCAGAAGCAAGCGCACGGCCGTCGATATCCGCAGACTCAACCCGAGCATGCTGCAAGCCATAAGACTTGAAAGAAACACCAGACAGCAGAGGCGTACTCCCGTTTCCAGAAAAAAGCAGATCAGTCATGCCAGAGGCCGTGGCGGTCCCGCCGCGAGAGATTGTGGCAGCAGCTCGAGCATGGTGATGTGGGGAGCTGCTCGCCCGCGAAGTCTGAGCAAGCTGGAGCTGGCTCTGCCAGTGATTCGTCAAAACCATATATATTTATGTTCGCCAAAGTCGTTATTGTATTTTATCGTTCGTTATGATTGTAAGGCGTCACAAGAAAAATTCAGGACGAGCAGGGAAGGGCTTTGAACAGCGGTGGAGGCATTGATTGGTTGAATACTTTGCAGCAAGGAAAAGTCAGGATATTGGCCAGATAGAAGAAGCATCAAACAAGTAAAAGGCGAATCCGCCGAGAAAACACTCACCAGACGAATGATGCAAAGTAGTTGATGAATCAATGTGTGGAGGGAAACGTTTGGTTGAGCTGGCGAGATCGGAGGTTGATGATTCCTTCGTCAAAATCACAAGTTCACATATTTGTGATTGGGTCACGTTATTATTACTAAGTTATTACGTTATATTTGTTTGTAGCTTAGCATACATTTGCTATCAACTGTTTACAACAAGGAGCCAATTTGTGTCTTATTGCTCGGGTTTTGTTGCAGGCAAATATGTCAGACGCTGTGCTCTAATTGTATTCACTGTTCTGGCCTGAAGCATCGTTGCAGTGTAGCGACCGCACAGCTGCTCATTCTTCGCTGTAGTATTGTCGCTTCATAGACCTGTACTTTCGCACATGATAAAGCGCTGCGATTTCTAGATGCACAAGCAATTGTAGAATAAACAGTCAGATCATTGCTCTTTAGTATAAGACATCCAATCACTGCAGCAGAGAGGCTCGAACATCCCCAGATCATCATACCTTTCTCGATGAACTCTGCAAACCGCAGTTTCTCTTCGATCTGGCTTGCGTCAACAAGATCTCTATTCTTCATGAACCCGGAATGAAGCTTGTCTCGAAAAAACTGGTATCCTCGGCTATATCATTACCATCAGCACTTTGAACATTGCGATATAACCGACGGCGTAGACATACGGATACTCGCGACCCATAAAGAGTAGCTGCTTGTACTGGCGGATCACTCGATATCTTAACTGATTTGACTGCATTGGTAAAACAGAATTGCGTCTGCTGTTCAGACATCAAGCTTTTGTAACATTCAGTTCATCGTTGTGTCATTTTGCGGTAGCTGGTTCTATGATGATTGATGTCGAATGAGCAAGTTGTAAGGTATAAACTCCATCGTAAGCGGGGAGGCGATCGTACTCAGCTCATTATGCTGCCATCATCACGTATATTTCTACATTGGAAGAAGAACCGCATAACAGGTGTAGTATAATGGATCGGAATATTTGTAAATTACCTGATTTACTGTAGTAATATTATTCTTTCTAACAGTCTACGTGTCTCGGAAATAAGAGCTTGTTGAGACACGATTTATTGATTAAGCTAGAAGTATCGAAATCCGCTGCATCTTCATATCCGCAACTGTATAACTAGAAAAAAACCTGAAAATATCTAATCGTTTATATTGATTATCTAACTGTCTCTTAATCCACAAAAATCTTCTTCTCGAGCACATCGTAGTTGTTGAAGTACGACGAGAACAAAGAAGCCGCAAACTCAACATCAGCAGTACCACCGGTCTCGCGGATCGAGTGCATAGACAGCTGCGGGTTACCCAAATCCAAAGTGCGAGTTCCCAAAAGCGAGGCAAGAGCAGGGCCGATCGTAGATCCGCAAGAAGAGTCATTGCGGACAACGAAAAGCTGCAAAGGAACCTTGTTGATCCTGGCAACTTCCTCCAAAAGAATCATTCCGGGAGAGTTGGTCGAGTAGCGCTGGTTCGCGTTGATCTTGATGACAGGTCCTTTGTTCATCTCAGGTCTGTGGTTGGACTCGTACTTGGCGGGATAGTTGGGATGAACCGCGTGCGCCATATCGGCTGAGAGGAGGAACGACTTGTTACAGGTCTGCTCAAAGAAGGTAGTGTCGGCAGAAGCATCAGCGGTCGCATCGGCAGCGGCATCCCCAGAAAGGGCAGAGAGACGCTTCACACTATACAACGTTGTCAGTTCATCAGCTATCTTCAAAAAAAGTAGATAGCGACAGCTCTCTTACATGGACGGCAAGAAGTTCGAGCGGGCACCCTGGGCACTCTCAGAACCAATCTCCTCGTGATCAAAGCACGAAATCAAGCGGATAGTCGAGTCGCCATCAAGTGCGTCTGGCTCGGCCAACGAGTCAATGAGACCACGGATTGCGCAGTAAGTCATCATCTGTATCGAAATGTTAATAAACGCCAGTTCCGAAGACAAATTATAACAGCTGTATAAATACCTGATTGTCCAAGCGCTGAGAGAAAATGAACTCGTCTGAGAGACCTCCGAAAGTCGAAGGATGAGTATCGTAAAGGACGAGCTCGAAGTCACGCACGTAGCTGATAGGAACCCCGCAGGCCTCGGCGATCATCCAGATCAACTTTGGCTGATGTCGAGAGGTCATTGTCGAATACGGCATGAACTCGGAGTCATCCTCGCCGGTGGCAGTGGCAGTCGACCCTTCGGGTGCTTCCTCGCACTTGTTGAGCATCTCTGCAGCGAGTCCCGCAATTGGGAAGAGATGTGTTTCCTTGTTGAACTCGAATTTCAGACGAACCTCAGAGTCAAGATGGATGGCAAGAGTGGGAATTCTCAAGACTATGGATCTGGTCAGAATTGCCGAACGAAGTGAGTTCAGTCACGAAAGATAGCACTTACTGGGCTTGTTGATCTTGATGAGCTTTGGCACGTGGTCTCCCTCCTCAGTCTTGACGTACACACGGCCTGCAACACTGAGATCCCGGTCGAACCAGGTGTGCCTGAAATGTAATTACTATTGTCAGATAAAAAGGACATCGGGCACAATAAAGAGATTGACTGTACGTACCAAAGACCACCGCCGTAGAGCTCGACACCAACCTGCAGGTAGCCTTCGGCACCCTTCTTGGAGACAGGCTTGAGGCTACATAAACGCCAAAATAGTTAGAAACACAGCTGTACAGAATAGACCACAACGAGCGAACTCGACTCACCGAAGAGTAGGACTGTCAGTGTGGGATCCGACCATGGCGATACCATTGCCCGGCTTCCAATTCTTCCCGACACCAAAGGCAATGATACTGCTGCCGTTACGGGTGCAGAAGTACTTCTTGCCCTTCTCGACTAGGCCGAGCCAGGAGTCGCGCTCCTTGAGCTCGATGAAGCCGGCGCTGAGCAGAAGCTTCTTAGCGTTGTCGACGACATGGTAGGGAGTGGGCGAGCTGTTGACAAACGCGATGAAGTCTGGAAGAGTTAGCAGCAGCCCAAAACTCTTGCAGGATAGTAAAGATATAATCACTCACCAGAGGCATATGCTTTAGCTACGGACATTCTGGTAACCATGGGCAAACAACAACGAGAGGATAGGAAAGAGAGCGAATGGAGACGATATCCAGGATACCGCATCCTATCGCCATAGTAAGTGCTGACACGGGTTTTGTGTCGATGATACCCGCCACAGATCGTTGGCACCTTGTTTGTTTATTATCCAACTTCCTGCAAGAACCCGGCACCTCCTCTGCTCCATTCAACAATTCTACTTCAGCCGTACTTTTTGCTGTTGAGAAGCTCATGCGCTATTGCTCGCGATAAGAATGCCGCCAGACGAGGGCAGAAACGATCCGCTTTCGCCTTTCTTGCCCGGCAGTACTGAGCGTCTTAGCGCTTCCCCGCATAGAAAGCGGATACGGGTCGCTTATAGCGACCGGTGAGTCGAATTCTTTTCTCTTTAAGACAGATCAGTATGAGAAGCTATTAGACTAACTGCATTATCTTATTAGGTATATACCAAATCGCGATAGCGTCAATCTGCAGGCTGGGTTTAGCTTGAAGCCCGAGAGCTCAGCGACCGATGAGCGAGTACCATCGCGATCAAGCGAAAATGAGTTGGACAGTCAGAGAAGTACGAAGTAGATCGGCTGAACCCGAGCACACAATACAGACTGCTAACAGGAGATTGCTCTTTAGTCGAAGAAGCGAATCGAACATTCACAGAAGTATTACGTTCCGAATTATTTGGCGATGAAGTGCCTTCAAGCGAGCCCGGTCGCACTCCTCCATCACTAGGCGCCGAGTATTCCGCCAGCGGCTCCGTCACCCCGCCCCGATTACATCCATCTACACCTTCTACTCCGTCTCGAAATCTGTTCACATTCAAATCTCCTTCTGCTCGCCGAACACCAACAAAACAGTTAAACGGCGCGACCCTCGACGTCGAAAATGAGGTCTTCTCTTTGTCGCCAGTGCGCTTTCAATCACAGCAAATGCTTCTGTCGCCCCGAAAACAACTACGATCGATACCAAAAGTCCCCTTTCGGGTGCTGGATGCTCCTGAGCTGGCTGATGACTTCTATCTGAATCTGGTTGACTGGTCATCCTCAAATATCCTCGGAGTAGGGCTCTCACGATCCGTATACCTATGGAACGCAGTCAGCGGGAACGTCAGCAAGCTGTGCCAACTTCCAGAAAATGATGCTGTCACATCACTAGCATGGCTTCAGGAAGGAAAATACCTGGCGGTCGGATCACATCGTGGGATAGTGCAGATCTGGGACGCCGAAGCAGAACGAAAACTACGAACCATGGACGGACACACCTCTAGAGCTGGTTCTCTGGCGTGGCGGGGGCATATTCTATCTTCCGGTAGTAGAGACAAGTCGATCCTTTTGAGAGATGTGCGTGAGTCTGGTTCTTATTTTCGACGGTTGACGGGCCACAAGCAAGAAATTTGCGGCTTAAAATGGAGTAACGAGGACGATAAACTTGCATCCGGCGGAAACGACAACAAACTGTTTGTCTGGGACAGCATCAGCGATTCACCCCTTTTAAGATTTACAGAGCATGTTGCGGCAGTTAAAGCGATTGCCTGGAGTCCACACCAGCGAGGTATCTTGGCCTCCGGTGGTGGAACGGCCGACCAACGCATCAAATTTTGGAACACAATGACCGGAAGGCAAATCAATGAGATCGACACCGGCAGTCAGATCTGCAACCTGGTTTGGTCGAAAAACTCAAACGAGGTGGTGTCCGCTCACGGGTATTCACAGAATCAGATTGCGATCTGGAAGTACCCGTCGATGCGCCAGGTTACAGCACTCACAGGACATACGTGCCGCGTGCTTTATTTGGCAATCAGCCCCGATGGGCAGACAATCGTATCTGGAGCTGGAGATGAAACGCTAAGGTAAGACGAATCCCATTTATCTTTTAGGAAATGACATTCTTGCTAACCAGCTGGAACTGCTTAGGTTTTGGAACGTTTTTGGTAAAGGGAGGCCGGAATATCGCGAGGTGACTCTTTTGGATGTTGTGCCCCAACTTCGATGATGTATATATGGCTATAGATTTTTTATTTCTCTTTTTGAACTTGTACATTACTTGGCTTTCTAATTTTTTTTTGGTTAATTGAATGTTTTTGGAGGTTATTTTGTACAGAAACGCCGTCATCTCATGGATAAAAAGTTATTCTATTATAGAATGACAAACAGTCACCCAAATCAAACCACAACATAAATACAAAAGAAAAGAGAAAAAATGTTACTCCACCGTGTAAATTTTGTCTTAATTCTCCGACGCAACGCTTCTCTCCAACCTCGCCAGCATAGCATGATACTCTGCATCCTTCTTCTTCTTCGCCGCCAGTTTTTCTCTCGAAACGAACGCGTTGTCCTTGCGAAGTTCGCGAAGCGCGCCCTTGCGCTCTTTCTTGACCTGCGCCCTGAGCTTGCTGATCTCCTGTCGCTGGACATTCGGATCGTACGATTTCTTGTCGACCGAGTAGTTTTCTTCAAACTTGGGCGCGTAGGTGGGGATCGGGATCGGCTTGTGCTGTTGCAGCATCAGCGGTTTGCGGTTCAGCGTCTGCAGGTCGATGAGACGGCGAAGTTGGGTCGAGGTCTCGGTGATCTTGTCGCGGATCGCGCCGAGAGCGACTGATCGTTTCTTGGAAGCCGCGATCTCGGACGATAAGAGATCGAGTAATTCCAGGGACGGGGTGAAAAGCTCTTTGTATGCATCTTTTCCTTTCCACAATGACGCAAACTCGACCAGGGTATCAAGATCGGCCTTGAGGATCGACAACGCGAGCTGCCTTTCTGCTGGAGTGGAGATTTTGGTGATCGGGGTGTCGGTCATGATGTCTGAAATTTTGAGATTTCTCAGAGAGATTCCCTTGCTGGTACCCTCGACAGAGAGTTTTGTGAGATTGTCAGCGAGGGGAAACCCCTGGGGCGCAGCGGTTTGCGTGATGAATGAAAAGATTGAGAGATTGAGGTAGTTGATTGACTCTGGAATCACGCGTTTAGAAAGGTCGAGATACTTCCGCGACACTCTGGCTAATAAACTGGCTGAAGCGTAGTCTCCCAGGGTTGAAATGGGAAATTGAGAAAGATGCTGACCGATCAGGAGCATGGCGGGCGTAGCGATCAAATGGAAGTAATCCGAAGTCGAGAAGATCATTCCAATCAAAACGAAAATCATAGAGTCAGATGGAAGCGGATAGTCGCTCTCCTCGGTTTTCGTGATTGCTATTTGTAATCTTTGCCTGATGACCTTCAACTGTGTTCTGAAGCCTTCCGACATTTCTTCTGGGTATGACTGCGTGAGATCGTAAATCTTTTTGACAAGTTTGTTGTAATCATCCTCGGAAAGATCTGAACTGTCATCCACGATTGAAACCGCGTGCTCTATCAGCAAAGGACCGAATTTCTACATATTGTTAGCACCATTATAAATCATATTTCCAGAAAACAGGTTGCGGTCTCATACCATCAGTTTCTCTTTGTTTCCGGCAGCTAAACTCGGGTGGTAGAGAGTCATGATGCGCTCGATAATCGTAAGCTGTTTGTCCAATCCGTGATCCTCAAAGATTTCCAGCAGCTCATCGTAAGTTGAAGGGCACTGATAAGTGAACTTCAATCCTGATTTTAAATCTTCCTCAGACAACTCAACAGAGGGCTTTCCACGTCTGCCCGACAAAGGAGTTGCGTTTGTAGAAGTGGACACTTTCTTGGTGCGAGCTTTCGAGTCATCATCAGACCCTTCATCGCTCGCGCCGGACTCGACATCAAACCCCTCTTCTTCATCATCGACATCACCCAGACCTTTTCCAAAGCCAAAATCAGCAGCATCATCGAGCTCGAAATCGTCTTCGAGATCGTCAGCATCAGCATCAGGAGCACGCTGCTTCGGCTTCTCATCATCCTCGTCGACGTTTTCACCTCTCATTCTGCGCAGCCGCTGATCTTCCAGCTCCTTCAACTGCTTCACGCGTTCCTCGGCAAGCTCCTCTTCGGTCTTTGTGCGATCGCTGGGTTGGGCGCGACGATCGAAACCAAGCTCGCGCACGGCCTCGTCATACTCGATGTCGCGCTCGGGAACAGGTTCAGAGGGTTGAGTGGTTGCAGCCGAAGAGCTGAAGAGTAGTGATCGCAGACCGTCCATTTCTCCGTCCAGCGCCTCGATCTGTTCCAGATCTTCCTCCTTTGCTTTCTGTCGCTCGTATTTATACATTTTGGACTTTGCGATAACTTCCTTCATCACCTCGTTCTTCGACTTCTTCCGCTCGGGCTCGTCGTCGTCAGAAGCATCACCCGGCCGCCGCTTCAAGCCTCCGTTCGAGTCGCCGAGAGTGAACTCGTCATCAAGAGACAGCGACTGACCGAAATGCGTCAATCCCTCGCTCTCGCCGTCGTCGTCTTCTAGGTTGAACAGCGACGACGTCCGCGATGATCGAGACTGTCGCTCGCGAGTGAATCGCTCGAGCATTCGTTCTTCCGGCGTCATGTTTGGATCGTGCTCGCCAAATCGTCTGTCGACAACCGCACCAGCTTTGTTTTTCCGTTCGAGCTCTTTTTGTAGCGTCCGCCGTCTCTGTTGTGATGATCAGAGTAAGCATCTCCAACCTATATACATCAAGATGACAATTTGGGAATACTCACATTCTCCTCACCAATCTGCTTGCTCAACCCAGGCCGTCCAGTAGCACCCTGCACGCGTCTGCCCAAAATATCGCCATGCTTCTGCTTCGTCGTCTTGACCTCAAACGGATTAAACTCATCGCGGATCGAGGCCAGCAGATTATCCTTGTCCTCTCTCGACGCAGCCGGAACTCTTCCCCTCTTCTGCTTCTTCGCGTTCGTCTGGCCCGTGAACCCACTCGTCTTTAGTCGCTCCTTCAGTTGCTTGAGCTGTGATTTCGCCATCCTAACTTCTCGCAAATGTAAAGTAAAGACCTTGTTGTAAGCCTTTCTGTACTTTGATTTTAAACAGAAAAAATATTTTTGACCAGCAGCCAGCGAGCGTGCGGCTCTGCGCAGTGGACAAACTCCCAACTTTTTTAAACTTTGAATTAAAAAGTCTATTTTGCTTTCTTTTTTCCCAGCTCGAAGATTTTTTTGGGAAACAGAAATCAGGATCGTTGTTTGTATTCTTTCTTCATCTTTTGTTGTTTTATATTCACAGACAGACAAGATGAGGCAGAAACGGTCAAAGAACTACAGAAAGCAGATGGCGATCTATAGCCGCAACTTCCAGTTTCGACAACCGTACCAGGTTCTAGGTATGTTCAAGTCATTCGCATCTGGATGGACAACAGCATGCTAACCTCTTCACAAACACAGTCGACGGGGATATCGTATACGATGCGACAAAGTACAAAATGAACCTGCCAAAGGCACTCGAAGGTGTTGTGCAGGGCACGATCAAGCCAAGTATGTCTCGTCTGTTTGATTCCTCAGTGGCAAGTAATCATCAACCCAGCTAACCTCATGCGAACCTAGTGATCACCCAATGCTGCATAAAATCTCTCTACGACCGAGGGCCGGACGCGAAGGAAGCCATCGAGATCGCCAAAACATTCGAACGCCGCCGCTGCAATCACCTAGAAACACCGCTCTCGCAAGCCGAGTGTCTCAACGCGGTCGTCAACATCAAGGGAAAAAACAAGCATCGCTACGTTGTCGCGACCCAGGATCCCAGAGTCAGAGGCCAGTTCAGAGGAGTCGCGGCCACGCCGCTGATTTACATCAACCGAAGCGTCATCATCATGGAGCCCATGAGCCCTGCTACTGTTGCGGCCGCAAAGAGATTGGAGGAGGAGAAGCTTTCCGCTGGACTTAACAATCCTCGGTCACGAGCGTAAGGTCTGGCATTTGGTTATATCGGGTTTCCTTGTTTTTGCCGGCATTGTGTGTTTGTTTGTGCTGTATTTTCTCGTGCGCGTTTTGTATATTAGGTTGGGTTCACAAAAATGGAAAAGAAAAACTTATTTTGCTTTCTCATCTTTTGGAAGAAGTAGAATTATTGGAAACTAGCCTCACATTGATTCACAGAATAAACGATTGGATCGATAATCTTTCTTTTCTCAACAACAGCATTAAAACCAGCAAATTTTTCACACTAAAATCACCTCACCAGACCTTCAGAATAAACACACCACAAGATCCACCCATAACACTCATCCTTCCACACAAGAGTACTTAGTAAAAGATCTACTGAAGCTCCAAGATAAGCGTCGAGACCTCGAACGCACGCAACGAGATCGGGATTCTCGTCACGCTGCGCCGGTTAACCTTCATGGTCTGGAACGGGATCTCCTCCTTCTCGTCCTCGAGCAAGTTCGCCCAGCAGACTCTCTTGATCGGCAAGTTCGTGGCAAGAACGCCCTTGGACTTGCCGCCGATACTGTCGTACACACGCACGATGATGTTCTTACCCTCTCGGATCGGGAGGTGGCCGCGGCTCACGTCGACGTCGTCCTCTGCACGCTTGATGTTTGAGATGATGATGTTTGAAGGCTGCTCGATCGTGATGGATCCCAAAAGGTTTTCGGCGCACTGCACGATCTTGCGCTCAATGAAGTACGGGCGCACAGGGTAGTTGAAGTCGTAAGACGCACGAACGACGTCAGCGTTGATAGGACCCGAGTGAGGAAGAATCGCGTACTTCATCACATGGTGGCCCATATCAGCATGTCCGTCAGGAGCCTTGGGCGAACGCAACAAACTCAAGCGCATGGAGTTACCATGGATAGCAAAGCCGTACTTGCAGTTGTTCATGATAGTCACACCATACGTAGCCTCGGATAAGTCAGCCCACTTGTGGCAGCACACCTCAAACTTGGCAACGTCCCAAGACGTGTTGTAGTGAGTCGGTCTCCGGATCAGTCCAAACTGTGTCTCGTAGTTTGCAAGCTCGGAGTGGACGTCGACGTTGAACTCGGTCTTGAGAAACTTATGCGTCTCGTGCCACTCAACCTCGGTCTCGATGTCGAGGTAGGAAAGAGCGGTGATCGGCCCGAGATCGGCAGACGCAGCCTGAGGAGCAATCGATGCATCGAGAGAGATCGTTGACTTCAACCAACTCTTGTCCGAGATCTTGATCTCAACCACCACAGACGCACGCAGAGGCCCGGTCTCGCCCACAGTCATCTTGGCATCATCCAAATACTTGAACTTGTCGAGCGAGTATACCTCAGTATCCCAAGCCTGGAAGTAAAGCGGCTTATCGTCAAAGAGAACAAAGTGGTTAGCCTTTCCGCCCTCGGAAAGAACCTCGCGCTCCTCGGTCTTATCGTAGAGACCCGTGATAACACCGGAGGTGAGGGTAATCTTGAGCTTCTTGTTCTCTAGGACAATGGTATCAGCAGCAACCTCGGTAAGCGAGACGCTGTTGTCCGCGGTCGACTTGATTCCCTGGACGGGGCGCAGGAGGTTATTGACGCCAGTCTCCAAGACGACGTAATGCTTCTCGTTTTCCGTCTTCTGAGCAAGCACCTTGCCAGTAGCAAGAGTGCTAGGAACGTCCATGATAACCTGGCGCGGCCAAGGAAGCGAGCTGACCGCCACAAACTCGGCATTAGCAGTAGTCGGGTTGGCGGTGAACCCAAGAGCCTCGGCAGCTTCTTGAAGAAGCACGTTACCCTTCTCGGCAACCTCTGCGTAGAGCTTCTTTGCGTCGTCGTACACCATCTCGATAGCAGATCCAGGAAGGACGTCGTGGAACTGGTTGAGACACACAATCTCCCACAAGTCATCGATTCGCTCAGTAGGATACTTGTAGTCGGGGTTGGTGGTAGTCGCAAGAGTGGCAAAGTATTCGATATCATGGAGAAGAATCTCAGACTCACGGTTGCCCTTCTTCACGTCACTCTGGGTGGTGTAAGTACCACGGTGAAGCTCAAAGTAAAGCTCGCCGACCCAGGTGACGAGTTCCTTACCATCTTTCGAGGTCTTCTCAAGCTTGTCAAAGTACTCGTCGGCAGTGTGGCCCATCTTGACACGCGGCAGGAGACCGACAGTGTCAGACAATCCACGGTAGCGACGAAGCTTCTCCAAGTGCTCCTGAGTAGGACCACCGCCGCCGTCACCGATACCAAAGACGAGCAGTCCGGTCTGGTCCTGTTCAAGGTTCTTGTGGTTTCTGAGCGAGCCAGCGACCTCGGAGAACTCGACGCGCGAGGTATAGGTGTTTGCAGGGGGCATGTGGCAGAGCACCTGACTTCCGTCCAGAGCGACCCAGTTGAAAGTGCTGTTGGGGAAGTTGTTGATGTTGTTCCAACTCAGCTTTTGAGTCAAGAACCGAGACATGCCGGCTCCACGGCAAACCTGGGGCACTTGGGGCGAATATCCAAAGGTATCAGGAAGCCAGTATGTGACTGAGCGCTCGCCGAATTCGCTCTGGAAGTAGCGCTGGCCGAGAAGCATCTGGCGAACAAGAGCTTCGCCGGAGGGCATGTTGGTATCGTTCTCGACCCAGGACCCGCCAATGTAGTTGAACTTGCCGTTCTTGACCTCCTTTTTGATCTCTTCGTAGAGATCCGGGTATTCGGACTTCAACCACTTGTACTGCTGGGCCTGGGAACAAGCGAAGCGGTGCTCGGGGTATCGGCGAATAAGACTGATCTGCGATGCCCAAGAACGGGCCGTTTTGCGGCGAGTCTCGGCGTAGGGCCAAAGCCATGCGGTGTCTATCGGGCGCTGTTAGCAGAGATTATTCAAATAAAAAAAAATTAAGTGGAACATACCGATATGGCAGTGACCGATACAGTAGACAAAGTCCTTCTGGCCAGACTGGTACACATCTGTCGAGTCAATTGCTTCACCAAGGTAAGACTTTGTGATCTCACGACACTTGTAGACAGTCGAGGGATCCTCGGGGTCAAAGGCGTTCATGACATCGTTGCAGACCTTGAGCGCAAGGTAACTCTCCCAAGAGTCTTGATCGAGCTGGCGAGCAGCGTCGGCAATGATGCCAAAGTCGAGGTAGAGAGCTCTGGCCTCGTGGAAGGGTGCGACGAGGTCGGCGTTCGACAACTCGAACCAGCGGCCGGGATCGGGGGGCGCGATCTGGTCGCCGTCACCGTTGCCAAACATGCCGTTGCAGGAGGCCTCGAGGTAAAACACGTGCCAGGCGCCATCGCGGAACTCCTCAGGGATAGGCCAGTGCGGACGCTCGTCGTCACCGGTGAGACCCTGGAGCGGCATGCCGTCCTCGGAGTAAACAAGACCTTCGTTGTGGTTTTCCCAGTGCCATTCGAGCTGCTTGTTGCTCAGCCAGGGCTCGGTCTCAGGCACTCGAATGTGGACTTTGAACCAATGGGTGCTCCACGATGGGCCAAATGCCTCACCCTTGCGAGCAGGACGGAACTTGCCCTTGATGGCCTCCGCAAAGTGCGGGCGGGCAAGGTCGGGCACGGAGTAGACCTCAAGACGGACATACTCCTCGTCAGAAGTACGAGCTTCGTCGAGAACCCTAGGAATTGCAAGTCAGCGGGCAGGACAATGAGAGGATTGATAGTAAAGCAAGTACGCGGACACACGCAGGAAGGTTGAGGTCTCTGTAGGGACCGGTGCTGAGGAACTGGTCGATGCGGCCCTTGTAGATGTCGCGGACCTTCTTCGCGACCGGCTTGTTGTTCAGCTGAGGATAATCGGACGAGGGAGCCATGATCGCAGCAGGAATTGCGGTCTTGTCTGATAGTCTGCGTATGGATAGCAGCTCGAGACGAAGTCTGTGCTCGGGGAGGTCTAATCTCACTTCTCTCCACAGCCTCGAACGTTATCGAGAACAAGGCCCGCATTGTTTACATGCTGAGTCATTAACTATAGTATGTGTTAGTCATCCAATTGGGAGTGCATCTAAAAATTAAAAAGATCTCCTCTACACTCTCTCGACTTTATAGATATTCGCAGACAAAATGCCGTCAATAACAGTGCACCCGTCCACAGATCTCTTTAGCTCCTCAGGACTCACATACGAGTCCCGGTCACTGAAGCCGATTCGCGAGCGCGACGAGGCCGGTGACGGAGACATCGACATGGCAGACGGCGACAGAAGCGACGAAGTCGACGCAGAGGACGACGACGACGACAGCGAAGACGAGAGACTGTTTTCACTTGATCCCGAAGCAGACGGCGATGCAAGGATTACCGGCGTAGTCAAGGGAAAGCACATCGTCACCCCCGGCGAGCTGGTGACTTCAGACGCGACCTGGATGCGGTATGATTCCCTCTACCTTTTTTTCCACATCTACAGATCTTGCTAACTCCCCACAGCGGCCATGGAACCTACTCTGTAGGCAACTCAACCTACTCCTCCGTGGCGGGCACAATCACCCGCGTCAACAAACTTCTCTCGGTGACGCCTCTGCGAGGACGGTATGTGCCCGAGGTAGGCGACCACGTCGTCGGCCGCATCATCGACGTCGGCACTCGCAGCTGGCACGTCGATATCGGCGCAAAGCAAGCCGCCGTACTTATGCTCGGCTCTGTGAATTTGCCTGGTGGTGTTCAGCGACGAAAGTCGGAGAGCGATGAGCTTCAGATGAGAGTCTTTCTTAAGGAAGGCGATCTACTTAATGTAAGACTCTGCTTAGTCTTATTCCTATACGGCCTCGAGCGTTCTCTAACCTCCTTTACTTTTAACAGGCCGAAGTCCAAGCAATCTTCACAGACGGTGCAGCTTCTCTCCACACCCGTTCACTCAGCTACGGAAAACTCCGTAACGGCTACTTTCTCAACATTCCTTCCTCCCTCATCATCCGATCAAAGATCCACACTCTAGAACTCCCCGGCGGCGTCGACCTCGTCTTGGGCGTCAACGGATACCTCTGGCTTCGAAAACACACACAACAGCTCGGCGAACAAGGCGTCAGCATCACCAGATTAGCAGAAGAGGCCGGCTGGGAAATCTACAGCGACGAAAACGAGTACATCTCCCCCAGCATACGCGAGACCATCGCGCGCTATGCAAACGCAATCAAAGCTCTCGAGTTTGGCGAGGTCGGCGTGAATGAGCCTCGTGTTGTGGCTGCGTATGAAGCTAGTCTGGAGTTCAAAAACGTCGGAGAAATGGTGGAGAACGATGCTAAGCGTCGTATTGCTAGACAGGTCCTGGCTGCTAGGTCTTAAGAGGATCTTTTGTATGTTACCATATATGTATATTAGACTGTATAAATTTTTACTATTTAAACGGAAGACTTTCCCTCCACATACGAGCTGGCCTCAACCCTGCATGCTGCACTGCTAGTAATTGTAATTGTTCCGCGGTGTCCCCGCCATTATATCAAACGACGCGGATTTGGGCGGAACAGGTGGTCCAGACGGAACTCGCGCCGCTTGCAGCGCTTCTGACTTCACGTTCCGGCCCCAGGTTCCCACTGAATCGGTTGATGAAACTTGGTCTTCTATAGTAATGATGTCATTAGCATACAATCAGAAACATGTAGCATAGTACGGCAAACATACCACGTAAGCGATGCATGTAGGTCTTATACAGCTCATCGATCGGCATAGAATTCAAAGACGATTCTCTAGGCCGTGACGGAGTCTCATAGGCGTCCTCAGTCACCCGTCTGGAGAAATCAGATATCCGAGGACTTTCCTCATACTCCCGTCTCGAGGAAGCCATAATAGGACTATCCTCATACAACTCACGCAACCCTGACAGTTTTGGTACCTCTTCATTCGCCACTTTCGGCGTCTTCGCAACAGTCACTACCCGAAACGATCTCTCGCCCGGATCTTCCATCATCATCTGCCGGTTAAGTGGCTCGTACGACTGCTGAGTATGGATCACTGTCGACCTTGCGGGTACATATGTCGGCTCATTTTCGTATTCCCTTCCTTTGCGTCGAAACATCTTTTGCAGTTGACCTAAGGTGACGAGTTAGTTCCAAGTTCTCTAAGCATACGACTCATAATCAAACATCCTTACCTCCAACATTCACGCCAAACCAGGTACGCGGAATCTTCTCCTCTTCCACAGTGCTCGGCCCGTTCCACACACGGTGGTATTGCTGGCGAGAGCGAATAGTGTCCTGCGACAGATTATATTCGTGGCCTGATGCCGTAGTCAATCTCAACTTTGGATTTGTAGCATCTGCCGTAGAAGACGACTGAATCACAGCAGGCGACTGAAGCTGTTCCACAGGCGTCGGAGTCGCAGGCTCTGACTCGTGCCAGAGAGCTAGCTTGGGCGGACGCGTGGGAAATCCGAATCCAGGCATACCATTCTGCTCTCGCTCTCTCTCCCGATCATTCTCCATCGATCTCTGCTTCATCAGCTCAAGCTCTCTCCACTTACGCTCGCTTTCCAGGCGGCGCAATTCGTCTTCACGTTGCAGAGGAGTCATATTGCGGAATTTGGCGTCTGAGACAGTTTGGACGTCATGGGTTTTCGGCGAAGGAGTGTGCGGAGCTCTGATCTTTTGCATCCTGATATTATCGGGAGGTGACGTGGGCGAAACAGCTGAAGAAGTCTGTCTCTCCCGCTGTCGCGGAGGGCTCGTCGTCTGATTCTCATATTCCGAGATCGGCGCCACTGAAGATTCAGCCTGAGGCAAACGACGGCCGGAGCGTTCGCGACGGTCGCTGACTGACTCTTCCTTTCGTGGACGGTAAACTCGATGGCCGTTGACTTCCTCTGATGGCGGCTGATATGGCCTTTCCTCTTTCATATTCGCAGTATGAGCGGTGGCGGAAATCTTTCTTCTGTCAGAGTAACCTGCGCCAGCTCTTGACGACGAAACGTCAAGAATCCGCTCGGGTGCACGTTCCGCATGCCCTTGGTATCGATACCTCCGTGCTCCAGAGGTATCAGGCAGACGGCTGTTTTCGAAATTTTCAACCTTCGCCAGGATCTCCATAAGCCTATTGACAGTTAATGGTTAATATATGTAGTCAGACTAGGCTTTAACAAGCAGCACAAACTTACAATGCCTCGACACGCTGAAGATCTGAAGTTGTCTTGATTCCGCTGAGCGCACGTTTCAAGATACTCTTCCTTGACAACGGAGCTGACTGGCCCGGACCAGATTGTGAGACAGATCCGCGTTGGCTTGAGAGAGATCGCGGCATCTGATCAGGTGGAAAGAGATTATTATTTGACAATAACTTGGCACTGTGTGTCTCATTGACCAATTGGATAAGATGAGAGATGCCTGAAAGAATTTCCATATCCCGCTCATACCGATCTGCGTCAGTAGCCAAAACCTTTCATATACATTAGCATGATAAGCAGAAAACAATCAGTAGATAAAAAGGAGTGTGCATACATGATCAATGAGTTTCTTCACATACTCATCCGACACCTGTTCCTCTTGGTTCTGTAGTCTCTCAAATGCACGGAATGTCGGATTCGCATTTCCAGCTTCGCTGCTATTATGTGTAGACTGTTGCTGAAGACGGAGATCTTCAGGCATATAGATACCGAGCGGGGAGGAATTCCTCACATCTGCTTCACCGCGATCCACCTCACGCTGCACGTTTGCAGAAGCGCCAACGACAGGCGAGCTAATTTGTTCTGGAGCGTTTGGATCGAAACTGAAGGAAGAGATGTTTCTGTCGCAGGCACTGTCGCTGGCGCCTGCGGGACCGATTGTCGTCACAGAGGGAACTAAAGGAATGAGCATATTAGATCTAGATTTTATTCCTATGCAATCCAGAAGGTACTTACCGCTAGGAAGAGGGTGTCTTGCAGACCTGGAGGCGTTTTGTGATCCTTCGGCCGAATAAAAAGAGGAATCATCCGCCCCAGCGCCGTTTAAAGTGCGTGGTGACTGAGATATCTCACCACTTGGCTCCCGGGACTTGACCTGGTGCGATGACTTTGTCGATCTGCCAGAAGCTGCAGTCGAGCCCTTTGACGAGCGACGAGAGGTCGGCGCAGCAGAGTTGCTGTGCCGCTTTTGTGCGCTATTCAGAGAGGCGTCGGATGAGGGAAGATATCCGATCTCAGGACTCGCAAAAGACTGAGTCTGCTTTGGATTCGACCGAGTGCTGGGACTTCCGATAATGGATGCAACATTCACTGACGACGGAACTCTGGATGAGGCAGGCTCATCAGAGACCAAGTCGCTGGTTGAGCTTCTGGCAGCGCTCCGGCGCGAGGTAGCAGATCCTGCGCTCGAGCGGCGGCTTGGTTGTACAGAAGACGCAGTGTGATCCTGAAGGTAGCTCGGAAGGTCGAATCCGTTCCCCGATACTTGGTTCTGGGCGTCCATTGATAGATCATCAATAATCATTGACTCGGAATCGTCGATGGCACGGCTGAACGACTGGTTGACGTTGGAACTGGATGAGCGTCTCGAGACGGAGCTATTAGGGGTCTGAACACCAGAAGCAGGGAGAGAATTCTGCTTCTCATAGTGCGCGGAGCTTTCGCTCTCAGTGCTGGGATGGCGGCTCTCGGCGAACGGGGAGGCCTTGGGATCGCTGGAGGTTCGGATGCGCATGATCTCCGGCATGATGTGGGTTCTTATGACGCTGCTGATTACTTTGTCGAGCTCAGAAGCGCTCACGGTATCGGAGGTGAACGGCGAAGAATTGGGAATGGGCTCTGGAAGTTCGTCGGCCGGCGGTTCCATGGCGTCGGTGTAGACTGAGACAGACTCGAGGGAGGTCTTGCGAGTAAGCGGGCTTGCGGGAGGCAGAGAAGCGGAAGTGGACGAGAGGTCGTCCTGGTCCGAGGGCTCGATCTGGAAGCCAGCCATAGACCGGCTGTCGTGCTTCGAGTTCTTCTTCTTTGAGCGTAATTGCACGCGGACGCTTGGTTTTTGGTCGGAGGCAGCGGCGGAGGACTGCTCGTAGTACTCGATAAGCACGGAGGCCTGGTTGGGCTTTTTTGAGGCAGGAGCGATGAGGCGGTCAGAGTATGCGGTGGAAGATGTCGAGGCGAGCGCGAGGGAGTGGATGCTCGAGGAGGACATGGTGATTGATTGAGGAAGAAGCAGAAGCAGGTGGTGGTGGAGAGAAAGAGAGAGAGAGTAGCAAGCAGAGGTAAATAAACCAAAATCCGGCGGGAGGCGAGCGAGACAGGATCCCAAACGGGCGAGCGACCGGGGTCCGCCGTTCAGCAGTTCGTCCGCTAAACGTCTGCCGCGACCCCGGAAGATCGTTGCCTGCTCTGCCACCGGACCAGCCACCTCGGCCGGTACCCAGATTCGCAGTCCACAGTGCACGATCGCGTTATCTGGTCTGTACCTGCCTTATTCAAGAAGGCTGGCTGCTGCCGGAAGAGGACGACGATGCGTTGGCTTCGAGTACCTGGGCCCGCGTGAGGAGGTTAATTAATTAATTACCCCTGAAACTCACAATGTCCACCTAGCGAGCGTAGGCGACGAGCAGAGTGCGGAGGATGAGAAGACCAGAAAACAACAAACAAAGAACAAACAAACAAGATAGCATATCTATTCATATTGTTGTCTGCAATTGTATTGAAAGAGATTATCCTCACCCGGGCGACATCTGCGGTTGTGCGGTTGGCTGCTGTCTCCCACTCGGCCACTATCGAGGTAAAAGCAAACTCGGCACCCACTGCCGCAATTGGCAATCACCCGCAAAACATCTTGCTCTCCAGCCAGCCATCCTTTAAATTGGACAAATAACAGAATCATCTCTGCTGCCGAGCACCGTCTCACGACCGAAGCCTTTCTTGCGCTTCATGCTCCTCGAGGCTCTGCATCGTCAGCACCAGCCTCGCCTCGCTCCCCGCAAGGGCCGCAGATAGTCGGCCCCATCTTTTGTCTTCTCTGTACGCAGACAACCGTCTTGCGCGTTCCAGCAGGTGCCTCCGACCAGCAATGCCGCTCTGTAACGACTCTGACAGCCTATCGGTTCCTGGATCTAGTTGCTGCGCCGAACCCTCGCTAGCCACTTCCGGCCGCGTACCTGCATTCGACATACGCTCTTTCACCCATGTTCGAAACAAAGTCTCCACAAGTATCGCAACTTTAATCGTACTCTCTGCAAGCCTGGTGTAATCGTCTGAGGTCGTTTGCTTCGGCTGTAGGGCCAGAAACTCCGAAATGTACACCTTCCCTCTCTCAAAGTCTTCAATCCAGTCCTTGGGCAATCGTGAATATGTGACCAAGGGCTGCAGCAGCGCTTCACAGAGATTGCAGACGTACTCGCTCTTCTTGCCAATAAGTAACCGCGGGGGATCCAGAAAGTACGTCAACGTCTGCAATGAGACATCCCGCAGGTATGAGCTCATCTCCATAAACCAGCTCCACTGATCTACCGTGTCCGTCGTAGCTGCCGCAATGTCAAACAGCAACCCCAGAGTCCGCTTCCGCAGACTCAAAGAGTCAAGATCTCCAAACGGGTAACTGTCCTCGCCGAGGAACAGTGCGTAATTTGCGCGTTCGAGCGTCGTCGCACTGGCTTTGGCTTCTATCTCTTTAGAAAAGATTTCCCTATATTGCTGGCTCTCGCCAGCGCTGTTGGTTGCAAACACTGCCGACAGCGCCGACTTCCACCGTATACTGCGAAGCCCGCTAGTCTTGTACCTAAGCAGCTTGAACAGCAGGCTATCATATAGCAGTTCCTCTCCATCATTATCTTCTACAATGCAGACTTTAGCATCCATTAAAGATAAAAAAGCAATCTTGGATCACTTACCTTTCACTTCGTCTAAGGTTTCTTTCCAATCTCGCTCCAGTATACCGACCAAGATCTCAATCAGGTTTCTGTACGCAGGCCACCGGCCTTCCAGACTCTTTGATAGATCGCCTGTGCTTCGTACTTTTGAATCCCGCTCTCTTGCCGCAAAAGCGGAAGAGCATTTAAATCCCCATCCGAGTATCCTGAGAATATCTTCGTCGACGCTCGCCCATAAACTTTTGATCTTTGGCCCACTGAAAATGTCATTACCTTCCGAATCTTCGAGCATCTTCTGTTTGTTGCTACTGCCGTTATTCTTCCGTCCTCGTTTCGCGGTACCTGGAGGCGCAAACTCAGCAAGAGCAGCATCATCGGAATTTCGTTTGGAAGGTTTTTGCGGACTGCCAAAGAGATCGTCGTCATAGGACTTGTTATAGCGCGCTTTTCTCTGCCGTCTCGGTGGTGAAGTTGCCTCAACAATCCCCTCTCGACCCACGTCGAGAGCCTCGTGAAAGCCTAGTTCGTGTATCGACAGACCTGTTGAAAGCAGCTTCACAAACACGCGCGTCGAAGTCTCGGCTATCGGAGTGTACACAAGCGAAGGGTCTGGTTTGAACTTCATCTCAAGCTCTGACAGCGGAACAACATCTGCAGACAATTGCTTGCGCTGGGCGTTGCTCATGCCTGCGAAGAGAGGATGGCTAATCATCGTAAACAGCATATTCAATTGCGACGGTGTAGGCGTGAATGCCTCAGGAAACTGCGCGGATAGTATTGCCTCGAGAAACTCAACCGCTTCCAGATCTAAGAATCAAACAAGTAAGCCACCATCTCAAACAACAGACGAACCGCAGATGAGTCTCCTACATAGTTCACTCTCAAAACTAGAGTCGACATGATCATAGCACTGCTCAATCCTGCTTCTGTCGCCGAATCGCCATTCCCGTTTCACTGCAGGCAGCTCGCTAACTTTCGCATTCTCTGTTAATACCTGCACCTTCGACTCACGAGCCATGTCTATTTCCCAGCTTTCGAGTGGCTTCAAAACCTCCAACAACATATTTTTCGATGCACGAACGCGTGAAGCGCCCGACTCTTCGCTTGACGCGTTCAGGTCAAAGCCCTAAACCCATATCGTCAAAGTGCAGTCACGTGAAGCCGCACTTCCGGCTTTATCCGCGCAGCTGTTTAGCGTTTGGATTTTTGCGTAAAAGTCGCAATTGAAATAATTGGAAACCGCAGAACTCCAGCTTGTCGTCCACGTTCGCCATTGAGACTGTCGAAGCAGCGATTTTTTAGAAAGAACTATTGCTGACCGGGAAGACAAAGGCCGGGAACATCTTACTGGAAACACCGAGCAGTAAAAAGAATTTTGGTTTCCGACATCACTGGAGTCTGACCTCGCAACACGAAAAAGATGACTGCCTTTCGAATCACCCTTGTGCGCTCCGCCATCGGTCTGCCCAAGAAGACCAACAATTTCCTGAAGACACTTGGACTCACTCACCGGGGCGCTGTGCGGTACAAGCCGGTCACGCCCAGCAGCGCTGGTTTGATTCTCAGAGTCAAGGAGCTCGTCAAGGTCGACGTTGTCGATAGAAAGCTCACGAGAGAGCAACACAATGCGACGCAGAAGTCCAATTCTGGATATATTGTTGAGAAGAAGATGCGACCGAGTCCATAGATTGGACGGCTTTGAAGCAGAAAGAATGAGGGTGCAGGTTTACGACAGATATCGATGAAGCGAATTTGAAAAGAACTGCGGCCATCGTCAGACGGCATATCTACGGCATTTGACAGACTGGAATTCTAAAGGCTGCTTTGTATAATAATATGATGAGGAAATTAAGGACTACTGTGTTTGAAGCAGTGAATGAGAGCTACGGTTGTGTATGCAGAGATCTGGCTATGGTTTTTTTGTAAATATTTCTCTAGACTGAGCCAGCGGTCTCACAATACAAAATATGCATATATATTGTCGTTAAGCTAATAATAAGACTGTAAATAAAGACCAAATGAATCTCTACAATGATACTGCATCTGCTGATGAAATAGGCCCAGGTCGAGGTCGAAGAGAGGAAAGGCGCACTGATCAAGATTACCCTGCGCTGTCATATCGACCGCTCTAAACCTTCAAGACCTGCTTCCCGCAAACTGATCCCCTCCATCGCCTCGGCCCATGGCTTTCTAGTATACCGCATCTTCACTGGTACGTTTGACTGCTTGGTTTAAGTCTTTTGTTTGCTATTGCTTGTTGTTGCTTGCCGCTGCTTTCTGTTGAACTGGCGAGCTCGGCAACGCAGCTCTGTGTACGATTGATTGCCAGAACCGGCCAGTGTAGTCACAGCGTATATCAATCATCTTGTGTCTTGACTCGATCGCAGTCCGCTAACCAGATCCCACAACAGCAATACCAAGCAGTAGCTGTCTCTAGATCTACTCATCGTCTGAACTGATAATTGCCGGCGCGTCTGGCCGATTGACCATCTATACCTGCGAGCGATACTCCAACCGACCGACCGACAACCTACTACCATCCAGCGCGGCATACACCAATAGAGAATGTCATGGCGGCCCAAGATGAAAAGCCGCCTCTAGCACCGTACATTCTGCAGCCGCTGCTGTCAGATGTGCTGCTCGTGTCTGAGGACTCGGATGTCAAAGTGGAGATTACCTGCGTGGAAGCATGGCGTATGTACTGATATCGACATCGCCGTGCTGGCTGTTGCTAATCGTCGTTCGGCTGTGTAGATTCGAGTTTATACCTGGGAACTTCGACCGGTGAAGTTTTGCATTATTTCCAGGACCCTTCCTCGGTATGTCTCAAACAAGTGTATTATTATTGAGGATCATCTTTTAATACGGATTTACCCGTGCAGAATACCCCTAGCTACATGTTTGCTTCTCGCCAAGTAGTCCACCCTTCTCGACCACACCCGATCACCCGGATACTTTTGCTGCCGACAGTATCGCAAGCACTAGTTCTCTCACACAACTCGATCGCGGTCTTCTCGCTGCCCGAGTTCTCGCCCGTGAGGCTCGGCAGGATAAGAGAGGTCAACTCGATGTCATTAGATCTAGACAAGGTCCAGAAAGATACAGACGACGAGGTTCTGGTCACGGTGTTTACAAAGAAACTTATTAGAATCATCAGGGTTAAAGAGAAGGATCTGAGATTGGTGAAAGTGCGTCACAGCTGTTTGATCCGCGTACAACGTTATAAAAGCCAAGCTAATGATCTTACAACTCTAGGACATTGATTATCCCTCCGCGTTGGTTGGAATCCAGCGCTCCTCAATCGCACTAGTTGCCAACGAAGAAACCTACGACCTCATCGATCTCAACAGTATACAAAAGATCCCACTATTCTCGATCTGCAACAACCCCGGCGCCGCTACCAAACTAAAACCGCACGTCGCGTCGGTCACTAGCGAAGAATTCTTTGTCACGAGCGGATCGGCGCCTGATGAGCCCGCGGTTGGGTTGGTGGTCAACCTCGATGGAGACGTGTCTCGGGGTACGATTGCTTGGAATGGGTATCCGACGGTTATAGGTGAGTGGTTTGCGAGATTTGGTTGCAGAGGAAGTAATACTGACGGTGATTTATTATCTAGCGGTTGAGTATCCATACATTGCCGCCGTGATTGGAAACGAGTTACAGCTCCATTCTCTAGAGACACAAGAACTGCTACAGACTCTCCCTTTCGACACTCCGCCCAAGCTCTCGACAGTATCATACACATACTCCATGCCCTATCCGCTTCTAGCCGAGAAGTTCACGCTCGTGCCGTTGCTGGGCGAGGCAGACGAGAGCCGGCTAGAAGAAGAACGTCGGATAGCTGCGAGATTTTCGAATGTGTCGTCGTCGCTGTTTGTGTATTCGAATGAGCTTGGTGTGCAGTGTCTGATACCCACGCCGGACCTGCTGCGTCTTGATTCTCTGCTCGATGAGCGGAAGATTGAGGAAGTTCTCGCGGCGCTGAATAAAGAGCAGGAACCTAGTGAACGAGCGTTTTACGAAGTGACTTATATCCGGCAAAAGTTGAGTCTGCTATATTTCGACGAAGGCAACTACGTTGACGCAGAGCGGTATTGGAACGAGAGCGGGTTCGATCCGCGGATTGTGATCTCTTTGTTTAATAAGGAGGATGTGAAGGGTACGCCGTGGCTGTATGCCGGGGTCAAGGAGGCGCTGAAGATACCGGAGAAGGAAATCCCGCTGGAGGCGCTTATGGTGGTGAAGCATTACCTCGCCGGATGGCTTGAACGGAAGGGATTCCAGAGCGTGATGGATTCGACAGACGTGTTTCATTCGGTCGAGGTCGCTTACCTGCGAGTTCTGCTGAGCACACCGATGACGACTAAGGAGGAGATATATAACTTCACTGATTTGACGGTTGACGACCATTCGTTCCCCGAATCGGTGAAACTGTTGCAAGACCACAAAAAGTACTTTGCACTCTCACGTCTGTACCAGAGTCGGAAGCATGTGGCGGAGGTATGCGAGACGTGGCGGAAGATGATCTCGGGAGAATGGGAGGACAACGAATTCACAGACGGCGAGCACAAGATGACGGAGTACCTGCTACGATGCAAAGACGAGAATATAGTGTGGGAGTATGGACTGTGGCTCATGCGGCGGAACGCGGAGCTGGGGATCCAGGTGTTTACGGACCCGCGCCGGAAAGCCAAGATCAATGCGACGCGGCTGAAGGATGAGATCCGCAAGATTGGCGGCGAGGCGTGGCGGATATACTTGGAAGACGTTGTGTTTGCGCAGCAGCACTTTGAGCTTGCGAACGAGCTTGTGCTGCTGTACACGAGCGACGTGATTGAGGTTGTGGAAAGTAACGAGGAAGCGCGGCAGGAGATCATCCGGAGCTATGAAGAGTACCGCGCTCTGACGCCGCCCAAAGCCGCGTACACGCTTTTCTTGCAAGGAAAGATGGCCGAGAGCACGAACCAGGAAGCGGTGGCGATGCGACTGAAGTTTTTGAATATCCTGCAATCCGACGTGTCCTACGACGTGCAGGAGGTTCTGCGGCGGATAAAACCGCACGAGGATTTCTTGGTCACGGAGATGGTTATTCTTTACGGAAAGCTGTCGTTGCATCACTCGGCTTTACATATTCTATGCCACTCGCTTGCAGATTACGACACCGCGTTTGCGTACTGCCTGTACGGCGGCCATGTGATCCATGCGAGCGAGCTCGCGGTCGGCGACCAGTCGCAAGTGTCAGGATTCCAGCAGGCGGAACTATTCAAGCTCTTACTAGTCGAGTTTCTCAAGCTCAAGTCGACGGAGGACCGGATAAAGTGCACGAAGCGGCTGCTGGAAGGATGGGGCAGTCTGCTTGATTTGCAGTTTGTGCTGCAGACGATTCCGGATTCGTGGTCGGTTGAGCTGATTAGTGGGTTTTTGATTTCATCTGTGCGCGGGCTTTTGAGGACGAGGAAAGAGAGTCTTTTGATGCGCGGACTGTCGAGAGAGGAGAATCTGAGGGTATGTTTTGCTGCTGATGATGATGGTGGTGGTTATTGAGATTTGCTAATACGTTCATGATATAGGTTTCGGGAGAGCTGATGGATCGGATATTCGAGGAAGGCCCGATCATCGAGCGGCGCATGTGAACTTGACGCACTCACTTCCTTGCAGTCAATTTTTTCGTTATGTTTGTAATCGTTGTAACTTATCTGGAGTTGTTCAAGTAGCATTTTCATCTACTCTTTAGTTCTGTAGGGTAGGGTTCAGCAGCCGGTGCGGCTAGTTCATCCTCATAGTATATGGGCGCTCATCACACCCGATTAGGAGAACACACGCAAATCTAAGTTTAGTAAAAGTAAACAGACGATTAGCGTGCAGTGCAGCATCAACGAGGTGCGAGAGCGACCATATACTTGCTTTTTGTTTATATTTCTGAGCAGCAGACTATTTCTTACTTCAGAAACAATCGTCTGCTAAAGAGTAAACACGGCTGCAAAACACCGCAGCAGCCAACCGAAGCCGTCAGTCGAGCGGCCGGCAAACTGAGTTTCTTCAGCCGCGTGGAGAGCAAAGAACAGAGTGAAGCCTCCACTCTGGTTGCTCCCTGCCTTTCTGCACGCCAGCACACCTTCCGCCGTCGGCCCTGCAGCCCTGTCTCCTTCTCTCCGCGTCGGCCTGTTCTTCTTCTCTCTTTTTCTTGTTTTTGCGCTTTGGCTGTATTGCTCGGCGGGAACTGCTATTTTTATTATATTCTTTCTCGTGGGTGAAGTGTTCTGCTTATCGTGCGAACGGGCAGTGATATAAATAGAACACAGTCAGCTCAACACCTACACAACACACGGCTACAAACAGGTTCGTTGATCTCTGCCGTCTGACGTTATCGTCGTCTTTTCATTTGTCTTTTTATTGTCTGGAGATACGAGCGGAGTCTAACGGATCTCAATGTTTAGCACCACAGAGAATTCTACATCCCCCATCAAATCCTGCTGAATGGCTCCCTTCAAACTTCTCCGGTCGAAAAAGAAGAAGGAAGAGCGCTCAGCGCAATCTACATCCGAGTCTTCCGTCCCCGGCCCCTCGATCCAGCTCGTGACGAACCCAGACGACGACGACGCCGTCGACCGCGAGATCGATCCGGCGGCGTTTGGCATCCCCAGACGAACTAGTCGGTATGGGTTTAATGGGCCGGACCAAGTGCCTGAAGGTGGACTCATCAGCCTGATCCCGTCGAGCGAGTCGCCGAAAAGATTCCGCTCGCCCGATCGGGAGTTTATTTCTTCTTCGCAAGGGGCTGAGGATGACTATGATCAGCAGCAGTCTCGATATCAGACACACGACACAGATCAATCGACCTACGCTGTCGCCGACGAGGCCGCGCTCGAGTCGTCCAGTCTCCGGTACAAGAAACCGATCGAGGACGTGCCGATCCCCGACAATCTCAACGCAAAGCCCGGAGCTCAGCGGCGCACGGCTATGGCGACCTACCGATCGACTTCGTACAGAGAGTACGAGCAGCGGATCATTGATGATTCTGCTAGCGGTGGGTCGCGCGGAACGACGCGCGCGGGCACTGTCGACAGCTTTAGGTATACGCCCGACACATCGTACACGGAGAATGCAGACGACCAAGCGAATTATTCAAACGACAGCGGATATTATTATAACCAGCCTGCTGCGGGCGATACGAGCAACAACGAAAACGAATTCGACGACGATAACGCGAGCGAGGCGTTTAGTTTCCAGTCATCTGTGCGATATGTGACTGACCGGCGGCGTCCGTATTCGACTGCTGGTTACCAGCAGCAGCAACGGGAACCGCAAAGAACAGAATCTCAGCAACAGCGCGCTGTTGTCGATACTGATGTGTATGGTGAAGCAGTTCTCGACAGACCAGAGACGCGGATGACACCGTCGGCTCTTGTGAGCGAGGAGGATATCTCGCCGTTGGGAGTTGAAGTGCGGTCTGATACTGATTCTCTGATGAACATTTCGCAGATCAACATTTTGCAGATCAACAATTCGCAGCAGTCAAAGCCCGAGAAACCGAGTCAGAGTCAGCAACAACAACAACAACAGCAACAGAGCGAGAGCTATCCAGACAAAAGCCTGCCCGCTAGATCACCTGATCGCCCGGCGACCAGCAATGCGACGGCGGAGCCGCCAGAACTGCTACAACCGCGCCCGCGACGAGTTTCAGATATAGGAACGCTGACGGCGATGTCTGCATCAGCTGAATATGTAGGCGGCGAAGAACGAAGCAGGTCGCCTCGGAAGGCAGGAGGAGGAGAAGGCCGCCCGAGGGTCCGGCTGGCCGCGCCGCACGACACTGACGCGCGTCCATTGTCGCATATTAGTATCAAGGGAGGGCAGGCAGGATTGATACATTATCCCGCACCTATTCCGACGCGAATCAAGTTGCCTCCTTTGCTTTCAAAGAAGAAATCGCAGCAGCGGCTGTCGCTAGATCTGGAGAGGACGATGGGGATACCGCTGAGCGCGCCGCACGCAGGATCAACTCACGGCGGAGAGACTGGGGAGAACGAGGAGCACGAGAGCGAGGACGACAGCAGTTCGCAAAACTCGTCGATCCCGGCTACGCCAGGGGTTGCGGTGATGTTTGAAAATCCGCATCAGAAGCTGGAGGAGATGCTGGATCAGTGGAGTCCCGAGATGGCGATGCAGGCGGCTGCGGCTGATGAGAAGGCTGCGCAGGAGGCGGCAGCGCAGGAGGTGGTGGAGGAGGACTTTGGCGGTGGACCGGGGCGGTCGTTGCTGGATGAGCTTGCGGAGCGCAAGGCGCAGCAAAAGTCGCGGCAGCGGAATCTTGTTGACGGGACGGCGTACGGCACGCTGCTGCAGGTGGACGGGGTGATTGAGAAAGGACAGGAGAAGCGGCGGTCGGCGTTGAATCGGTACGGATTGGATGGGATGGAGTACGTGCGCAATGGAGAGGACGAGATGCCGCTGGGGGTGCGGTATTCGCAGCAGCAGCAACAGCTGCAGCAGCAAATGTATGACGGCAACGAGACGGGGGAGCGGCGAAAGTCAGACGGGACGCGATGGTCGCAGTACGGCCGAGGACAGGCGGGGATGATTGCGCCGTGGGGCGGTGGAGGAGGAGGAGGAGGAGGAGAAGCGCTGAGCAGGAGAGCGAGTGCGCATTCGATTGAGTCGATGGCGCGGAGCGGGCTGATTGTGCCGAGTACGGCATCGCAGAGGAGAGAGTATGAAGAGCAGCATGGGTATGCGCCGTCGGTGATGTCGCGGGATATGTCGATGCCTAATCTGCACCAGTACGTTGCGGGAGGTGCGTCGGTGTATAGTGGAGGAGCGCCGTCGGTGTATAATGGGGCGCCGTCGATGTATAACGGGGGAGCCGCGTCGATGTATAACGGGGGAGCCGCGTCGATGTATAACGGGGGAGCACCATCGATGTATAACGGGGGAGCACCATCGATGTACAATGGGGGTGCACCGTCGATGTACAATGGTGGGTATGGAGGACATCATGCAGGAACGCCCGCAGCACCAACGATGATGCAGCAAGTGAGCCAGAGTGGAGTCCTTCGAGACCAACTACACGCGCGCCCGACGAGCCAGCGACCACATTCAAAAGCGACGCTAAACAGCGAAGAGGCGCTGATGAAGCGGTTGCAGGAGCGGCAGATGGCGATAGCAGCGGTCGGCGCGGTGCCGGAGCCGAAGAGCAAGACGCAGCCGACGTCGCGGATGACGCAGGAAGGATATGATTTGGCTGCGCGGAAGCAGCAGGCGCAGGTGCGGCAGCGACAGCAGCAGCAGCAGCAGTTGTTGATGAATCGAGGGCGCGGGGCGGGGGAGGTTAGTGAGTATGATGCGGAGGCGGCGAGGAGGGAGGTTGTGGAGAGATGGAGGAGGAGTGTGTATACGGGATGATTGTGGGTAGATAGATAGCATTGGATATGAATAAACGACTGCATGAGATGTTATTACTGCAAGTGGAAATAGTTGAGTTGATATGGAGTAGGATAAGTAGCAGGTAGTTGATTACAGTCGGTTACAGTCGGTTTACAACTCGGGATTTCAGAGCGAGCTCGGGTTCGGGAAGAAGAGCAAGAGCGAGTCGGGGAGCCGCACCGGGTGCGTGGGCAGCGATGACTCTTGCAGACAATGCCGGGCCAAGGAAATGGCTGAGCCGGGAAGGAGGGAAGGTTTCTGGTTAGCAGAAAGTGTAAAGGGAGCCGGGAGAGGGACGTGGCTGGGCTGGTGGGTTGGTGAGGTGAGGAAGAGGGAAGGGGGTGGTCTGAGCTGGTTCTGGATAATAGGATAGAGGCAGGCTTAGAGTTGGATGGTTGTTGTAAGTTGTCTGAGATTTGTCTGAGAGAGCCGAGAGGACGATAAGGAGCTGTCATCGGACCCTGGATGATTAAGGATATGAGAAGCAGAAGTAGGGTAGAAGTAGTAGAAGTAGTAGTAGAAGAAGAGGATGAAGAGAAGATGACGGTCGGCGAAGCAGTGCTCGGCTGCGAGTTGTCTCCGGTCGGCGTCTTGGCGACCGGGCGTCCGGTCGGTGAGTTTCCTGGTTTTTGAGTCAGAGCGGTGCCGGAGGAGAAGAGGAGACGAGAAGAGGTAAGCTTCGTGGCGTAGGGAGGTGAGATTATGAGTTCATTTGTTATGCAGAGTAGATAGATATACTGTGTTTATATGCTGTGTTTATATACTGTGTTTATATCCCCAAGCAGACAGATGAAGAACAAACCGCGAGCGAACGGCATCAGCAAAGACGAAAAGCATAAACCACACAATGAAAAACCAGAAACTCTGTCTTCAATGCCGAGGCCCTGCTGCGACGCGACAGCTGATGAAGTAGACGGAAGAGTAGATCGCTTGTAGGTATTATGTGATTGTAGATATATCTGTTTTCTATATAGAAGAAACATCTGAAGAAACAGATAGGTAGCTGCTGTGGTGAACAATACAGGCTCGTCTTGGACTAATTATGGCTTCTTCAGGCAACTCAGCACCCTCTTCTCCACCACCACCACCTCACCTCAGCTCAACCCACCTCAACTCTTCAATATCTCCGATTCTGAATTATCCTCCGACAAATACCATTTCCATCTCTGACCTTCCTCGCTCGTTACGCGACATCGAACCGCGGCTGACGACTTCACGAAAAAAGGTCGGCGAAATCATCAAAACTCTATTCGTGGCCGCGAGGCGAGACGTGTGCCTGAGTGCGTGTGCAGCACTGCAGCACCTCCGTTGGCCGATCAGCGCTGTGATTATTGATCATTGTGTTGATAGCAAAGATGTCCCATTATTATTATTACTCTTCACAATAGATAAAACAAAGACCTGAACGCCTGCATATGTGCATACAACTGAGTAAAACAGAGTAGGAAAAAAGATATGTACAAGAAATCCTCATATTTACAATCATAACCAAAGTTATGCCTCGGCATCAGTGCGCAACAGCGACATTGCTCGCCTTGCGACCCGTCGTGCTGCCTCTCCGAAGCAAACTCCACCCGCGCGTCATCAGCCCAGCCGGCCCGATCAGCGTCATCAGCACCTCGTCGATGCCCGCGCCCACCGGAAGCGACCGGTGTCGCGAGATCACGGCCGCCTTGCCCTCGTTCGCATGCTGCGTCTTGCTGCTGCTGTTCTTCGTCGTCGTCGTCGTCATCTTGTCGAACGACGGCAGCGGCGGGACAGTGCTCTGCTCCGGGATCAACCGGTGGTTCAGACCTAGTAGCGTAGAGGTCGAGTGCGACCGCAGCATGCTCGCCGACAACGTCGACGTAAGCGACTCGGTCTGCGTGATTGAGAGTGGGTGCTGCGAGTCCACTTCTGGCGGCACACCGAACACCTCGACTCCCGCAATGAAGATCGCCGTCAGACAGAGCGCTTCCTCGAACCGCAGGCAGCCAACATATCCCCGGTGCGAGATCAGGTCAGCGTACTGACTGACCTCGATGCGCGCGTTGCGCATCGTCGCCATCACGCGGCCGTGCGCGACAAACGACCAGCACGAATCGTCCCTTTTCGCGGCGTGGTCCGGCTTCGACCACCACCCGACGACGTGGTGCGTGTTTGGTTCGAGCCGCGAGGACGAGTAGACGACGAACGACGCCCCGTCGCGTCGCACGCGCCAGACCGTCCCGTTCGAGTGGCGGAACCGCAGCGTGTGCCCGGACGCGTGCACTACCGCCGACCGCTTCGATTCGCCGTCGTCGCAGGGGAAGCCCGCGAACTGCGGCAGCTGGTGGTCGTGGACGCTGATGCGCGCGGCAGCGTGCCGTACGCGCAGCGGCGCTGCGGCGAGTGGCAGCTGCGTGAGAACCTGCTTCTTTGGCCGCTTGATGTCCATCATCGGCATCATCCGGTTGCCTTGCAGTTGCTGGATCTGGAACGCGAGCGGAGCGGTGTGGATGTTGTAGCCCGGGCGAGGAGGGGGCGTGGCGAGGATGTAGACCAGGGGTTCGATGGCGGTCGAGAGGGTGGAGGTGCCGTCGGCGTAGCCGGTGCCGTCATCGCCGTCGCGTCGTAGTTGAGACTGCGGCGGCGGAGGAGGAGTCGAGCGTCTGCCCCTCCGCGCGGCAGAAGAAGAGCGACGCATGAATACAAGAGTGAGAGACTTTAGAGCTATTAAAGAAGAGAGGAAGAAGAGGAAGCAGCAGTGCAGAATATGACGACAGCCGGTGGAAGCGAGGAGCAGCAGGTTTAAATAAAAATAAAAAAAAGCCCCGGCGTTGGCGTGATCGCTTTCGTCGGGTCTTCAGTCTCCGCACTAAACCCGTCTGACAGCTCGGACTCGGATCCACCGCAGTGCCGGCCGAACCGCCTCCTGGTTCGGGTTCAGGCGGCGGTTCGCATGGCTTTGTCAGCTCTCTTAGTCTGCTGACTCACGTGCTTTTGTTGCCTGTTGTGGGAAGCCCTAACCACATGACCGGCGGCCTTCTTAGTGCGCGGCAGATCTACTCGATCGAGGACCTTTTCTCGCTCATTTAGCCTTTTTGTGGTCTGCTCTCCCCGCCGCAGCATCCTAAATATCGCGCTTCCATCCCTGCCCCTCCTCTCTTCTTTTGATTTAGATCCTGATATTGATCCTGCTCAATCTGCTTCTTCTTCTTCTTCTTCTTCTTCTGCTTTGCTATCATTCATATCTGCTCCACCATGACTGTCTCGCAGAACGGACCCTTCTACGTAGGCATTGACGTCGGTACTGGCTCCGCCCGTGCCTGTCTTATCGACTCCACCGGTGAGATCCTTGCCGTTGCTTCAAAGGAAATCAAGCAATGGAACCCCAAGCCGGATTTCTATGTATGTATCTTCATCAAGTGTTATTGTCGTTCTTATTCATCTATTCATTTCTTATTTCTTGTCGTCCTGCTCTCCCACATTCTCTCTTATATATATCACCGCTAACACTACATATCAGAACCAATCCTCTGACGACATCTGGGACGCTTGCTGCTACTCTGTCCGCAAAATCCTCGCCGATTCCGGCGTCTCAAAGTCTGACGTCAAAGGCCTCGGCTTCGACGCAACCTGCTCCCTCGTCGTCCTCCGCGAGTCAGACGACTCCCCCGTCGCCGTCGGTCCCGACTTTGCCGAAAACTCCCAAAACATCGTTCTCTGGATGGACCACCGCTGTCCCGACGAAACCGAGCAGATAAACGCCACAGACCATAACCTTCTCCGCTACGTGGGCGGCGCAATGTCGATCGAAATGGAAATTCCAAAGGTCAAATGGCTCAAAAATCACATGCCCGCCGGCGAGTTTGCAAACTGCAAGTTCTACGATCTCGCAGACTTCCTCACCCACCGCGCCACAAAGAAGGAAACCCGCTCGTTCTGCTCCGTCGTCTGCAAGCAGGGCTACGTCCCCGTCGGCGTCGACGGCTGCATGAAGGGCTGGTCCGCGGACTTCTTCGAGGCCATCGATCTCCCCGAGCTCGTCGAAGACGACTTCAGACGCGTCGGCGGCGTCCTCGGCGTCAATGGCACAATCCTCTCCGCTGGCGAGTATCTCAGCACTCTCTGCCCCGAGGCCGCCGACCAGCTCGGTCTTGACCCCAGCTGCGCGGTCGGTTCCGGTGTCATCGACTGCTACGCGGGCTGGATCGGCACCGTCGCCGCAAAGATCAACGACCCAAACTGGATCCAGGAGTCCGCCGAGGGCGAGCACGACCTCGACGTCGCGACCTACAGACTCTCCGCCGTCGCCGGCACAAGCACCTGCCATCTCGCCGTCACCAAAAACCCCGTCTTTGTTCCCGGCGTCTGGGGTCCCTACCGCGACGTCCTCCTGCCAGACTACTGGATGGCCGAGGGCGGCCAGTCCGCCACCGGCGCGCTCCTCGCGCACATTCTCAAATCCCACCCGGCCCACGCGGAAGCAAAGAGCCTTGCCGACGCGAAATCCGTCTCGATCTTCGAGTTCCTCAACGACCGCCTCGAGCAGCTGCGCGTCGAGCAGAGCCTGCCCACGCTCGAGCATCTCATCCGCCACTATTACTTCTACGGCGACCTGCACGGCAACCGCTCGCCGATCGCGTCCGAGAAGATGAAGGGCGTCGTCGTCGGTCTCTCGTTCGACGTCTCGGTCGACGCGCTCGCGCTGTCGTACCTCGCCGCCGTCGAGTTCATCGGCCTGCAAACCCGCCACATCATCCAGGCCCTCAACGACTCCGGCCACAACATCAAATCGATCTTCCTCTCGGGCGGACAGTGCCGCAACCCGGTGCTTACCTCGCTCATGGCCTCCTGCACCGGCATGCCGGTCGTCATCCCAAAGTACATCGACGCCGCCGTCGTCTTTGGCTCCGCGCTGCTCGGCGCGAAGGCCGCGTCCGCGGACAAAGACGGCTACACGGACTCGCTATGGACCATCATGAAGCGCATGAGCGGCTCCGGCACTGTCGTCTACCCGACCCAGGACGGCGAGGAGAAGCGGTTGATTGACGCAAAGTACCTGATTTTCCTCGACATGGCCAAGAGGCAGCAGCAGTACAGATCTCTGGTCGACGCGACGTTGGCCGAGGACGTGAACGCGATTACGATTGCAGAGAAAATCGGCGCTGCGTAGATCTTGTCTTGCTGTATTTTCATGACTGTATATAGAAGCCCGTTCTTCACCTTTGTTTATGTTGTTCGCGTTAGGTTATGTAAATTGATATTGTTGTCTTCTTACTCTGTCCGTCTGAACTGAACCAGCACCTCGCATTCGGAACTTTAGAAGTGTGATTTCCTCGCAAGGGTCTTTTATTCGTCATCGCGACCTCATAGCTGACGCGACGCGTAGACTCGTGACGCGTAGACTCTGCCTGTCGTCACGGTGAGGGGATGGCCGACTATATATTGTGGCGCAGGTCGTGTTATAGCGGTGACGATCCGTGAATTACTATTACGATCCGCGAATTACTATTACGACGACGACGACGATGATGATGATGGTGATGATGATGATGATGATGATGATGATAATGATGATGATGATGATAAATCTATTAAAAGTCCGTTTGCGACGACCAGGCTGTGACAGACGCGTAGACTACAGAGAGCGGGTCAGGGGACGATCAGTCCTTGACAAAGGCATTGTATGTAATCTAGCAGTCGTCCGCTGATCTCTATAATAATTGTCTCTATATCAATCAATCTATCTCATAAATTTCCATAATCTATGTCCTAAAGCCCCCTCAATTGCGGAAGACCAAAAGTCAGTAACCAATTTCACAGCCCAAAGACAAACGTACTTACAGTCTCGCCGCTCTCCGCGCCTTCTTCGCTCCGCTCGCGTATTCCTGCTGATGCACTCTCCACTCCTCGATCCCGCTCTTGAGCAACTGCCAATTGACCCCCTGCGAGACGTACACAAACTTGACGCCGAGCTCGTGCTCGACCTCTTTATTCCGGCTCTCGTCGTCGAAGAAAATCATCTCGTGGTACGGGATCTTGGTATCCTCCTTGATGTACGAAAAGTGCGTCACCTTCGAGCCCGGGTAGATCTGCAGGACGTCGAAGGACTCGATCGCGGGCTTGTCGTCGATGTGCAGCAGGCTTAGCATTTTCTTTGCCGTTTCTGGAAAGGATTGTAAACCTGTCAGCCAAGAGAATCATGGGATTGCACGTGGAGATCGCAGTTTTTGCTTGTAGATAGATGGGCACTTACGAACAGCGTCAGTCCGACTCGCGGCACCGATCTTGATTCCTCTTGCTTTCAACGCGGAGATAATTGAAGGCACATCCTTGAAAAACGAGATTCTCTCGCCGGACCTGGGTAATTCACACGTGTCAATATCATTCCATTGCCCTCGTGCTGTTGCTCGGGCGGTTGTTTTTATCGCGGTAGACGGGTAGATACAGACCTATCGACGATGTAATCTTTCGTCTTGCCGGGTTTTACTGGCGGTGATACATTCACGTCACTCCAGATCTGTATAATCTCATAATAAGCTGCTGCTCCTATCCACTCCTTCTTCTTCCTGCGCGATTCAAGCTCATACCGCTGCACAACACCCGTTAGCCTACTCCCCACACCACTAAATAAAAAATAACCAGAGCAAAAAAGGGCATAGAGGAATAGCGTACGCCATAATGTATAATCCAGATCGAAAACCACAATCTTAGGCAACGGTCCATCGCCAAAGACGTCGTCGTGTGAGGAGGTACTCGTCGTCATTGTAAAATATAAGACAACCGTTAATATCCAAAAAATAAAGAGATAGCGGTATATCGTGTTTGCTCCGGTAGATAACGGCAACGTAGCTGGTGAGTGGGGGGAGTAACGGGGATGGGACCGAGCGGATTGAATCTACAGCTGAGATATCATCAAGGTTTCTTTTTTGCCTATTTCGCCGCTGGAAAGTTTACTGCTTCTCGAGACTTGCGACATCATCTTCTCCAAACACCACGCGCCAGATCTGAAGCTTACTAGCAACCTTTCGAGCAACGATTTTTTTTACAGGGTTTTTAATAACGAGATTTTCATAATACGAGATGGCGACACCGCAAGCACAGTATGAGAAGATGATGGACGAGTACAGAAAGATCCAGACAGGTATTATACCTACCACTACCACTACTACCGCATCAGCGCGGTTTGAAGAATGAAGACGCGGCTGCAGAAGATAGAACATGTGCTGACGTGGATTTTAATTGCAAATACAGATATCTCTACAACGATTGAAGCCCGTCAGAAACTTGAATCACAGCTCCAAGAAAACAAAATCGTGCAGAAAGTACGTCTCTTCTACTACCTCCACACAATTTCCCCTCAACACTAACTCATTCTCGCTTTGTTTTGCGTTATCAGGAATTCTCGATACTGAACGAAGACTCAAAGATTTACAAGCTGATCGGGCCGGTTCTTGTTCCCCAGGATCGGTCGGAAGCGGTTATGAACGTCGACAAGCGGCTTGAGTTTATCACGTCTGAAATGTATGTGCCTACTCTTTTGTGGTTTGCGCGGTTTGTATAAGAGAGGGTGAGAGTGCTAATGTGGATTGACGTGTAGTGAACGGGTAGAAAATCAGATCAAGGCTACGCAGCTTACGTCGGAGAAGAAGCGATCAGAGGTAGATATACACATTGCTCAGCGCAGCAGCAGCAGCAGCATAAAGAGTATCTCACTAACGACTGTTGTGTATTATAGATCATGGCGTTCCAGGCGCAGTTACAAGAAAGCGCAGCTGCTGCGGGCGGCCCTGCGCCTATCAAGGCTTGAGCACGCAGACCGAGGCGGCTGGAGTCGCAGTGTATATAGCGGAATAAATTTCTGAAGAGTGTATGGATATAGTTGTTGTTGCAGAAAGCAGATGGCTGTCGCAGAAAGCAGGAAGTATATGCAGGATAATCACTTTGTATGTTTAAGTAGTATACAAAACTCTGACAGCGCCCATTCATCGCTCCTTTATTCATCATTTGTCTATACATGACACAAACAATCAAACTAGCAAAACCAACTCCAAATTAACCGTGAACTTTTGTTGTCTCCAAGAAGATGGATACCGTCTATAAGTTACTATATTCCTCGCGCGCTCCTGATCGTCTCTTCTCCTTGCGATACATATCCACTTTTGACTTATTTACTTTTTCCGTTGAGGTTTATACTTGGAACTGAAGCAACCTCGCTGATCTGCAGCACCGACGAGATAGGAACCATCACTACAGCCATGTTAGCAACCTGCAAATCATCCAAACATAGTACTCTTCGCGCCGTCGTCCAACTTACATTGCCTCAACTGCCCCTTCTTCGCCGTCGGCGCCAGAATCCTCACGTTCCGCGCCATAGCTTCCTCCTCCTTATTCTCCGCAACAACGTACTTCACCCTCTCGTGCTTGAACGTCACCTCCGGCGCCGCCCGGCTCGGCACCGGAATCCGCTTCGGCAGTTGCTTCTTTGCGATTATCGACTTGGGCACCTTGATCAGCCACACTTTCTTACCGCCCGCCAGCGTCTTTGGCGCGTCGAATTTCGGTTGCTCGAGCGGTTTGAAGCCGCGAGGAGGGACGAATCTGTCGTGGGTTGGTTAGCTGCTGCTGCATCGCTTGCTTCCACTCCCTTTTATTTTCTCTCGAGGAGGCAAAGTAGCTAAAAAGCAGACAAACTTACTCAACGTCCGATTCACTATCCAAAGAAGACATATTCTACTATCTCTTCTACTCTCAAAGAAACAACGTAACGCAGAGATCAAATATCTCGACTACTTTTTCTTCCTTTCCAAACCGCACACCTGAAAATTATCCAAAAAATCTCCCCCCTCCAAAGCCCTAGCCCCATGTAAGTAGAGTTTGACGATTGGGAGTTTGGAGAGCGAAGTTTTTGAGTTTCCCGTTTTTTCTGAAAACAGTGAAAGAAATATTGGGCACGTTTTCATTGAAGAAGAAGACTTGTGTTTTCATTGAATCGTGTGGTTTGACGACAGAGAACGTGTGTTGACGCTTAAGAGATTGATTTGCTATCGATATCTGGCGGTATAACGTCGATTTCCATTTCCGAGACGTTTTAGTTGAACTTTTACTCTTATACTCATCCTCGATCATCACCGCGCTGCTCTCATGTCGCGGCATGTCCTTTCCCGGACACAACTCCTTCGACAAAATCAGCCTCTGAGTCACTGTCTCAGCGGGCTGCGATCTCGAAGTCGTGCTCCGCAGTACACTTTGCTGGTCTCGTGGACAGCAAGATGCAGCAGCCAGCGCGACTACGGACAGGCTCCGGGGCCCAAAAGCGTGAATATAGATATCCTTATGGAAGCAATGGATAGCATGAGTGTGATACACAAGAGAGCAGAAGACTACGCGATGGAAAGAAGCAAAGGGGAGAAACGGGACAGCCATGGGACATCTAAGCAGAGTCTTGGTATGAAGAGTAGCGAGCTCTCAGAGAAGGAGAAAGAGCGCCAGGAGCGCGCACAAATCAAAAAAGAGAAGAAAGAGAAGCAGAAGCAGAACATAGAAGCAATCTTGGAGGAGGAGAGCAAGATGCCGCGTCCGTCCGAGAGCGAAATCGATCTGGCGTACGCGAGCATGTTTCCCGGCGAATTCGAGCAAAACGCGCGATACTTGCCGTCGCTCAATTCCGAAGATGTCCGGCTGCTCTTGGGTGAACCTGAAAAGGCAGCACCAAAGACACTTCCGTCTGGATCTACCGTTCCTGCGACAAACGCGGATCCGACGTCAAGTCAGGTCACAGATCTGGCATTTGTGCTTCCGTTGTCGATAAACGAGCGGTTGGAAGAAGTGGGCGGCGGAATTTCGCAGTATCAGAAAGACGGGGCGGTGGATTGGGATGCGATCATCCAAACGCTGCAAGGAACCAACGTCAAACTCCAGGATATACCGCCGGAGGACGTTGAGAGCTTCTTGCGGGATATACCGCACGCGTACCGGGCAGACCACGCTATCGATTTGATGAAGCTCTTGGAAGAGAGCAAGATTGAGTTGAATACGTATATGTACAATATGTTTCTCCAGGCCTTTGCGAGCGAAAAGAGGGAGAAGCAGGCTCTGTCTCTTGTTCAGTACATGCAGATGAGTAAGTTTTCCCCTGTTTATTCTAACAAAGTTATCAGATGCTAACGTTTGCAACAGGCAATGTGGAGCTCGACCACTGGGTATACTATAACCTACTCAGCCTCTACTTCAACCTCGACGACTACAAAAAGATGTCAACCACAGTCGACCAGATGTTGGAAAATAACATCGATATGAATGTCAACCACTACTTCTTGCTTCTGCGAATGTGCTTCAAGACCGAACGGTTTCGCGAGATGAACCAAATGTTTGATCTCATGAAGTTCAGATCGCTGAAAACTCTGCCCGACTCTCGAATCTACAGTCTTATGATTTCCGCCTGTGGCGTGACACGGGACGCCGAGCGCGCGCTCGATCTCTACGAAGAGATGACAACACGTCCTATCGAGCCTCTGGAGACGAACCCGCATGTTCTCAGGTCAGTTATATACGCGTGCACCAAACGCGCAGACTACCGTCAAAAGGGCTGGGAACTAGCTCTCGAGTATCAGGAGCGGGGGTTCCCGATCTCCGAGATCATGTCGAGCATGCTTCAGATGTGTGCGCTCTCGGGTGACTTTGTGCACGCGCGCGTGTTTTTCTTGCGGATGTGCTCCGAACAGTCGATGAAGCCCGGCAAGCAGGAGTACGGTTTCCTCATCCAATCCTACGCGAACGCGATCGCCGTCCGATCTTCGAGAAAGAAAGGCAAGGAAACAGCGTACAGCCTTCAAGGCGAGCTCGGCGATAAAGTCCGCAGAACGTTCCTCAGCAACATCACGTTCGACACCCACACCCTTTCGGCCGATGTCCCGCCTTTCCTGCCGACTCTCCTGCTCACCTTCAATCAGATCGTGAGTGAAGTGCCCGCAATCATGCTCTTCCTGCAACAGCATCCACGTCTGATGAGCCGAAGAACAGTCAGCGCGTACCTGCAGCTCGCAATCAACAGCAATCTCCCGTTCCGCTTCAGACGCTGGTTCGCCGAGACAACAGCTCCTCCCATCGATCCCTCGGTTTCAGGAGTCCCTGACGCTGCCTACTGCGGTCCAGCTGACCCTGACAGAACTGATCCCGGAGATTCTGCCCCGGATATCAAATACCAGCTCTCAAAAGCCGTCGACCCGCGCTTCACCACAAAAGTCACCCGCAACCGCTTCATCTACGACGCCGCGCTCTCAGGCGCGTACAAATTCATCGACAAAAAGAGGCCCAATCTGGAGTTTGTCAAAGCTCTCTACGCCGAGCGCGAACTGTGGAAGACCACGCCCGACTATCAAAAGCTCACAGACTCGCAGCGCGAAAGATTCGATCTCCGCGCCGCAAGGTTCCTCCTGCAAAGCTACGCAGTCACAGGCCACTACAAATCGGGCCTCGTGCTCTTGCGCGACACTGTGGACTCCTTGGACTGGACTATGAGGGATATGAAAGTCTTTTACGACCGCGCGCATCAGACTGACAATCGCGCAATCTGCCAGGCTATTAGGTATATTGCTGAAAGAGTCTCCGAACGCAAGGCGAAGCGACAGTCTCCGAACGACTTGGCGCCGTTGTTGTAAATAGTTTGATTTATCGGGCGACAACCGTATCTACATCTCTTGGTGGGTTTCATAGTGTATATATTGCGATCTTTGGAAGTGCAATTCGAAAAGAAGTCGAGTCGAGTATTTTCACGTGTAAATATCAAAAAGGGCGTTGGTTATCTGCATTTCTTTTGTCTTTCGCAAATCCCAAAATCTAGTGGGATTTCGAATGCATCTCTCCGATAGATAGTGGCGATACGAAAGTTTGATTCAATATATTTTTCCCCATTATTCAAACGAAAGGTCAAGACGAGAGACAACCCGTGTTGAGATCTCTAAAGACAATCGATTGACGGTCAGTTGTACAATAAATTCTACCTAGAAGCAAAGAGTGCTGTCGCGTACTTTCTCCCCCACATACACCTCACCAGACTCTTTGCGAAGCTCGATATACAAAACAATAGACCATACAAAAGAAACCATCCAATGAACCAGATAACTACAAAACCAACGTTAAAGAAACCTGAAAAACCGCTGATTTCATATTTCCCAAAAAAAAAAAAAAAAGTTTTAAAAATTTCAAAAGCCTCCGAACCCAAAAGCAATCAAAGCAGATTAAGCGGACACCAACATTATCACTCATTAAGCAGAAACGAAAAAGACATGACCAAAAAAGACAAAGAAAAACCAACGCAAGAACGTTCACTCGTGACTTCAATAACCACATCATTGCAGGCCGTCGCGATGGTCGATATGATCGACGTGATCAGTTCCACCAACGCAAATCTGGCGCAATCGATGCCGTGTCAGAGCATCTCGGCGTGTGAATCCCTTCCCGCATTGACATACATACTGCTTTGCGTCTGTATGAATCTTTGCGTGTCGTCTTAAATCGTGCTGGCGGACGAATCGTGCACCGCACTGTGAGCAAGAATGAGGCTTGTCCGACAAATGCGTTTGAATGTGGGTTCGGATGTTGTATCTTTTCCCAAACAACTTTCCGCATCCGTTGTAGTTACATGTGTACTTGCCGTCCGTATTAGGGCCGGTAATGTACACATCTAGCCTATTTCCAGGCCCACGCTCCCGCTCAGAACCATCAGAGTCGTCTGCATTGATAAAGAGAGTCTGACGAGTGAAGGGGTCGGCGGTTAGGATAGGCTGCCAAGTAGGAATGCATTTCTTAACGGAAACCGGTTCAGGGAATCGTCTTCCCTGGTACAGCTCTGGCGATGAAAAATCACTTGTATCCTCGGCCGAGAGAGTAGGTGAGAAGGCATCTGAAGCATAATCAGCTTCATACTCACTCTCTGAGGCGAAGACAGGCATTTGATTATCATGAGTTGCAGACGTATGTCCGTTGATCATCGAAGTCATGAAAGGTACCTGGGACGAAGAATGAGAAGGCGACGAAGAGCTATCCGGCACTGGTGCTCGATATCCATAGTCCGGTCGGCCCAGGTAGTCCGGCTCGTAGTCAGAGTACCCCATAGACGAAACATCCGACGATAGACCGCTTGAGCCAGCAAAGCTTGAAGAGTCTGAAGGCAGAGGCAGTCTTGAGAATATGTCGTATCGGGTTCCGACGGTATCGTTATGGATCATCGATTCCGACGCTGGAGGACTCAAGAAAATGGAAGGATTGCATGCGTCATATTCGAACTTTGGTAACGGTCGATTATTTGCTAGGAGTTTGCGAATACGTTAGTCTGATGGCTCTTGCAGTAGACCTACTGAGTATACATACTTGGAAACTGGGGCGCCCGCAGCGTAGCCATGAGCTGCTCATTCTGCTGATTCCACATCTTCGTTATCGAATAAAACGCAGCGGTATCCTCCGGTGTGCTATAGTACTGCTCAGACTCACTACCAGACAATGATAGATCAGGCGAGCTGTTGTATAGCATGTCCGGAGATATCGCATCCTGAATTGGACTAAGGTACTGCTCCTTGTTGACCCTTAGAGGCTGAGAGGAGTAGTGGCGAGATTCGTCTTGCAACATGTCGAAATCACCCGAGACACCTGTAGTCATTTTTTTATTTGATTTTTATAATGATAAAGTGACCAGAAAATAATTTGAAAAGGAGGAATAAAAGTCGTCCAGCGAGCTAGAAGAATAGTGTCCTGGTTAGTATCGATCAAGACTCCGGTGGAGCTCTTCCGCCAAATCTCTCAGTGGTAGCTACCTTCTATATCCAAAAACCGAATTGAAGGTGTACTGAAGTAATGCAGACCAGCTGCTATTAAATCAAGAACGGTAAAAACAAATAAGTATAAGTTGCAAAAAAACCCACAAAGAGGGCGAAAGAGAAGCGAATGGTGAAGAGAGAAAAACAGGAGAAGAGAAGAAAATCAGAAAGGATAAGAAGATCACCGGCGGTTCGTGCGGCACATGGGCACACATGACGTGTGCAATCATGTAAAGTGATTTGGCTCGCAGTATTTTCACTTTACCAGAAGGAGAATTTTCTAAACAATTTAAATCTAATCGAGAAAATTAATCACAATTATCTGTTGCTAGGGAAACGAGCCGCACGTCCGCGTTCTGGGCAGGCTTTGCCATACTACTAGGACTTCTATGAGTCGGCGTAAAGCTAAAAAACAAGCAGTGATAGTTAATATAAGTAAATTGCAAAAGACCGGTATGAGCTGCTATTATTTTAAGTACTGGAAGCTATATCTTGAGATCAAGAGTGGTAGAGTGGGCAGATCGCAAACCGTCCACGAAAAGACAGACAGACTGCATAGCCACTACTAAACAGTGACAGTTATCACTCCAAACGCGCAAAAGTATGAGCATTTTGCAGATCATCAGTGTCACTTAGGAAACTTGAGTGTAAAATGGGCATGTGGCGCAGTTGGTAGTCGCGCCAGTTTTGCATGATTTCGATCTAAGTCTACTGGAGGTCTCCGGTTCGAACCCGGACTTGTCCACTTTTTTTTTATTTTTTTATATATCTGCGGAGTAGTATAGACAAACGCTATATGGCTATAACGACAAGAGGTTACTCTATAAATTATTTAATGCTGTAATTCGTAGAGATATGAGCAGGAGCAATTGCTGGTGTCTAAGACTCTCGTTTTGCAGTGCAGTCGCGCTTTCGGATTAAGGTTTTGTTTTGCTCATCGCGACCACAGGAGTATAAACAAAGAAAGATCCCACCACCACGTTGAATAACAATCGACAGTGAGCAATAGATACTCGGTCGTCTTATATTCTTCTTTTGACTACTGTTTTCTAGGATACGGAAGTGTGTTATTTACAAACGCTCGGTAATACAGTTTACTCAAAAATTCGACAGAAGAGATGGCACCCACAGCACAAACAGGACGGACTATTCCAGACTTTGAGATCCAGCAACTGCATCATCCACCGGTTCACCAGAAGCTCCAGCTTGTTTCGGAAGATGTACGGTATTTGCAAAAGATATTTATGGAAGCTGCCCAGAGTAAGATTGATACGCATCTGCCGTCGAAATCTGCGGAAGAGTCGTTGAGGGCGGAAGTTGCAGAGAAGGTGAAGGAGGTAAGTACATTGAGTGGTACGCGCCGAGAGAGTCTGTCTGATAAAGTGTCTCTAGTTTATTGCAAAGGTTTTTGATTTTTCAAAGCACAGCATAGTAGTGAATGGAATGGAAGGAGCAGATCCATCACTGGACGCGTTGATGAAAGCCAAAGAGATGGATAAGGAGGAGGCAGAAGGTACGTTCCCTACAATGCCGATATATACGTATTTAAAGATTGGCTAATGATTTGTGTTTGCATTAGCGGTGGAGCCATTTGACCTAGAACTCAACGAGAAAGTGCGGGAGTTATATGCGCAAATTGACGACGAGACAGTCGCGGTCACGAAGCTGCGACGTGAAGCTCCTCTGCGGGCTGTCGAGCACTACAAGAAAGAGCTGGAAGCGGAGGAGATAAACAAGAAGATCCACACACTGGAAGATGACGATGATAGCATGAGTATAGACGCGCCCGAGGTTGACATTGAGAAGATCATACCGCGACGAGATGCCATTGAGGCTGATTTCGATAAGTTTATCGCGTCGCTGAGAGAAATGAAGAAGGTACTGCGTTTTTCCTGATTGCTCATTTGATGTGCCCATGATGCTAACGATTCAAATTTAGACTGTTCCTGGTACTATTTCGAAAGTGGAAAGAGCGGAGGCTGTTATTGCACATCTGAATTCTTATAAAGATCAATCTGCTTAAGAATGTATGAGTGAGTTCACGTTGGTTATCGATTGCAGAATTATTATGTTACGGCGTATGTGAGGGTTTTGTTTGCAGTTTATCTAAGATGTCGCGAGGGGACGGGTGTTTGTGCCAGACGTGCTGTCGTTGCAGTCCTCATGTGCATTTGTCAGTTGCTTGGCTTTGATCTTCTGTATGATAATGAGTGGATTGTGTTTTGTTTGTTAACGGTGTAATGATGATGACATGTCTTGTAACTTGCGGAGGTGCATTTTCGACTGTAATGGATTGATACCTGATCGCGCGCAGCCGTGTCGCTGAGCATCACGAGGCCTCAACTGGCTGTATATGGTAAAAATGGCGAGCTCAACAATGTCAGGGGAATGTTGAAACTCAGGCACAACCTCCAAATGGGGATGGTTCTTAATAGGAGCTGTTATGAATGTTCGGGATCGAAATCGTCGAGATATTTATTATTTGGGAAACAGAGTATATAGCCGGACCCTCTTTCATCTCGGCTGCCAGAGACCAGGCTTGGATCAAAATGCTGTGTGCTCCTAGAAAGCAGGGGCCGAGAATGCTGCATTGATATTGGTTTGAAGAAGAAGACAAAGGTGCATTTATAGGCTGTTCAGGGCAAAGAATGAATATAATTGTACGCGAGCGGAATGCAATGCCCAAAACTCTGATCTCGTTAAACTATTTCGTGTGGATCCGCACGGTTCGCTGGTCTTCGCGCTAACTGATCCCCGACCTCCCTCCAGGCTTCCCTATCTCGTCCTCGCGGTGGTGTATCAAGAGAACCAGCGCGAGGCTGTGTATTGTATCTCGATGGAGGACAATAGCAAACGGTGTATATCCTACACGTCCTTGCCTTCTCCTTCTGCTTGGCCTGACACGTCGCGTCGTGCGGCTCTGGCCAGGGGTTCTTCGGACCTTAAACGCGTGTAGCAGCCCGCCAACCAAACCCCTGGACAAACTCATTGCTGCCCTGTCGTCATGGCAAAGTCGCAGAGTCAAAACTCTCTCGGGCCCCTCCTCTTATTCATGGCTGCTTCCGCTGATTCTTCCTCGCAGCTCTGTTCTTGTCCGAACGGATCATTCGCAGGTAGAAGCCATGAAGCTCCGTATCCTACTACTAGCGACCGCGTCTGTCCTTCCGCTCGCCACCGCTACGACGATCTGTGAATCTGCCTGCTCGACGCTCCTGTCCTCCTATTCATTCAGCGGTTGTCTGACCTCAGAATCCTCCTCCTCCGCCTCTAGCATCTGCTGCACAAGCACGGCCTACGCCGAGTCTTATACCCTCTGTCTGGCAAACTGCAATGTCAGAGAGCGTGTCGCTACATGGAACAGCTTCCGGCGGCAGTGCGCCTATGCGCTGTGCGATACAAACGGCAGCTACGACGAAATCTACAGCAACGCTCTTGACAACAGCGAGACGGCGGCCGCAGCCGCCAACTCTACTTCGCTGTCTGTCGCCGTCGAGGTGCTTCCGGCGTCGTTCGAGTCCCAATATGCGTATCAAAGAGCACTGGCTGCGAACTCGCTGCACAACAAGATATACGGGTTTGTCTTTTTGCTGCTTTTTGCTATAGCCTCGCTTGGGTCGTACTAATCCACTCGCTTGTAGTACCGTACTCGTTCTGTTCTGGTTCCTTGCCGTCTTCATTGCTGCCTTGGCGCGCCTTCATGGTATCCTCTTTGACAGACTGAAACGGCCCCGGAGTCCGACCTCACGATGGATCCAGAAGAATCTTGCTCTGCCGCCCTTGTTTGGTCGTCAGCACATGGAATCCGTAAAGATTGCAGCTTTCCCTGTAGGCCAGCTACCGCTTCTTTGGCAGTCATGCGTCATTGGCCTCTTCTGCTTCCTAAATCTGATCTTTGTTGTTGCTGAATTCGACGCCGATCTGGAGGCCAAGGAGATTATGAGCGAGAATTCTCAGATGATTCTCTTCTCGGCAAAGCGAACTGGGGTTATGGCAATCTTTTTGCTGATCCCCACTTTGCAGTTTGCCGGACGTAATGCATTCTTATGCCAAATCACTGGCTGGTCCAGCGATACCTTCAGGCTCTTTCATCGCTGGTGTGCTCGGGTACGTTCCGCTCTCTTGGTTTTAATAACGTCGCATCTGGTTACTAAACTGACAATATCTGTATAGGTGGCTGCCTTTGACGTTTTCGTTCATGGAGTGCTGGAAACCGTCTACTTTGTGAGCATGAAGATATATACTACCGTCGTTATAGATGCCATCTCCAATCTAGTTGGCGTTATCGTGAGCTATTCCCCTTCTCTTTTGCATCCTTTTCGGCTATTGACCATTTCTGTGAGTAAACCAGGCTACTATAATACTGGCTCTTATCATCATTGAATCATTCCATGCATTCCAGCGGTTGTGGTACGAGATTGTCATGACGATCCACATCGTGCTTGCCGTCGCGTTTGTATTATTATTGAAATATCATATTGACTCAACCGTCTATGTGTATTTGGTGTATACTGCCGCTGCCGTCTATCTCTTTGACCGTCTTCTACGACTTCTGCGGGTCGTTTACGGCAACTTCTCCGGACAGGCCGAGATCCACGCGAATCAAAATGCAACACAGGTCACCGTCAAGCCTTTCGTGCCGTTCACGTACAAGCCGGGGCAGTTTGCTTACATGTACACTCTCCGTCTTAACTTTTGGCTGGCAAACCCGTTCAGCGTGGCCCAGTCTGACGAATTGGGATACTTTTTCGTCGCAAAGAGATTTAATCGGGTTACCAGGCGGATACACGCACATGCAGTTGACAAGCAAACCTCGCGGGCGCGGATATGGATTGAAGGTCCTTATGGGGTCTCATATCCGCTTGAAAAGTACGACAATGTACTTTTGCTCGCAGGCGGAGTCGGCGTCACTGCTGCGATGTCTTACGCCTTGAGCCTACAGAGAAAAGGTAGCAATCGAAAGGTTTCCTTTTACTGGGTCATTCGCGATCGAGAGAACGTGGGATGGATGACTTCTCAACTCAGACAGATTTCAGAGTGTCCGTTCATGGATGTTCATATATACATCACATCTGAAATCTTCAAAGAGCCTCCAGCATCAGCAGTTTCTCGATCCAAGTCGCTCAATGAGAAGAGTTACGGTGCAAGACTATACGAAACGGTCGAGATTGGCGAGGACTTTGGAATGACCGAGAAACTGGTGAGCTCGTTTTCGACTTTGAACGTGACGTACCATACCGGCCGTCCGAACGTGCCGCGCGTGGTCGAGCGAGAGATTCGCGAGGAAGCTGGAAGCTTGGCCGTGTTTACCTGCGGTCCGGCGGGCTTTGTTGATCTAGCGAGGACCACAGTAATTCGGAATCTGGATGTGCGGCCGGATCGCCGGATTGATTATTTCGAGGATGGTTTTTCATGATTGAGGGCGATCAGAGGTGTTAAATAGTGTTCTGTATTGATTGCATGCTTTAGACGTGGGAGTTTGCTGATGGATCTTTTCTTGGGTGATAATGATATTGTACTGTATAACTAGTTGGGTGTAATTTGATTTTTTGAGTTAATCTGAATGCTAGATAAGTAAAAAATAAATCATGATATCGTAAAGTGTTGTGTATCGCGTCGTATTAGCCGGGGCCGATCTATGTATGATATGTTAGCGATCTACTGTTGGACAAACGCGTGACTTTCATGAGCCTACCTTGGGCATATCGTTGTGTTCTGATAGACTGGCCAGATACTTGTTGTATTCTTGCACTTTTTCTTTGTGAGATTTCGAAGCCTTCTTCAAGAGTTCCTTCTCCATCTGCAATTATGAAATCAAAAAAAAAGGTTAGCCGCGCCGCGACGACGTGTAGCAGGCAAGGAAAAGTACACACCCTCTTTCGCTGCAACTCTTCGAATTTTCGCTCTGATTCAGTCTTTATCGGTTCGCTAGGCTGTGGCGTGCTGCTCTTTTCTCTCTCTTTTTCTTCGTTTTTGTCTTCTTCCGGTGCTGGCGATTCTGCAGAGGCAGAAGCGGCGGCGGCAGCGGCCTTTGCTGCTTTCTTCTTCTTCTTCTCGATCTTGGCTCCCTTGATTTTCAAGGATCCGCCAGACACGAAAGAGTAATCGCTTCCAGCCATAGCTATCACACAACTACTGCGTTCAGCAAACTCTCGCTCTTAGCAATTGCGCAGCACTCAAACCCAGCAGATCGTGAGTTTTTTCTGACGATTGGCTCGACGGGCAGTGTGGTTGGGACGATTGGCAAGCATCGACGCTCGGGACAGCCCTAGCCCACAACTCCCGCATTTGGCGATGAGCACCACATCTCGTCCTCCGCCTGGGCCTCAACTCTTGCTCAGCCATAGTGTCGTGACCGGTCGTCTTTGCAAGCTCGTCTGTGCCGTTACCTCTTTCGAGGGCTGTGTCTGGATTATAACCGGCTGTATTTGAAGGCTACAGGTTGCCGCATGTTCAAGTAGTTCGCAATGAAGGTACGTTATTCTACGGTGCAGCAGTAGGCGCATCCCCAGAGACGCGTTCGTCGGCGATTGGTAGTTGTTGATGTGGTCCGGTTGTTCTAATTCTGTTGTACACAGTTCGTCGAGATTCAAGATCTTGAGCAGATCAATTCTGCTCTCCAGTTCGACACCCCCGACTGCAAGGTAGTCGGGGGTTGCGACCTCTACACAACAAAGGCTGCGGGCGGTGATAAGAAGCTCTACAAGTCCATCGACAAGCAACTGCACGCCATGCACCAAGACAACATCCTCCTCTCATCCTCTCTAAGTCCCCCGTCATATTCACCTCCTTTAGAGCGCTCAGGAAGCATGATGATGTCGCGATCGTCTGAAAACGGCTTATCTTCATCTCTCCTCGCGACCACCTCGTCCACCTCCGTCGGCGCTTCTCCATTCGGTCCTCTCGATCAGGTCTCGTCGCGGCGGACTTTCGCCTATCTAATTGCTGTTTTGAACGCGAGTCATCCTGACCACGATTTCTCATCTCTGCGGCCCGAAGATTTCAAACGCGAGCGGAGCGCGACTCAAGTTGTGAATGCGTTTAACAACACACTATTTGGCGTCGGCATGCCGGTTCCCCCGCGGCTGTGGGAAATAGTTGACAGCCATATCGATCTGAAGGTGTGTTTGTTTTGTATATTGATGTTTTGGTACATGTTGCTGATTTTTCAAAATAGGATTCCGTTATCTACAGCCACACCCCGTCGCCATCATTTCTTGCCGACGAACCCGGAACAATATGGTCGATGATGTGGTTCTTCTTCAACAAGCGGCGCAAACGCGTGTGTTATCTCTTTTTAAAGGGAACCCGCCATTCTTATCATCTTGGTCGCAAATCGGCGAACCGGATAGCCGACGACGACGATGATGAAGAGTCGGATGATAACGCGTACCAGGACTCGGATGATGACGCGATTGTGGGCGATTTGGAAATGGACGATTAGAGCACGCACGTCACCATTTATTTACTTCCGTGAACCAATCTGCCAATTGTATTTTAGTATTTCTATCAATTGTTTATTTCTCCATTGTTTTGTTTTGCTGTCGTGAGTTTATCTTACCCCGGCGACTTTGCGGGGTTGAGCGGTTCAGCTGCTGCGGCAATGTCACCCACCAACCTCATCGCGATGCTCATCGCCTACTTGTCCATATCAGATGCATCGGCAGCCATCCCAACTCTTCAATTTTTATTCCCTGCCATTTCTCATTCTGCACTGATTTTATTTGTCCTCGTTCGTTGTGACGGCTATATGGAGTCTTTTGGCCTGCTAATTTGGTATATCTTATTGCTTTGATTCATCTGGGCGAATACTTGTCGGAATTCGTCATAGGGCGCGAAAAGCCCAAATCGGATTTTTTTTTGTTCTCGCCCTTTACTTTCTTGCAAGCAGCTATTGGTTTCAGAGGCAGACTGGGATCAGCGTTTTTGCGAGTTGAATTTACGTTTACGATTAATGCAATGTCTACCAAGCTTCATCGTTGTGGTGTATCCTTGTTCGCGCTGCATTGTCGTCGCGACACCTTTTTTTCTTTATTCTTTACGAATTTAACGAAATTTAACAGCTGTAGATTTATAACCCGAGGGCGGCCAAATTATCGTGCTGTGGGATGGTTATGAATCATCCGCGAGTGTAGTGAGGCCATGGATGATACTCGATCATATTTTTTCCAGTTATAAGATTTATTTACTTCACGACTTTGTACCATCCAAACGATATGATCTGGAACCAATAAATCTAGTCATAAATATCCTATACCTTTCAGTGTTGTATTGAGCTGGTGTTTACACAAAATCGGGCTGTTGGGTTGCGGAATATGTGCTGTAATCGTAGTTTAGCGGGCTCGATCACAGAAATTTCGCACGGCGAGCTGCATACCCAGCAGCTGAATTATCAGCGGTCATTCCAGTATTTCGTTCTATCTACTCTTTTCTTTTCTAGAGTTTTTCATTATTTGCTTGCAGGAATTGAATTACCAAGAATATAACTATGGACGCATCTTACAGCTAATCATCTGATTCTCCTCATACTGAAATCTAGCACTATTTGAATAATATTACTTTACAGACGCTTCAATCAACATAACAATACAGGCGACTTAACATACAAAGCATGGAATAACACAACTAACCACAACACAAGACATAACTCAAACAAATTACCAGCAGAACCTATAACACTGTCCCATCCCATTTACTCCTCATCCTCATCCATCTCATCCGCGCGCTGTCTCCGTCGACGACCCTGAGCATTGCCATCGTTGGGAAGCATGTACTTCATAAAACTCTTCTGCAGACTCTTCTTGACGCTGACCTTTTGCGCGCCGACGAAGGACTGGATCGTGACTCTGATTGCGAGATCGATGTCGCGAGACGAAACGTACTCCGACAGTCTCATCTTGGCAAAGGACTCGCTCAGCCGGAGAATGGACTCGAGATGTCGCACGGTGATGGGGAACGATCCGGTCGCGAGCGATTCTCGGCGCAGGTCGGCGTACAGCTTTGAGATCTTGTCTTCGTCGATGTTGAGAAGCTTTGGGTGCACGTTCTGCTTTGCGTAGTTGATGTACTTGGAGAGCAACTCTTGCGGGATCGGTGAGATTTCTTCCTTGTCTTTGGCTGTGGAGGGAGTAGGTCGCTGAGGCGACGAGTTCGCGTCTGCTTCTGAAGTCTGCGTGGTGGACTGGGAGGTGCTCTGAGCGGGAGCATCATCCATCATATCGTCGTCGTCCTCTTCATCGGTCGCCTCGTCCTCAGGGCTCGGGTGAGAGCGAGTATGGGAATCGATGACAAACGCGGCTAAGCGCCCATCAGTCTCCGAGTCGACCAGATCGCGAACAACGCAAAGAACGTCGAATCGAGACAAGATAGGTTCTGTGAGATTGACATTCTGAGCAAACGGCACCATCGAATTGTAACGTCCACCGACGGGATTAGCAGCCGCAATGATCGAGCAGCGAGCTTGTAGGGTTGTAACGATTCCGGCTTTCGAGATCGAGATCGACTGTTGCTCCATAGCCTCGTGGATCGAGGTTCGGTCCTGATCGTTCATCTTGTCAAACTCGTCAATCAGACAGACACCCTTGTCGGCAAGCACAAGAGCTCCGCCTTCCAAGGTCCATTCACTGGTCAATGGATCCCGACGAACAGAGGCAGTCAAACCTACCGCGGAGGCACCTTGTCCGGTAGCAAAGACTGCTCTGTGCGCGGTCTTCTCGGAGTACTTGAGGAACTGCGACTTTGCAGTACCCGGATCACCAAGCAACAACACATTGATATCTCCACGAATCGAGTGCTTGCCGTTGATGTTCTTGGGCACACCGCCGAAAAGCGAGCACGCAATCGCAGTCTTGATGTCTTCGTGTCCGTAGATCGAGGGCGCGACAGAATTGATAATCATGTTAATCACGTTCGGCGTTCTCGACAGCTGACGGATCGCGCGCTCCTCTTCTTCAGTCCACATCCCGCCTTCGCCGCTGTTATCGCGACGACGGATGGAGCTTGCCTCGATGAGAGTCGTAAAGACGGGGAACCCATTTCTAGCGTTCAGCTGTCCGTCGTACGAGTTCTTGTAGATTCCGGTGACTGTGATCTCCTCGCCCGGCTTTGCGCAGTCAATCAAATCCCAGAGCAAAATCACCTCGCGGTGTCGGGGCAGACGACCGGCGGGGACAGTACCCGGTGACTCCTGAAGCGTGATCTTTTGGTAGTTTCGGTACATGGTTTTCTCGGTGTTGATCGTGAAGCCACTCCGAGCCTGGCAGTTGTGGCAGAACGAGACCTTGACTTCGACGTCGGACTCCTGGAAGAAAGGACCGAGGACGGTGTTACACTTTGTGCAGTTGAATTTGATGTACTTCAACTGTGGGAACACGCCCGTGCGGCGGGTGACGACGCCCTCGACCGAGACAAGTCTGTTGAGATGAACCTCTCGCAAGTTGCGGATGTCGCAGATATTTGGCATATCGCTGATCCGGACGTGGATCTCAGGGTGGATTCGCGAGTAGTCCGGATAATGAAGCTCGACGACTTCCATGGCGACGACGTCAAAGATCTTGAGCATCTCCGCAGGCGCATATGACAGGAACCGAGCAAGTGTGGACTTTGCCTCGTACAGGTGCTTGAAGCTGACTTCCAGCGACTCGCTGTTGATCTCACCCAACGTGCGGATACGCTTTCCGTAGACCGACCGTCCGTTCTCGTCAATGTAGGCAAACAGGAAACTCTTGAATTCGCGCGCAATCGTGCGGTGCACGGCGAGCTGCGTGACCCACTCTGCAATCGTGGGAGCTTTGACGTCGCCTAAAGCGTTGGCAGAGAGTTCGTCGAGCGAGGGGTCCTCGTCGTCTGAGAGATCGGGGTCCTCGTCGTACGCATTTCTCCGACGTCGTCGAGTCGGAAGCTCGACATCCATCTCATCATCTACAGATTACGTTAGAAAGCTGTGCATTTGAAATAATCAGATAGGGGATCGTACCATCCAGGAACGCATCGGGGAGTCCGCGTCGGCTGCGGATGGCTCTATCTCGTCGGTCCAAGATCCGGTCGACGTGGCGCCGTTCACCAATATCAATATCGTCATAGTCATCGTCATCGATATCCCGCGCGCCAAGGTTATAAGTGTTGTTCTCGTCATCGAGGTTTGCATAATCGCTGAGGGAGTATAAGTTAGTTTTCTTCTTTTGCAATGCCGCATATTAATCAATCAAGGCTCAGCAGAAATCATAAAGACTTACCGCTCAAGGTTGTCGCCGAAAAGGTCAATGCCGTCCTCTTCTTCGGCCTGCTCGTCAAGGTCGTCGATCAAGTCATCCTGAGGCAGCTCTTCGTCCAGCTCGGCGTCATCGAAAGGCATCGCTGGGGGTGAGGATGGCGGGAGCGAGGAAGGGGGATCGATGAGAGTATCACTCTCGACGTCGCTGCTCGCCTCCGAGGCTTGTCTTTTCCGTCCAGACATATGTCTTATGAATTGAAAACAGGTGGAAGAGTGAAGAGAGGTGGAAAATAAGGGAAAGAGGAGTGCGAAGATGGGGGAGGTAGTGGACGAGAGCGCGACTGGGAGCAAAAGAAAGGAAGGAAGGGGCTTCGAGATTAGGAAATTCAATTTAGCGACGCGTCTTTTTTTCCGTTCAGGGTTAGATTACAGCGCGTCCTGACGCGTACGTGTCATCGCAGAGTTTTTGGGGTGACACAAAGGGGACACACCCTCCAGCCGCGTCTCGATCACGCGTCCTGCTCACACAACGCGCGCGCGGCACTCCACGGATCAGAAACACTACTTCTTTATTGTCAGACTTCCGCATTTCGTCTTGTCTGTTTACTATCAGTCAGCCATGTCCTCTTCGGCGTCTGTAGGCAGCCCGGAATCAATCACTGCCGTGGACTTTATTGAGTCGCAACAAAAACTGTGAGTTCTACCCCTTCACCGCATGCCGATTCTCGTTTGCATCCGTGCATGCTAACCCAGCACCGCTTGCTATCACCCAGTGAAGATGATGCTCGCGAGGTTCTACCATATGATCCGACTCACTGCACATTCTTCGACGGACCGCTGCGTCAACCGGTGTACGCATGCCTGACGTGTATCGCGAAGAGCAAGGGGGTGGATGCCAGTGGCGTCTGCTACAGCTGCAGCATCCAGTGCCATTCTGACCATGACCTCATCGAGTTGTTCAATAAACGGAATTTCACTTGTGATTGCGGAACTACACGGATGAGCGCGTTTGGCGGGTGCAACTTGCGCAAGAATTTCGATGGGCTTGATATACCGTCCAGCAGCAATCGGTAGGTCTATGATTCCACTACCGCCATCTATGCTTGATGGCTATGTAGGTTGCATAGTGGCTATATGCTAACACATGTCTCTATTTTTCTAGATATGATCATAACTTCAAAGGCAGATTCTGCTCTTGTGATTCGGCATATGATCCTGAAACCGAGCGAGGGACGATGTATCAGTGTTTGTTAGGCGACGTCTGCAACGAAGACTGGTACCACGAGGAGTGCATTATGGGTCTCCCTTTCCCGCCTGCTCATAAAACACAACCGGGTCTCACTGAAGATCAAAAACCGGTGATGCCTCCGTCTCCCAAGGGACACCCAACCAAGGTCGTCATAGAAGCTCCAAACGAGGAAGAGGATGAGACCGACTCTCCAACAAAGCCTCCTGCTGCTTCCGCAGCACCCGAGGCAACAACCGACACCGCCACTCCTGCCAAAAAGAAGGAGCCAGCGCCACCAAAGGGTCATCCGACGGGCGTCAATCTGTTGCCAGAGCTTGTGGGCGATCTGAGTGGTTCGGCGGCCGATTTACAAGGCGCAGCCGATAGCGATGAGGAAGAAGACGAGCATGTGGCGCCGCCTGGGTTTCCGGACGATGATGACTTTGAGGCGTTTATTTGCTGGAAATGCGTTTCGAAACACAGGGCATTCTTGGGAAGATGGGCGGGTATGAAGGGTGTTGCGCTTGAAGCTGTGGTTCGGAAACAGCCGGAGGAGATGAGTTCAGTGATACACAGCCGAGATGTTTTGAAAGCAGCTGCTTCTGAGTTGAAGAGGCACTTGGAGGATTCAGAGGCAATCGTGCCGTCCGCCAAACGGCCATCGGTCGAGAAAGAGAAAGATGAGCTCGCAAAGTCAACTTCGTCAGTGTCTTCTTCATCGACGTCGTCGTCAGTGTCTCAGGGTGCTAACTCATCCATGACCTCAAGAGTTTCCGTGTCTTTGAATTCCATAGATGAGGACCACGAGACCGGTGCGTGCAAGCTACCCACCGAGGTTCCGCAGGACAAGGAGTTTTCTTTGTTTCTGTGCCCAGATTGGAGGGAGAAGATCTGCAGATGCGAGGAGTGCTTGAAGTTTCTGGACCGGTTCCCGATGCTGAAGGATGAGGAGGTAACTTATGAGCCGCCACAGGATGAAGACGAGAGTAAGTCTGAACACTTGATAACATGTCGTACCCGACCACTGTGCTAACTTCTTTTTATCTCCAGCTTCATCACTTTTAGATGCTGGGGCGCGAGCATTGAACTCGATGCCGCGCGTCAACGCTATGGAGGGAATCTACGCATACGAAAAAGTCAAGAGCAAGCTCTCGAGCTTTTTGAAGCCGTTCGCAGAGGACGGACGGATTGTTTCAGAGGAGGACGTGAAGGCTTTTTTGAGAAGATCAAGAATACCTAGAGCGGGCGTTCTTGCAGTGATGTTGTGCTTATTTTCTACTTTCCTGCTGCTTGTCTTTCTATTTTGTTTTTGTTTGTGTGCTTTGCTGGAATAAGGAGTTCCGAGGTTCTTATTTTTTCTACGCGTAAATCAGCATTAAATGACATGTTTTTGAAATCATCAGATGAGCACGGTCAGTTGAGTTATCAGATGATGTTGCTGTTGAGTCAGATCAGATAAGTTGGGGAGCTCCAATCAGAGCGAGGCCAATTGTAATAATCATCTGATAATCTAAGCGACCAGGAGGGTCTCTGCAGCGCAGCGTAAGCTACTACTGCTGCTATCTGCCTGTAAACACACAGCAAATACCGTAGAGTATTACTACAAGTCTGATAATGTCTTTTAATCCAATTCCAGACTAATTGCACCCGAGAAAGAAGAGCAGCGCGCTGAAGAGCAGCGGTTGGCAGCTCGAGGAGAGGATCTGAGGACTGAGCCGCACGATTGCTTAATTGTCAGCTGAGAGCTGCTTACTTTAGCTGCAACCTGATTGGCCGAATATACATCTGCTTCCAGTACATCCAGTACTGGATATATTTAGTTGAAACTTTTTAGTATAGTGAATTCATGGCAAAAAAGTATGCAGTTTAGATTTTACTGAGATATATTGGGTACAGCGCAAACTGGAGGGATTACAACGGCCCAGCAGCAAAGACTGGAGAGCGGATCCAGCCAATCAGCGTCCACCTGTTTCTAAGCATTTGTAATTTAGAGCCGCACGGCCACCCACGTGACTTTTCTTTGCCATCGCGAGAAAGGCTATAAAGTCGACGTCGGCCGCCGTCTGTTGAGATCAGAATCATCCAACAATTAACTCTTCTACTCTCTCACACTCGATCTTCTCTTGATCCAAGCTCTTCTTTCTCAATCTTCAACACTACTTCTCGTCAATACTTCACAATGGTCTGCTGCGGAAAATCTAACGGCGTCTGCGTCTGCGCCCAGGAGGCTCGCTGCTCGTGCGGTGCCCGCCCTGCTAAGGAGTGCGTCTGCTCCAAGGCTGCTGTCGAGAACCAGGTCGAGGGTCCCTCGTGCTCATGCGGTATGTTCCAATTGATATTTTGTTGATGAGTCGTTCGGATCAGAGTGCTAATTGGTTTGGATATAGGCAAGCGTCGTGCTCACGAGTGCACCTGCTCCCGATCCGCGACCGAGAACGGTCTCCGCGAGGGAGAGGTTGACTTCACCAACCTCAAATAAGTCAGTCGATCTGGAGCATGAGCTGTAGCAAGAGCTATAGTCTGTTCTTTGATTGCGACATCATGATCACTTCATAGCATTATCTTTTTATTTGGTTGGATTTGTTTGGGATGGCAGTTATACGATATGATCTGGCATGGTTATTGATTTGTCTTTTATTGCTTATTGCGCTACGGAGTTTTGTATATCTTCTACTTGAATTGTAAATATATATCAGTGAGATTCTCACTTGTCAATAATATCATATCTTCGGAGAACTCTTCAAAGCTACTAAAAACGTTGAAGTCATCGGGACCAAACACGTGCATTTAAGTTTGTCGACGTCAGCGACAACACATCATTGCCATCAGATAAGAAATCAATTATACAATTATAACAGGAAACAATAGTCAATGATTAACAATGAAATACAAACAGAAACCAAAACCAAACAATATCAAAACAATCTGAATATGCAACCATCAATATCTTAATCGTACATCTTACACGACTCGGGAAGTCGGGTTTCCGTCGACAGCTCCACTCGATGTCCGCGTTACCTATATATAGTATAGCCAAGTTAGCAATGGTCAATAAGATCTGAGAGAAACAGTAACAAAACAACCCACCCATAAACTATCTTCGTCATCGTCGTCTGCAAACGGATCCTGAAGCTCCTGCTGACGAGGCTGGATCGGCGTGTATTCCAGCTGCGTTCGTCGCGCGACGTCCGGCGAGACGTCCGAGATGCTGCTGGGTATACTGTTATACGCAGAAGGCTCCGTGCGAGCTGGTGTAGGTTCCTGCTGGACATAGAACTCCCTGGGTGCGCTTACGAGGTTTGCGGCACGGTCGAGAGCAGACTTGTGCATCTCAATCGCGGAGGATAACGATTCGTTCGCGTCAATGAGTTTGACAGTCATGCTCTCCTCCAGTGGCGGAATCACATCGCGCGAGAGGTATGATTCGATCTTGGACGACAGCCGTACGCAGCGCTCGTAGAATTCGAGAACAAGAGGACTGGCGGAGATCTCGGCGGGAGCGGTGGTCTGGACTACTTGTTGCAGCAGACCGGCTGAGGACTTTGCCTCCTCGATGACGTCGGCTACTTTCTCGGGCGACAGGGAGCGGGGCTGATGGTGATTCTCGGCGGTGCTGGCTGCGGTGGTCTTTCCTCCGTTCTTGCGCATGTACTGCTCGAATACTAGTTTGAGAGGCACCAGGTTCTCCTCTAGCCGCTGCTCCCGTTGAAAATACTCTAGAGTCTCGATCAAAACTGCCCGGACAGAGGGATCGTTGCCCTGCGCGAGTAGATTTGAAACCGCAGTAGCGAGTTTGCCGTCGAGCCCGATCTGGTCGAGTATAGTGGTCGAGTTTGAGCTTCCGAGAATACGGAGGACAAGGATGGCGTTGTACTGCACGATCGGGTTCGATGAATGCTTCGGATCTATCCGCTTGCGCACCGAGCGCACGGCTTCGGCGGCAGCTTGCGGGGAAGATTGGGCGCATTCGACAATCACGGGGAGGAGGGTGACGTCGTCGTCTTCGCCCGCGGACGACGGCGCGGCGGAGGCGGAGGCGGATGTGTTGTGGAAGATGGATTTGAATGAGGTTCCTGAGCGCTTTTTGTCGCAGAAGCCGGCTATGGCCAGGGTTACCTGAGCGCGGGGGTCGCTGGCGGAGACTGCGGAGAAGATGTGGTTAGTATTCAGTGGGACTGGGGATGGAGGGAGGTTAGGAGATGAGGGAGACTACCTTTTGCAGACCCCGACGAGGACCGAAAGACTTTCATGAGTAGAAAAGCAGCAACAGCAGCACAGTCAAGCAACCACGAGAAGCAGAAGCAGAAGTAGAAGCAGACGCAGCGCTGATCAGGCCAAGGTCGCGGTGGCTGAGCTGTTTTCGTTATCGTCGTCGCCGTCGTCGCTCCAGGCTCCGTTGCTGTTGTTCCTGTTCCCCTGAGCCGCGCCTCGGATTTATTTTTATTTTTATTTTAAGGTTTGACGTCTCTGCTTACATTTGGACGGGTGTCGTGGCGTGGGATTTTGAATAAGTTTCGAGGATTACCGTCGAAGGGCAGGAAGAAGATCGACCTGCGAAACTGAACCGACCTTTCGTGCTGAAGTGAAGAAGACGAAGATCAAAAGGATGATTGCGGCAGCGAGTACGCGAAGAGCTCTTCGTGCTCTTTGCACTTCGTCACCAATAGTGCTGTATGGCGCCCGGAGCTACAGCAGCAGCCAAAGCAGTTCCGAATATCTGATGGGGACTGTCTTGTATCCCTCGCAAGTCGAGATACCTTCCGGGTCCTCGGTTATAAAATCGCTGGTTAGCGAGAAGGATTCGCTTGTGCGGCATCCCAAGTTCAAGCCTGCTGGGCTGCTGATTTTCGCAACACCTCAGTATGCGGTTGACATGTACAATACCATTTCCGCAGAATGTATGACTCCGAATTTCTCTTTCTCGATATCATTTGCTGGGGCGAGGTTTAACATTATGTATAGCTTTTGACTATAACGTCTTTGGAGCAATTGTCGACGTCGTTCCTCCCGGGGGCAGACGGGATGGACTGTCATATCTCTGGACGTCAACGCCAATCACTTTAGACAAGCAACACAGTTCAGAGCGAGTGCCACATACAAACGAGTCTGGCACACATAGCGACTCGACCCACTCACATTCACACGGGGGTGATCTGGAGGTAGTCCAGGGCCGATTCATATCGCGGGGAGGAGAGCAGTGGAGCCTTAACCCACAGTTTGTTACGCTGAACTTCAGGCAAAAACGAACAATCAAGATGCAGTCGGCCTCGACGATTTTCGAAACTGAAACGGAGAGTATGATGGTTGCGCGTGAGGTTGGCGAAGAGGCAAAGATGTATACGAGCATGACTCTCAACATCCCGCATAAACTCAAGCTTGAGCCAGTCAAGGCCGAATCAGCTCTCGAGTTTCTGCCAAACAAGAGCGCGCGACCAGGTGAGTCGGCGGATATGTACGTTACATCCAGCAAGGACAACATCATCCGGACGATCAACGACCGGCCGGCGTCGTCATTCCTCGAGGATTCTCTGGCCGCGGGACTGTTTCTGGATCCAGTGCCGCCTATGAACACCAGGTTTACGAAGAATTTGGAGAATCCGAAAAACAGAAGCGTGTATGCGCTGATCAACGATTCGGTGCGGTACAAGGTGATTGCGGGAGGCGGAGGCTGGGGAGTGCGAGCGGGTATGCTCGTGCTCGACCCAGAGGCCAAGGTGCCTGCGAATGCAAAGATCGAGTTTTATGTGACGAAAAATGCCGGGCCAGACTACGGAATCGCAGACGCCGAGCTGATGACGGGAGACCAGTCTTACGGGCGGGTATACTTTGAATGCGTCGAGCCGATTCAGTTTTTGGATGACGCGGAGGCAGAAGCTGAGGGCGCTGTGGTTGAGGAGGTTGCGCTGGAGGGGATATTTGGTGCTGGGACGGATAACCGGTTTCTGGTGGGGACGAAGAAGTACGATGTGCATGGAGAGTTTGTCGCTGCATCGGTCGTTAAGTAGGAGAGATATGTAGATAAACAATGTGTATATATTGACCAAGTGACAGAATTATCGGGGCCGCGTAAGATGTCAAGAGGCTGGCAGATAGCAGATGTCCAAGAACTGCGCGTCTTGCTGAAGCAGATGATCGTGATTGTTATTAGGCGACGGTTATGGTTTAGACCAGTCACAGTCACATATCGAGGGACTTGTTCTCTGGTCCTCGTTACCAGAGAACGGGCTTGCTGCAGCGCGAGCCCAGGTGCTGGAACCGCACCCATTGTCTTGTATCCCCTTTGTACGATTGCGCTCCACTTTTGCTCAATCTTTCTGTTCTCCACGGACTCTGCTGGTTGATGCTTGTATGCAGTGCGGTCTCAGTCTGCGCGGTCTGCTGTCTGACTCCAGATGCCGGACGGAGAAGCACATGGCTGAGACGCGTCAGATTAGAGTTAATAGAGAGACGCGTCACAGTTCCGAGTCGGAGAAGTGCCTGGTCTGGCTCTCTCCACAGCACATGCACGCAGGCAACAATCACATAATGGGAATAAGACATGGTTAGCTGTTGATAGTTATATTGCAGGTTATATTGGCTCTGCCAAACGTTGCTGGGGAGATATTGCTGTAGAGACGCACATACTCGCATGGCATGGCTACGGCGAGGGAAGAGCACAGCACAGACAACGAAGACAACGAAACAGCAGACTCTCGGACACAATACAGCCAACTCACATACTCCGCAGACAATAAGACTCTAACACTGACTGCGTTCGTGAGCCTGAGCAGAGCAGAGCAGAGTCGCGGGCAGCGTGCGTGGCGCCAGCATTCTCGAATGACAAATCTTCAATCTTAAAATTCCGGTTTGGCTTTAATCGGCTCGAGAACAAACATTCCGCAGACTAAGCGGGAGATGAACTTGTTGGTGCTGCACGCTGGCCCACTGCAGCCCGGTTCTGTGCGTTTGCGTAGAGATATTATACAATAAAACAGTTGCAGAATAGAAAAGAATTTGCATTATTTTGTTGTTATTCAAACAAATATTCACTCCAGCAGACCGGAACCGCAGACCGACGCTGCCCTAACGACCGTTGCGGGCTGCCTGACGACGGCTTTGTTTGTTTGTTTACTGCTGCTTTCAGGGGTTTAGGGCTTCTTCACCACGCTCCTCTGGCCCGCTTTGCTTTGCTCTCTCTCTGCCTTCCCTCCGCCCTCACCTCTTCCCCGTCTCACCTTCACCGCTCTCTGCTGTGCTCTCCCCTCACTTCCTATCCTTCTCGCTATTGTCTCATCAGCAGACTCATCTCACAGCTCCCCCCAAAAATCGCCCCGGAGAATGACTCGCCGCTCGACTGACTCGGCAGGCTCAACGTCGCGTCGGTCGTCGATCGCAAACCGCGTCCTCAGCGAGATCTCAAACACGACCTCCAATCGCTCCTCCAACGCCTCCTCCATATCCCCCGGCGTCAAGCGTCTCTCGACCGGCCAGCGCGTTTCCTCTGCCATCCAGCACTTCCAACGCATCACAAGCGGCTCCTCGGCCTCCGCCCAATCCTTCACCGCGTCCTCGCACCCGTCAATCTCGCGTCCCTTCCAGGTCGAGCGTAATGGCGTCCTGCTCGACCAGGAGCAGCATCCTAGTCCTACAGACTCATACCATTCCTCAATGCTGCCGCCTACCGTCCATGAAAACAACGACGACGAATACGAAGACGACACAGACCACACCAGCTATTCCCGACGCGCCTCGACCTCTGTAAGGTCAAACCGGTTCTCCACCGCGCCCACAGAGGTCGACAGCATCAATGCAAACAGATACTCTACCGCCTCCGCGTACGGAGAACCCGCAGTCTATCACCCATCTTCCTCAGACTCGGCTCAAAACAGCCAGTTCCAGCTCTCATCCTCGCCCACAAAGTCTTCCTCCTCCGACGACACCGGCTACGAACCCCACGCCGCCGCAGACAAACGCGTCTCCCAACTCTCGACCTGCACAACCGGCTCTTCGGCCTCTAGCAGAGGCCACAAGCACAAAACCCACGTCGGTCCATGGCGTCTTGGACGCACGCTCGGCCGTGGGAGCTCGGGTCGTGTCCGGCTGGCTAAACATTCCAAGACTGGCAAGCTCGCGGCCGTGAAAATCGTGCCCAAGTCTGCTAGCTTCGAGGACCCCGCGAATCCTGAATCGCAAGCCAGAGGAAAGGATGCCGCGGGGCTTCCTTATGGAATCGAACGCGAGGTCATCATTATGAAACTGATAGAGCACCCGAATGTTATGGGTCTCTACGATGTCTGGGAAAATCATGGAGAACTGTGAGTACACTCCTTACCCGTTCTATCTGAATATGTACTTATCAACTGTTTTCTAGGTATCTTATTCTGGAGTATGTGGAAGGCGGCGAATTGTTCGACTACCTGATTCGCAAAGGGCGTCTCGACGAGCGTGAAGCCGTTCACTACTTCAGACAGATAATCCTCGGCGTTGACTACTGCCATAAGTTCAACATCTGGTAATATTACTTCCCTTCATGATTCTACTTGTCTCTACTAACGCGTAAACATGACAGCCATCGAGATCTCAAGCCAGAAAATCTTCTGCTCGACAAGCACCATAACATCAAGATTGCCGACTTTGGAATGGCAGCGCTAGAGGCAACTGGAAAGATGCTGGAGACCTCTTGTGGATCGCCTCATTACGCCAGTCCCGAGATCGTTGCAGTATGTATTGTTGTTACTTTTGTGTTTGGTAAACCGTGGCTCTAACGCGTCAATAACAATCTAGGGCAAAACATACCACGGTTCGCAGTCTGATATCTGGTCATGTGGTGTCATTCTCTTTGCTCTCCTCACAGGCCATCTTCCATTCGACGATGAAAACATCCGTAATCTGCTGATGAAAGTCCAAACTGGCAAATTCCAAATGCCGTCTGACCTTTCGATCCACGCCAAGGACTTGATCTGGCGGATCCTGAAAATCAACCCGGAGGATCGTATCACGGCCGAAGAAATTTTGAGCCATCCTCTGCTACGGAAGTATCCTTCCAAGGATGCAAATGCAAACATCTCTCGAGCCCCTACCGTTCCGGTCCATCATCCGATCAATTCGCGCGAAGAAGTCGACGTCGAGATTGTCAAGAATTTGCAGACCTTATGGCATGGCGAGGACAGAGAGGTTATTATCGACAGACTTTTATCGCCTGAGCTGAATCCGGAGAAGACATTCTACTGTCTTTTGATGAAATATCGTCACGATCATATTGACGACTCCTCGTCTGCCGAGAACACTCCTCGGACTTCGCCACACCAGAACCGCCGCAAGCAATCGATTGGTAACAATGCGATGGTCAAGCAGCCTGCCAAGCCAGCTGCTGCTCTTCAGCGCCAGACCACGCCGACGCGTGTTTCGAGACATAAGAAGACCGCTAGTAAAGGCTCCGTGCGCTCGATTGCATCATCCCATCGCAAGCGTGGAGTCGATTTCTCCCATGTGTCGAAGAAAGTGCAGGGGTCGACCTCGACACCATCGATCAAGTCGCAAAATAGCATCCAGAGAAGACCGCAGCAGCCGGAGTACGAGCCTCCTTTGCCTGAGTCTTCGTCGATGCTGATTGCCGCTATCGATCAGCTTTCGCAGTCTATGGCTCGAGAGCCGTCGTCTATCTCGGCTGCAAAGGAGCAGTCGCGGTCGATAATCAACGCGCAGCGTCCGCAGGTCGATCAAACTCGTGTTCCTGTGCCAGGTCCGGTTCCCCGTACGGCGGTTCCGCGCCGGAACCCGCCCGTGCTGGAGACGAAGAAGACACCGATGGTACTGGAGGACTATGCAAACCTATCGTCGCCGGTGGAGCAAATCCCCGGCTTGCGACTTGATTACTCAGTCCGATCCGCCAAGGAGCAAAAGTCCCGACCAGGGACCGCTGCTACGTTGCCGGAGGACGACGAAGTTCGCAAGATCTCTGCCGAGTTTGCTGCTTCGCTCTGTGAGACCATGTTCAACTTTGGTGGCCCGTCGACGCGAAACGTGAGCGACTCGAGCACGGAGTCGCAGCCGCGCACGGTCTCGACTTCTTCAGAAGCATCGACGGCGTCGACTGCGCCGACATCTGTCGGTGGACGAACGCCGGTGATGGCGGATGCAGAGTTTGGGAAGGACACCACAGGTCCGCTGAGACTGAAGTTTGAGCCGATCAAGTCGACGGTGCATGTGTCGAACTCGAGCAAGGATGAGTGGGTCCATGAGTTTGAGCGGTATTTGGTGGATAACAACCGAGTCAGGTTAGATAACGTTGACAACAGCAAGAAGAACAACAACCGAAACGCAGGGCCAGCTCGCGCCCCGCAAAAGTACGGCGTGTCTTCGTTATTGATTGATGACAAGAACGATGTGCCGCCTCGTCCTCCTCCACACACAGTGAAGCGGAACTCTGCTTCAATCGAGAGATTTTTGGATGCCGAGGAGGAAGACGGAATGGCTTCGTTTGCAGCAGAGGTAGAGCACCTGCTAAACACGCCCCCAGTGCTGAAGCGACAGTCTTTGACGCTTCAAGCGGGAGACGAGCCTCTTGCTTCGCGCAAAACAGTGTCGCGACCGTCCGATTCGAGCTATATTGGTTCGTCAATCACCTCTCCTACGCCGCGACAGCGCAGTCATAACCGGAACCAGACGGAGGCGAGCCGACTTCGGATTTCAAAGATTGTTGCAAACGACAGCTTCTATGGAACGGTTAACGTTGAGCGGGATGAGCGCAAGACTGAGCGGCGTTATCTGAGCTTGGGAGAGGAGCCTGAGCTCGAGGCGAACTTTGAGGCTCGAAAGGTGTCTGGACAGAGCATGGAGAGCAATGCGAGCACGGGCACGACTATTCGCCATCCGGTCGGAGGAAGATCACAGTACTCTAACCGAATGTCGATGGGTGGCGAGGAAGAGGATGATATCACGGAGACCGTGACTCTTCGTCCGAAGATGCATTCTGTGCGGGAGAGTGCGGCCGGGTCGTATAAGAGCAATAACCGGGTATCAGTGATCTCGCAGTCGTCGGTACGAAACCAGTATGGCCGACCATCTACGTCAGCCTCGATGACTCGCGGAGGCTCTCGTACGTTCCACCGTCCGACCGTGAGCATCATCACGACGACGGACGACAACAAGCCAGAACGCCTGATCTCGTCGATGCTAATCGACTCCAGCGCGGCGCCCGCAGAGCCTAATCCGAAGACGAAGCAAGTACCGCTTTCGGCTGTCATGACCACCTCTGAGCAGAGCCAGAAGCAGCAGTCGGAAGAGCCAGAAAGCACGCGATGGGTGCGTTTCCACAAATCGCTGTTGCCGAAGCGGAAAGCGCCGGCGCCTCCTTCGGCGGGTGGCGCGCGCAGCTCGACGAATTTCATGGGACGGATGAAGAGTACGAGGTCAGCTGCGCGGTCGTCTAGTAAGAAGCGGAAAACGCAGAGAGAAAGTGGTAAGCAGCATCTATCTTTTGCTTGTCGTTTTAGAAATGAACTAACATTGAATTATGATTAGACTTATTTGAGGGCGTTGTTCCTACACCATACACCTCACACAGCAGACCCAAGCGAAGCTGGTTCTCAAAGATCCTGGACAGCATTGCCTAGTCATACTATTTCAGCAGTGAAGCAGAGGATTTGAGAGAAGGAAAATAACCGAGTCGGTAATGATTATGAACAGGACGTCGAAGGGTCTCGACTTTGACGTGAGTGTGAGAAAGAGAGAAAATATAGTTATGTACTAATAGATTGTTGTTGTTTCTTGAGTTTTTTCTTGAGCCCTCTTGGTGATGAATAAAAGTGATTGAATCTGAAGGATGTCGGTAAAGATGGTTTGTTTACCTCTCGCTGGATTGAGAGACAACGGAAATTAATCAGATCACGTGAAATTATCTAAACTTAAGGTTTGAAGCTTTGAACTTCAATCGGGTTTGTTCCACCTTTTTCTCCGGGCAGCAGAGAGTCAAGAGAGAATCCACAGGCTGGACGCGGTCACCACCAGCTGAGCTCTGATTGTTTGCGTGTGAGATAGTCGAGCTGTAATTGATTATTGAGTATCTGAGATGATCGCGAACCACCGCAGTTCTGGCGCGTTGCTGAGAGCAGCGAGCGCGTCTGCGAGGACATCGCTCGCAGTCCGACGGAGGCTTATCGGAAGCTGGCAACCGGTTCCAGCGAGATCGGCTGTGGCCAGTTACACTTTCCTGCCACACTCTTCCCTCTCTTCCTCTTCCTTTCCCTCTCCATCTCCTTTCTATTCCCTCCACTCCTCCTCCAAACGCAATTACTCCACAGACATGTCGTCGTTCGGATCTGCTGCTGCTTCTAGACTCGCGGGAAAGACCGTGCTGATCACCGGTGCCTCGTCCGGTATCGGTAAGGCGACCGCTTATCTCTTCGCCGAGGCGAGCGGCGGTGAGGTCACTCTTGTCCTCACTGCCCGTCGCGTTGCCGTCCTCGACTCCATTAAGGCCGTAAGTGGATTCTTCTCTGATATCTTACTATACCTCCGTTTGCAATTGCCCTGTTTCTTTGCAATTGCGGTGGGGCATGCGGTGTGCATGCAATTGGTTGCGCAGTGCTAACCTCGACGCTGTAGGATATCGAGGCCAAGTACCCCAAGACCAAGGTCTTCCCCATCGGTCTTGACGTCAGCAAGCTCGCTGAGATCGACAGCTTTGTCGAGAACCTTCCCGAGGGAGCCAAGGACATTGATGTCCTCGTCAACAATGCGTAAGTCATCTCAATCCTTCCTGATCTCATTCTGTGGAATTCCATGCTAACACCTCTCTGCAGCGGTATGGTCCACGGCACCGAGCAGGTCGGTGAGATTCTCCAGGCCGACATCGACATCATGTTCCAGACCAACGTCTTCGGCCTCATCGCGCTCACGCAAAAGATCATCCCCATCTTCAAGGCCAAGGGCAAGGGCGACATCGTCAACCTCGGCTCCATCGCCGGCCGCGAGCCATACCCCGGCGGCGCCATCTACTGCGCAACCAAGGCCGCCGTCAAGTCCTTCACCGAGACCCTCCGCAAGGAGCTGATCGCCACCCGCATCCGCATCATCGAGGTTGACCCCGGTCAGGTCGAGACCGAGTTCTCCGTCGTCCGCTTCCGCGGCGACAAGTCCAAGGCCGACGCGGTTTACAAGGGCGTCGAGCCTCTTATCGCGGAGGATATCGCCGAGGTTATTGTCTTTGCGGTCTCGCGTCGCGAAAACACAATTATCGCTGATACCTTGGTGTTCCCTAACCACCAGGCTTCGGCTTTGATCATGCACAGAAAAGCGTAGAGGAGCGGTTTGGATTATGAGTTTTTTGTAGCGATAGAGACGATTTATTAATAATGACTGAGCTTATAGCAGCATAATTGTAATTTTTCAACTAAAAATTGTAACAAACATCAGATTTTAACTCTCAGCTGTATTAAACGAGATAGAACAAGAAACTAAAATCTGGCAATGATTTAAAGAGACGGAATATTCAAACAATATATATATACTTCTTTACTCTTCGGCTTCAGAAGTGAAAGGAGTCAAGTTAGCAGTACCCTCCTCCCAGCTAACAGGCTCGACAGCAACCATGCTCTGCACAGCCTTGACAACCTCCTCAATCGACCCACGGACCTGCTTCGTCGAGTCGCGCTCGCGCAGCGTGATCGACTTATCCGCCAACGTGTCAAAGTCGACCGTGATTCCAAACGGCGTGCCGAGCTCGTCGTTGCGCGCGTACCGTCTTCCGATCGTGGCCGAGCTGTCGTCGACTTTGCTCGAGATGCCCACGCGGCGGAGGGCGGCCGAGATCTGGCGCAAGAAGGGGCCGAATTTCTCGTCGTTCGAAATCGGCACCAGAAGGACCTTCGTCGGCGCAACTAACGGCGGGAACGAGAGCACCGCGCGCGACTCGGAGCCAGGGCGGATGTAGAACGAGTGCTCCATCAGCGAGTACAGGATTCGGCCGATACCGAACGAGGGCTCGATGACGTTCGGCGTGAACTCGCGGATGTGGTCGAGCTTCTTCTTCCTGCTGATCGAGATCAATTCCTTCTCGACCTCAACCGGCGCGTCAACGCCCTCGACCGTAACAGTGATCTTGAGCTTCTCGTCGAGCTCGGCCGCAAGCGACTCGAGCTCGTCCTGTGACCGCGAAGTGAGATAAGTCTCGATCTTCTTGCCGTCCTTCTTGAACTTGGGGCCAAACTTCTTCTTGTCGAGCTCGACCTCGTAGTCCTCCGTCACGAGCGGCGTCTCGCGCGTCTGTCGCACGACAAGCTTCTCGTTCGTCCGGTTCGAGTGCACAGTCAAATCGTAAGCCGAGCGGTCCGCGCAGCCAACACATTCGATCCAGCCGTACGAGGTCTGCAACTCGGCATCCCAGCAGTCAGCAGCGTAATGCGCCATCTCGTTCGACATGTGCTGACGGAAACGGAGACGGTCGGGCTTGATTCCGATCCGGATCAGGAAGAGGTATATGCGCGCCAAAAAGTATCCGAGCGTCTCGTTGTCGACCACGCCAGCCTTGACCGCCTCGCCGATCGTCATCTCGTCGATGTCTGTTCGGCCTTCCTGCTGGGTGTTCTTGTTGAGAAGACGTAGCTTCGTGTCGGCGACCTCGACGAAGCGCGGGTGAGACTTGTCGAGCGGGTCGACAAAGTGCTCGATCTCGGCCATGAGGAACTCGCGCACGCGGAGCAAGCCCGACCGCGGCGAAATCTCGTTACGGAACGACTTTCCGATCGAGGCAGACGCAAACGGCATCTTTTGGTTGTTGCTCTCGAGCAGCTTGTTGAAGTTCAGGAATTGGCCCTGAGCGGTCTCGGGACGGAGGTAGCCCTTCAACTGGCCAGAGGGTCCGATAGCGGTCTCAAACATGAGGTTGAACTCCAGAGGCTCGGAGAGCGGGCCACCGGTGGCGGGGTTGGTGATGTTGTACTTCTTCATCAGCTCGCCGAGTTGGGGTCCAGAGTATCCATCGATCTGCCAACTATTAGTACGCTACTTATCATTCACGATTGAAGAAGAGGGACTCACCTGGGCAAGGACAGACTCAATCTCAGCAACAGTCTCGTCGTCGAGCTTGACAGCCTTAATCTCCTTAACCTTCTTCTTCCGCTTCTTCTCCTCAGACTTGTCCGGCTCGGCCGCAAGACCCCGGGCCTCCTTATCACCCTTGAGCCTGCTCTCGAGCACTTCCTCGACAAGATGATCGACTCTAAAGATCTCGCCCGTAGCCGGATCGCGACACATCCAGTCCGCGAACTTGTCAACGTGGCCAGAGGTCTTGAGAACCTCGTACGGCGTCAGCATCGTGCAGTCGACCTCGAGCATGTCCTCCTCCAGCACAAAGTGCTTTCGCCAGAGATCGACGATGTTGGCCTGCAGCGCGCATCCAGGCGGACCGTAGTCGTAAAGACCAGAGACACCTCCGTAAAGGTCGAACGCCGGGGCGTAGAAGAAGCGGCGCTTGAGCACGCTCTCGAGATTTTCTCTATCAAACGACATTGGATTCTCTCCTGTAGTTGTAGTAGAAGACTGCGGTGACTTTGCTTTCTTGAAAAACGTTGGCTTCCGTGTGCTAGCGGGCTTTGTGCAGCTGTTTAGAAATACAGCAGACGACGAAAAGGCGCGGATCTGTCGAAAGGTGCGGATGAGCATGCAACGGTTGCTCTGGCTGGTGAACTCGTCTTCGTCGTCCTTTCTCTATTTCGCACTTTTGGGGCATTTTTTTTTTCTGGTGCGCGTTTGTGTTCTGTGTGGCCCTCATTAGATCGGTGACTCATAGTTTATGTCAGCTACTGTACGGAGGGACCCAGAATAATCAGCCGTTGGGAGATTGTAATTTTTTTTTTCTTTGAGAGCTCTGTTCCCATCTTCTAAACAAAAACAAGTCCTGACCAGACTTGATCTATCTCTGAAGCCGGGATACAGAAGCCAGAATGCCGTCTCGCAAGACAAAAGGCTACAAGAAGCGCAAGACGTCGTCGGTGTCGATTCCGAAAGACGCGCTGAAGAGTGTGAAGAACAAAATCAAGCGGGAGAATCTATTAGCGAAAGTGCGCGATGAGCACAACATCTCGAAACACAAAGCGCGCAAGGAGCGCTTGAAGATGGAGGCGTCTGATCCCGAACTCAAGGCGGAGCGGTTAGCGAGTAATATCCCGTCGACGATTGAGGCGATGCGGGTGTACGACGAGACGGTGAACGTGGCGGCCGAAGGAGAAGACGAGTTTGAGGAATACTTTCGCGACAAGAAGCCGCCAAAGGTGCTGATCACGACGTCGAAGAATGCCCGCGGCGAGGCGTACGAGCTTTCGGATCAGCTCATCGACATTATCCCGGGCTCGGAGTTTGTCAAGCGGGGGCACAAGTTCTCGATGAAGGAGATTGCAAAGTTCTGCAACAACCGCGAGTTTACCGATCTGGTGGTCATCAGCGAAGACAAGAAAGAAGTCAACGGACTCACGTTCGTGCACCTTCCCAACGGCCCAACGATGTTCTTCTCGCTCACATCACTGCGCATGCCGAAGCAGATCTCAGGCCACGGACGCGCGACCGAGCACTCACCCGAGCTTATCCTCAACAACTTCTCTACCCGGCTCGGTTCGACAGTCGGCAGACTTTTCCAATCCCTGTTCCCGCAGACACCAGAGTTTGTCGGCCGCCAGGTCGTGACATTACACAACCAGCGAGATTTTATATTCTTCCGAAGACATCGGTATGTCTTCAAGGAGACCGAGCGGGTGGGCTTGCAGGAGCTGGGACCGCAGTTTACGTTGAAGCTGCGACGTGTGCAGAGAGGTATCGCCGAGGAGATGGAGTGGGAGCATCGGCCAGATATGGACAAGGAGAAGCACAAGTTTTACTTGTAAATTTGTTTTCATGTTTGGATCTCTTGTCATCTCTTGTTTGTCCGGGTCTTTCACAAAATTCATTCTGGAGTTTCTTTTCGGTTTTATGTTTATACACTGTTTCGTGCTTGGATTATAAAAGTAGCCATCATATTATTGTTTTTATGTTACTATAGCAAGAATCTAATTCCGCCTTACTTAAGTTCAGGCGTATCAGCGTACAAGATTCCAGACTCGCTAGCAGAATAACGATCACCTTTCACATCCGCGTTTTCCACAAACGCTCTCATCTCTGCGATCTCCTCGCTTGTCAACTTCACGTTTGCGCTCTCGACGTTTTCCTTCAGACGCTCGGGGTTGGTGGTACCCGGGATCGGAAGAATGTCGTTTGCGATTTCCCAAGCCAACGTGAGCTGACCGGTCGAGATCCCTTTCTTATCCGCAATCTCTTTCATTTGATCGAGCAACTTCAGATTCGCGGCGAAGTTCTCGGCCTGGAAGCGCGGCGCCGTGCGTCTGAAGTCACCTTCCGGGAAATCGTCCGGAGAACGGTACTTGCCCGTTAAGAAGCCGCGCGAGAGAGGCGAGTACGCGACGACGGCGACGCCGAGCTCCTTGGCGGCATCGATCAGACCGTTCTTCTCTGCCTCGAGCGAGAACGGCGAGTACTCGATCTGCACGGCGGTGATGGGATGGACTGCGTGCGCGCGTCTGAGCGTCGCTGCGGAGCATTCAGAAAGGCCTAGGTACTTGACCTTTCCAGCCTTGACGGCGTCGGCCATAGCCTTCACCGTGATCTCAATGGGCGTGTTCTGGTCTACACGGTGAAGGTAAAAGAGATCAACATAGTCTGTCTGCAGGCGCCTCAACGATTCGTCCAACGACTCGGCAACATACTCCGGCGACCCGTCAGGCTTGAACGTCTCAGGATGAATTCCAAACTTGGTTGCCAAAAAGACCTTGCTGCGCTTATCCGGCGAGGAAGCAAGCCATTGACCGATCTTGTCCTCGTTGTCGCCGTAGATGCGGGCGGTGTCGAAGAAGGTCACGCCGAGATCCAGAGCAGCGTCGAGGATCTTGAATGCGCCATCTGCATCGACGTTGCTGCCAGCGTAGAATGCTGAGATGCCCTGTTTGTGAGAATGTCAGACTGTACAGAGACAATGAGTAGCGGTGCAAAGGGATACGCACCATGCATCCGTATCCGATCGTGGACACTACCGGGCCGTTCTTTCCAAGGACTTTAGAAGGAATAGGCATTGTGTATGATTAGTATCTGGTGAGCAAGATGTAAGGAGTGCTTTGAGGTTTGAGAAGAGTATCGTGCAAGAGAATGGAAGGTGACAGTGCTGTTTCACCCGAGCACTCGTCGCTAGTTAATACGCTCAACTCGATCGATATTCACGTGCCCGCAGATCGGTGACAAGACCGACTTAATTTATCCTCTTCTCTGCTCCACAGCCATTACTGCTAAGCAGAAACAATCAGTCTGCTCTCCACAGCAAAGCCGACTCAGCATGTATCCGACGCTCTCCGTCTGATCTGTTCTAATCTGTTCACCGTTGACACACAGCGCAGATCTTCATTTCAAGCTTCAATTTCTTGCAGAGCAGATTTGAAGTAGATACCACATCGGGTTAGGGTGCGAGTCTCAGTCACCGTTTTGCGATTTTAGCTATTTTGCAGCATGAGGAGTATACGATAGTGGAATAGGACAGGTTTATTCTTAATATGTTCTATTGCTGATAAGTGTTTTATTCAAAAGGAGTCACGGTCGGGGAAGATCGATGTGGAATGGAGGGGAGGCGAGGACCAGAGGAGATCCTGTTTCAAGTTGACTCCGAGGTGATTTCCTCGTGGCTCATATGGCTCAGACATCATCAGCTTCCAACCAACCATCTGATCTCGTACGCAAGATGGAACAGTAAAACACAATATGAGAATTTCAAAAACCATACAGACACAAAGAAGTGATTATTTACCATTTCAATCACAGAAGTACAGTGAGCGCGGCCTCACAAGCAGCGCAGCTAGAATTCGCTGATTCGCTGCAATACACACTTCGCGTCCATCGCTCAAGACCACTGAAAAACTTTTATTCACTTCAGAATATATTACACAGCATGGTCCAAAACCACACACAGACTAATATTCACAATCTCTCGTCTCCGGCCGACTCATTCTTTCCTCCTGACAGCAGGACCTGGTGCTGCAGCACGAGCTGCACCAGCACCGCGACAACGGTGACCACCACCAAACTCGTCACCACCGTCATGATCGTCTGCCGCTTATCCGACCGCTCGACCATCTTCTCGAGATTGATCACCACCAGACTCTGCGCGACCGACCCGCTAGCGGCGGCAGTGCACGACGGGTTGATGCTGATCGCCGTGACGGGGAACGAGTGCGCGAGCTGCACGATCTTGATCTCTCGCAGCGAATCCGTGCGCACTATCGATACCGACAGATCTGCTCCCGCGACACACGCAAGAGACTCGCGGCAGTCAAGTGCGGTCACGGCTTTAATCCCGCTATGCAGACTTCGAACCGTTCGTACCGGGGCAGTAGCCTGCTGCTTTGCCAGCTCGAGGTCATCTGGTAGCACTAATTTGACGATACTAGCGCCTTCCCGACGAGCGGCGTTTGCAACCAAAATCATCGTGTCGTGGCTCGCAAACCTCACGCCTCGAAATGAAGCAGCCGGTGGAGGGAAGTATTCTGCAATCTTCTCGCCCGTCGAGGCCGATAGCAAGACAACACGTTTTAGCGTCGTGTAAGCGAGGTACTTTTCCGACGGAGAGTAGTCCACATCCTGAACTTCGTGGTCACGACCGCTGTCGTCGTCCGAGGCTGTTTCTGTGATGGGCGGAAATTGGTTCTGTAGAGAGGGGTATGTAAGGCTGTAGAGCGAGCCGTTTGACGAGGTGACTGCCAGATACTGTGCTGAGCTCGAGAATCGTGCTGCTTTCTGTAAAGCTGTTAGTGATCTTGAAAACCGTCAATTATCAGCTGGCAAGCTTAAGATTAGATACCTGATAATTGTCCTGCTCCCCGGTGGCAAACAGCTGCTTCTTATTCTGCAGCTCAACCTTGTTATTCTCGAGCTGGAATATACGTAGATGGGTATTCACTCCCTTCTTCTGCTCCTCGCTTCCGGAATTGATTCCTGCCGCAATCACTCCCTATAAAATTTCTTAGCGTAAGCACAAGAACACACTCATATAGATCAAATCAAATGATTGTGCACATACTGCTTCAGAAATCGCTAAGCTCATCGGCGCATCCTCCTGTTTCGACAGAATCTTTTCCTCCGCAACCGTGATCGTGCCTTCATTCGAGTCGACATCCAAAACCGCCTAATTGCCCACCCCATCACAGTCAGCTTAATCCATAGCAAGAGAGAATCCACTGATCAACAAACAACAGGTCGAAATCACATACAATCTTATTAGCAACGCCGTTCTTGCCTTCACCTCCTCCGCCGGCGACCACGAGCTTCGAATCGGTCGCGAACGAGACCGCGTAGATTGGAAATCTAACCTCGGATCTAAATACGTCAGGCATAATTCTCTGGATCCGTGTAGATCAAAAATCGGTCGGATGAGATGGAATCAGGATTGGTGATGACGATGGTTGAGATGTACGTTCAGTGCGTCGTTTGATTCTCAATAGCCGCTGTGCGCACTGCCTTCTATATACACACTCGACTGTCTGCCTTCAACTTGCGCAGAGTATCGAGCTACGCTGGTAGACCGGATTGATAGTGTCGGTTCGTGAACAGGTTTCTTGAATTTCGTGATTGTCAGGCTCCCTTCCTCAACGTCAGTCCGAGGCTCGCACGCGGCCCAAATCTAAAACCTTATTTCCCTGACTCCCCGCCCTGGCGCAATTACAGTACGTAGTCTATATCTGATAGCCTTGTATATTTTGTATATCTTGTATTGTTATCTAGACAACCTAAATATCCTGTCTATTCAAATTCCATAGCGAAAAAAAAAAGACAAAACTTGTGAAGGAGTAAGGACGGTCTACAACTTGGCCTTGACGCTCTTCTCGTAGACAACCTTATTGACAATCGTGCCGACTTTCTCGAGACCGATCTCGACGACATCACCGTCCTTGAGCCAGTACTTGGGGTTACGGCCCATTCCAACACCTAAACAAAAAATCAAACAGCTATTAGTACCAATGCAAAGTCAATCAGAAATGGTGGGGGGAAGAGCGCGCGGATACCTGAAGGTGTGCCGGTGAAGATCAAGTCGCCGGGAAGAAGGGTGGATCCCTGGCTGAGGAACGAGATTGTCTTCGCGACACCGAAAATCATGTCTGAAGTGTTTTCCGACTGCTGGGTGGCACCGTTGATCTTTGTGAAGATACGCAGTTCCTGGGGATTCTTGATGACCTGTATTGCAGATATAGTTAGTTCGCGCTGCGAAGAGCAAGTTGGACTAGTGTAGAAAGAAAAAGGTAGACAAACGCTTGAAGACACAAGAGCTGGACCAACTGGAGCCCAGCCGTCAAACATCTTTCCAAGAGACCATTGGCCTATAAAGGGCGCAGTTAGCACACATTCACTCAACAACTCTCAATCACGCAAGTCTACTCACCACCACCCTTCTTGATCTGCCACGAGCGCTGGGAGACATCGTTTCCAACCATATATCCCAACACATAATCAAGTGCCTCGGCCTCGGACACGTTCGACGCCTTTTTGCCGATAACGATAACGAGCTCGCACTCGTAGTCGGTCTCGTTGTCGATCTGCGCGATGGCGGGAACAGGGATCGGGTCGGTCGGGCCTGCGATGGCGGTCACGGGCTTGAAGAAGAGGACGGGGTACTTTGGCTTAGCCATTTTGGACTGTTGAGGGGTTAGCTTCGATCTCGCTGTAGAGCTCGAGATTGCGAGAGCTTACTTCGATAGCATGCCTAAACGTAACAGAGACAAGACAAGGTTAGCCCAAGTTCCGGATTCATGGTCTGATGTAGAATCGTACTTTTCATAGTTGAGACCAAGAAGTCTAACATTGGGGATCTGGTCCCATGACAACGGCGACAGCAACTGCTTGATATCCTACACAGCCAAAGGTTAGCCCCGCATTTCGCGGATGCATGATGTCAGTCTCACGAAGCCAATCCTTTGACCGACCAGGAAACAGCGAGACACTCCACAGCATAAAAGTGAATACCTTGATCTCGTTGGTGACGGTATAGTCTCCTAGGATATCGCCGGTTATAACGATCGCCTTGGTCGCCAGGCGGGCATCGTCAGTTCCGGGCGGAAGGATAGCGTCGCCGGTATAAGTTTTACCGTCGGTGGAGATGAAGCGCACGAATCTCTGCAGAATAAAGACAATCGTCAGATTAGACTCCAGAGAGGTTAACAGAGCAAATACCCTGTCGGCACACAGAAGGTCATACGTTGAATGGCATTGGGATGAAGATGGTGGAGAAGATGGCTAGAGCGGAAAGACGAAAGATGGAATTAGTTACGTTCTTCCTTACTGAGCATTCCGTAGAGTGTCACCATAATTGAGGATACTCAACTCAGTACTTAATTGTAGTTATCATGGGTTTGCAAATACCTCGCAGTAACAGGTAATTAACGGCAGGGTTAGGTTGCTCTCATCAAATATTCCTGCCGTCTGACGCGTAGCGAACGCGATCCGATCGAAAGGTTTTGTCTGCAATCACCCATACCGCATCTTCTTCTCACCATTGATCCTGATTCTTCAGACGATTGTATATAAAACCAAAATTACGCATTCGAAATGATTCTCTCAACGAAAAACATATGCATGGTGCATTTCACGCTGCTGAACGCGATCAGCTACAAGCTCCTGACCAGTCCTCAGGATATCTCGCGACACGGTCTGGTTTTCATCATAGGAAGAGCAATGAGTCTGGTAAGTCTGTGGCTTATAATTTGCTCACATCCAGCCTGCTCTCCTTTTGCTCTTTATCCTTATGGCTTATGGAGAAGCAAAAAGAGAAGAGCAGGAGATTAGCAATGGCGATCGATACTAATGGTGATTCACAAAGCCCGATGCAGAATTCACCAAAGACGACCCGGCGGTTGGAATGATTGCCGTCGTACTCATGCAGCTAAGTGTGGTAGACATCTCAGCATACATAGATCCAACTACGACATTTCTTGGGATTGCTGGTTAGTGTTCTCTGACTCTGATTTTGATTTTGATATTTGATCGCCGATTGCGAATTTTTGATCGTTTAGATCAAATAGATTCTCGGCATACCAAATCCTGAAAGAGCCGTCGTGTTAATACTTACTATTGCTTTGCCGTTTAGTACCGTTCCGATTGATGCTAGCGTTTGTAGTTAGCGGGGCTGCTTATCTTTCGTCCGGTGACAATATCGCGCTGTCGAACTCGGTCGTGTTTACATTTGCGTTTATTGAGGTGCTTATGCAGTTCTGGCTCTTTGTTTCAGTGCGCGAAGACCGATCTAGGCTCATTCGTGAGCAGGCGCCTAGCGAGTGAGAGCGAGAGTGAGAGCAAGAACGAGGCATTATTGGGAACGGATCGTACAAAAAGCGTTAGGATCGAAAGGAAAGAGAGCGAGCGTGAGCGAGAGGATCACACGTGATTATGAACGGTAGATTATGGCGGCACTCCTATTCGGAGATCGAAAGCTGATAGGCCAGTAGAGAGAGCTATCCGAGTTGCATGGCGGAACGTGGAAGTGGGAATAGGGAATGGTATGGATCGTACCACGAGACTGTACAATCTTACAAATGTCGGTGGTGAAGATGAGGATGCGCATGTGCATGTGTTCTCTAGAGATCATCCCATTACTATTATTCCTTTTTCCTTATTTCCAGCAAACATAATGATACAACGATAACTGACGTCTCTCGTAAATTGCAATCGATACTTGGTGCAGATGATCCACGGAAATAAAGGGGTAGACAAAGCTCCAAGCTAACGGTTCATCTTAAGATGAGCGAGGGCGGAGTCAAATCGTCGGCTTCTGGATAAGGAGCCTCGGCAAGTGAGCCATACCATGTGCAATCCGATGGCCAGCAGCTTGGTTGCTAATCTTCTGATTGCATAATTTCTTCTCTGTTGCCCTTTTGATCGTCTAATAAGGAATCGAGTAACTTAGAGAGAGTTGAATAAGCCTGAGACAGAGGGTGTCGATCGTCTGCGCAGTAGTGAGCAGGTGGGGTAAACGGTACAATCTCTACACAAGGGCATCACGGGAAGTGTCAGGATATTAGATAAGACCGATAGAGACTTAAGCCTGCGCACGAACGTGAAGATCTACGTGTGTTTGCGAGCGCGGGAGATCGCGCGGAACTGAATCGAGACAGGCGGCGATCATAGAAAAGAATGGTTCTCGGATTAGGTGCGAAGACGAATACGGCTGGTAGGCTTTCGTCCTAGAAGAGAACTGCGGTGATCTGAGGGTAGAGATCTACATGCAAGGCTCCACGATGCTGGATCCAGCGTCTGTCTTCGTCATTAGACAGACAGCAGCAGTGATCATGAGATGGAGAAGTGAACGACGGTACACTTGCTCGCTCACACAGCGACTGGAGTACACCGTGATTAAAGTTCTCGTATGTCCGGTGCCCGTCTCAGCGGTGTCCAGACGTCTGACGCGACCTGCTTCCACTCAGAGTATGCCGGGATCCCCGAGTGCCGAGGCCAAGGCCGGCCGGGGCAAAAACGAAACAACGACGAGGCCCGATTTCATCAGACTTGAACGATCTCGTCTTGCCCGCAGTCCGTCATACGCCATACTGAGACAGCCTTTCTTCCACAGCCAGCCAAACTGTCAACAGACTTTTGGCTTCTGGGCTAGATGCGAGCTGTGCACATGCTAACCTGAACAAGGCTGGTGAGCTGCAGCGCTGATCATATGTCATTCCCCTGCGCCGATTTAACTCTGTCTCCTCACGCTTTTTCGTCGTCATCTCATCGTCATGAGCTCGGAGCCTGCGGCTCACTGCCATCGTCAACCAGCACGATCTGCTTCGTCTCCTTCTTTGTTACTACAGCTGCGGATATTTAGCAAGATGGTAACGTGCGAAGCGTGTCTTAGCAGTATGTAATTAAAACTATTGGTGAGAAACTGCAAACGACGGTGGAAAAAAACAGCTAATATGAACACCTGGATTATAGAGCACCAAGGCAACGTGAGCTCTAAATTTATCCCCTCTGCTGACTGGCTGGACTTCAATCTTAGAGACCGAAAACTTTTCTTTTTTTCTTCCCTCTTCTGTGCCTTTTATGATGCTGGCTCATTTATTTACGTTGCATATATTGTACTTGACCAATCTTATCCTCGACTCGCCGCCGGCTGAATCCCGCGGGTTTCTGATCTGTCTCCTATTCCTGCTTATCTTCCAAGATACCAATTTTCTTTCGTGATGCCAGAATCAATTCATATCATAGTCAGTACTCTGCATGCATTCCTCCTGTTTTAAACCGCAATTGCGTTCCTGGCCTGTGAGAGGTAAACTGTTGAGGACCAAACAGACCAGATATGCAAGCAACCGCTTCCATCTCACGTCGACGCTGTGAAGTTTTTTTTCGCTTTTTCATCAGATATATTGCCTATCAAATAAAAGCATGCTTCCCGGCAGCCCCACTCAAAGTCCCTAGATGAACAGACAATTGTGAATATGTCGTGCAATAAACGTGGTCATGCGCCCGCGTGCACTGTAATATATAGGACTTTAACCGTTGTGAGCGGGAGCATGGGGCACCGGCTCAGGTGCCGGAAGTGGGTGGAGACAAGACCGAGCGCTGCGTTTTCGGGTTGATAATCATATAGCTGAGGAATCTATTGGAAAGGAATGGAGATTCTTTATCACTGAGAAGTGGAAAAGGCTGATCAGAGATATGTATTTTCATTTTGTTCACTCACTTCGCATACACACGATCTTTAGAAACACATTTGCATAAACAGAATTGAAAGACAAGAGAGATAACACTTTGATAAAAGAGAAATTGAATAATTAGAAACGCCTATACAAGAATAAAATAAACCACTTCCAAGATATAAAGATAAAAAATTACAGTTGATGATAATACAAGATAGATTTTTTTGTAGCCGCGCACAGCCAGCTCAGTACATCAGTTCGGAGGCAGCGAACGATCCAGGAAGTCCAAAGCCTGCGTTGTAGTTGAAGCCCTGGAATTGCTGCTGCTGCTGCTGTTGCTGTTGCTGTTGCTGCTGCGCCTGCTGGTGTTGCAGGAAGTTGGCTTGTGAGGACTCAGTAGTTCCGGGCTGGAGACGCTGGAGCAGTCGCTGATGCAGGTAGTTGAGTCGCGGGTTCTGGTTCATGTACTCTTCAGGATGAGCCGTCATCGGTAGAGTGCCAGGAGCCGACTTCTCCTCAGCGAGCATCATCCGCAAGCAGCTGGAGAGATCGTTGGAGGCCAGGATGTTGTTCATGTCGTCGAACTCTTTCTGCTGCGGGTTGTGCGGGTACAGAGCTGAGAATGTCGGTCGCGCGCAGGGAAGGTACTGAGGCTGCTGCTGCTGATGATGTTGCTGCTGTTGATGAGCCATCGGCTGTGACGCACCCATGAAGAGGTTGCATGAGCTCGACTCCGAGCTCGAGTTCTCGCGGAGCGTGTCCAGTGGCGACGAAGGCGAGGACGACGGACGGGACCAACTCGAGCACGTTGACGCGCTGTCAGACCAGGTCTTTGGAGCGCTCAATACTGACTGCTGGTCTGTCTCCTGCTGATGCTGCTGGGGGTTGAAGTGCTGCTGCTGGCTCTGGTGCGCCCGCTGTGCCGAGGGATGGCCACTGGACTGGTAGTACCACTCATCTGGGCCAGCCACGAACGGGCTCGACGACAAGACGAACTCGTTCTTGATTGCGTTGCCACCGGCAGCGAAGCCAAACTCAGAATGCACCTCGTCAATCCGCGTGACAGGCGTAGGACACGAAGACTCCGAAGCAGGGACACCGAAGCGCATTGGCTCGACGTGCGAGTATAGCATATTAACCGGCAGCGAGGCCGCCTTTGCGCGCGGGTACCGAACCTCCTCGTCCATGTCCTCGAACTCGTCGTCGTCGAAGCCGTCGCTGTCGTCGTAGTTGAGCGAGGGGAATTTTCGCGCTTGGCTGCCAGAGGCCGAGAGGTCGCCCGAGAAGTCTGTCGTGGTGAAGTTCACGAAACCGTTGTCGTGGTCTTCTTCGTAGTCGCCCGAGAGGATGGACTGGTAAGGAGTGAAGATTCTTCGTGCGTTGTCTACCCATGAACGAGTCAGTTGCTGTTTCAAAACAAGGAAGAGGAACGAGACTTACCGTCGTAAACAGGGCAGCCAGTGGTGTCAATCATGGACGACATCTTGACCATGATTCTCGGGGTATCATCTTTGTAGTTGAGGCGGCGGGTGTAGTCGCATGCGATCTTTAACCGTGTGCAAGGCGTGCATCTGGGATGGAGCTCATCACACTTGATCTTTCGGTTCTGTGTAGTTGAAGACAGGCATCAGTAAAGCACAATACAGCTCGAAAACAAAAACACATACTCTGCATGTCCAGCATCCGTTTCTAGATCGAGGCGCCTTCTTGTTGCCCTTCATCAGCGAGGACGCGGCAGGAGCTGATCGTCTTCGCGTCGACGAGGCGGATGTGGTGGAGACTCTTGATGACATTGATGGAAGGCAAGGTGAAGACGAGACTGTTGATGGGAGACTTGATGCCATTGAAGAACGATAGTTGTTGTGAGGTTGCGGGGAGGGCGTACGCCGGTCGAGTGGTTGATCTGAGTGAGCGTGTATTTCACTGGATATATAACTGAAAAGAGTATATAAAACAAATATATATACTATATAGCTATATAGATATAGGTCTATATAACGATATATAAATATATATACAGAACGGATAGATGACGGCAGAGGGCTATTGGACCCGAGAGGGAGGCAAGATGAGGGAGGGAGATGAGAAGATGTAAGAACCGGGAAGAGTGGAAGCAATAAATAGGAGTAAGCTTGCTCGAGGGTTGGGCCTATAACAAGACGAGGCCGCAGAGGGGAGAAGGCGGGGTTTTATCAAACAGGGATAGGAACAATACACCATGTCGGGCTTCGCGCCAGTTCTCATCGTTTTTCGATTCGCGGTACCTGTCCAAGGCGCGCGCCGCATCCAGTCGACGGGGTCGCCTGATATTACAGCTATGAATTAATTATTCAGAAGCCTAGCATGGAGTCTAAAAATGGTACTTCCTTGGCCTGCTCCGGAAAGCAAAAAAACGGGGACGAAATCGGGAGGGAATCCAGAAAGAGGGGTATTAGCATATCATCAGCCTGCGGGAGAGGGGGACGAACTCTTGTCGCGAGAGACGTCGTCGTAGCTTCTGCCACCATGCGCGGGAGCGGAATTAGTTATGAACTCTAATCTGCTAGCGTGGTACCCTTAGTCGTCCCAACTTCCTGAGCACAAATGGAAAAACTTAGCTTGGCAGAGGCCATCCGAGTCACAAACAGAGAGCTGCCCGGCAGAGCATGCTGTTGTTTACTGATGCCATTCTGCAGTATATGAATCTGAATGTCTACATTTGCATTTCTATATAACAGTATATATATATATTGCGTCCTGTAATCTCCGGTAGAAATGAATAAATAGAACTGTAAAAAAGATTTTCTCTACTGGATGCCCATTTCTCCCCGTCTGCAATCTGTTTCTCTTTGCTCTGCTAGCTAATGATTCCCTGCCCTCACTATTTTTAGTCCAGAGATACAAAGAACGGCTAAACAAAGACGGAAAAGAGGACACGAGCGTTTGCACGCTCTGTCGTCATTTCTCATTCCATCTCGCACCGGACTGGCACCGCAGCCAAGACTGACAGGCCGGTCAGAAATGCCGACCGGAAGCCGACCGGAAGGCGATTAATGATCCAAAGCGGTTGTAAGTAAGTAAAAACCAGAAAGCCTTGGTTCCTCGTGTTTTGGTCGCCGTTGCTGGGCACAAAGCCAGTCAGCAGGTCGTCAAAGACGAGAGGACTATCCGGAGAAAGCGCTCATGACAAAATCCGTCTGAGCCGGCGTGCTTCTTGGGTTACGCCGAATAGAGTTGGTGGTTAGGTGCGAGGTACGCCTTTCTTATCGCCTCACGTTGCTTTTTGATCTGCGAAAGCCAGAGCGTTGGACCTTTAAGGTTTGGGAAAAAGTAACGATGCGAGCGGGATGCGAATTCCACACTGCGTTCTAGAAGTGCACAAACCCCTCCGTTAGCGGATGTCTGCGCTCGCCCCTCCTCCGCCGGGCCGCGAAACGCGTCGATGCAGAGCAGATCAACAAGAAGGTCCGCTTTCTGCGTGTATATAGGATGATTGCAGCAAGAGGCAGTAGTCTGAGATAATCAGACACAGCGAGCCAAAAGTATATCCTATTACTAGCTTCAATATCCAAGAGCCCGCCGGTGCCGGAGGTTGGAGGGGACATTTGCAAGCTTTAATATCTCTTTGATTCGATCAGGTCTATGAGGGCCTTCGTGGAGCGACACGAGAACTCGTGTAATCTAAATAGACCTGTTCAATGAAAGAAGATGTATGAAAGAAATATCGCGTTTAAAGAAAGGCTATTTTCGATATTTGTAGGTAATATTGCGGTCTCTCTAGGAAGTTTACGATGGTCTATTAAGGGTCTGCTATGTTGCTTTTGAATTCCTTATTCAACCTTTTAATTGATGACGATTATAATCCTTTTTGTTCTCTGCTCTTTTTTTTCTGCTCTACAAAGAACAGATTAATGTTCGTGCAACTGTGCAGATCAATAGGCCTTCCAGCTGACACTACGCGTAGCCGTGCCGGATCGCTCGCTCGCCCAAAACCGTGATGGACGCGGCCACTCTCACGCCGGAAAACCCTCTCTTTCGGGCTATATTAAACAAGCACGTGAAAATCGACCAGGGAGCGAGCTACTGTACATTTTTGCTTTCCTGTAGATAGATAATCAATATTCGTGTTTCGTGGCCCAGTGTAATATTTGCGGATTCCAATCTTAAGTAATAAGACCAAATATCAACTAGGGAAAAGTATGTATTGAGCGTAAAGACTAGAGAATAAACAAACAGAAGGAGCGTCCCTATTATAAGGTGGCGCTGGACAAATGTGAGGTCACAAGAAAAGAAGTGGCTAAAGACAAACTAAAGATAACAAAGTAGAAGTATGAAAGGTAAATGTAACGCTTCTCAACACGATTTGTATATGGTATGATATAACTATATCGAGGAGTTTTGAGATCTTGCTTTATTATCAGGAGCGAGGGCTATTTATTTGGGACCAAGGTGCTATATTTCAGCATGTTTGAGGTTGACATCAAAGAACCATCTAGATCTCATCTAATGACTCTTTCGTTTTGTTTTTGTTTGTGATTCATCTACTCTTTTGTCAGCAATCAAAGAGTCAGCCTGTTCGCACATCTCTGACTGCTGATCTCATGAGAAGCTGGAAACGGGAAGCCAAAGAAATCTGCTCTACATCTTTGAGCGATTTTTTATAGCCGTCTTACGATAGATTGCCAGTATATTGACTGCCGTTCGACTTGGCAAAAATAGCGAGTAGAGAGATAGATACAACATCCTCGTCGACGTCTCGTTGTGTCGCAGTCCCTGCTTTCGTTTCTCTGTGATGTTTATATAGATCCGGTATGGTCTATTACTTTGGTTTTGTTTTATTTAGTGCTTTACGAATAAGCATACTGCAAGCTATATAGCTGCGATGGGAAGTAAAATACCGCCCTAGTCGTGGGAATTGACAAGGATTAGCTGCAGTCCGCGGGTGGGCGAGCGACTCTCCTCACAAATGGTATGGAGGTTTATGTTCATCTTAGATTGCTCGACTTGACGCATTAATAACACCACTCTCTTCTGAAAGTCGTCTTGTGCCGTTTATATGAAGCTGCACATCGTAGGGACCTGGCCGTTGAGGCTCACGAATGAAGGGTCGAGAATAACAACCCTAGCTTAATCAAAAAAAAGTCTCGAGATCTCTATCCGCTTTCCTACAGGCCTAAAGAACAACGGACTGGCAGGCTCAACATGGGAACTCCGAGCGCAAGAGATATCATCCACGTAAACAGAACAGAGCTAGGCATTCCGCGTTCCGCAGCATCGGGGTGTGTGTTTTAGGAGCGCGAGCGAGCTCGTGAGAGGATAGCCTGGAACACAAAAGTAGTAAAGGTTTCGGCTAGGCGATCTGCCAACAGGGGCTTAGTCAGAGCCGGCAGACGGTGTGCCTTCCAAACAGCAGATGGCGCGACGGTAAGCGGAGAAAAAGCAAAGAGGAAGGTACCTGCCTCCGTTTGCGAGCAGCTCCGAACGAGGTTTTGTGCTCGCCCGCGCGAACACAAACACCTTGCCAATCAATGTGCACCGTTACGGTGCTTTCTACCACTCCTGTGACTCCTGCTGATCTGGTCTCTTTGAGACGAAGTAGGCAGAGAACAAGCTTCCCACCGTTCGCTCAGCAGATCCCAGATCTTCCTGCAGAGAAGACGCAAGAGACAGCAGAAGCCGCATCGCCATCTCGTTCAATTCCGCATCGTTCCGCGGCCGTAGTCTGCACGTGCCACTCTGCCCGCGGGTATCGTCCAACGGCCGCGGCGCGAGCAGGTACGTGAGCGAGGGTAAGGGCTTGGGCAGATATGCCAAGCCTTCGAGGCACTGGCGGCGGACGAGGAGCAACTGAGCCAGGCGGACCTGCAGCTCCGCGCGTGCGGTGCTCCTCCGTGCGCTAAAAAAATACTGCAGGTCTGCACGATACCGCTGGTTCCGGCCCTGGGGCGCCATCTGATAGCGGCAACGGCGGCAGGACAATTGCGGAACACAGCGGCGCAACGATGGCGGGGCAGAGAACGAGAACGGTGAGCGAGCGAGAGCAGAGCGCACGAGTACAGAGCGAGATTAACGCCGATAGCCCAGCCAGCGTCTTTGTTATGGCCAGCCTGCGTCTGGCCGAGCTCGATAGTTTCCATACCGTGTCCTATATTGTTTGCAATTATTTGCTCTTTAAATATGCCTGACAGGCGCTGCCATGTCAGTCATCGTCGTCGACGGGACTAGCGAATGTTCAAAGACAACAGAACAGCACGTCACAGCACCAAAACTCGAAATCGCCAGCCTAATCAGATAGAGAGCGGTGTACAAACAGGAAAACTTCCCAATCCGCGCGATCTACGAACATTCCCGTTTTGGACTCCGACACTTACCACACTCGCCTAAGTACCAGCTAGGCCTACCTGGTTTCCGCCCAATGGCGGCACAGACCGGCCTGCCAGGCACACCCCCCTCCCCCTTAGTGCAAAGATACCTGGGCATTGACTGAATCTTGCCGATTTCCGCCCGCACTGTGCGCCCGCCCCTCGCCCCCCCTCGGCGCCGGCGCCGGCGACCTGGATAGCGCAAAACTAAGTAAAGACAAAAGCCAAAAGCAAGTGAACAACCGCACTAGGTTGGTAAAAGAAAAGAGATCTACCTTTTCCTGTTCGTAATGGCCTCTTTTGATTTTCTTTTGACCCCTCTTCGTTCGGTTCGGGAAAGCAAGCGAACTAGTGACAATCGTACGTATATGTCAAATAAATAAAACAAAGACAGAACTCTGCACTAGCAGCGTTCCTTGCATGGGCTTCCGATTCAATGAATTACGGAGAAAATAAGTGACACGAAAACAAAAGATAAGGCTTGATAAAGATAGGCGGGATGAATAGATTCTGGTCATGGAAATGAATACAGAAATCCCGATTCGTCATACCGCTCCCGCACCCAAACTCTAGTGACCGTAGTCGTCGTCCTCCTTCTCCGCCGCTTCCCTCTCTATCTCTTAGCCCCTTTTCTCTTACTCGGCTCTCTTCTTGTCCTGTAAGCGACGTAGTCGCATATGCTCACCTCTAAACGAATCCGGTTGGTGGTGTAGAGCAGCTGCAGCTGTACAATTCCGCTGGCGAGCAAAAGAGGCTGCAGACGTCATTTGGCCAAGTCCTCTTCCCGCCTCACCGATAGGGAATTGCTTTCCGGTTTTTCACGGGTTTCCTTGCATGCACCGAAACTTGAGTTGAATGAAACGAAAAATAGAGGCCTTGTCGTAATACAGGAAGGGTCCAAATCGTTTGACAGCCAATCAATCATGTCTTGAATGAATGCAATCTCCGAGAAGGATCAAAAGCAAGATTGGGAGACAAGAGAGTCGGCCAAAAATCCAATATTAACAGTCGCCGCTGCTGCCTTCCCGCACCGCACCAGATCAGTACCGGTGCATCGCCGCGTATGCCCAGCCTTTTCGGGTCCTATGAGATATTAGCAGCGTTTAGTATTTACTACCTGCACTAGTTTGGACCTTTGTCCGTCTGCCAATCCTGCACCAAGGCCAAGCCGTGCAGGATCGACTGCGCTGCAAGAGTTTGACCAAGTCCGACGCAAGACAAAGCGGAAAGTTCCCCGGTCTGCCTTTTTCGTGATCGGGCTCACCGGCAGAAACCGGCATCTCAGCAGCGCGCACAGCAGGAGCCAGCGCTGCTATCGCTCTGCGATGGGCGTGGTGTTCGTACTCGTCATCAGTGCCGTTCGCAACACGTGAGATACGCCGGTTAGGCTTTTTCTACAACCGACGAGATAAACTCTATTTGTTGAGCGCGGAAATGAAATTACACAGAAGACGTAAATTGCGGGCCTGTGCGCTTTGTTACTTTTAGTCTAAAAGCCTGTCGTGTCCCAACTCACTCCGCGCTCCGCCCTCTTGACCTTCGTCATCCTGCTCGAATTTAGTTCCAACCGGCCGGAATGCGCTCCTGCACTTCTTCCTCCGTCCTCTCCTCCTTCGTTTACTCCTTTCGCTGCTGCTGAAGATCGCTAGTATGACACAAAACCGCTAGTGTAGCCGACTCGAGCGCACTTCTGCATTTCTATTCCTCTTTAGTTCACCGTCTCTTCTCCGAGCATCCGAGCTGCGCTAGCGTCTACGTCGGTCTCTCTTCACTCCCGTCAATGGTCATAGAACTTCTTCCATGCCCGTGAATTAACTCCGTGGCGCCTTCTCGAATCTCTCTTCTCACAACCTTCGTCATTGCTTTTTCCTTAGTCCTCTTTTGCGCCCCTCTCTTTCTCACTGGCCTCGTTGCTTTGTGGAAAACAAAATCTAATCCTAAATGCTTTGACGTTTTTTATCTGATTTTCGCTTTGTAGTCTGCATTGTTCTTGCGGGATGACAGGGGTGCTGTGCCTCCTGTCCCTCCTTCACAACACTCCCCCTGACACATCCCCGGCACATAGTAAGCACTTCCGCTTGACCGCGAGAGACCGAAATAGCAGTAGCCCGCTAGCCACTTATGTTATAAATCGGCTACAAACTTGTCTATAAATCCCATCTATGTAAAGTCAAACAGTGGATGTACGGAAAAAGAACCTGTTTTGGCTTAGCGGCTTAGCTCCCAGCAGAAGGTCTCTCGAAGCGAGCTCGAGTCCGCTACTCTCTGTTCTCTACTACTCCCAGTGCTTACGAGTTCTTTCTATCTATCGGCCCGGGGAGTGCCATCTTTGACCTCTGTACCTGCGTGTCGATACTTCTGGCAATTCGGAGTATCTACGGCGGAAAGAAGCATATCTGATATCTAATAACAACTCAATGCCCTTTCGTCATTCAGGGACCATACCTGACAGTTCAGGTTTTCTACATATCCAATAAAAGCATACGAATAGTCCATCAAATGTCTTGTATATAGCCTATATCACTGACATTAACTCTTTATACTACTACTCTCTCGTCTCGCTTTCCCAATTCGAAACGCTCCCACTCGGCCCGCGCTCCTAAAGCTTATCAAACCCCCTCCCCTTGTATTATCTCCAAAACTTTTCAATCTGATTTATTTTTTTTGCTCGTTTTCATTTCTTAATCCTCAAGCTATTTACCCCCAGCTAGATTAGTCAATTGCCTATCCGCCGACATATATATATATAGATCTATGCGAAAGGCATATTATCATTAGCATAAGTGAATTTCACTCGTTATTGCCCCCCAAAGATAGAAACCCTTGTCTCAGCGGGCCGTAACGAGATCTTTATCTTTAAAACTCGCGCGGGCAGCTCTCCTTCGGTCTCAAGCAGCTGATCAGGTTTTCCCCATACCCGACCTGGGGTCAATGCATAGAACAATTTTTTTCTCTTTCCGGTTCTTTTTCTCTTTTCTTGTCCTTCTTTGGTGTTTTAAATGAAGGGCGCAAACACTATTGCAAGCCACTATCGGAATGTCAGGCGTCATCGAGACGATCGGGTGTAATCGTGCACCGCCAAACGCGGTAAGCATCGGTACCGATCGCTGATACGAAGGCGGATTCGTGAAATCCGATTGTGTACACAGGCACGCCATCGAGTAAGCTGTACTTCAAGTCTATGCTCATGTTATATTCCGTGTGTTGCGGATATTATCGGGCTTCGATCGGCAAGCATATTCAGGCTCGTAATTCAAATTTTGAAACGTGTCGACCGACGACCCAGTGAAATATAACTTTGCGGAGAAGATAGATACCTTCACGGGCCTGGTCGACTTCCCGCGGAGCTTCAATTCCGTGTATACATTTTTCGTCGGTCTCGTTTGGTCTTGAAGAGTTTCCTTGTCAAACCTAGTATAGGATTATTCAATTTCGCATTGCCAAGGGTCGTGGAGAGCCGCCCACCAGATAGCCCCGACCATCGTCTTCATCATACAATGGCCGTGATCAGCAGCTGAATAGACGATTGCAGCAGCACAAGAAAAGAAAATACCCCAGAGACCAATGCTGATAAGCGGTACTATTGCAGATGAAACGAGCAGGGGTGGACAGGCGGTCCTCATCCAGATCCGGCAAAGTTCGTCGGTGCACCAACTAGGTCACACGCTTCCTTACAAGACGGTATAACTGCGGAAAAGCCTGCCAAAAAGCCCACTGACGTCAAATAGAAAAAACAGGCTAACAAATCTCTGGCTGGTATCATTACGGGCTGTACCTCTTTTTTCTCTCTTTGAAAGCCACTTACGCGAACGACAATCTATGCGTGCGAGAGAAAAGATACATTGCCGAAAGTGTCTTTCGACGATTGACGATCCGATGCAAAAATAGAAGCCTATCTTCAGATATCTCGTATAATCACTTGGTTGTAGCATGCTATATCTAGGCCGATGTCGAGCAGAGTGATTTCCCATCGGCAATAAAGAGATTATCGGCATTAAGAGACTGTAGAGTTTGCGTCATTGCTTCGTGAGGAAAATCCGCCGAGTCAGCGACAGCATCAGCGGTGAGATATCGCAGTAGATCAAGAAAACAAGTGGACAGCACTGCTATTTTCGTAAGAATCAGAGAAACGAGATGGTTTATTGGTATAATATCAGTATCTGGTAGCGCACAGTATGTCAATTGAGTACATGCGTCCACAGTAGATCGAGACCAAAGCAGGCAGCAGTCAAATCCACGTCTCAGACTCATTCCAATCGCCCACGGAACCGCAGATACCATGCTGAGACGCCTGGCCATGACAAAGCTGATCGAAATTACAGTACTCTCGTTATTCATTATCTGTCTCAGGAATCACCTACTATGGTCGCGACATGGGCAATATTTGGATTCAGTAAAAGTGGTAGAGCTCAGCGCTGATGTACCCATCGACGTCATGGCCAGGCCATAGATTCAAGCCATGGACTCACATTGACACGAATTAATAGGATTCTTGCAAACTGCTTCAATAACCGCATTTCGGCTATTTGGGCAAAGAGGGGAACGGATGAGCATATCCTCACTTGGTTATATCGCTTCAGTTCGGCAGTCCCGTTCTTCGCCGCTCCAGGAGTCTCAATGGCCAGGCTCTCAATCACGCTGCACTCGCCGACTACTCAGCCAAACGTTATACTATGCACACACAGAACCACCGCTTTCAAAAATGTTTTGAGGATTTTGCTGGTGGTTAAAAATCTATGGGCAGAGTCTGGAGCGCAGATTTGTTAGCACGAATAACAAACGTGGTGAAAGGGGGTGCGACGATTCTCCCCGCCGGGTACTCGGTAAGCCGGTGCTCGATACAAAAAGGCGCCCACTTCCTCGCCAGTGCGTTAGAGCGATGTCTGCAACACCTTTGGTTCCTATCCGTTGATGAACAGAATATTACTGATCATGATATTGCTGTTGGTCTATGAATGAGGCAATCTCTAGTCTGTGAATTAGCACATGCAAAGAGGCCAAACTCCCAACGGGCGCAGTTTTTGCTTCATCCGAGCTCTGCCGCGCGCACAAAATGCTCAGAGGCAGAGGATAACGCCACAATCGCCTCAGGCTCTACTCGCCACACCACCACCGTCTTGCTCGCTCATCCCAATATTTTTCGGCCTCTATCAGCTGTTTGTTTGTCGTCTCACCAATTCGCCTTTCACGTCTGTTGTCTACTGTTGATTGTCAGTTGGCTCGCAAACGTGCTTTTACACTGCTTCCTGAACGACGCGTCAAAGCTTTCCACCAAAGAGCAACTGCATCGCCCTTGCACCCCAACATTGAATAAACAACACGTCTGCATAGACTAGTTCACGTCCCTCGACATCTTCTCACCATGGCCCCCTCACTTCCTCTCATGACCGCAACCGAGCTTGCGGTGCACACCTCGGCCCGCTCGGCATACATCAGTCTCAACAACCGCAAAATTTACGACGTCACCTCGTTCCTCGACCAGCATCCCGGTGGCTCCGAGCTCATCCTGCAGTACGCGGGCAAAGACGCGACCGATATCATGGCCGATCTTGTTTCGCATGAGCACTCCGAGTCGGCATATGAGATGCTGGACGAGATGTTGGTCGCCATCCTGGCCACGCCTGAGGAGGAGGCGAAGCTTCTGGATGGCGTGTCTGATAAGGACGCGTACCTGCTCACCGGTATCAGCACCGAGGAGGACCTCTCGATCACCACAGACTTTGAAGTTGACTACAAGAAGAACAAGTTCCTGGACCTGAGTAAGCCTCTTTTTCTGCAGGTCTTGTTTGCCGACTTTGATAAGGCGTTTTATCTCGAGCAAGTGCATCGCCCCCGCCATTACGGCAATGGCTCCGCCCCTCTGTTTGGCAACTTTATGGAGCCACTCTCCAAGACGCCGTGGTACGTTGTGCCTATTGTGTGGCTTCCGTGTGTAGCGTACGGGACCTACGTTGCCTCAAAGGGTCTGTCGATGTGGGCTCTTGTGCCGCTTTGGTGCCTCGGTATCTTCATATGGACGTTTGTTGAGTACATGATGCACCGCATGCTCTTCCACATTGACGACAGACTCCCCGATCACAGCATCGCTCTGGCGCTCCATTTCCTTCTCCACGGAGTCCACCACTATCTCCCGATGGACAAGCTTCGTCTCGTGATGCCGCCTTCCTTGTTTGTCATCCTCGCGTTCCCGTTCTATCGTCTGGCTCATGCTTTGTTTCCGTACTACATTGCCCTGGCTATCTTCTGCGGCGGCATCTTTGGATATATTTGCTACGACTGCACTCATTACTTCTTGCACCATGCCTCTCTCCCTTCGTACTTGAAGAGCGTCAAGACTTACCATATGGAGCACCATTACAAGAACTATGAGCTCGGATTCGGCGTCACTAGCAAGTTCTGGGACGTAGTCTTCGGTATGTCCCACAGGATTCCTATTATTCTCTTTGTGTCACTCAACTAATCAATACTCTTTCTACAGGAACCGAATTGGTCGATACCAGTGGACGTCCCAAAGTCGCTTAAAGAAGGCGCGAAATCTTGAAAACTCGGGCTGGTCCAAGTCAATACTTAAGAGTCAATTTTTAGGTGGCTTCTCTTCTTCTTTTTCTTTTTTACATCTCTCTACGTTACAACGACGAGCGTTTACGCGTTTGACGGGAACATGATGGTAGTCGAAGACGTTCATCTTTCTCTTTTCTCCCTTTCCTTTTTCTTTCATTTGACAATCGGAAACCGACATTTACACATATACTAAACACGATCATCGAATTCAAGAGAGAATTTATATCTACACAATTAGAGACGGTGCATGTCAAAAGCTTCAGGCGTCAGTTTTGTTGTTTTCATTCTTTTTCTAGCTACTTCAGTCTATTACTATTCTGGTTTCCTTGTTATATGTTCTCTTTATTTTACCTTTTATATTTTCAATTCGGTTTGCTAATTTTGATTCTGGTTACTATGATTTGTCATTTCTATCCTATCTGATTCTCAAATAAATCTCCTCTCTTCTTTATTATTGCTTCACCACAATCGAGCAGGCAGCTATCAAAGCATCTTTCGTGACCATCTCTTCTTCCGCGCCCGTTCTGCTATGGTTAGTAAACCTCAAGGCTTAATAAGACGAGAAAATATAATCAGTCGTATAAGAATGCCAAGTTCAGACAACCGAATTCGCAGCTTAGCATTATAATTCAGGCGAAAAAATCAAGTAATATTAACCGTTTACGGGCAAATAGCTAGCGACGAAGAGCAGTTGGTGAGACACCTTTCTCGCTATTTCTATCCACCATCGAGCTCCTCTGATGATATAAATAGTGCAGAGGCGCTCAGTATTGTAGATAATTTGCGATTGAGTAAAACATGGAAGTTTTATGAGAAGAGTGAAGATAAGTGTCTTGTATATAGGCGGCAGATTATCCGCCTTCGCGTCTACGCAATTGGGACATAATTTCGAGCGCGCCAAAAAAAGGTCATCACGTATCTGTTAGCTATCGTCATCGCTCTTTTCTCGATTGCTCTCACAACCCTGCAAGCGATTCGATTTCACAGGATTCGATCGAGGAGTACTTCAAATATAGTTGTATCTGTTTGATTTCTACGTTGAAGCAACAGCTGTACCTTCGTCGCAATGGTATGCAGCTGCGATGCGCATATGCGAGATAGATTCATCTGATCGAAGAATGGAAGGACACCACAGTTGACATTCTATTTAGTCTCGCCGAGGAATTTCCAGCTCAGAAAAGACCGCCCGTCTTCTCTCTTTCTTCCACGACTCGAAGTCCTTCTTCGCAATCAAGGAAGTCGAGAAACTAGGCTCGAAAGCAACGGGCATCAACAGTATGCAAATCAAAGAGGTTCTCCAGGGCCTGGTCGACGAGAGCCTCGTTCGGTGTGAAAAGATCGGTTCGGGAAATTACTACTGGAGTTTTCTTTCTGATGCTACGAAGAGTCGCGAGCTGGTGGTGTCGAATTTGAAGAAGAAGCTTGAGACTGAGACTGAGGCGGTAGTTTCGCTCGAAGAGCAGACTGGGATAGAGTTATCGGAAAGAGAGAATAACGTCCGCTCGATCCCATAATTCTTAATGCTTTCTATTTCTGTTGCTGTTGTTAAAAATCCTGCTGTTTTTGGTGGCAGGACTATCACTCTCATTATCTGTCTAAACGTACAATTCTTCTATGATCGATTCTGACCTTTGAGAGTAGGCTGAGCGCGATGATCTTCTACGACGAGTGCAAGAAAAAGAGGACACTTTGCGAAATCTGCAACAGGAAACGTCCAAATACAGCGACGTTGATCCCGAGCTTCTACAGCAGCAAACGGCATCGCTCTCCTTGTTGCGAGAGGCTGCAAATTGCTGGACCGGTATAGAACAAAGCCCTCTCACAGTCAGACTCATCGTCAGTATGCAGGAGTTACTGACTAAAATCTAAATTTAGACAACATCTTTGCCGTTCTGGGGTATTTTCGTGCACAAGGCACAGACTTGCAAATCATCTATCGCGAATTCGGCATTCCTGATGACCTGGACTCTATTTGAATTGACAAATTTGTAACATGCTAGATATCAGCGGGTGCCTAAAAGGATAGGGGTGAGTGCCTCTTTTAGCAAGAAGGCGCAGCTGACATGCCATATTTGCTGAATCTGAATTACTGTAATTGCACAGAGGGCTGTACAGATGCGGTTTGCAGACTGACACGACAACTCATTAATTTATTGACGACCTGCATTCCTGCGGAGAACAGACTTTTTCTGTATATTATTTGCTGTTATATTAATGCAACTCTATAATTTGAAAGTGAGAAAATGTCGTTTTTAATGATGAAGCGCACTAGATTGTGTCGTACCGCGGGCACACAGACTCACACAATAATCCTTGCTGCTTCCTATTCCGGAAACTGGCTGCATTTCTTTTCCAAGCTCTTCATAATATTAACTTTTATTAATGCACCGCGGATGTATGAAGCTGCCAAGATCGGATGCTCCAAAGTTCTCGGTAGTGCTTTGATTCATGACATAGAGATGATCTCTTCTGCCATGCATTCATCACTTATTAGGACTAGCGAGTAGCTCAATTGCTGGATTATTAAGGACGATCTCGAGTTCGATGAGCGGGGAGTGTTTCGGAGATGAGCTGCCGTGCTTCCATGATTGGCTGAATCTAGCATCTGGTCTGCATCGAGGCTGCCCGAGGATGTCGAACTGCGACCCTCGAGTTTTTGTCAGTTCTGCCCACCCTCCTCTGTTTTACCCTCAATTCGGCCTCTATTATTGACGTGCTGAAAATCTGATCGGTCCATGGCATGAATATGGGCAAGATAAGAAGACCCCTGCTCTTCCTTCATTCGGAAGTCACATCCTCGCAGTCAGCGGCGGACAGGTGATCGACATGATAGCGCACAGCAAACGGAATCTTCCGTGCCTAGTTCTGGGTGCTTATTCATCACTGCGATTGCGTCTAAATTTATTATCACTTTTCCACATTTCAGCCCTCGAAGCCATCGAACATTGATCGGTTAAGCAAAGTTGGGAGGCTGATAGGACATTGGGGAGCTTCCGTGAGAGAGCGGCTCATATTACGGAATGGCGCTCTATTTGTCGATGCAAAGAGCAAAGTATTTTGTGACTCGAATTGTGTATCTAAAGCCACGACTTACTTAAGCCGGGCATCTCTTGTATATTATTGATGCGTGGAGAGCATTGCGGATCTTACCCAAATGGGTATTTACAGACCAATGCAGAACGCTTGGGTACCTATTATATCTATAATATATATTGACTTCTTGGAATGCTGGTAAAGCACGAAAAACTCGACTTCGACGCCCAAGAACTAAAGCCAGTCCGGACCTTGGAGCAAGTAAGAGTCTGTTACCTATTGTGGCCCGAGCTGCAATACAGAAGCCGGACGAGCCTTTTTCTTTTCTTCATTTTGGCACAGAGTTTTGAAGATAGATGATGGTGGAGGAATAGGGGCACATGCCTGGGACTAAGGAATTCCAGACATCTCCGAAGCAGTTGACGTGTCTGATGAGATGACGATGATCCAGACAGCAGCCGACTGCGCAGATTCTTTGTTCATCACACGGAACGATTCCGAAACGGCAATTTCCGCTCTTCCTTCTCCTGATCATGAATAGCAATTTCAGGTCGACCGGCAGCTATCAGCCTTATATATATGGCAGACGCGCGCCGACGGCAGAATAACCTAAATTGACTCCAGTAGATTGCTATGTTCGCGGCTTAGATTAGTGTAGTTGGGACCTGGGTATCTCGTCAATCAATAAATGGCAGTGTCGCGGCGATATAGCAGCGATATAACTGCAAGTACACCTGGAATCAGAACAAGCACCCTCTCTATAGATCGTCACAGATGTCTATAAGCATCAATGACGGTCCTCAGTACTATCAATGACAAAAATTACTGTGATGTGCCGTTTCCGTCTGTCCAATCTATGCAATGATAACTTGGGTGGATTGTGAACAATCGGAGCAACATTGTAGGCGAAGAATCGCAGCCGCGACGCGCAAAGAATAAAGAGCACTGTGATAGTCAACACCAACGCTAAAACATCACGAGCACTATAAGACAGATCCCAGCGCAGCGATCATGCATAGGCCGGAGCTCGCCGGCCAGTATCTATAGAGATGAAGCGAAAGCATGCATGGCTATGGCCGAGGCTCACTCAGCATGTGCTTATAGATCAATGTCACAGTAAGAAACCCATCTCGCTACAACCACCCGCAGACGAGTTTTCTAGCATGCGTGCAGAGATCATTCAAAAGCCGCCATAGTCAATCAATCAAAATCCACGGCAGAGATCTTTGGATCAGCAGAAGCTCGATGCCCACAACCCTAATCCCATGACAACTCCCAACCACCAACTTAGGGCTTAACCCTACATCTCTGTGCATGACATAAGCGGCCTCTGCTCGTCTAAAATCGTGACTGCTTTTTTTGGCTGGGAGCGATCGCAGCGCTGCCAACCTCGAAGTTTGCGCATCAACGTCTGAAGAAGCCTGAATCCCATCGACAGCCCTTTGACAACTATCAAGGATCCGGTTCATCAGCAGACAAAATGCCGTTCACCGTATGTTTACTCTGTTTGTTTGACTGCTAAGCAGATTGAAGAATTAGCAGACTCTAATATTCATCTTTCATGTTTATAGAAAGCCATCAAGACTCCTCAGTACTTCTCCCGTTACCAGACTCCCTACAGACGGAGACGTGAGGGAAAGACCGACTACTACGCCCGCAAGCGTCTTGTCACCCAGCACAAGGCCAAGTACAACTCCCCCAAGTACAGACTTGTTGTCCGATTCACCAACAAGGACATCATCGCCCAGATTGTCTCCTCCAAGATTACCGGAGATGTTGTTCTCACCGCTGCCTACGCCCACGAGCTCCCCCGCTACGGAATCAAGCACGGTCTTACCAACTGGGCCGCTGCCTACGCTGTCGGTCTTCTGATTGCCCGACGAACCCTCCAGAAGCTCGGACTTGACGAGACCTACGAGGGTGTTGAGGAGGCTGACGGTGAGTTCTCGCTCACCGAGGCTGTTGAGGACGGTCCCCGTCCCTTCAAGGCCTACCTCGACATTGGTCTCCACCGCACCACCACCGGTGCCCGTATCTTTGGTGTTCTTAAGGGTGCCTCTGATGGTGGAATCTACGTTCCCCACAACGAGAAGAGATACCCTGGATACGATATCGAGTCGAAGGAGCTCGATGCCGACACCTTGAGAAAGTACATTGTCTCTGGCCACGTCGCTGAGTACATGGAGACTCTTGCCGATGATGATGAGGAGAAGTACAGACAGGTTTTCGCCGGTTACCTCAAGGACAACATTGAGGCTGACACTCTTGAGGATATCTACGTTGATGCTCATGCTAAGATCCGCGAGGACCCTTCGTTCCAGCCTTCGGCCAAGAAGACCAAGGAGGAGTACTCCGCCGAGTCGAAGAAGTACAGAGCCGTCAAGCTCACTTCGGAGGAGAGACGTGCCAAGCGCGAGGCGAAGATTGCTTCGCTCGTTGGTGCCAACCCCTCTGCCGTGGTCGAGGAGGACGACGAGGAGTAATCATGCGTTGTTGGTTCGGGTTTTTTAGACGATCGATAATGTGTATATTTAAAAAGCGTTGCGCAATAAAAGTTCGTATGATAATAATTACTACTGTAGAGATCTGAGAAAGTGTAGAGTTGATTTGGATAGGCGTAGTGAGCACTCTTGAAAATGAAGTTTGTTACGGCTGGGAGTGCAGTTTGCGCATGACTGCAAGACGCAACAATGCTAATGGAGTACTTGTTTGAAACTACAGAGGATTAATAATGAGTTATGATTCGTTTTACTAGCATCATATTCCAATGTTTTGAATACTCGTATTGTTTGGCGCATGAACTATTTTACGGACAACATCAGATATCCATCAAAAGTCTAGTAGAATGATATATAGAAAACATACAAAACAACGACAGCTCAAACCCGACCTAACCAAAAAGCTCTCTGCCATCTCATAATGTACGCCTTTCTAAAATTGCGTCCCCTCCCTGCAACGAGTTCATAGCAAAGAGACGGAAGACATTGATTTTGAATTCGTAGCTGGCCGATCAAATCCATCCCCGCTCCTCACCACCAACCGCCGCAGCTCCCCGACAGATCAGCAGAGACCTTTATGACTTGACGATCCGAACACCAGCATCACCACCACGGAAAATAGCATCGCCCTCAGACCAACCTCGGCCAGCGCCGAAGCCGATACCGAGCCAGACGGGGAAAGCACGTCGCTTGAAGAAGAGGACCGAGAAACCGACACCGAAGCCGAAGCCGAGAGCGGTCTTGACGACGGCGTTTGAGATGACAACGTCCCACTGTGCAGATTGTTAGTTCCGTGTGTCGACTGAAGTGCTCGGTTGTACAGCGGTGGTTACCTTATCGTTGAGCAGCTGCTCGGAGGGAGTCTTCTTGATGGTAGCTACTGATGACATCTTATCACGAAATGTATATGCAATGCCTAGACACAACCATAGTTAGAATGCCGCACCACAGAAATAGCAAAACCTCATAAATCGCAGCAAGTGGCATGCTTCGCGCTGCAGGTCTCGCGATCCGCAACCGCCCGCCCGGAGAACCAAACAACAAGACAAGCGCCCGCTTACCGAAACAAGAGAGAACAAATGGTCGGGGATATTTACTATTGAGAACGTCTAGAGAATCCCTATTTTGTTTTCAACCGGCGAAAATGTATGGGACCAGAGTGAATTGATCGCGCTTGCTGCAAGACTGTTGCTGTCCTCGCGCTGTTCTTCCGGTCTCGCGCCAATTGGCTGTGGCCGTCCTGTGCGCACGCTGCTGCTGCGGTTATGCATTTGTCATGTCTTACTAAGATACGAATAGCTCGACTTCAAAGCGAATATATCTGGTGGTAGAACTAGCTTTGATTGAAAAGCACAAAGATAAACTACAGCTATGATGACTAGAATGTATTGAACAATAGATCTAAATACATACAGTTATTGCAGCAGCGGTGGAAACCCACCGGAGGTCGGTGACTAAGAACCGGCCCCTGGGACTTCCGCCCCCAGTTTTGCTTATGTAGCGCTTTCTAAGCGGCTCTGGGAGTCAGCCGGGTCTAATAACACGACTCCGCACTTATATCGGCCGGCGGCGGTCTTCGAGAACCCACGTTTATTGATTAGTCTTCAGTTTCTCTGTTTACCGACGAACCCGCACTCTGCATTTTTAAAAGAACAGAGAATACCAGTCTCTTGTCCTTCGTGAACTGCTGTCTTCATTAGCATGTCTGAATTTCCTTCGTTCGTCTCCCCGCGCCTGGAGCCTGAGGAGGCAAAGGCCTCCGAGAACCCGCCTGCTCTCGACCTCCCGCCGATTCTCTCGCCATCCTTCACCCCGATTGATACCATACCGTCGACCCCGGTGCCTATTCCTGTGACGACTGAACATACTCCCGCTCCGAGCCTGCCGGAGACGCTTCCAGAAGTCGAGTGTCTTGTGCGCGCGCGAATCCCCACCACCACCGGCACCGAGATCTTTCTCCACCTTTACAAGAACAACGTCGACGATAAGGAGCATCTGGCTATCGTGTTTGGAAACGACATACGGAGCACGAGCTTGGACCGGGTGCGCGAGGGCGAGACAGAGATGGACCGCATGATCAGAGGTGCTTACGTCGGTAGACTGTACCCTGGTCGTCAGACAAGTAGGGAGGACGATGATAAGCACAGTGAAAGCACCAAGCCCACAAATAAGAGTGAGTTTCTACATATCCGGTGCCTAGTAGGCGTATTTAGACTGCTTCTGCTTGGATACTAACTATTCTGAAGGCACACTAGTGCGGATTCATTCCGAGTGTTATACCGGAGAGACTGCTTGGTCAGCTAGATGCGACTGCGGCGAGCAACTCGACGAAGCTGCCAGACTTATGGCAAAAGAAAATCACGGCATAGTGGTTTACTTGAGACAAGAAGGCCGCGGAATCGGTCTCGGTGAAAAGCTGAAGTATGTTGGTTCCTTATCCTCTTTCGCTCTAGTATCCTGAGAGTTTATCACATGGGCTATATCTCCATATTCAAGAAGAGCTGGCTGACGCATGATTTCTGATCTTTAGAGCTTATAACCTTCAAGACCTTGGTGCAGATACAGTCACAGCAAACCTCCTACTCAGACACCCAGCAGACGCCCGTTCATACAGCCTAGCGACCGCTATCCTGCTCGACCTTGGACAGAAGGAGATCCGGCTGCTTACCAACAACCCAGACAAGATTGCCGCTGTCGAGGGCAAGCACCGCGAGATTAAGGTCACAGATAGAGTACCTATGATTCCTCTGGCGTGGAAAATGGATAATGGCGGCATTAGGAGTAAGGAGGTTGAGGGGTATCTGAAAACGAAGATTGAACGTATGGGGCATATGCTTGATAAGCCGTTTTAAATTTTTCTATTCCATTTAGCATTGATGAACAAGCATTCTTTTAATATAACTGTCTATAGTCCAAGTAACTGTATCGTAAACAACGATAGGATGTAAATACAGTCCTCATAATGGTGAGCTACAGGTGTAACACTTGTATAATTTGTGACATGCCAATGACATTATTTCATTTTTTGATAGAGATATATATAATTACACGATAACAATCCCTAAGATGAAAAACCGAGCCCATTTTTTTCTACTGCAAAAACAATCAACCACTTTAGTGACCAGTTCTTCTCGACTCCGCGATGACTCTGGTGAGGTCGTCGACTTTGCTCTTTGCCCGTCCGAAAGTACCAAGTCTCTTCTTAGCCAACTTTCTGGCGCGCTTGTCCTTGCTGTTGCGGATTAACTCCATAACACGACGCTCGTAGGGGGCGAGGCTAAACATAAAGGTTAGTCAAACTATTTTCACCTAATCATTCGATATAACCATCCTTGAAAAAACATACCCAGAAACCTCACGGATCAGCTCTCTGACGAAAACGGCGCGCTTGGAGGACTTTCCCTTCGAGCGGGAGATACGAGCCTTAGGCTCACGGACGGTGACCTTGTGTCCCTTGTTCAGGCCGACGATGAGACCTGTGTGAAGAGCGAGTCAGTGAACTATTCCACAAGAGCTCGTCCAAGCATCAGGCGACCACCGCTTCACAAATATTCTTTCTCTCATCCTTCGTCTTCTGCAGCAGAAACACAAACAGAACAATAAAACAAAATGTGAAGCTCGTAGTCCCTTATTCAAATCCAGATAGATGATCCTTACCAGTCTTCTCGGTGGGTGCCATTGTTGATACTGTTAGTTGCTGAGATGGTGCTGGTAGCTAAAATCTCCAACTTGCGATCGTAGTCGTAGTCCTCTCGCCGTCCCAGGGTGGCAGAGTTCTCTCGAGGCCATTGTAGGGTTGTTAAGTGTGACTGCCTTTTTAGTGTAGGGTTAATTTACTCACCTAACCCGATGTAGCTGGATTAAAGGCTGAGGCCCTTGTACTTACGAGCCGCACGTGAACTCCACTAATCTACCAAAGAACTGTTTATTGACATTAACTATCCTACTCTGTGAGTGCAAGCCTTATACCCGAGAAATCAGCCGGACTGAGGCACGGTTCCATCTCGCCAAAAGCATATACTCCAAGCATGACTCCAGTATATGCCATTCCGAGAGGTGGTGCCGTGGTCATTATCTTCGTCGAGACCGTGGATAAGCAGTGGAAGCCTGAGGACGCGACATATCCAACAGAGTAGCTCGTCGCAGTGCATTTGATCGCTAGTCGTGTGGTATTTACAGACAGATCAGACACTGCGTGGGCGTGTGACTTGAAATTTCCCTTGCCGTCAACTGGTTCTGTAACCACAAGCTTCTTATACCCATCTGCATCTTTCTTGATACCAATACTGAAATAGCAGAACGAATTCCAGAATGCAACTACCCCAGCCTCATAGGTGGGCCTTGCAGGCGAGAAATCAAGGTCGGCGGTGAAAGTCATTGCTTTGGCACTCTGTTTTCTAACTAGCATGGAAGGGGATTCGGGAGAGGCGAGATCATAACTGGATCCGTACACTCGGAGATGGCCCGGACGTTCGGAGAGGGAGTAGTACTTTCGCAAAGGCGTGTCTGAACAATACAACCGTTAGCTATACGATATTATGACAGGAAGTAAAGAGAAAGAAGGAGATAGGAGTCGGTCCTACGTTTGTGATACCATCCCAGTTCGAGATCAGTCAGGGAGAGGTTTGCGACCCAGTCTGTTGGCTGTTGCAGCCTGTACATCTTTGGGCCTTCGCCGCTCAATCCAATCGGTCTCCCTTCGTTGAAAATCGGCCAGTCTTCTACCCATTCAACTGGCAGAATAAATGTCTCTCGACCTGCAAATTGTTTACAGTTAATAGTCAACGCTGCAAATTAATCGAGAAAACTCCTACCTAATGCGCTATCAACCCATTCGCCAACTTCTATCCTCGTCGGCCGTACAGCTAGTAATACCGCCCACCAATTCCCATCGCAATCCTCAACGAGGTCTGCGTGGCCCGTATTTTGCACATCCTCGTTCGTAGAGTTGCAAACTAGAGGATTGACAGCTTCAAGCGGACCGACTTCGTAAGGACCCAGAGGGCCTTGCGATGAGCGCATAACCCACTCCGAATGGTGTGTTTCTGTTCCTCCTTCTGCGGTGAAAAGATAGTAGTATCTTCCTCTCTTGATGATATGAGAGCCTTCTGCAAGTCCGGACGGCGCCGTGCGGAGAACAATCGGTGCTGTAAGAGAACGACCGGTATTGATGTCAATTTCAGATACATGGATTGCAAAATGCTTTTGAGTACTGTCTGGAGGATTGTGAAGTCTGTAGGTAGTCGATAGATACACCTTTCCGTCGTCGTCGAAGAAAAGCTATTTTTGAGATCAGTATACGGGTACAGAAGATACTGTAGATAATCAGTTCCTACATCTTGATCAAAGCCAATCTGGTCAAAATATATAGGATCAGACCAGCTATCCTGCTTCCAAATATCGTCTGTGTATACCACAAATCCACGAGGCCAAACCCGTTCTCCTAATGTTGGCCTGTACCGATCCCATTTACACGTCGTGACGTACCACCGTTTTTCTCTCTCCACGTAACGGATGGTCGAGGCCCAGATACCAGCCCCTGGTTCGACGGTACGTAGATTGAGCTGAGTGGGACGAGTGAGAACATGCCCAATATGCTCCCATTTGACTAGATCCTTGGAATGGTAGATCGGGATGCCAGGGAAATATTCAAAAGAGGACGTAATCAGGAAGAACGAATCGCCGACGCGGCAGATCGAGGGATCCGGATTGAAGCCGGGAATGATGGGATTTTTAAATTCTGGCATTTATGAAACGAAATAAAAGATAAGAGATTCTACCTCTATGCTTCTTGCCATTGCTAGTAGCATTGCGGGGCCCTTATTATTTGTAGGCATCTTATCAGTCAATGTTGCGGGGAAGAGCGGCTCGTGGGACTGGTGGGGGTTCCGCAGCTCTTCGCTTAAAGCAGCATTATCGAGTCTACTCGGCTTACACTCGATTACCTTTACATTCACACCATCTTCATTTCCAGTAATAAGCAAACGATCAACTATTACAGAACTAGCTATAGTACAGATTAAAGCCGCCGAACAGAATCCGCTCGAGGCTCCTTCTTTTAAGCAGCTTGGCCATCCGCTGCTGGGATATCTAGCGCAATCTTAGTCGCGTCGTCCAATGGCTTCGGTGGCTGCCCATTCGCCTCCTTGATCAACTTATTAGCGCCTTCTTCGGTGCCATCAGGCGAGATCTTTAGTTTGTGGTCTCGCTGGATGGAAAATGATCTAAGAGAAAGAGGTTAGCAAAACATAGCACTCAGAATTTGTCAGCAATAGCAAAACATACCCAAAGACTTCGCAGTCAATCTTTTTGTATTCCCGAGCTGAGCCCGGACCGCCTCTTTCTAAAAGATAGACCATGTAGATATGGGACAGGTCACGGACAACTAAAGGCGGCAGTCTGGCCTTTGATCGTACGCAATTGATCACGTAGGATATATTCTTGTACCGTTCTGGCTCAAGCTCCTCACCTAAATAAAACGTCAGATTCATAACACAAATTTGATACCTAGATGGATGTATGATTCTCAACTTACTTGTCGGCAAATCAATCTCGAATCGAAGATAGTTGATCCAAAAGTAGCGGCTGTCGAGATACTGATCTTCGTTCCATCTAAACACCTCCCTTGCTTCCTCAACCGAGCCCTTGATCGTATATACCAGCTTTGCCCATTCTGCGACAATAGCTCCCTTAACGTAAACGCTGAGATTTGGAAGCTTCAAGGCGCCCTTATAATATTCAATTGCACTATCCAGGCCGTACGCTCGTCGCTCCAAGTTTCCTCGAGCTATGATAGTTTCCACGTTATCAGGCATCTCTTCTAAGACAGAGTCCAAGATTGATAGAGCCAGCTCCAAACTGCCGTAGGCCTCCTCGAAATGAGCATATTCGATTCTGAACGCGGGACGACCGACTGGCACAAACAGGGCAGCGCCTCTTCTGTATATGTTTCGAACCTCCTCGAAATGCTCTTCGCCTTGAGTAGTCATCCATCTCACGTATCTGAACCAGAACTCATCATACAGTGCCTATATCAGACATTAATATCAAGCTGGGAAGAAATTTGATAAGCAGCTATGAAAGTCACTTACAGTAGCAACCAGACACTTCTCGTATAAAAATCTGATGCGCGGGAGGTCACCCTCAACTTCTTCAAAGTCGAGATACTTGCGCCAGTTTATCAGCTCCTTTTCCTCGAGAGGTGTGACATGGAAGTAGGAGCGTTTTATCTACCAGATGTTAGCTTTACTGAATCTGTTCCTGTTTATCGAAAAGCACTCATACCTCTGCCTCAAAGGGCCATCGACTCATGGTCTCCTTCTGTGTTTCATTGAAAATATTAACATGGACTTGGTGAATTCGCGTTCTGATCTCCTGCTCTAGCTCTGCACCCGATTTCGACTCGCCAAGCTCTGTCCGTATTTCCTCTTTGATCTTGGAAACTTCTTCTTCCGGCAATAGCGATTCAACGGGCTGGCTAGCTCCCATGGTCGTGTATCTGTCAAACATTGTGTCAGTGCTGCGCGTCGCATTCAACAGATCGCCTCAGACAAACCTTTCAAAATATCTAGCATATTGGTGCATGGGGATACGGATGATCCGCGCCAAAACAGCAAACACTAGATCCTGACGTTCCATTCGTTCTTCGAACTCGATGTATTTATCCCAGAAGGTATGTGAGAGAAAATCGAGGCCGATGATGTCGGCGGCCATGTCGAACAGTCTGCAAGCTATTGTTAACATCACCCCGAATACGACAGTAGAGTGCACAATATATACATACTCCCGCACTTCGTCCTCATCAGGACACGTCTCCATTTTGAAAGAGCAGTAGCTAGACCATAGATCAACCGAGTTGGTGATACTAGCGACTCCGCGTTGATACACCTATATCGACTGTTAGTCTCCGCATTTCGATCAAGCATCATGAAATCCCACTTACCAGCTCCGCGGCATCAGATCCTGCGATGGCAAATTCTATATCCGCGTACCGCTTCCAATATCCGAAAAGCAAGGGGAATTTTGCAAGAAATGCATCAAATATTTTCCGCGCCTCAGCAATGACTTCTGGTTTCGAGCTTCGTCCAAGGCCGTCATCAATCGCTTCTGTTGCGCGAATCAGATTCTCCCAGTTGTCGAAATTGTCCGGATCTTGCCCCTAAATTTACACATCTTGTTAGCTCAGTGCAGGTCAAAGAGCCAAATCGTAGGAGTCTCTCTCACCACTAGATCGTGAAGACGATTCCACTCAGGGTCTTCGATATACAAATCGATTTGGTACCGTTTATCTAAGTGAGCGGCCATTGCAGTCTATCTGGAGTCTTTTCCAAATTTCAAAGCGTAGTAAGTGATCTTCCAACTAATACTAATATTCGTATCCGCGCAACTTTGCTTCAATGATCTGTACAAGAGTGAGGGTAATCGAGTGCTGGCGAAGTTGTAACTCTTTTGTTCCAAAACAATAAAATTATTGGAGCCGGTTGCGTGTGCTGAACCGCTAAACTTTAAATAGTTCGTAGATCTCTGGCGCGCAACCTCGAGACCTGCCCGTAACTTCTTTCAGACCCTGTCGTTTTCGTTTGATTCACGCCGCCTTCTAGACATTCATCGCTGTCGTGCCTCCATTCAACAGAGCTCCATTTTTTGAAATCGGTATTGGACTCTTTTGGAGATGGAGAGCTACGGGTTAGTAATTTACACTGTTCGAAGGTTGGCGTCTTGTTACTGACACGGTTATCCGCAGAATACCCCGAGCCACTTTACGGTCGGTCACTCTCGAGAGACTGGCAACTTTCTCGGCCAAGAACAGTCAGGATGATGATCTGGATAAACTGCTGCTTGCACTACGCGCATCAGGCAACATTTTTACGCATCGCTCAAAAGCGCCTACCAACGGCGAGAATCATGTGAAAGCTGATATTAACGGACACGCACTCCCCGCGCCGATGGTAAGTCCAGCCCAATCGCTCTCACTGATAAGATATTAGGCAATATTTCTAACTAGCTTTTTACTGGGGTATCAGACTGCGAACGAATTGCAAGTACTGCTCTCTCTAGCTTCGTCGGTGCAGTATATACGGCAAAAGTCTCACGCCAAACGCCTCCTTGATCAATTGGGGACGTGTTTGGCCGTCAGTCACCAACATCGATTTGAGAACTCTGCCTACATAACTGGTAAGGCATTTCCTACAAATTTTTTGAGAGTGACACGTTTCTGACGCGCCTATCATAGAGCTGTTTCCTTCTCCTTGGGAGGTCGTGTCGGAGAAGCTGACGCTGGCTATTCTTGACATCGGTCATCAGTTTACCGATTTACAAGCGATTGCCTGTGACTACCTTAATAAATATCTGGAGAGCCTGAAGGAAGCGAATAAGTCTCTGGAAGCGCCATTTCGTAAGTCAGCCACTTCGCGTGCTTTCTTGTGGTATGACTATTGACATTTTACGATATTTAGACTTCATTTCTGTATTTCCGCTATCTTTTTCTCTCCACGGCTTCATTTCAGCGTTCATGAAGCGACCCATGTACTATAGCGACCCTGATGCTCAGATGGCTCTACTGAATGCGACGCGAGGACTCTTCGAGGATGATATGCTACTAAAACTCGAAGAAAGCATGTCGATGCTAAGAACGTCGAACCATTCGAGTCCATCCGTTAGCATCTGGATGACATATCGTCGCAACTACCGGGCAATAGGCAAAGTGCTAGGCTCTCTATCGCTGAGATATAGCTATATGGAAATGGTGCGTCATATTGCCGGATTATACGTGTTGAAAGGACAGCCCGAGGAGATTTGCATCAAGGACTGCTATCTTGATACGATTATGGCCCAATCAAGATTTGTCCCTCACATCGATGATAGAAGCCGGCAGGTTCTGAAAACCTGTTGCGAAATCGCAATGGGTGGCATTTCCGTTATCGAGGAAGGTCTTGACTATGTCAACATGTCGTCCTCTCGTCAAAGACGGGTTACTTTTGCGTTAAAGGCGTCAGCACTTGAGGTTTTGTGTATTGGAAACATCCTTGAAGAGTTTCCTGTAGATGATACGGTGCTATTGCTGGAGAACGCGCTCACAGATGAGGATCAGATCGTGGAAGAGGTTCTAATCAGCAGAATATTCAAGATTATGGCTTTGCTCTGCAAAAAGAACTCGGATATTGGATCTTCTCTCACTAGAATCTTCCCACGACTTCTAGTACGCTACAGTACGACTCTGACAACCATCCAGACCGGTACGGTTTGTGTTGCATATGCGCTACATTATCTCTCGGAGGATGCCGTGATCTCGACTCTGTACACGTTTGCGAATATTCTTGTTCTTGAGAGAGCGAACTCACCTTCGAACAATAGAGCGGCTCCCAAAACTGTGACTTCCAATGGTTTACAACGAGTGTCTAGCATGGGGAGCAGTATCAGCTTGATCTCACGGAGTGAAGAGGAACTGAACATTATATATGAGAATGTGATCCATGCGCTTGCGCGTATTATGCAAGGCTATGGCAATCCCAAGATGACGGCGCTGACTATCTCTGTTCTTGTACAGAAGATAGGTCGTGTGAACGATTTCATTGACCGATGCTTGGTACTTGGGCTGGTGAGCTTAGCTTGCAGTGGCACCGAACGAGAATTCAAATCTATTTTGAAGCTCTATTCGCGTCTTTCGAGTGAGGCTATTGCAAGAGGAGACAAAGAAATGGCGGATGCAGTTCTCGAGGCTCAAGTGAGAATTGCAAAGAATATGGATACAAAGAATCAGTACTACGAGCTTTATCTTCGAACTCTACTGATCGATATTGCCAGTAAAGGCGATGTTCGAGATGTTGACCACCATCGCCACAAGCTAGATGTCAGGGTCCCAGCTGAAGAAATATCCTATCTGATTACTCCCTTGGCTTCTCTTTTGCCACCCACTACTGAAACAAGATTCGCCACGGACGACGAAGAGCTCTTGACTGCATTCCGGAACGCATGGTTCAACATGGCGGTTCATGGATACAATAAAGAGTCTGAATGGGTCTTAAAGCATGCCAATGACCTGGAAGTAATTGCATGGAGCTCTCCTCCTCTCGTCTCGGAAAAATCTTCCAACCTGTTTGAGAGTGAGCTTGACATCAACACAGTTCTCCACCGTGGATCCCACCAGCACGATATGAACGAGCAACGCCAGAAAGTTCTAACCTCTTTTGCTCCCGCTGGAGCGGTGCCTGCGCAGATTGAGTACCGTTCTTTGACATTCCCCAAGCTTATTTTCCTTTCGGCAGCTCTATTGTTGGAGTCATTACGCGCGTCTGCGGGCGATTGTTCGAAGGTTCAGCTTTACTTTCTGGACCCTAGTTTCAGATCTGGCGAGACCTCCAAAATCATCTCCGGTATTGCTAATGAAGTCATGAGAATCTATCTGCAAAAGGTCCTTGCTAAGTCGCTTGTTCCAATGAGTCCCAGCATCTCAGGCCAGCTCCGAGAACTCCTGATACTGTGCTGCCACCGTATCCAGAGCGTTAGCATTTCTGCATTCGAAAGTGCGAACAAGATCATTGCAAATGTTCCGTCCTCCCTGTGTAGGAAGGAGAGTTTGTTCACGCTCTTGGAACTTCTCACGCTTCTGTGGAATAGCTGCCTTGACGAAGATGTTGATCAGTACTCGCCTCGTTCGATCTTTACCTCGGCAAAGACCAAAATCAGACTTGAGCTCTCAGACTCCTATAGTAACCGCAAAGCCACTCTGAAGATGCTACACGGTAGTGCCTCTAAGTGGGTTCAGCTGGCTATTGATACCTCCCCTCTTGATGTGAAGGGTCTTTTGCAATCTTATCTGGCGGACATGGATGACTTTAGAGCCTTTGGCCACGTATCTCTTGGGCGGTCATTTGCTGTGGATATGGGCGGTAGAATATCGTTCACTGATAACAAACTGGCTTCCATCGGACACCCCGCTGATGTCAAAGTGGACACCATTTCCGATTTCTTGACCCAGTATACCTGGCGTCAGATCTACCGTCGCGGAGAATCTGTGGTACCGGGAGAACATGATGAGAACACGGTTGCGGCATACAATTCCATCAAGGCGGTTCTCGTTAGCTTACAAGACAGGGTCTCCAAGAAGAGATTCGTTTCCATCGCTGAATTGCGCGAAGGACTTTTGCGCACTGCCGAGTTCATTCTGGAGTGCAAGAAATACTCTGCCGAGCTTGTTCACTATGTCGTTCACATTCCGTTTATGGTGTTTTCGAAGCAGTCAATCAAACTCGGAGTATCGCTATGGCTCTGGCTTTTGAATGAAGCGCCGCAACTTCAATCAAGGATTCTGGCCGAAATAGCTCTTGGTTTTGAGTGGAGCATACGCCGACGCGAAGGTTTGTACTCGACGGCTCATGATCTTACTCCGGTTCTCAATTTGAAAATGGAGTACGCCCCGTCAAACAAGGAAGAAATCATGCACGATGCTCGAATCGCTGTTAACAGTTTTGCGCCTCATCTGTATGTGGTCGAGATGCTTGCTAGCCATTTCCAGTCGAGCAAATTCCAGAGCTTGCATCTGTTTGAAATCTTTGAGCGATCGCTGAGAATCGCTTTGCTGAATATGGCGCATGGTAGCTACCATCCGCTTGTTCGCCAAAATCGGTTCAATATCATCCTCTTCTCGTTGAAGCTTCTGGAGGGATACAGCTCATTGTCTTCTCAGCGCTCGACATTCTTCAAGAACTTGGTTCTTACTGCAGCTCTCACGTGGTTCTCGAAACCCCCAGGGTATGGTTAATTCTTTTCCTCATAATTTCATCAAGAGCTCCTCGCTAACAAAACGTTTTAGCTATCCTTTTGGTGGTAACCGGCTGCAACTGAAGTCTGAGTTTAGATTACTTCTGGATGTTTACCAGCGGGTAAAGACGCTAAGGGTCAATGGTCCCGAGAAAGCTCTATTCTTAGATGTCAAGAAAGAGTTGCTGCTTCAATTTTTAAGTCACGAGGTTTACGGCATGTCAATCTGGCTCGATCCTCTTGGGTTTGTGCCTTACAGGGAACTCAAGCAACAGATTCCCAAGCGCTCGTTCGAGCCTTCCGCCGAGATGATCATTGTGGCTTGGGAGATTGATCCAGGATTAGCTATTTCATATGCAAAGCGGTTCAAGCGTCCTGAAGTTGAGCACCAATTGCGCCAGCTTGTCATTGCTGATACCATCCGTGCTGCCGATGTTGCCGACGCTCTTCCTTATCTTATTGACGGACAAGTCAAGGAAAATGGAGGTTCGGAGTTCAAGGTAAGAGACCATTTCCTCGTTTACTAATTTTTTATGATCCTGATAAGATGCTGACCTTATACTTCATAGTATCTTTTGTTCTGGGCTCCAGCCACTCCCATTGATGCAATCAACTACTTCATGCCAAATTACGGAAGAAACACTTTGATGATGCAGTATGCTATGCGTTCGCTTGAGAGCCACAGTGTGGATGTGACCTTTTTCTACGTTCCTCAGATTGTACAAATGCTCAGACACGATGAAAGAGGCTACATCGAGCGATTTATTCTTGAGACCGCCAAGCTCGATCAACTTTTCGCTCATCAGATTATCTGGAACATGAAATCGAATGCGTACAAAGACGAAGACTCCACGATTCCGGATTCAATCAAGCCTAGTCTTGACAGAGTAATGGAACTGATGATTAGCTCCTTTGCCGGATCTGACAGAGATTTTTACGAGCGCGAGTTCTCCTTCTTCAACGAAGTCACATCGATCTCTGGGAAATTGAAGCCTTACATCAGAAAATCAAAGGCTGAGAAGAAGGCCAAGATTGACGAAGAGATGCGCAAGATCAAGGTCGATGTGGGTGTTTATCTGCCTAGTAACCCTGATGGAACGGTTATCGGCATTGACCGAAAGTCAGGAAGACCACTGCAGAGTCATGCAAAGGCACCCTTCATGGCAACATTCCAGATTCGAAAGAACGTGAAGACGATCAACACCATACGACTTGAAGGAGAAGATGAGAGCGAGAGCATGGCCGTTGAAACCATCGAAAGATGGATGAGTGCTATCTTCAAGGTTGGCGATGACTGCCGACAAGATCTGCTTGCTCTGCAGCTCATTGCACTTTTTAGGAATATTTTCAACGCGTCAGGTCTTGATCTGTATCTTTTCCCTTATCGTGTTATTGCTACTGCTCCAGGATGTGGTGTTATTGATGTGCTTCCTAATTCGATTTCACGAGACATGCTTGGTCGTGAGGCAGTCAACGGGCTGTATGAATATTTCATCAGCAAGCACGGAAGTGAAGACTCAATCAAGTTCCAGCAGGTTCGCAACAACTTTGTTCAGAGTATGGCGGCGTACTCGGTCATCTCATACCTGCTTCAGTTCAAGGATCGCCATAACGGTAATATCATGTATGATGACCAGGGTCACGTCTTACATATCGACTTTGGTTTCTGTTTCGATATCGTTCCGGGTGGTGTGAAGTTCGAAGCTGCTCCATTCAAGCTCACGCACGAGATGGTTCAGGTCATGGGAGGGCGTGACACTCAGGCGTACAGATGGTTTGAGGAACTGTGTATCAAGGCTTTCCTTGCGTGTAGGCCGCATGCCGAGAGCATCATCAGATGCGTGTATCCGATGTTGGAAAGTGGCTTGCCATGTTTCAAGGGTGAGACGACGATCAGAAACCTGCGAGACCGGTTTGCGCTGGACAAGACCGATAAAGAGGCTGCGGTGCATATGAGAGGACTCATTAAGAAGAGTGCCGAGAGTCTGTACACTCGTGGTTATGACGAGTTCCAGAGAGTGACAAACGGAATCCCGTATTAGGTGAAAAAAAGTGCAAGTTGTACGAAAGTCTGTGGAGTCAAGCTGCATCAGTTGTTTTGTATTTATAATGAGTCTTTACTAGTTAATGCTTTAATTCAACCTATTATTTTCATGCTATGATACAAATTCCAATCCTATCTACAATTTCTAGAAGCCATCAGATCATTTGCTTTCCGAAATAGCCAGACTTTCCAGTTTCGGCAACTCTGTCTCCTTGTCGCTAGACTTCTGTTCAATCTCCTTTAGCGCCAGAATTGTCCCCTCAATGATGGCGATGTGTTCGTTCTCATGAACTCGAGTCTCATATTCCTCAACTGTCTCCTCTTTCTTGAGTTCGAGTTCTTTGACTACCAAGGGCTCGCCCTCATCGACTTCTTTGATCACTCGGTGAATCATGAGACCGCCCTTTGTAATCTCGCCGCGTTGACCAGCCTCCCAAGCTCGCTCGATTGCATGAATTCCAGCAAACTGTCCAGGTAAGGCGGGGTGTAAGTTTATAATTGGGACATTGACTTTTGAGACTGGGTTCAAGAACGACGGCGAGAGAATCAGCATCCATCCTGCGCAGACAATCAGATCGGGCTTTTGCTTCAGAACCAGCTCGGCTAGGTCGACGTTGAATTTCTTGCGCGCTTGTTTTCGGGCATCTTTGTCTTCTTTCGGAATATCCTTGTAGTACTTCTGTAAGTCATGCACCTCAGCTGCAATTCCTGCTGTCTTCGCCCGCGTCAGTCCATAGGCAGTGGGAGATGAGGAGATAACTGCGCAAATCTCAGCCGGGATCTGGGGTGACCTCTTGCCGGCAACAGAGTCAATCAAAGCCTGTAGATTGGATCCAGACCCGGATATGAGTACGAGGACCCGGGGTTTTGTCATTGTATGAAGTGGTTACTGTTTGGTAAGAGAACTGTGCTACACCTCGATCAATTTCATTTCTGAAGAAATAATTGTACACCCTTACCCAGTAATTATGTAATGGGTGAATAATAGATTGATTACTTGTAAATTACGAACAGTTCTACTAGAGCACAGCACAATCTCCTGGTAGCTAAATAGTACCGGTTATTATAGTAGGGATTCACAATTTTTTCGATTTTATTCTAACTTGCCTTAAGATTATCTGGTGCAGAAGGTCGTGTTCACAGTGCGCGACCTATTGGCGACGACTATCAATTGTCGAACGCCCGGACCAAAGCTTTTTATTGCCGGGTCGGCCGCGCGACCCCGCCCCGTCCTCAGCAGTAGGTTTTCTGATATTCTACGACCTCTACGACGCATACAGATCAGCTTGTACACTAAATCCGAGCAGATAATCGAGGAAACGTATTTGCTGAAGCATTTGGATTTTGCGCATTGTCAATTCATTTACTTTTGAATAATGTCGAAGCGGCAGCAGATGAAGAACGAGGCCCTACTTAGAGATCTCTCGGATCTTCCAGAAAATCGCAGATGCGCCGATTGTGGTGCCAGAAATCCAGGTATGCTATCGTCTTGTTTTGTATTCATTGGAAAAATGATAGCAGCCTGATACTAATAAACATTGTTTAGGATGGGCGAGCTGGAATGTACGTCGCTCTCTTCTTCCTTCATGGTCGACTCGGATCAATAGGCTATCGAATTTCAAATGACTGACATTATTACTAGCTCGGTGTCTTTCTCTGCATGCGATGCGCAGGTATTCACAGAAAAATGGGGACTCATGTGTCAAAAGTGAAGAGTCTCAGCGTTGATTCATGGAGTGTTGATCAGATTTACGTATGTTTTGATATCTTGGCAGTGCTGAGCCTCGATCGATGAGCTGATCAATTTTGTATAGGGAATGCGCGATATGGGAAATAAGAAGGCAAACTCGATCTGGGATCCAGATAATCACGGAAGCCGAATGCTCGGATACGATGCAGATGACGATAGGTATGCGCATGAGATTTTGATACTGATTGTCTCGCGATAGATCAATACTGACGATGCTTTACAACTAATAGTGCAGTGGAACGATATATCCGGGATAAGTATGAGCGAGGAAAGTTTAGACGTGACGCCGATGACTTTGGTGGACGGCGCTCCTCCGGATACGATGACTACGAAGACAACGATTACGGAGTTGGCGGAAGCCGTGGAATCAAAGAATCATCATCGTCCGGCCCCTCGCGCTGGTTTAGAAAATCCAAGAATAAAAAGGAAGCTAAGGATGATGATCCATACGGAGATACGTATGAAGCTCGCCCTGCTCGCAATGGAAGTCGTCGAGAACGACGAAACGACGAAGATGACTTTGGCAAAAGTCGCGAGCGCGATAGACCATCCCGAAACCGCAGAACCTCAGAGTTTCACGAGGATTACGACTATAAAGACAAAGTCTCAAAGCTGCGTGATATGGGATTCTCTGACAGCCGCAAGAATCTCGACGCTCTTGAGCGATCCAACGGCGATATACTTCGTGCAATTGAGATCTTGACTGGCGACGAATCCTCAGAGAGTAAGCCGCGACTACCTCCTCGACCTGGTTCAGTATCTGCTCCTTCATCAGGCGCCACCAGCCAGCCATCTACTAGTACTACAACGGGCAACGCCCCTAGTGCTGCACAGCCTTTCCAACAGCCGATGTACGATCAATATGGAAACCAGATTGGCGTGTTCCCAGCACAGCAGCAGCCTCAACAGCAGCAGTACCAGCCGCAAGCAGCGGCGCCTCAACAGTTTAATCAGTTGACTGGTATGCCAAGTCAGTATGGTCAGCCTGCTGCCAATCAGCAGGGTATGGCGCAGCCGTCCCAGTTACAGCAGCAACAGCCTCAGAATCTTTTTGCGCAGCCGACTGGTGCGCCATTCCAACAACCGCAGACTTCCCAGCAGACTCAGGTCAATCCTCAGCAGTCGTATGGAGCTTCTTTGTTCCAGTCTCAGCAGCAGCCTGCCAATCCTTCGCCATTCCAGCCATTCCAGTCTACGGCTACTGGCGCATCGACTGGATATGGTCAGCAGCGCAACAGCTTACTGCCCCAGGCAACTGGATTTAACGGTGGAATGAATGGCTATGGCAATCTGCCGCAGCAAGGTTCGCAGCAGCAACCTTCCAGTCAGAATGCATTTACGTCTCCGTTCAATGGTCAAACTCAGCAGCAAGGAATTCAGAATAACCGAAATACTTCCACATCCGTTGACTTATTGGGCGATCCAGTAACCACTACACCTACGACCTTCTCGACGGGATACCAGCCCTTGACCTCCAGTCTGCTGGCTGGCCAGCAATCGCAACCGCAGAATCAGAATGCTCTCGCCAACTCGTTCTCGGCAATGTCACTCCAGTCAGGAACGCAGCAAACCCAACCGCAACAGCAGAACCAACAACAGCAGCTTCAGCAGCAGCCTCAATCGCAGTCTCTGCTACCGCAACGCACTGGTTATATCCAACCTCAACAGACTGGTTACCCGCAGCAACAGCAGCAGCCGGTACAGCAGCAGCAGCATATTCAGCAATCGGCATTTGCTCAATATCCTATGCAGACTGGTATGCCCACACAGCAGCAGCAACCGCAGCAACAGCCGCAGCAGCAGCAACAACAACAGCAGCAACAACTTCCCCAGGGCCAGCCTTTTGCTTCACAATATGGGCAAATGCCGACTCAATATGGTCAACAGTCGATTCAGCAGCCGGTGCAGCAGCCTTACGGCGGACAACCGCAACAACAGCAGCAGTTTGCGCAGCCTCAGATGCAGCAACCTATGCGTACTGGAATTGACAAGTCGACGATCATGTCCCTTTATTCTCATCCTGATTATTTTTCATCTCCTGTGGCTATTCCCCAAAACCAGCAACAGCAGCAGATGCCTAACGGTAACCAGTCGCTTCTCGGAGGCCCAGCTGTTGGTTCCAATCAGCAGTATGGTGTACAGCAGCAACAACAGCCTGTCAAGGAGACCCCTTCTTTGAAGCCTGGCTCACATAATCCATTTTTGGCCCAGCAGCAGCCACAAAGCCAGCCTGCGATGGGAAACAATCAGAATGGCGGCCGCGCGAGCCCCGATGCCTTTGGCCAGCTTAGCGCTTTTACCGGAAATGGTGGGGGAAGTAGATGGTAGTCTGGGTTTTTGTCTGTGGAATAATAGTTTTAAGACTATTTCGAGAATTATTTACGTGCTATTACTCTGTTTGTTTCTACCACTTTAGATACGTTTTTGATATTTGTGTATCTTTATAAACCTTTGTACTTTTCTTAGCTGTTAAAGTAGCATATGTTTACATAGTGATGTATAGTATAGTGCTGTTTCTGATCGATGCTGAGATATTAGCCATGATTCTTTTGGTATGATTAGTGAGTTGCAATCAATAGGTTTCATTAGTGAAAATATTTGAGATTCTATATGGTACATCTATTCTATAATACAACGTTAAGAGCTATGATACATTTTGGCCCGTCTTCGAGGTTACTGTTCGACTGAGAATAAAACACGAAGCCAGGTGCTACATCGTGAACATTGAACGAGAACCTCGCCTTCATCTCCATCTTCGTCTTTACGGGCGTTGGAAACATCGACCAGCATGCTCTCTGTGATGACATAGGCATCGCCACACCGACATTCTTTATACCAGACTTCTTCGCGAACACAGTCGGTACACGTAGATTCATCCTCTGACAATCTGTGAGTAAGACACATGCTCGCAAAGGCAAAGTCATCGAGATCAGCCATATCCGATTGTGCGATTATTCGAGCCTCGTAATCAGACTGGCTCGCTAACGATTTGCTTTTCTCGATAATCGATCTGTCATAATCCGCGCGCAGATTCGGCACAGACAATGTGTTGTACGCCGCAACTATATGATCGACGGTCTCATTAGACTGATCCAAATTATCGGAATCAGCAGCAAGATTCTTGTCGGGGTGGTGACGCAGAAGCGCAGCTCGATACGCCTTCCGGATCGCTTCTAAAGAGAGTGGGTTGGCGTGGGGTGGTGGAGGAAGACCTAGCACATCATAGTATAGCGTCGGCGATGTAGCCATGATTCTTACTAGCTTTGCACAGTCACAGAGTAGGCTCGAAGCCTTGGTGTTATATGAACCGGATCATAAATATGAGAACTGGCGTGGAGGATATTAAAAAATCTGGAAGACTTCAGGAACAGCTATTTAGGCCAGTTGGGAGACGAAACCTAAAATAATTTCACGAGCGGATGAAAAGACGAAGTCGACAAAAATGCCCTTTCTAGTGGCGATAAATCCTTTAGACATGACAGGAATGCAGTATAGCTCAAGATTATATGACTGATAGAGATTTCCGATTGTTTTTGACCAGCTTATTGCTGCCATATGCGCAAGAAGCGCAATTAAAAACATTATTACATAAGACATCTATCAGCAACTTCACGTGACAAATTATTGCTTATGATGGCAAGATGCTCATCAGAACGCAACGACTAGCCTGCCCTCATGGCGTAATGGTAACGCGTCAGACTTCTAATCTGAAGATTGTGGGTTCGAGCCCCACTGGGGGTGTATCTAATACACTCTTAAGAGAGCTGTGTCTTTTTTTTATCTTTTTACTTCTATTATTTTTTGCTCTCTTTCATAATAGACTGCAGTTTTTGTTTCTTTTTTCTAACCTGTTCGAATTTGTGTGGAGTGGGGATGAAGACAGCTCGAAAAATGCAGCAAGTTGAAGAAGCAGCTAAAGAGACCCAAGAATCTAGCACTACGGTAAGATTAATGGACCCCTGCGTATTGCGTAGTCCATGCAGCTGATCAAGGGCCCCACTCAGATCGTCATTGCTAGTTGTTGGCCTATTTTGACGATACGCGATTGCCGGACGCGCCAGTAGTGATGGAACTATAGATTAATTACCAAAGAAAAGTGATATAACTTCCTCGGATCGGAAGGTAGCTGAGTCGGAAGGGTGATTTACAGCAAGGTTGATACTCTAATCTGGTAACGCTAACCTAAGCTGGTCATTAAGGCTCTTGAGCGTGAAAAACCTCGGCACTTTTGGAGTCAGAAGCACCTGCAAGACACTCACATTGTTGGCTGCCCCACCGCATACAAGTCAGGCACGGCTTACCGGCGTGTGAAGCCCATTTTAGCAGGAAACGACGCGTTGACTTTCGACGCGCCAGTCAGTCAGGTTCTTCTGCATATACTTTTTCCTTCATTCCTTCTCTCTTCCGTATGCTCTTTTGCTGCCTGTCCTGTCTCGTTAGATCCTCTATTCTGCTATTACCTACCGCGGTGGTCTGCCGGTAGTAGCAAGTCATCATGCGCCTTCGCGAATTACCTAGTGCAGTGTGCGATCTGCTTACGGGCTCCCGCTACGGTGCCGTCGTCGCCCTGCTGCTATGGCTCGTTGATCTGGCGTTCTCTGTCGCTATTGTCTTCAAGGTACCCTGTAAGTATTCAACCTACATCTCGGTGCTCAGTTCTGTATTTTGTTGTTCTTGGTGCTGTTTGGTTCGACATGTTGCATACGCGGGATCGAACTGACAATTGTTTCACAGACACCGAAATTGATTGGAAGGCCTATATGGAACAGGTAGCTCTCTACATAGACGGCGAACGCGATTACACGGTTAGAACACTTTGATGAATGACTCCTCTGTTCTAAGCTAACTTCTAATCTTTTGGAGTGTAGAAAATAAAGGGTGGTACAGGTCCATTAGTGTAAGTCGACAGCTCCTCAAGATCAGTATGTGAACAGCTGCGGTCTGACATTTCAGAACAGATATCCCGCAGGCCACGTCTATATCTATAGTCTGCTATACAAGTTGACCGACAACGGTGAAAACATTTTTCGTGCGCAAATGATCTTTACCGGTCTATATTTGGCTACTCTTGCGTTGGTCTTCAGGAGTTACATCAAAGCAAAGGTGAGCTTGGATGCTCAATTCCTGGACATACTTGCTTCGAATATATGACTGACGTCAATTGTTGTGCAGGCGCCTCTCTACGCTTTTCCCTTGGTCATTCTCTCAAAAAGACTTCACAGTATCTACATGCTTCGGTTATTCAACGACGGGTTTGCTATATTTGTGACTTATGTCGCGATCTCAGTCTGGCAAAATCAGTACTGGCTGCTGGGCGCTATGATCTTCAGCTTTGGCGTCAGTATCAAAATGAATGTTCTTCTTTTCCTTCCCGCAGTGGGAGTGATTATGCTTCAGGCTTTAGGGCCGAAGGTATTTCGAGCAGCACTGTATATGCTCCAGGTCCAGATCATTGTCGCATACCCGTTTTCGTCAAAATTCTTCCTATCTTATGTTACCAGAGCGTTTCAGTTCAATCGCGTATTCCTATACAAGTGGACTGTGAACTGGAGATTCATTGAAGAAGCGGTATTCTTGACTCCAGAGTTTGCACAGACTTTGCTGTTGATTCACGTCGTTCTACTACTCGGGTTCATATTTACACGCTGGATTAAGTACGAATATCCATTACCTTGCGAGATTGTCGGAGAGATCAGTTGGCTAACTCATTGTTCATTTCAGACCCTCGAATATGAATCTCATAAACATTATACAGACACTTGTGTTTCCTACACCTCGGCCCATCGCGGTGGAGCATGCTATATTCGCCAAGATGTCCCCAGACTTTATTCTCAAGACTCTTTACACGTGCAATTTGATTGGGGTGTTGTGCGCCCGTTCGCTTCACTACCAATTTTATTCTTGGTTTGCGTGGAGTTTGCCTTACCTTTTGTCTGTCACAGGATGGCACCCGGTTGTACAGTACGGTATCTGGTTAGCAGAGGAATGGGCTTGGAATGTCTTCCCGAGTACCAGACTGAGCTCACTTGTCGTTGTTGGAACGAATGCAGCGATAATAATCGGGGTTTGGTTTGGGACGAAGAAAGATGCACTTGCTCAAAAAGGTGTTGCCGGTGCACCGGTTGTCCCGCCCGAGATGTCCTCTATTTCGATTAAGGAGTCACCTGCACCTATCATTTCGGCACCAGTATCGGCTTCCACAGGCACCTCTCACTCTGCCAGCCCTTCTGGGAACAATCCCGGCATGACCAAAGCGTCTATGAGGGATCAAAAACGTAGAAGGGCAAGCGGGAGATAGATTGTCTTTGTATCTTTGTTTTTTTTGTTGTTACTTTTGTTGTTGCTTGCTCTGTCTATTGAGGGCACATGTGTATACTTACCACCTCACTATGTAAATAAATTAGACATTATTTCCTGTTACTTGAGTATGATCTGCGAGGAGGTGGTAGAGGACCCACAGTTCTACAGGTGCACGAGTTCCATTAGTTTATATTGGCGGTCTCTCTGCCACATGGTGATTGGTACACGGAATACGTTACGTATCAGCCCATTTCCTGCGCGCAACGGACCATGATCCAGAAAAACGCAAGACGCGTTACTGCACAAGTGTAGGCATTTGGAGCTGTGAAAACGATTGCCAAGCAACTAGTAATCTCAGTAGTATTATTGGCTGAAAACAGAGAAGTATTTATTGACAAGGTATTGAGAATTCAAGCGCGCAGGCTTGTCTACCGACATCAGACTTGCATTCTTGAGTGTATGCCCCACTACTATCAAACGACGCCTACCGAAAAACTCAGACGCTGTTAGCGAATTAGGGCAATAACTTGATCAAGACAACGCAATAATAATGGCCAGCAAATTGTAGAAGAAAAAGAAACTGCTGGAGATAAGGAGCGTGCCATGAAACAAAAGAAAAAAGGGAGAAACTTTTTGGCGAGAAAAAAAGATTTAAGGCGGTGAGAATAATACGGGTTAGGGTCAAATCTAAGGCCGACGCGGCTGATAACCTTACGTACGCGCGTCTGGCGAACACGCCGAGACATTTGCACAGCCGCGATTATTGTTACTCCCATCAGCTCAGGAACCGCTACTGTTCTCGTATTTTGGCTCTCTTCCTCGATATGGGATATTGATTCGCTTCTCTGCTTCACTGCCGTTAACTCATGGCTGATCATCAGGGCGACGATATCCCGCTACGGGACGTCCATCTCTCAGACGAAGACGGCGAGCTGGATTCCGACCGTCAGTCGCTTCTAGCTCCAGATCTGGTGTCTGGTTCTGCTCCTACAATCACCGTAGCAGCTGCTAATGATTTCGAGGCAGGCACGACACAGACAAGTCATCGTCGGTCATATGAGGAGCGCAGGGTATCGTCTCAAGGCCATGCCAGTAGATCTTCCAGCGTTCTGCAACCAGACAACCTTCGTCGCGAATCATTAGGGAGATTTAGCACAATTACAGGGCCAGCACCTGCTCGACCCCGCGGGGCCACACTCTCTTCAACTTTTCTTACTGTGGACACGGGCAACAACCAGGCGGGTGGCTTACAACACAGTGCCTCGGTCTCGGAGGCTACTTTGCGCAGACGAAACGTTCCAGGGGATGATGGGGAGTCAAGCAAGAGTGGATCACGTAAAAATAGCACGTCAGAGCCCGCGGACATGGACGTTATCAAACGAGGTATTGACGGTGCTTTGGGTGACGAAGGCGGCTGGCTGCCATCTCGGAAGAATACTACGGCTGCTAGGCTTTCTCCGCGCAAGTCACGGTTCAGTGTCAATAAGAGATCAGTAGACGACGAACAAGGCTTATTGGCTAATGCTGTCGACATAAGCGGTGCCGGTGATCAGTATCTATCACCTTTCCAAACTGGCCCTTCGATAGACAACGACTCTCTCTCGGTTAATTACCAGATCGACAATGGATCCGCTATCGCGGATGACGTGAGTGTACTTTCTGCCGGATCACGAAATACCGGCACATCTCGCCGGCCTCTCAGTACCGATATGGCAGTCTCATTTGCTAGCAAGCAACTTTCTTCGGCTGTCAGACGTATCGTTTCGAATGACAACCGAGTGAGCACAGAAGATCAGCGCTCGGTGTACACAGTGGACTTGACCGACGATGAAGAAGGCTACAATTATCCTGCCAGCGAAGTGATCCCAGCAATCGAAGACTTTGAACCGCCTCGAGCACCATCTCAAACTGGAGAAGAATCACCTTCGCTTCGAGGAAATGCGCTTACGATTTTCGGACCGGAAAACCCGCTGCGACTGGCTGCATTTAGGGTAGTTTCTCATTCATGGTTTGACGCTGCGTGGCTTGTTGTTCTGTTTTTTCAGACAGTGGTCGTCATTTATCGCGCAATCAGTGACAAAGATCTTCATGACACAAAGTCGTGGACTTTTGACTTTCCTAATGTTGCACTCTTAGCCGTCTTCATCTTCTACTCGGTCTCGATTCTGCTAAAGATGGTAGTCTCTGGCTTCTTGATAAATCCAGACAGAGAAACGCATCAGGTTATATTTGAATTGATACAGTCGGTCGGAATCAATGTCAGAAAAAACCGCAGGGCGATTCTCCGGGACTTTAAATCAACGTTTCGCAAAGATCGACCACAGGTTGACAAGACGGAAATGCGTCTGAGCCGACTGGCATACTTGAGATCAAGCTGGAACCGAGTAGATTTCATTGCTGTCGTCTGCTACTGGATCTACTTACTTCTCGCAATCATCAATTCACCACATACACACTCCGCGACACATATATTCAGAGCTTTGAGCTCGATTCAACTTTTGAACTGGCTGAAAGTCACCGAAGGCACTCGCGAGGTTTTACAAAGTATCAAGCGGGCGGCACCTCTTTTACAGAACGTCACTGCATTTATTGCTGTGTTTCTGGCATTGCTAGCGTTGGTCGGAGTCCAGGCGTTTTCCGGTTCGTTCCGCAGACAGTGCGTTTGGGTCAATCCTGATGACGCAAGCGACACATACACCAACATGCAGCTATGTGGAGGCTATCTTGAGCCCATAACTTTGAAAAAGATGCCGTTCAAAAAACTTGATGGATCGTTCAGTGATTCAGAGCCCAAGGGATATCTGTGTCCTGTTTATTCAATATGCTCCGAAGTTGAGTCCAATCCATACAACGGTACGCTGAGTTTCGATAACACAATCCAATCTCTCGAACTCATTTTCATCGTACTCGGAATGAACGGCTTCTCCGATCTTATGAATTATATGTCTGAGTCCGATCACGCCATTGCTGCGATATACTTTGTCGTCGGCGTGATCATTCTGTCGTGGTGGCTTTTCAACCTGTTTATTGCCGTTATCACAACGTCATTCGAAAGCATTCGCGAGATGGACGAAAGGAGAAAGTTAAACTTGGCCTTAGCCGAGGAAAATGAGTAAGCGCATTGTTCTAGCGATTGAAACAATCGTGACAGTTCTAACTAACTATGCACAGAAAACACTTGCAAGCAGAAGTCTCGATAGTCGTACAGTCAAAGCTTTATCTTTTCTACTACCGCTATTTGGAACCACTTTTCGTATTCCTGATCTTTGCAGACTTTATCGTTCAGGCTATGAAAGAAGTCAACATGTCGGCCAGAAAGTCGACGGCCATTGATGTTTTTGAAACAGTCACAACATTCATACTTCTGACAGAGATGTTCATCCGATTCGCAGCTCACTTCCCCAACTGGAGAAAGTTCTTCACTCTGAGAAATATATGGGATACTATCCTTGCTATTGTCTCGACGGTGATTTTGTTACCAGTCATTAGAAACTCTCCAAGAATCTATCCGTGGCTTACGTTTTGTCAAGTGGCGAGGACATATCGAGTGGTTGACGCTATCCGTTTGACGCGTCTCAACTGGATGATTGTCACCCGAAACAAGCGAGACTTCATGAACTTGGTCATTTTCCTGTTCTTGACTATTCTTTTGGTTGCCATCATCGGTTCCGAGCTATTCAGAGGTGAGATCGACGACTTTGACAACCAGGGTAACAGAATCGAGTCGACGTTCCGCAGCCTTGCAAATTCGCTAGCAAATACCTACCAAGTGATGACAACAGAAGGCTGGGCGAGCATGCTGTTCACCGTCACCGGTGCGCTTTCGGGTACAAGTTTAGCCGTCGTCGGCGCGATCTTCTTGTGTGCTTGGTTTCTGTTTTCGAACGCTGTCGTGATGAATCTTTTCATTGCTGTCATTCAGTCTAATTTTGATTTGTCGGATGAGGCGAAGAAGAGAATGCAGATTAATGCGTATGCTGAGGAATTCGAGCCTGTGCTTATAGGAGTTGATAGGTATGTCTGCGATGCAAATATCATAGTCCCTCGTGCATTTCTAACGAATCTTTCTGTCTTTTAGTGCACACGCGGGAGACCGCAGAAACTCGCGGTTCTCTCTTCTACAGAATGAGGCGGGAAGTGCGGTGGATGAGAATTTCCTTGGTGGAGGGGATTACGTAGCAAAGGTACCGATATCTTATGCGATGTGAATGGATCACTCCGAGACTGAAGCTAATGACGCTTTTAAATCTAGGCCACGGCGGATGAAGGTGACGGCTTTCATAATCTTGCCCATCCGGTTTTCTCATTCCAATACTGGACAAAGTTCCTTAAATTCAAGCCTCGAGAGAATCCGTTTTTCTCGAGTCCTACATTCGAGTACGACTCATCGATGGACGCACGACTCTTCATCAAAATGGTGAACGAGAAGAAGACGGAATACAAGCGGGCACGGGAGCGATATCTAATCAGCCACCCCAACTTCAACCGCGTGCTGTTTTGCTTGCGACCAGAGAACCCGATCCGTCGGTTTTGCCAAAGAATCACGTCGTCTGCGCGAGGAGGGCGGTACGGAGATGCCGCGAGAAACGAGAAACTGTACCAGGTTTACACGGCTTTCAATCTCGTGTGCTCGATTGTGATGGTCGCTTGTGCTTGTCGGATTACCCCGTTCTATCAAAAGACTTATTACCAGAGCCGTGGTTGCGAGCCCTCAGATGGCGGGTGTGCGACATGGAATTGGATGAGTATTTCCGACATTGCATTTGCTAGCATATTCACAATGTAAGATCATTACAAGAGTACAATGCTGCTCGACCATTCTACTAACTTTCTGACTGTATATAGAGAGGCATTGGTGAAGATCCTAGCAGACGGATTCGTTTATACGCCCAACGCGTACATCCTGTCGACCTGGAACTTTATCGATTTCTTCGTGTTGGGCACGCTGTGGATCGACATTCTGACGACGTTTGTCGACAGAGGCAGCAACGCGAGATTTCTTCGCGCATTCAAGGCTCTACGGGCACTTCGTCTCCTACACGTGTCGACTACATCAAAGGACACTTTCCACAACATCATTATCGTGGGTATAGTACAGATTTTCTACGCGGCGGTCGTCTCTATGACTTTGCTCGTGCCGTTCGCGCTATGGGGCCTGAATCTATTCATGGGTAAGCTTGAGTCCTGCTCAGACCAAAACGCACCAGACATTGCCTCGTGCAAGGGCGAGTTCAATTGCTACGCGTCTGGAGATAACAACTGCGCGCCGTATAACTGGGATATCTGGATGCCGAGGTCGTATACTACTCCTGGCTACAACTTTGACTCGTTTTTCGAATCGATCTCAATCTTGTTCCAGATTATCTCTCTTGAGGGTAACATATTCCAGTGTTTTTAACGTTATAGATGGTGCAGCTAGCTAGGACTGAGGGACTAACGTTTGTGACAATACAGGATGGAACGATGTTTTACAGTCAGTTAAGGATATTACAGGATCAGGACTTAATCCGAGCTATAATCATTCGGTATACAATGGCCTTTTCGTTTACGTGTTCAACTTCATTTCAATTGCATTTATCTCGGTAAGTATCCCAGGCACCACAATCTACTCTTGTTTCAACTTCTAACCTGCTACATATCTCTTATTCCAGACGTTGTTCATCACCGTAGTGATGGAGAACTACGCCAAGAAAACCGGAGCTGCATTCCTGACCATGAAGCAGCGTTCATACTTGGGCATGCAGCGCGTTTTGCGAAACGTGAAACCGTCGAGGACCGGAAGGATTCCTACCAGTCAGCTGCGGCGCAAGTGCTACAATCTGGCAGTCAGACGTGGCGGCGTGCTCGTGGACTGGCTGCTGGTTGTGCAGACTGCGCAGTTGGGGGTTCTGTTGTCTGAGTTTTACTCGGAGAATGATCAGGGAGCTTTAGTGCGAGGTGAGTTGACTGCTAGTTTGAGGGAAGAGGAGCTGAGTATGCTGACTTGTCTGTTATATCTGCAGACGTATTTTATCTGCTTATCTCTGCGTTCTTGATATTCTACATGATTGTTCGCTGTCTGGGATTAAGCTGGCTGGAGACCGGGGCCACGCGATTGAGGCTGAATCCGAAAGTGATATGGAAGATCATCGACCGCAACAAATGGGACGTAATCTGGCTGATAACGGTCGCAATCACGTTCCTTATCGCCGGCGTGACGCTGGGAGGTCGGATATGGAAATCCGAACTGCAGTCTCTGGCGACGCTCAACACTGCTAAGCGGCTGCTCATGGTTCTCATTCTCTGTCTGCTGATCCCGCGCAGCAACAGACTGAACCAGTTGGTAGTAACCGCGACCGCCAGTCTGTCGTCGATTCTCAGCCTACTATTTTCGTGGCTCGTGCTGTTCATCGTTTACGCGATCGCGTTCAACCAGATCTTTGGGCTCACGCGTCTGGGCTCGAACGGATCCGCTGACGTTAACTTCCGAGGGTTTTTTAAGTCTATGCTTTTGCTGTTCCGGATGAGCTGCGGCGAGGGCTGGAACTCAATTATGTATGACTATCAGGTCGATACGCCGTTCTGCATCAACACGCAGGATTTCTTCACTAGTGATTGCGGAAGCAAGACATATGCCTATATTCTATTCATGTCATGGTAAGCGGAGCGCCAGCGAGTTTTTCTTTCCGAGATTGACTGACTTTGATTGTTATTCTAGGAACATTCTGAGCATGTACATCTTCATGAACATGTTCATCTCTCTGATTTACGAGAGTTTCAACTATTTCTCCCATGAGTCGGAGTGCGCGCCGTTTGTCTCGCGAGATGCGATCCGCGCGTATAAAGAGGCATGGGACCAGTTGGATACTGAAGGAATAGGGTATATCCGGGAAAGCCAACTAGCGACGTTGCTGCGAGTAAGTTTATATTACTGTTTTTGTTGCAGAGGTGCGGAGAGGAAGATGGGCTGACGAGATGATTAGAAACTTCCGCCACCGTTCAACACAGGGATCTATACTGGCGAACAAAGCGTTCGCGAGATGACGTATGCATGTCAATATGTGAACCCGGTGACGATGGAGACCGAGTTCAATATGGACGAGCTGCGTCGGCGGATCGGAATGATCAACAGGGCCGAGATCAAGATCAAGAGGCGTCGGTATGAGCAGATGGTGTATGAGATTTGCTCGCATCGCGAACGAGTGATTCCGGGCTCGACGGAGTCGTATATTCCATTCTCTCAGCCGCTGATGATTATCCCGTTCTACAAGATCCCGAACGCGAGGTCGGAGGCGCTGACGCTTAAAGAGTTTATCAGTCGATGGGAGATCATGCGGCAGGTGGAGGAAGACCGGATCCGCAACAAGCTTTCTGATTTCGCGCGGATGGTCGCGTGCAGACATCGATATCTGCTCAAGCAGAACCGGATCACGCTGCAGAACGACGGGACGACGGTGACGGTGGGCAAGAACGGGCAGATCGTGGTATCTGGCGCGCGCAGTCTGAGCACACGCACGGGCGCGAGCGTCGCGATGTTTCCCAAGATTGTGGTGGAAGATTTTGCGGACGAGGAGGGGTATGAGGGTGATGACTATTATGATTATTATGAGGATGACTTTGACGGGAGCTCGATGGTTCGATCGCTCACGAGTCAGAACGACGAGAATCGACGGCCGTAAAGCATTCGGAGACAGGAAGTAGGAAGAAGTAGAGAGATGAGGAGGGTGTCATGGCAATAGCATTAGGGTGCATGGTTTTCGATATATATAGAATTGTTTTGGATGTTGCTTTGTAAAAGTTAGCTTTACCATTGGATACTACTGTTTTGGGTAATTGTCAACTTGATGTTGAGGGGCTCGAGTCGATGTAACCCTACCTTTGTGAAAGAGAGTTTTTCCCAACCCTGATAATTTTTTTCCTTTAAATTCTCTTCTTGAGGAGAATAATCCTAGGCAGTATCCGGTCTTTGCGACACGGATCTTGGTCAATAAGGTATGTCAATGAATTATCTCTTCTATTCACTGTCGTCATGTCTGTCTTTATGGATTTATTCCTGTTTAAAGGAAATGGATCTGCTGCTGCGCAGTTGCAATCTTCGCTTCTCTTTCGTGATGAACCTTTGTCGCCCCAATCATAAAGAGCCCATTAACCCGGAGCTTCTTTGATGATTCGACTTCTAGCCAAAAGAATAATCTGATCTTTTTCTTAAAGAAGAGAGAGAATGAGAAGAGAAGATGCAATTGGCAGTGGACTTGACGCGCAGTGATTTCTTTATAGCAATGAGATGTGTTTCTAACGGTTTGACTGTTATATAGGTTTCGGATCGATTAAACTGTTTCTGACTTGGTCTGATCAACTCTGCTGTTTCAAAGGTATGAATTCCTTCTTCTTTTGAATCCCCCCGTACTGTAATGTCGATTTGCAATAATAAAGAGCATGCTGGACGGTTACTGTGATGACCGAAACATATACTATCAAATTCCGAGTTTACGCGATGTGGACTTTTACATTATTCTATCCCTGATCTTATTTTATAACCTGTCCAAAGTACTCTTTTTCTCTACTATATACCGTGAGAAGCAAACAAAGAAAAACAAATCGACAGATGCTGTGCGGATTTGATGTAGTAGGATGTTAACGGGTCTCGAGTGTAGAACGACTGTGATTTTGAGCGAGGATTTATTTCGTAAAGGTGAGTTTTCTTTGCTTTTTAAGTCTTAAGATGGCTGATTTCTTGGGAATAGAAAGAGGACGGGTAAGATGATGATGGTAAAACTTTTTCCATGCTAATCATGAAAAACAATGATTCAACCTACATATTCGAATAAGTGACTCTGATCTACTCGTCCTCTGATATCTAAGAAAACGACGAAGCTGGTTTTTGGACTGCGCTTGCTAACATGAATAATAGTGAATGAGATATATTAGCCGCACACTTGTTCGCAAGATGTCGAGTTCAGCAGAAAAAGTTTTGCTTCCGGAGAGCGAGAGGGTAGAGACATTGGTCGCTAATCTGAGCGGGATCAAGGCGCGTGTGGAGGCCGCCAGCAAGCAGTATGCGTCTGGGAGTACGCCGCGGCTGGTAGCGGTGTCGAAGCTAAAGCCGGCGAGCGACATTCTTGCGCTTTACGAGTCGGTTTCGCAGAGACATTTTGGGGAGAACTACGTGCAGGAGCTGGTGGAGAAGGCGGGCAAGTTGCCGGCAGATGTGCAGTGGCATTTCATTGGCAGTTTGCAGACAAACAAGTGCGCGACGCTGGCGGCGATTTCGAATCTGTACGCGGTGGAGACGGTGGATGCGGTCAAGAAGGCGAAGAAGCTGAACGATGCGCGGGCGGAGACGATGCCGGTGCTGAATGTGTTTATCCAGGTCAACACGAGTGGAGAGGAGAGCAAGAGCGGGATGGCGCCGGGGGAGGAAGTGGTGGAGACGGCAAAGTACATTGTGGAAAGCTGTCCGCGGTTGAAGCTCAAGGGTCTGATGACGATCGGGTCGATTGCGCGGTCAAATGCGAGCGGGGAGGAAGAGAACGCGGACTTTAAGACTCTTGTGGAGCAGAAGAAGAAGGTGGAGGAGCAAGTTGCTGGCGCGGGCGAGTTGGAGCTGAGTATGGGCATGTCGGAGGACTTTGCGGAAGCGATTCGACAGGGATCTACGAATGTGCGGATTGGCAGTGTTATCTTTGGAGCGCGACCGCCGAGGAATTAGGATGAGGTTGGAATAGCATGGAGTTGGTGTTTTTTGTTTCTGGCATTATTCTGCTTTTAGATATGGAATATCAATCATCGTATTACTGGATTGGGACGTAACTTGTGTTTAGTGGATGAGCTCTGAGGAGATCGACTGCGCGGGTAAAATGGAAGTGGTATTGACTGGTGATGGTTTGTACATGGAAGTATTTAGGTGCTGGTAAGGTTCGACGGCATTGCTGTTCTAGCAGGTATAGCAGAGAATGTTGATCTTTGTGAGGTTGACTAAGTTTACCTTGCCGACATAGCCGTTGCCGGCAGCATCCCCACCTGGAAGGCCCGGAGAAGTCGCAACATTATGAGAGCGGAATAGTTTTAGTGTGTTTAGCTATGACTATTGCGCAGAATACTGTGCTGAAGTGCAAGTGCTACGTATATAGTATCTCATAGAGCAGCCATGTTGTGATTATTATTCAGTCGATAGAGCTATCGTTGAGTCCGCCAAAACCATGAAAAATTTTTAAATCGAATACTGCAGAGCTGGAGGCGAATTATTACGGGCATCGCTGATGACGTTGATGAGATTGAACTCATTGACCTTATTGAGGTCTAAAACTGATGTTCTGTTGTTGATGATTGTTCTGCATTAGCATATGCTACTGAATAGAATCCGAGCAGAGCAGGTGATCAGTGTTGTGTCTTAGTCATTGATGACATAACCAGAACAGCGTTTCCCCGCACGACGCGGAGAAGAAAAAAAGAAAAAGCAAATTGCGGCGTGATCGACCGGTGGCGAGAGCAGCGAGGAAGCAGCAGTGAAGAGATGAGAATAGTAATAGTGGAAGAGAAGAATAAGCAACAGTAACAGTAATAACTACATTAATAGCAATAACATTAACAACAACAATAACAGCAACAACAACCCCAACAACATCCGCTGATCTGTTGCGTGACCTATGACGTAGGCCACGAACCCCGGGCTGCTGCGCGTGAGTCTCGAAACAAAGAAAGCCGCTAGTCCAGATTGGGAAGTCTTCAGTTCATCGTATATACCTGCTCTGGCCCTCCACTCGATCTCCTCCGAGACTCTTCTCTTCTCTTCCTCTTCCTCTCCTCTACACCCTTCCTCACAGCTCCCTCACAATGGCAGCAACCATGCAGCAGCAGTCCTCCTTCGCGTCCTTCTCCTTCAAGCGCAGGTCCTCCATCTCCCAGATCGACCCCGCCGATCCTGCTCAACTCCCCCCGGTCCCTCCGCCTACAAGGCGCTCGTCCTGGATCCACTCCATCTCCCAGAAACTCACCCCCGACAGCAGCAAGGACCCAAAAGAGCCTCGTCGCTCCTCCGTCGACTCCTCCTCAACCTCCTCAACCTCCGTCTCCGAACTCCCCCAGCAGAAATCAAATATCCTCTCCTCCGCCTTCCGCCGTCTCTCCACATCCTCCTCCTCCTCCAAAGCATGCGGCCCCCACTCCTGCCGCCGTGTCGTCTTCAACCGCAACACAGACCGCCCTACTTGTCCGCTGCAAGAACTCCAAACCCTGCGCATGAAGCGTGTTGCCTTCCGCGTCGACGAGCTCGACGACGAAACCCTCGCCAAAGAGCCGCTCTACTGCCAGATCCGCCGCGCACTAAAGTATCAGCGGGCTCTCGAGCTCAAGCAGCTAGAGGCACAGTCCGTTCTCGACGTCAAAGCTGCTGCAGCCGGTCTCAGCGGCTTCACGCCCGGCGCGCTACCCCGCAAAATTCCTGCCTCTGCACCGACGACGCCTCTCAAAGCCGCAGCATCTGCTGCACCTGACCCGCGGCCAATCCTCAAGCGCGAGGCCTCGTCCGAGTCCACTCCTTGTGCCCAGGCCAACCTCCTGCTCGACGTTCCCCCGTCCCCCACCATACAAAATGGCATTCCGGCGTGTGAAATCGACGTGCCGTCAGCTGTCATCTCAAATTCCTTGCCAGAACGCCGTGATTCAGTGATCTCGGATTCGAGCGGCGAGCAGACCTGCGACCCCGAGACCCGCAACCCTCCCGTTTCTCCACAGCAGGCCAAAGCTGACTGCCTGGGGAAGATTTACGCGCGCTGCTGCAAACTTCGCGAGCAGACTCCTGCGCCTTTTATCTACCGCCAACTCGAAGGCAAGCACTCGCTCGACACCTTCACCCTTGCATTCGACCCCGCGAGCAGTGCCTCTGGAACTCCCCTATCATACCAGCAGATGCAGGCTCTTGCCGATCTATTCGCCTTTGTCCCGGTTGACAATTTCGTTATCGGCGGAGTGTCTCTCTCAGAGTCTATGTTCCGCGAGATCACTTCCTCTCTTGCTAAGCTGAGAGGCTTGAAGTCGCTTTCGTTGCAGGGAACAAAGCTGGACTGCGCCGGCTGGAAATGCGTCTGCTACATTGTTGCCATGTCGCCTTCCCTCGAGCACCTCGACATCCGAGGCATGTCGCGCAAAAATCCCGACTGGGATCTCTTAGCTCGCGCGATCGAGGCCCGGCAGATGCCGTTGAAGGTTGATCTCGAACATACTGATATTGGCGAGACTGAACGATTGCGCATACAAACAGCCTGTGAGGGTTTAAGCTCTTCAGCTGTAGCAACTAGTGACAGCAAAGAGTGAAAAATTAGTTCTGCTGTATGATAGTCATTTTGTATTTTAAAGGCGTTGGGTTGGTTTGTTTTGTAAATTTAAACTTGATATGGAGTTGTCACTTTTGTTTATAATTTTTGGGTTGGTTGAAGTTGAAGTAATTGAATGACGACAAAAGAGGCTTTCTGCCTACATGCATGAACAATATGACTACAGTAGGATCAGAAAGTAGGACATTACGAAAACATATTATAATGACAATTTTACACGCAGCACTAATCCTGCCACGGTTCTAAACAACAACAACATACATCGAAAGAAAACAAACATTGAAACAAAAGAATTAGACAATCTCATACTTGTCAGTCTCGACCTTGACCTCCTTTGTAAACTCGACCGACTCTCCGCTCTCAACCAAGACGACATCGCGCACGTCGATCGGCGCGAACGGTGTCGTCTTACGGAACGAGACGCCCATCGGGAAGAAATCATTCTCGTCATCGGCCTCTGCTGTGAAATCAAAGCTTCCCGACGCACCATCTGCTTCGCTGATGACGGGGATGATCCACTTGATGTGGTCGCCCTCGTGCATGTACTCGACGTCGCTCGAATTGACCTCCGCCGCTTCGCTCGGGATCGGGATTGTGATGATTACGTTCTCGAGCACGGCGTCCTCTGCCCGAAGCTCGTACTCGATCGTGACCTGGAACGTGCTCGCGCCGCTGTCGCTCAGCCAGCAGGTGATGCCCAGCGGAGCCAGGGCCGCGCCGGCGGCGTCGCCGGCTCCGGTCAGACGCCACCGCAGCACACCGAGCGGGTTGTTGTTGGAGGGGAATCCGCGCGCGGGGTCCTTGAGGCCGATGAGCTTCGAAGAGCTGAAGAGCGCCTTGTCGACGTTGGGATGGGTCTTGAACGAAGCGACGTTACCAGGCAGATCGACCGCGAGCCGGATCTTTGACACGGCGGGGTCGGCGATGCGCAGCTGCAGGTCGCCGCGGACTTCGACGTTCACGATCTCGCCCAGTCGCGAGAACTGGCCGTTGACGGCCTCGACGACGGAGACGATGATGCCGTCGTTGTCCGCGTAGGGCGAAGGCGACGCCGCCGCCGACGTGCGCGACACCGGCTCGGGCTCGGGAGTCCGCGTCGGCGTCGTGTCCTCGATTCCAATCTCGGCACGCACATGCTCGTACATATCCGTCGCCTTGGACTTCTTGCCCAGCTGCATACCCTTTCCTCGCGGCGCAGACGGCTTCGTGGCCGCCCCGCCGGGACGGTAGTCGTCGTACGAGGACTCGGCGTGCGCGGCGGTCTGCGCGGCAGCTGAGACCGCGTAGTCGCCGTGCGACGGGAACGACGACGAACGAGAGGCAAACGACGGGGTGCCGCGCTTGGCGGCCTCGCGGCGCTGCATATCGAATTGCTTTGCGCGGCGCTTGCGCTCTTCGTTGGCCTCCAGCTCTTTGTTCTAGATGGGGTGTTAGCTGTAATTCATCTTTCGACATTGAATTGATAGAAAGAGAGAGACGTACTCGGGCAATAATCTCCTGAATCTTCTCTTCGTGACTGTCCATCTCGAGATTCGTCCGAATTTGTGAAAGCGTCAAGTTTTCTCTGTATCCGAGCGCGACTATCTCGTCGAACGCGCTCAGGAGCTCGAAAGCATTCGCCAGGATCTCACGCTCGTCCGAGGACTTGCACAGCGTGGTCACAATCTGCGAAAACAGATGCAGGGTATCAATGTCCTGGAGGATGTTTGACTGCTTGTTTGTGATGAGCACCATGTACAGCTCCTCGAGCGGCTGGTAGACGTATCTGACATTCTCGTCCTCGACCGTCGTGTGCTGAGTGCCTTTGTGGGTCAGCTTCGGGAACGCAGCGAGTAAGGCTTCGATCCGAGATTTTGGCATGTCGCGAAATTGACGCGACAGAACGGCTTTGCCGCCGCGAGTGCAGACCGAGGCTGCGAGAACGACCTGAAGGGGGAGAATAGGGAGGTTAGGATGTACGTAGCGGTTGATTCAGAGGAGCGGACACATACCATTTCCAGATAACCGGCAATGCAGAGTCAATCAATTATAGCGTTAATCTGCTCAGTTGCAGGAAAGTACTCGACGTGCTGCTGGTAGGAAGAAGATGAAGGTGAAGGTGCTGCGAGGTGGAGCTTTTTCTGCTGGTTGAAAGGCGCCGGTCTCCTTCGTAAACTCGTTTGAATCCTGTGAAGCGTGCAGCCACGTCCTCGAAACCGGCTGCTGGTTTCGTATTAATAAGCGGGTTGGGTTGAGGTTGAGATGCGGCTGAAATAGTGTGTTCTGCAACTGCTTGCTGTCTTATGCAGGTTTAAGGCATAAATATGAAATCATGTGACAGATCAGTTGAGCCGAAACTGGCCTTGTCTGTCCAGCCCCGACCCCGTTTCGTTGTCATCGTCTGATCCATACTTCTGCAGCATCACCGAGTCAACTGCTTGTGCTTGAGATCGCGGTCGATTCAGTGCTATTTCAGATTTCAGAGCAAGAAAAGTAGAGCAGACATCGCGATCCAGTCGCAGATCAATGCTATCGCTGTCTCGGGGGCTCTATAACTAACACGCTAGACAGTCAAACTGATTACAAGGCGAAAGACGGATTGATCGTTTATTATACCCTGTTATATACATACTCAAGCTGATTTGTCTGAATAGTCTGGTAGCTTTTGTTTCTACTAACACCTTTAGGAGCCACGACAAATATCCGGTGTCATACGAGAAAACGAGTTGTTCAAATTCAAAGTCTAGAGCGTAGCAATCAGCTCTACCGGAAAGAAAGAAGTAAAGTTGATGTCTGTCGATATATCCGTCCCAAGCAACATCGCCTCGCAAACAAACATGGACGATCCCATAAACTCCCTGTCGCTTCCAACCGAGGAGTCCGCTGTACAGTCAGATGTCGAGATGCTTGAAGGAGAGGACGCGGGAGAAGACGACGCAATGCTTTTGGATGAAGACGCGTACCCGCAGCCACAGGAGCAGGAGCAGGAACAGGTCTCGCCGATGGACGAAGACGTCGTCGCGGATGAGTCTGAGCAGCTGGAAGACGCGCCGCAGCAGATTGAGCAGACGGAGGATTTGGAGGTTAAAGATGCTGATGTTGAGATCGGCGAGGCGGCTGATATTGCTGTCGATGAGGAGGTGGTTGAGGCTGTTGAACCTACCTATGTGGGAGAGATCGAGCAAGTCATTGTCGAAGCTCCTGTTGTCGAGGAGCCTATTGTCGAAGCCTCTGTTGTCGAAGAACCTATAGATGATGCGTCTGCGGAAGTGGCTGCCGCCGAAGAGTCATCTGTCGAACCCGTTGCTGATGGTACACCGGAGGTGGTCTCTGTGATTGATGAGAGTATAGCCGAACCTGTGACTGCGCTGACTGAAGTTGCTGAAGTCGATGCGGTCGAAGAGGTTCCTGTCGTTGAAGAAACTGAAGCGGCGGTTGAAGTCCCTGTTGTTGAAGAAACTGAAGCTGCGATCGAAGAGCCGGCGGAACCAGAACCCGTCGAATCTGCAGCCGCACAAGAAGCCATTACTGAGACAGCCGTCATTGTTGAACAAAGCGACTCTGAAAGTCCTGAAAAAGCAGTTGAAGAAAGCGTTACAGTCATCTACGAGTCGACAACAGACTCTGCTCCTCAGTCATACACCGAAGAAAGCGAAGACGCCAAGACAGCCAAGCCAAATATTGAGATCATTGACGACGACAATTCGGCGGTGGTGATTTCATCGCCGTCCAAGTCCGAGCCAAATAACGTGGTCGACGTCGAAGAATACGAAGAGACTCGCAATGTGCGGATAAACTTCCCCGACATCTGCGTGATTTTGACCCACGAGGACGCGCACTACCTTCTCTGCCCGTCCGATAACTCGGACAGTATAGTCTCTGAGCTCGAAGCGCAGCCTATATTAGAGGACTTTGCTAGCCTGTCGCAGCCGATCGATACGCTGTTTGCTTATCTGAGAGATGTTTTTCAAGATCGACTGGATCAGGACGGAGAGCTGGTTTTGGATATACCTGTCCTCGACCTTTCTGTTTCTGAGGTTTGTCATTTATTTTGTGTTTTTGTCCTTAGCGTTTATACTAACACGTCTACAGGATAACGTGTACACTCATGATGTGACTCCATATGATCTCGTTGATCTCTACTCAAGTCTGCTAGTGAACGACAACGAGACCCTTGCCGAGTCGCAGCCCTTATTCCTCAACCTGACCGTACAGCCTCGGTTCATCTCTCGATTTAATAGCATCGCGACGTTGATCCGCAGTGGGAAAGGCCTGAAACATCTGCATGGAGCTGCTGCTGATGTTATTGAGATCCCGGATGAGCCTGTGAAGCCGGTTGTTGTGCAGGATGGGGAGAGCGCGACGGCGGAGGAGGTTGTATCTCAACTGCAGCAGGATGCGGAGGTTGAATTTACAGAAGGTAGGTTTGACTTTCCCTAGTGTATACTTATAGCAGCTACTAACTGCGATTTAGAAAATGGTGTTGTGCCAGAAATCACAGAGAGTGTGCAAGCCGTTGATGCCCCAGTAGAGCCGCTATCAGAATCCGCACCAGAACCTGTTACAGAAGTTCCAGAGACCGTGTTTGAAACAGAGCAAGTCCCCGTCGCTACTTCCGATGACGGATCTGCCGAGCTTGCGAAAATAAGTACAAAGCGCTCGTTCAGCGACATTAATATAGATTCAGTGGAAGATACCGCAGAGCCAAGTAAGTCTGCATCTCAAAAACTTGATTATCTTGCGGTGATTGATATTAATGAGATTTAATAGATGGAAAACGGGCAAAGTCTGAGGAAGCTGAGTAACTCAGATAGCGTCTATTCTTCTGACCTCCTATTATGAATTTGCGAGATCTTTTATCAGAATACGGATGCCGATCAGGCGAATCCTCTGTATGATGGATTTCTATCAAGTTTCCGTCCTCGGTCTCGACCGAGCAGTGATGTCTTTGTGCACCTTCTGTACTGTTGAGTGAGGTAAGGTGTGATTCCAAAGTCCAATATCCATACGCAGACATTGGAATTTCGCCGAGTGCTGCAAAAAGGACTGCAACCAGCTCCGCGGCTGTCAAGTGCCGTTTCATCTCTTAGCTTACTCAACCCAAGCTATGGTGGATGATATGATCATTGTATTTATAGCCATATAAGCTGTTATTGTAATTGTAGACATTTCGTCCTCAGATTTATCTCATTGTGAATCTTCTTTCTTGAATACATTTTTTTGTTTTTGCTGCTGTGATTGCTTTCACGGCGCTTTGCTGGTTTGTTACATGTTTTGTTTTTTTATTTATTCTGAGGGTTTGTGTTGCATATCTGTAGTCTGTGGATAGGAACTATTATCATCAAAAAAGTAAGAAAAATGAAGAAAGAAATAATGCTCGAGAACGCCTAATATACATCTAAAAGTACTTAAAAATCACACTCAAGAGAACATGTTATCCAAACTTCGTCTCGTCGTCAAAAGCATAGCCAAAACCCACGCCGCACCAAATATTTAGAAGTAAAAGATTTCCAAAAACGCAGAGAAAAAGAAAGAGAGGTTATAGTGACTGCTCAGGAGACACGGTATGATCTGAGGTCTCTGCGTTATCGATCTCGATGCGTCGGTTTCTCAGCTGATCTTTAGTTCCGAGCCAGAACGGCAAGGGAATGATTGCGGCCGCGACCGCAGCCTGGAAGATAAGCGAGCGGCGCATGTTTCCGGGGGGATTTCCCTGCTCGGGGCCGTACTTGAGCGCGTCCATGACGACGATGAAGATCCCGCCGAGACAGTTGCCGCCGGCCCAGAGGATGGAGGACGTGAGTTCGGGGGAGACGGGGAAGACTTGTTCCTGGACCCATTCGAGGGCGAGCGGGAGGAGGGAGAATGAGGCGGCGCCGAGGACGCCGGAGACGATGTAGGGGCCTACGAGTTGGTGGTCTGTGGTTTGGGTGAAGACGAGGCAGATGTAGCAGATTACGATGACGGGGATCTGGATGCGGAGAACGAGCACGAAGGAGTGCGTGCGGTCGAGGATCGGGGAGGATATGGCGGAGTAGACGATACCGGCGACGATGAGGACTGCGCCGTCGATGCCGGCGTCGTCGGAGGAGTAGCCGTAGGGTTCCATCACTTGGTTGATGAGACTGGAGAAGGAGTTAAAGAAGCCGACCAGGACGGAGAACTGGATGGAGCATGTCAGTCAGATGCCAGGAAAGGTAAGAGACAGGAATCAGAAGATAGAGCGGCGTACAACGACAAATATGATAATGAAGCGACAGTTGCACTTAAGAGCTTTGAAGCTTTCGCTGAACGGCAGCTTGGGCTTTGCCGCGGACGGACAGGGCGGAAAAGGTGGTCTGCTGGGAATGAAAAACGCCGGCACGCATAATATCGTCGCCTACAACTGATCAATAACCGCTGTCTTATAATCCAACGAAAATAAAAACCTTACAATTATCGAAGTCCAAAGTACCTGTCAAAAGAAGTTAATCTAGAGTCTCTTATTATGTACTATAAATCCGAGCGCGAGGGAGGGAGGGACTTACCGAGTTGGGAAATTCGCTGGTCTTGGTCACGAAGGCAGGGCTCACGAGTTGACCGATCGCGCCGCCGAGGGGGTTTGAAAGACTTGCGAGGGCGTTTGCAGAGACGCGTGATTTTCTGGTGGAGAGAGAAGGTCAGTAGGCTGATGGACGCGTGGGTAGAAGTGAGGGGAACTTACGATGTGTACCACATGTCGCTATTGTGAAGAGAACAGGAGAGTCAGTCGGTTTGTTGCAGTAAGAGAAGCATCAGCAGACAAGAAAAAGGGCATGACACACGTGTAGTACGACGGAGCGTTCAACGCGAACGGCTGGCCGAGACCGATAATGATCTGTCCGAATATTAGGACGCCAAAAGAGCCGGAGTCGCTGCAGCATTTTGCACCCGCGACTCTGATCCAGCTGCCGATGACGAGGAAGACGGCAGAGATGACCATGGAGGCTTTAATACCATGATGGTTGAGCACGTAGGCGCAGGGTACGCTGCCGATCGGGTAGGTGAAGAGGATGACGGTCGAGAGCCAGTTGACGGGGGTCTCGGAGCTGAGACCGTAGAAGTCTTTGACGTTCGAGGATATGGCGGCGAACGAGAGCCACTGGGATACACGGTCGAGTTAGCGTACGAAGAAGCAGTACGGGCAATAAATCTGGGAGACGTACGGCCCAGGAGGCGACGATATTGAGGAGCATAAGCGCCACGAGGCCGTACCATCGGCGCTTGAAGGACCGATACACCGGCGTCTCGACGAAGCCGACGTCGGACGCGAGCGCGATGCGGGCGGCTTTGGGGTCGACAGAAGAGGCCATTGTGTCTGCAGCAGCACCGTCGATCAGGGAATACGCAGAAGACGAGGCCATTGCAAGGAAGAGAGTTCTCGAGCTGTCGCGATCCCTCCGCGTGGTCGTCGCGGTGGAGCAGAGAAGCCCATTGTGCGCCGTCGCTTCTGCATAAACTCTATCGTGGAGCACGTGACCCAGCACAGACCCCTCGAGCGCACGCCCGATCTCGGTTCGTCAGTCGTCGTCTCGGCCTTCCGAGCAGCTACCAACCCCCGTCAGCTCAGCTCAGCCCATTGTTCCTCAACTCACCTCCCGCCAGATGCCATCTTCGCCCAAGATCGCGATCCCGGTGAAGACGACGACCGACGTCGACTGGGAGACTCCGCTGCGGTCGTACATCCGGCAGACGTACGGCAGCGCGGACTCCTTCTCGAAAGAGTGCCAGATCTTCTCCCGTCTGCGCCAGGACATGATGGGCGCCGGAAACGACCCGACCGGACGGGATCTGATCTACAAGTACTACGGCCAGCTCGAGCTGCTTGATCTCCGTGTGCCGGTCGAGGAGGGGGGCTGTAAAGTCGGATTTACCTGGTACACTCTTCTCTCTCTGCACTCATCTCTGTTCTCTTATCTCTCTAACATCTCTCGCAGGACGGACGCCTTCACACACACCGAGACCACCCAGCACTCAATCGCTTTCGAAAAAGCATCAATCTTATTCAACCTCGCGGCCGTCAACTCCCACATCGCGACCGACACCACCGACCTCAAGCTCGCGTACAAGACCTTCCAGGCCGCCGCCGGCATCTTCACCTTCGTCGCCGACAGCTTCCTGCACGCGCCCAGCTCGGATCTCAACCGCGACACCGTGCGCGCGCTCGCGGCGCTCATGCTCGCGCAGGCGCAGGAGGTCTTTGTCGAGCGGCTGCTGTCGGAGAACGCGTCGAAACCTTCGATGCTCACTAAACTCGCAAAGTCAACCAGTCTGATGTATAAAGCTGCCGTCGAGGGACTCAGCTCGGCCGTTGCTAAAGGATGGGTTGAGCGTGAATGGGTTTCTCTCGCAAATGTATTTGCTCTTCTCTATAATTTATCAAAGTGAATGTGAACGCTAACTCGTGTAGATCAAACAATACCACTGGGACGCGATTGCCCATGCGCAGCAAGCCGACCTACAATCCTCCAAAAGCAAGCAAGGCCTCGCGATTGCCTATCTGAAATCCGCAATCTCCAAAAACGACGCGGCGCTGTCATCCTACCTCCCGTCGACCTTCTCTTCCTTCCGCGAGACGCTGACCTCGTACGAAACCGTGCTCAACACCGACCTCGCGACGATGGAGAAAGATAACGATTACATCTACCACGACAACATCCCGCCCGTGAACACGGTACCCGAGATCGGCGCGCTCGAGGCCGCGAAACCCACGCCGATGAGCGACCTGTACAAAGACCAAGACATCACGCAGCTCATCGGCCGCGACATTTTCGAAAAGCTGATCCCGGTGTCGGTCGCCGAGCAGAGCAGCATGTACTCTGAAGAAAAAGCAAAGCTGCTGCGAGCCGAAGGCGAGAAAGTCGACGTGGCGGAGGAAGAACTCGTGTCGGCGCTCGAATACCTCGGTCTTCCGGCCGCGCTCAAGACCGTAAAGACGCTCACGCACTCGTTCGATGACGGCCGCGTGGACGAGAACGTGGCGGAGTGGGCGCACAAGGTACAAGTCGGTGGCTCGGTCTCGTTCGCAGACATCGACCAGAAAAAGCGGGATATCTACCAGATTGTCGAGCGCTGCGAACGCGAGCTCGACGCCGAGGAACGTGAAGGCGAAAACATGCGCGCGCGGCTCGGTCATTTCTGGACACAGTCGCCGTCGGCGTCGCTGACCTCGACGCTCAAGTCTGACCTGCACAGTATCAAGGAGTCGCTCTGGACCGCGAGCTCGTCGGACAAGAAGCTGCAGGCGCAGTATGCGCCTGTCGAGGCCGATATCCGCGTGCTCACGCAAGGGCCCAGCAGTGCTGAGCTAGCGGCGTTTTTCAGACCGAGCAGTATAGGCGGTGTGACGCAGAACTTTATGGACATGGATATCTCAGGCCGGCCACCGCCTGTGTCGCGGACAAGCAGCAGCGGTGGTGGTGGTAGTGATAAAGTCGACACGGAAGCGGTCGAGAACGCGCTTCGGAAGTTGACGAAATTGAAAAAGGAGCGGGGGCTCGTGTTTACAGAGTTGAAGGATAAGATCCAGGAAGACGACATTTCGTCGCTGTTGATCCTCAACAAGAAAGTACCAAACATCGAAGAGAAGCTGTTCAAGTCCGAGCTCGAGAAATTCGCGCCGTACCAGAAACGGATTGCGGCGACGATCTACCAGCAAGCTGTGACGCTGAAAGACCTGAGCGCGGCATGGAAGCTGATTCTCGAGAACCCGTCGATTCGACAGCGGCGGGCGCAGAAGGAAGATTCAGATCTGCGCAACAAGACGACGATCGAGCGGTTCAGACGCGCGTTCGAGAGCTGGAACGACGTGTATCTGGGTAAGCAGAAGGGCGAACAGTTTTACGCGAGCCTGTATGACTTTGCAAAGTCGACGGAGAGGAATGTTTTGGACTTTGTGGAGAATCGGAGGGATGAGAGTCGGAGGATACTTGCGAATTTGGAGCGGCAGCAGGCTCTTCGTTAGAGCTCTTTTCACAGAGAGGAGGGGGGTAGTTTATCAAAATGCATTAGGTGTAGACATGACATGTATTCGTCACTTGACGTGTGGTCTGAGAGCAGGAGTTGCAGAAACAACAATGTCTTTGTAGAGCTCTTTCCTGCAAAGGATGAGAGAAAGGTACTTTATTAAAATGCATAAGGTGTAGACATGACATGGTATTTTAAACACAAAACATATATCTCATCGCAGGAGAAGAATTCCAGACTTTTGCTTCTTCGCCGCAGCTGCTTGTTTCCTTCGGAGTGCCATAGATGATAACTGTGGAAGAGCAGAAGATTCGTGAGCGATAGAATTTGTCTGTTGTCTGAGTGAGAACGGCAGCGCCTTGCCAGACGACTGCATAGCCATCTTCGAAGGAGCAAGGATATCGTTCTCCGAATCTCTATACACTGCAGCTTTGCCAGCGGGCTTTTCTGCCGCCGACGACGATTGGTGTTTTTTCATCTTCAAGGACGATATAGGCGCATCTAGATCGACTGTGTGGGCGGTTCCTGTCGCGTCGCTGAGCGTGATGTAGTTTGTGCTGGTGGTGTTTACTGGTTTCCGCCGGAACTGACGAGGGCGGAGGACCGGCGGTTGTTGTTGTTGATGTTGGTGTTGATGTCTGCGGTCGATGGATGGCGAGTCTGTGGGTATCGAGCCGGAGGGGGAGTCTATGAGCGAGTCCTAGAGATTATATTCACGCGTCAGTAAATAGTCGAGCTGTTGAAAGAGAAATGAGGGACGGGCGTACACTTGGTATGGTGTATTCGAGGAACGCGTTGCCGGGGGTTTCGGGACTTGACATATACAGCTCCTTCAACGGCACCCGCTTCTCAATCATCGCCCTCCTCCCGCTACCCACAGCGGCCTTCATCCTGCCCTCATCCCCCGGCGTCTGTCGCCAACTCTGCAGCACATCAGGCTGCAGCACGTCATGGGGAGAAGTGTAGAATGTAGCGGGCGGGATGTTTTCCTTGTTACTGTCGTCTTCGTCGGGGTCGTCGCGGTAGGGCTTGATTAGAGTCTGTCGCGGGGGCTTGGGGTGGTCGTCGTGGTGGATCTTGAAGGTTGAGGAACGCGGTGGTGGGGGCCGCGTTGGGGGGGTTGACCGGGACTGCATGGGCTCTTCAGAAAAATGTTAGAAATGTGTGCATAATGGTATATCAAATAGACAATAAAAAAGACAGCAACAGCGATGCATACCAAATATCAAACACGTTCCAACTATAGTCTTTCCCGCTCGCTATCCTGCACACGCGCAGATACAGATGATTTACTCAATCAATACCAACCCGACACGTGATCCAAGCAAACAAACAAACGCACTCTCTCAATCCAGCAATCCTACAACTGCAACGATTTCTCTTCTTTTGGTTGTTATAAAAACTCTGTGAAAAGCTGGATCGTGAGCGCGGGTTTGTTTACAGCATTTGTTTTGAGACTCGATCGTTGGTTTGCGGTGTCTTTGCGTGTAGGGTTAGGAGGGTGCTGGTTTAGGAAGGGAGTAAACACCGCGAGGGCAGCGCGATGGGCAGCAGCGAGGCAGAGAGAAACAGAGGACATTATATAGAAGTATGAAGAGCGAGCATAAAAAATGCATCAGCTATTTGTTATTTACTCATCATGTCTGCTGCTACAAGAACACCACTCAACAAATACAACCCTCAGCACCTCAAAACCCTACAGAAAAACACTCCACGAACCCCTCGGGCACGTGCCCGCTCACTTTCCACACTCAGCTTAGCCTCGACCGACTTGTCGAATTAGCAAAGATTTCGCAATCGCACACAAATTGTGGATGATCTCTTGAAGCAGAGGGAGATTAGAGTTTTGGGTAATCTGCAGCGATCAGAGAGATAACAAAAGTTTTTTAAAAGTTATCTCATCGTCGTGTAAGTTGATAATAGTGTCATTATATGCTGATATATTGTAGAAACCCCGTCTTGAAATAACAAAAGAAGAAAAGAAACAGAAACCCAGCCCATTTTATGATTCGAGAGAATGATTAAGAAAATGAAAAGAAGAAATGCAAAGAAATAAATGACATCTACCCCGTGCACCGTTCAACAATACCCAATAATAAAAGAGAAAAAGCAACATAAATGAATGTGAATAAATGAATAAATGAACCTATGCAGTCCACACAGTCCAGTTCCTAGGCTTCTTGCTCAAATGCCCATAATCCGTCCGCGGCGCCAACACCATCCTCGCCTTGCCGCTGTAGAAATCAGGACTAAGCTTGCCATGCCGACGCATCTCGAGCTCCATAGCCAGGACCCGCAGAAACTCACCGTTCATGCGGGGCTCGCGCGGACGCAGGATCGGGAGGCAGTTCTGTTGCACGTCGTAGGTCTCCATTGGGATGTACGTGGCTTCGCCTTCTTCGCCCTCCGCCGCGATTTTTGCGCCCGAGTCCGTGACAGGAGAGGAGGCAGATGAAGACGACGAGGAAGAGGAGGAGACGCTCAGTTTCTCAGAAAGAGGCTGGTGCATCATCAGCGCCCGCGCGGTGGATTTCGCAGTGACGCCGCCAGCCGAGAGCGAGTTTCGCACCGAGCGCGAGCTGGTCTGCCGCACCGGCACGCTCTCGGAGCGAAGTCGACGGCTCGCGCTCGGAGATCGCTTGCGGGATGAAGAAGACGAGCGGTGCGGGGACGAGGTCGAGGTCGACGACGACCGGCGCGCCGAAACGCGGTCGGTGCTGCGTGATCGTCGCGGTTCTTCTAGGTGGTCGATCTCGTCCTTGCGCATGTACTCTTCCTGGTGTCGGGCCATCGACGACGCGATCCATTTCAGTGACCGGATCGAGGAGTTGATCTTTGCGACCATGCTGTTGTGCTGCTGTGTGTACTGCTCATCCAGGATCTCCTGCTGCGTCTTCTTGCGCTGCGATTGTCGCTGCTCTGCCTGCTGCTGATGCTGGTGCTGGTGCTGACTGTGCTGGTGCCGGCTCGTTCGATCAGCCAGCGATTTGCTCGAGCGCGAGCGCATCAGCATGGTCAGAGATGGGGGTTGTGTAGGTGCCGGCGCCTCTTTCGGCACAAAGGCGATGGCAGGGATGCAGGCGCCGTGCTCGTCGACGGCGACACACAGCGGGTCTTCGTTGTACGCTGAGATCGACTCGGATCGCTGCTTGCGGTGTCGCGAGGGAAGACCGCAGACGTCGAACTCGGAAACATATTTTGATGGTGATGGCGAGGGAGGACTGCTGCTGTGGCGGACTGTGGAGGTGGAGGACGAGGATCTTAGTGTAGAGGTGTCAGAGTCCGAGTCAGAAGAAGCTGAGAGATCGACGGCCGGGAAGTATTCAGATTCGTCAGATAGAGGGGTTGTAGGAGATGTTCGGGGAGAGGACTCGAGCGAGGAGACAGAGGAGGAGAGAGCAGGGGGCGAGGTCGAGGAGGAGAGGGGAGTGAAAGCGGCGAGGGAGGAGGAGGATGACGAGTGTTTGATCGCGACAGCCTTTGAGGATGTGACAGAAGAGTCGTCGTCATCGACCGAGGGCGGAGTCAGTAGCTCGACGAGCTCTGACGGCAGATGTCTGTGTTTGCGCGGCGGGGAGGCGTGCTTGTGTTTGTGGTGCTGGTGTTTTGTGCGTTCATGGTGCGCGGCCTGCTGGGAGGAGATATCGCCGGGGGTAGCGGGAGCAGCGGAGGCGGAGGTAGGGGAGGCAGTGGAGGACGAGGAGGGCCGTCGAGAGGAGGAAGATGAGGAAGCGCGGTATCTGGATAGTCCGTGAGCCGGATCAGAGCTCGGACGGTCGGAGGAGTGGCGACGGCGGTGAGATTTTGAGGCGGAGGAGGAGCGAGGAGGGGGGATGGAGGTGACTGCGAGGAGGGCAGCGACGGCGGGTGGGATATCAGATGGTTTTGAGGGGTGGGTTGTGATGTGACGGACGAGGAGGGCTTCAGTGGACATGGTGCATGGTAGAGAAGAAGATGATAGAGAGGAGGAGGAGTAGAGGAGGAGAGGTATAGAGAGGAAGTAGAGAAGAGGAGGAAGAGGAGGAGGCGGACATAGAGACCAGCAGCGAGCAGAGACAAAGCGGAAGAGCCGACTGAGCTGAGCCGCGCGCTGATTACGAGCGACGACGGCGGCGGCGGCGTTTTAGGGTTTTGGAGATAAGCCCAAAAAGGTCCTCCGATGCGCCATTAGTCAGCGGGTTGATGGGTGATTATTGTTGGTGAAGATGTATATGTTGATGTTGAGTAGATGTAGATAGTAGATGATAGAATAATAAACAGTAAACAGTATACAGTAGTCAACCACTACAACTACACCAACCAATTCTTGTGCATCAGCGGGCATCCTCCTCGTCATCTCGCCTCCGGAGAGAAGAGTCCTTCTGGGAACTGTATTCCCGCACCGAAACCCTTCCTCTTCCGCTTCTATGCCACAACCGTACAAACACTTCGACATTTACGGTATCGCATGGCGGCCGATAAGCTCGCTCGTCTCCTCGACCTCTATCGACTCTATCGACCTATCGATAGCGGCTTTGCTCCTCCATTCTCTTCCGTGCCGCTTCCACGAGTCACTTCCATAGTGTGCCGGCTTCTAATTGTTTCTATCTGTGTATTGTGTAGCTGCGTATTGTGTAGTTTGTGTGTATACTGTGTATACCATGTCTTTTCTATTTCGCAAATCAGACTGATCTTACTGATCCTCTCTGTTCTTCTATCGTTCTACTGTTCGTTCTGTTCTTCTTCTTAACTGTCTTAATACGCAGCAATCATCTTCTTGACCTCTCTGCAGTCTGTGCACAGGCACCCGTTCCTCCTTTATCGCTACCCGCCTCCTCTCCTCTCCTCTCCTCCCCCTGCAGTCGGTCCAACTAGGACAACTATCTCCGCACTCTTTTACTTTTGTCTCCATCACCACGCCTGCATGTCACCTTACACATCCTTCCTATCTCCTCGCGTTCATTGGCTCCCTTGCCTGCTCACCTATCTTCTCGCTTCTCCTATCTTCACTATCTCCACTATCTTACTCTTCTCATGCTTCAAGCTCATTGTAGTCCTGATTGTAGTCTCCACAGCCTCCGTTTGTCCCGCAGATATCATAAACACTCGTCTCAATGCCCTCACTCTATCGTCTACTTCTACGCGTGCTCCCACTTTCTGCTTCTGGCATCTGCTCTTCTAAACAACTTCCTCGTCGCTGCACATGCATCCTTAGTCATCCATTAGTAACACTCTACCTCTAAACTCAATTCGCTCCAATCTCGAACGCCGCCTCCCAATCAATACTCCTACACTACAGCTCCCACTGATCAGCTACAGACCCAGTAGATCATAAACAGACAACAGCACATAAGAAGACAACAATGGCGCTCAACTACGACAAAATCGTGCTCTTTGGCGACTCAATCACGCAGTACGCCTACAACGTCAACGTTTCTCCGTTCTGTCTCGGACCTGCGCTCCAGGATGGCATGTTTCTTCACTCGCATTTACACTGCTGTTTATTCAGTTGCTGACAATATAGTGCAGTCTATACACGCAAATTTGACGTCATTCAGCGCGGATATGGAGGATACACCTCTGCCCACGCAAAGCTGATGATTGACAAGATCATCGCTCATGAGAATACTCCCACCTCCAAGGTCAAGCTTATGGTACCCCCCCCACTTCCTACAACCACAACCCCTCCACTTCCCATCTAACAGACCCAGACCGTCTTCTTCGGCACCAACGACTCCACCGGCCCCTCCAGCACGATCCAGCACGTCCCGCTCGAGACCTACGTCGCCAACATGCGCTACATCGCCGAAAAATGCAAAGCCGCAGACATCAAAGTCGTCTTCATCGGCGCCGGCCCGTTCAACGCGCACCAGTGGTGGCCCACGCGGCCTGGCAACCCGCATAACCGCACGACGATCCAGGCGCGCGAGTACTGCGACGCTCTTGTTGCGCTCGGGAAGGAGATTGGGGTGCCGACCGTGCCGATGTGGGATCTTCTCATGGAGGCCGTTGGGTGGAAGGAAGGTGATCCGCTGTACGGACTCGAGGAGCTCAGCGCGGAGAATCCCCTGACTGAGTACTTTGTCGACGGTATGCATATACAATCAATCAACTACTCATAACCCCCTACTAACTTTTCTAATCATCAAGGTCTGCACTACAACGCGAAATCCTACAAGATCGAGTACGACGGCGTGATGAACGCCATCAAGCAGGCATATCCAGAGCTTTTGCCAGAGAACGTGCCCTTGCGACTGCCAGAGTGGGCGTCTCTTACCTCGCCTGATGTTCTCGAGAAGGCATTGCAGTAAATAACCTGCAGTTCAAGCGTAGATTATATAGAGAATAAACACACACACAGTAACTACTCGGCGTAGGCGCAAGCAAGGAGTTGCGCACACACGAATCCCGGGGTCACCGCGCGGCGCAAAAAAGGTTAATACAATAAAACCTCCCATCCTGCTGCCCGTCCAGGGTCTGATACCTCCCCATCTCCTCGCCATTCCTCTCTCTTCCCTAATTCTCTTCGTTTTCTCAATCGATTTCAGTATTGTATCTTGACTATATCGCTACAGGATGTGGATGATTTCAGAGTTGCAGAGTACGTTACCATCTCTGACTTCCGCTGCGGATCCGTGGTCATCAAGACGCATTTCTCGAGACAGAGTACTAACTACCTACGTTCATTCACAGAGGTCGGCGTCGGTTTAGCTGCTGCTGGTATGTAGTACTGACTGGATGTACTGCTTGACTTTGTTGAATTACTAACAATCTGTTTCCTTCCACAGGCTCTATTTTTCTGATCCTGGGTGTCTTGACCTTCTTTGATTCTGCCCTGCTGGCATTTGGAAACGTACACCGCCTTCCACTCCACCCATCATCTCCCACAAAACTAAACTAACACTCCTTCCCTCAGGTCCTCTTCGTCGCCGGCGTCCTCCTCATCATCGGCCACAAAAAAGCCCTCGGCTTCTTCTTCCGCCCACAAAAAGTCCGCGGCGCGATATGCTTCATATTCGGCATCTTCCTCATCCTATGTCGGAGGCCTATCACCGGGTTTATCATTGAGTTTTGCGGAATTATGGCGCTTTTTGGGTATGCTCTGCTGTATTTTTTTGGGATTGTTCTGGGAGCAAGAGCAGAGGGCTAACGCGGTGGTGGTGTAGCGACTTTTTCTCAGTTATAATATCGTTTTTGCGGTCGTTGCCGTTTATAGGCCCTGTTCTATCCTCGCCTTTCATCGCACCTGTAAGTCATCTTCCTTCCCCTCTTCACCTATCAGCAAACAAGGAAAGTTAGTCCTGAACTAACCTCTCCCAGACCATCGATCGTCTCGCCGGAATCCGAATCCTCCCCGTCTAATCCCGCCCTCAGCATCCCCCCCCTCTCTTTCATTTCTTCTCACTCATTCTCAATTAAACCAACCTGCACGTTTAAGAGTAATGACCCCTCTTTATCCCATCACATGTTTCAATACGTTGAAATCTCAATCTCCCCGTCTCGTCTGTATGAAATACTCCTCCTCCTCCTGCGCGCTGTGATGATCGTTTATAGAACCCCAGTGCCGTCGCCTTACTTCGTTCGTTTAGTAGTCTTACAAAGCTTTTGTTGTTATCGTTGTTTAATATATCTTCTTTTTACGTGTATTTATTTTTCTTTTTTTAACGAGTACGTCAAGTTGAGAGTGAACAAGGCTGAAATTAAGAGGTCAATTGATGTTTTAGCTATGCTGCGCCTTTGCTGCGGTGAGAGGTTCTTATTTTTAACGATGGTGGTCTGTTATAATAAAATCAGTTTGAATCAAGAGAGGGGGAAAGATAAGATACGGCGGTGCTCTGGTCTGCGAAGATTTGTGAAATTGTAAGTAATTGGATGCGCAACCCGTCGAGTCGTTTGCTCCCTATTTGTTCTAGTTTTCTGTGTTTTCTATTTCAATCTCAGTTTGATCCTACGAGGAAATACAAGTGAAAGATCACATCTCCATATCCCATAGTCACGTCCCATCCCATATAATCTCCTCCCTCATTTACTCCTCATCTCAAAAGCTATCCTCATTATGGTGGTAAATACACGCCTTCTATTTCACAAAAGATAATACACAAGATATAAAACAAACACGAAATAAGAAAGGAGAGTGGCCTTGCACTGCAACAGTTTGTACACATCCACTCCTAACGATAGCACCCCTCTTCTCCAGATTTCATCAAGAAAAGGGTAACATCATTTGAAAAAATAAAATTGATTGGATAGGAAGAAGCAAAAGCAAGAAAAGAAAGGGAGTCAGGAAGATTATCGACTAAACATAACCCAGATCAAATTCAATTCAATTCAAACTAATTCAATTCAATCAACAACACAAAACACGATTCTTTTCGGTTTTCTTTCTCCTCAGTGCATGACAGAATTAATAACCGACTGAGATCAAGTAATCGGCAAGTTGTTCAACAATCTTCGTGGCTTCGCCCGGTTGCACGCCCTCGGGATAGTGTGCTATCAGGATCGCCTGCTTCGTTCGCACGCAAATCAGACCCTCGGCTCCCTATTCACACAATTCGTTAACACCCCGCTCACTCTCAAGTCAACAAGAGAAAAAAAAAGAGGAAGATACGCACCTTCTTGCCGTAAATGCTTCGATCATCAGCACGCAGTAAGAAATACTTGACGCTCTGCGCGTGAAGTCCCTTAGCCTGCAACCCGGACGGGTTATCGAATCCGCTGCAGATCTCGGTGATTTCGGGTGCGGCGAGCTATAAATTCACTCTCGTCAGTCTGCAGTTCTCGTAGATCCAATCAAAAAACAATAGAAATGAAGGAGAAAAGACATACGTCGAAGCCGTCGGATTTGGCCCATACGCTGTCTCCGGCCTTTGAGTAAATCGCCGCTCGGTCGACGCGGCCCGACGCGCGGAGGTTATCGATGTAAGCTGTAGAAAGTCAGCACTACGATGCCACACAACAACAACAACACACGAATTCCCCGCGTATATCTCGAACCCACAAGTTAAATCAGCAGTCGACTGCTAATCACCGGTGCATTCAACAGGATACATAGGGAATCAATCAATGACGACGGATACTACTGACCTTGCCACGACATTGTGATTCAGGTATTCAAGCGGAGAAATATATAGAAAAAAGAAGGAACCAAACACCGGATATATGAGAACAATAAAAAAACAAGCCTATGATGTAGAAATCAAAGTCAGCAACAAGTTGGTAAACAGCGGCAGCTTTCGCAAGTCGGTGGCACGCGCAGGGAAAGATTCCGAGAGCGACATTCCCTCCGCCCTCCTTTCCTACGCCCCCGGTCTGAACCACCCGGACTCCATCCACCCGCGGCAGACAGACATATCCGGACAATCAGACAGATACACAGAGCGCAGCTCCAGCGACAAACAAGCAGATAGAAAACGTACCTCGGCGCAGTAGGTCGGTGGACGAAGAAGGTGCAGGCAGACGGCAGAGAGAGAGAGAAGGATGGAAGGATGACTTCACTCGCGTCACTCACTGAATCTGCCCCGCCGCTGCCGCCTGCTTACAGTACCAGACCCTTCTTTAGCCGTGTCACTGCCCTCCTCCCCCGTGGCTTTAGATATTCAGTATTGTCTTGTTCTCTGTTTATAGTAGTCAGGACTAGTCGTGATGTTGAACAGTCCAACTAGCTGTATAGTATACTGTCCTTCATGCTGTTGTAGGACCACCCCAGCACTAGCAACGATACCACTGCCTGTCAAGTCACATACTTGAGCTGCTGCAGCCAGCATCCACTACGCGTAAACACCTCGCGCCAAACTACTCATAAACATTGTCATTCATAGCCGCAAACACGTTCCCTACATCTAAAAAGCCTCCTTCGCAATCTTCACAACAGACTCATCCTCCTCATCCGCCGCCAGCGCCACATCCCCCACCTTCGTCTCAAGCGTCATATACGTATCGCTCACACACACAATACTCACACTCCGGCCCCTCAGTTCCCGCGGGATACTCACCTCAGCCGTCATCGGCACCGTCCACTTCGCACCCGGCTTTGGCCGCAACCGCTTCATCACCAAGATCTCGTCGCGGGCCTCGTTCACCAGAAACAAAAACCAGCCTTCGAACTGCGGCTTGGGGAATTTAGGCGTGTAGCATTTGTACTCTGAGTTCAGAGGCTGCCGTTTGCGCGACACCTCGACGACTAGCAGCTTTGGCACTGAGCTCGAGAATTGCAGCGTCAGCATCGGGATCGAGTTCAAAACCCGGAGAAATTCTGCTCGCGAGCTCTTCGGCACGCTCAGCGCGTTTGCAAGATTATTCATAGCCTGCGGGCTCATGTTTCGCACCGCGTCAAAGCTGTTGATCTTGTAAGACGACGACAGCGGCGTCGGCTCAAGGCCCGGAAGCGCAGTCAGTGGGTTATCGTCATGCCAAGCAGCCTGCTTGATCGCCTGCATGACCTGGACGAACCTCATCGACGCCGACAGATATCCCAGCTCGGACGAGATATCGACACAGGCCTGCAAGACTCGAATGCTCTGGTCCAGCACCGAAACCATGTCCTGCATGTAATCCGTAATCGGCAGCTCGGCCCGACTGAGATGCGCCTGGATAAGCAAAAACGCCTTCACGTGCGGATCCCACATCACTTTCTCGAGCATCTCGCCCGGGAACCGCAGCTTCTTTGACAGCTCGATGTTCACCAGATCCTCATTATGACGCACCGGCAGCAGGTCGTACTCGCTCGCCTCGGAAAGGATCTGCAGACACTCCTCGAACGACGGGTTACGCTTGATCTTCTGGAGCACGTTCCGCACCGTCTTGTGCGAGATGTAGTAGTTACTTCCGATCTGCAAGAACGGCGTAGCAAGAACCGACCCGTCCGCCGCCAGCTTCACGCAACCAGACTTCTCCAGCTCCGCGATCGCCTTGTCAACAAGCCCGATCAAGTACTCGTTCAAATCCTCTTCCTCGGCTCCCTGCAGACCATAGTACGACGGATTCTTATGCACCCGTCGAAACAAGTACGTACACGTCAGGAAGTTAAGCGCGTCCTGTCTAGACTGAACCGCTCCGCTAGCAATCTCAGCTCCAAGATGATTATCAAGATCCTTGTGAAGCGACGACTCGACCGGGAAACCCGAGTGCAAGAATCGCTTGTAAAACGGCTTCTTGGACTCTTGCGTAAACACAATCGCCACACCGCTCGTATCGAACGCAGGACGACCGGCTCGGCCCATCATCTGCAGAATATCCGTCAAATCCATGTCCTTGTAAGCCTCGATCTTGCCGTCGAAAAACTGCGTCCCCTTGATGATAACGAGGTGAGCGGGCAAGTTCACTCCCCACGCCAAAGTACTCGTAGCCACCAGCACTTGAATTTTGTTATTCTCAAACAACTCCTGGACAAGTCTGCGGTCGCCATCAACTAAACCCGCATGATGCTGCCCGATTCCAAACTGCAGCGACAGTTTCAGAGAGTCGTCTTTGATTCGCGAAAGCACCATCGCTAGCTCATCCTCGTCCATCAGCAGGAATCGCTTCGGATTCTCTTCCATTCCGCAAAAGTTGATCAAGTCTCCGGCCGTCAGGCGCGTTTGTCGTCTTGACGCTACGAAAATCAGCGCTGGCTTGGTCGGTGAGTGGCTCTTTATAGCCATAAATGCTGGCTTGTTCATACTGCACCAAATCATATGTTAGCTTCATCGAAATAACGATAACTTGACTGTTAATACACACCTCTTCATGAGTGGGCAGAAGCCGGTGTTATCCTGGAATCCATCAATATACATCTCCAACGGTACAGGTCTGATCGACTGCGGAAAGTTAAACAGTCCCTCCTTGACACCCAACCACCCAGCCATATCACCAGCATTCGCTACAGCGGTCGACATTCCAAGCAACCTAACCGGCCGCTCGGTCTGCGCAGACATGTAGTTCATCCGACTGACAATCATCTCCAGAATAGGACCCCGCTCACTCGCCAGCAAATGGATCTCGTCCATAATCACGAGCGCCACCTCCTGCACAAACTTCCTGGTCTTCCAGTTTCGACTGATGCCGTCGAATTTCTCGGGAGTCGTGATGATGATGTCAGACTGTCTGATCACACGGGCATCCGGCGCCGTGTCTCCGGTGAGCTCCACAACTTTGCGCCCAGAGACTTCGAGTCTCCTTGACCAGTCATCCACACGCTCCCGAACCAACGCCTTCATCGGAGCGATGTAAACGACCTTCGATTTAGGGTACGTCTTGAATGCCCACCTACACAGGAACAGTTAGCCGATGTTCTCAAATTAATAGAAAACTGATAATGTAAAGCTACATACCACATAGCCAGTTCAGCTGCGACAGTCTTTCCAGATCCGGTAGGAGAACCGAGCAAGACGTTCGATGGAGTATTATACAAGCAATGGAAAATAGTCGTCTGCATCGGATTGAAATAGTTAAACTTCTGCTGATAAATCGCTTCCAACACCGGATCGTGCAGAGCAGTCACAGGTAGCGGACGTAGATTAAGAAGCTTGGTCTGGATGTTTTCGTTCTCGGGCCGAATCAGATGCTGAAACGAAACCGCCGAGACAGTTCCCGGACCAGCCCAAGTATTCGAGATTGACCGGACATAAATCTGCGATGGCAGAGGATCCTCGAGCGGAATAAAGAAGTCCATTTCATGTACCTCGTTGCGCTGTCTCTTTGAGAGAATGAACTTGGAGGTATGAAGAATCGTCGCTTCTTCAGAGTCCTCCACCCAGACCCAAAACGTCTCGGCCGCTCCATGGAGTTGATCGTTCCAGGTAAAACTCGGGATAATGCTCAAATGCACTCTCAGAATATTTCGCAAAATCGGGGAAACCTCGCACTCAATCGTCAGGAACGGATAGTTCCGCACATGTCGAGCTAACGTGCCTCCCAAACCCCGATTATGCACCAGCTCTCCAAGCTCCGCAGCCTCCATCTCTCGAAGCTCTTCGATCGGCAATCCCTTGTGCTCCAAGATATCAAGAATGTTCCGCGGAAGATTGAACTGTGCAAGCTCAGACTCAAACGGCCATAACCTCTTATCAATAGCCTTACATATCGAAAGCACGACAAGCGCCAACCTTCCCCACCGGCGATTAAGCGCAATCAGAAACAGGGCACGGCTGATTCTAGCAGAGTTTTGCGCAACATACGCCATATCAGAAACCAGTGAGAACGCATCAACATTGGCGCGCGACACATACGACTGCAGCAAGATATTGATCTTCCCATGCGAGGTATCAATAGTACCAGCCACCTGGCATGGCGCGTAGTTATTCTTCAGCTTTGTAAGTTCATCAGCCTCTTCGTCGCGAGACTTGAGCCCGTCAAACTCTCCACTGTAACTGAGCATTGCCAAAACATCAGCCTCGGACGCGGCAGGACGCATCATATTATTGAAGATCTCGATACTGTTGTGCAGGAGGTAGAAATCAGAAGCAATGCGGCCCACATCTTTGGGCGTTAAAGCACCCGTTCGCTCGTCAAATATAATCATCTGCACCCTGTGCAGTTCTCGGGCAGCTTTCACAACCAGCTCTCTTCGGCGACGTCCTAGGTTCGGGTCCTCCTCGATCTGGTTCCAATCAATTCCATACGTCATCGGATTCTTCCGCATACGGACATAGAGATATGTGTAACCGAGCCATTGGACACCCTCATCAACAGTAGTAACCGTTCCCAGAGCAATCTCGGCATTCAAGTTATCAACTAATCTCTCCTCAAATCGAGATTCAATCGGCTGCTGTTGCGTGACGGTTGCAATGTAGTGCGCGAGTTTGTCCCCAGTCGTGCACAGAAACGCAATACCAAACTTTTCAAACTGAGGACGACCTGCACGACCAAAGATCTGGATCACATCGGTGATTCCCAAATCGGTGAATCCTCCCTTCTTTGCGTCGTAGACCTGGGTGCCTTTGATAATGACTGCTGCTGCTGGCAAGTTGACACCCCACGCGAGAGTGGCAGTACAGCAGAGCACTTTGATCAGTCCGTCGGAAAATAGTCGTTCGGTCAAGTTTCTGTCAGTGCGCAGCATTCCGGCATGATGCACACCCAATCCATCCTTGAAGATTTCTCGAATATCTTTGTTTTTCGAGCGCATCATGTCGGCACTCGCACTGCGGTACTTTGGATGCATAGTCGCATCAAACAGGTCCATGTCTCCTTCAGACATAGCCATCTCTTTGAGCATCTTCACAGTCTTCATAGTATCCTTTCGCGAGTGAACAAAAACCATAATTTGATGTCCTTCTTGTAGCATCTCGACTACCTTCCTGTACGCAACCTTATCGAGGTTTTCTTGGGATTGCCTGCTTCCTGCTTTGCCCTTCACTCCCAGGAAATGCTGCTGGAGCGGTACCGGTCTAAACGATGCATCAAAGTAGAAAAGGCCCTCACGACGATCGACCCTATAACAAATTGTAAGCATACGTTAAAAATGAGCATGCGGAAAGAAAAGAGATATCTTACTTCAAAAAGTCGGCAACGTCCACGAAATTCGGTAAAGTCGCCGACAAACCAACAATTCGAATCATGCTCTGCGTGCTCTCAACTTGACGCAAAGTTCTGGCGACCAAACTCTCGATAACGGCACCACGATCATCATGCAGCATATGGACTTCGTCAATGATCAGTAGTTTAACCTTATCTACCAAGTCAGTGTCGCCGTTACTCTTTCGAGTAACAACGTCCCATTTCTCGGGAGTGGTGACAATGATTTGAGTCTTAGTAATCTCTGCTCGCGTCAGCTGCATATCGCCAGTGAGTTCCTTCACCGAAATGCCCAACCACTTCAAGCGCTTTCCCAGCTTTTCAACAATCTCGGCTGCAAGAGCTTTGAGTGGAGCTACATATACAACCTTGAAATCGTTCTTTTCAATCTTGTAAGCATCTGCATTGGGTTCTGCGAAGGGCGAAGGGGTGCAGTGCATCGATATCGCGTGCAGAATTGTTAGCATGGCGACATCAGTTTTACCCTATCAAAAAATCGTTAGACATGGAACGCAAAACAGCTGAAGTCAAATTGTGTACATACAGCACCAGTAGGTGCACAGATCAGCATATTGCTATTGGAGCCATACGCAACTGGATATACCAATGATTGCACCCGATTGAGCGATTTGTAACCCTTGAAAGTCTCTCGGCAAATGACATCTAGATCTTCAATATCGACTAGCTTCTCCCCAAACTTCACGGGGCGATGCTTGGGATAAGGAACTGTGATCTCATCATACAGGTCTTCAGTTGTCCGTGTCGTTCCAGCTGGTAAGCTATACTTATTTCCGAACGCCGATAAAGTATTTCCAGCGTCATGAGAACGATAGATGTGAGGGTACTGCTCAGCCTTAGAGTCCAAAATCGGTCCTGTCGGAGCAGCCTTGCGAGCTTTGAGCGCGGCATCGAGTCTCTTTTGGCGTTCTTCTTTGGTTAAAAGTTTCGCTTTCAGTCTTTCTTCGTAGCTGAGGTCCTGGTCATCGGAAGAGTTGTCACCACCTTTTCGTTTGATCTTCTTCAGGGATTTGTCTACCACACGAACTTGTGAGTAGTTGTGTTGAGTACTAGCGGGTGATGCCTAGTCATCGAAAGAAAGTTAGCTCATTTCTAGCTCATAAAGGACTACGAAGCTAGCACGATTGACATACCAGCCCGTCCACAATTTTCGATCGATTCGAGATCAATTCAGTCACAAAGTCCAAATCGTCGTATCCCAGTATATCAATCAATCTAGACTGCAAATCTAAATCTGAGCTTTTCGATGTCAGAATCGACTCCAGACTTCCCATGAGCTCTTCAATATCCATCGTATTGTTCTTGCTGGTAAGATAATCGAGGCATCGATTCATGAGCCATTCTCGTCCATGCGAGCCGCTCGCTCCGTCAGAGTCGGCATCGTCAGCTGAGGTCGCCGATGAGAAATTTCCTTCATCAAAGTCGTCGACATCGACAAAGTCTGTTTCATAATCCGACTCTGAAAGAAAGCCTTCGAGATCAGCTAGTTTCGTGTCGTCGACCGTAGCATTATCGTCCTCAATTTCCACCGCACTAGCAGCCGCATCAATGCTTCCATCACTCTTCACACTCTTGATCTCGTCAAGAGCTTCTTTCATGGCCTGGAATTGAGCGAGAAAAGAGCTCTGCAAAGCCTCGATAGACTGCGAGGGCTTCTCGCGCCTCTGTGTTGGTATCTCCGAAGGCGCAGCCATTTTGGGAGCACGAGAAATAGCAACAAGTAACCGCTATGTCCAGTTAATCAGTACGTGCTGCTGACTTGCTTTATATACTCAAATCAACAACAAAAAGTAGATGTCTGACAGAAGCACACCTGAGTCATATGCTGAATGCCTGAACTTTTGATAACTTGAGATTGTTTAAGGTTTGGTCAGCAGGAGTTACCCTCCTTCAATGATGACGTAACAATCTCCAATTTTTTTTCTGAAGAGTATCGATGAGCTTAAAGTGATTTCAAATTGAACACCATCCTCGTTCTTCTCCCTTTCAGTTTACCAGTCGACTGCTTCTAAAATATAACTAATATCGTCAAAATGCCTACAGAAATTGAAGAGGTAAGAAGCTATCAAAGCCTGTTGATTCTAGATACTCGAAATACTAACAAAAGTCATTTGCATCTCGATAGCTCGTCGAATTTCTACATTCGCCTCAGCCTATGATCCGCAATATCGCATTGCAAAATCTGGTTGGGTTCTCATCTGGCCCGCAAAATACTATATTTCTACAAGATAATTTACGGCCGATCAAGGATTTACAGATTATTGCTATGTCGAAGGATCCTGTACGTTGCCACTTACTACTGACGAACGTCTTCATGAGATTACTAATGCTTGAACATATATAGAGCATAGTCAAAGATGCCTTGACTATTCTAGCAAACATGAGCGAATACATCAAGATCAGAAAGATGCTGGCGGAGAACGAGATGTTTGTCACATACGTCGTCCAGTCAATAGTCAAACCAGACGAGCCTAACGCCGACCTCTTCTGTGTCCTGCTCGCCAACATAGCAAAGGACGATGCCATAGCAGGGATCTTCAAAATCAAAGCAACTCAAACCTCCGCCGACCTCAAATCACATATGGCTATCGACCAGCTGGTTGACTGCTTCGTCAAAGGTGCCGAGAAGAAGCTGAACAAGAAGGCGACGTTCGACTACCTTGCCTTTGTCTTTGCCGATATCTCGCGTTTGAACGAGGGCCGGAAGTATTTCTCAACAGCTCAGTCTTACGACGACGTTGTTCCTCTTTCAAAGCTTCTTGTTTTCACTGAGTACGACAACGACGTCCGTCGCGCCGGTGTGGCGTCAACTATCAAAAACACACTCTTCGAGCTCTCAGAACACATCAACCTTCTTGATCAGGAATCAGTCAATATTCTTCCGTATCTGCTCTTGCCTCTTGCGGGTCCTGAGGATCTACCAGAGGACGAGTTGGACGAACTACCGGAGGAGCTCCAGCTACTGCCTCCGGACAAAACGCGAGAGAAAGATCACGAAATCATCTGCGTGCATGTCGAGTCGCTGGTCTTACTGGGCGCCACCCAATACGGAAGAGATTTCATGAGAAGCACTGGTGTATATCCTATTGTCCGTGAGCTTCATCTGGCAGTTGAGGACGAGAACGTGCGCGAGATTTGCGAGCGGTTCGTGCAGCTTATCATGGCTGACGAGCCTAACAGAAAATCGGATGAGCAGAGATTACAGATTACGGAGGGCGAGGAGGAGGAATCCGCACCGTTGGAGGTCATTCTGTAAATAAAAGCTGGAGGCCGTGTTTATATTTTGAATGCTACTAGATTTTTGATTCGAAACGATAGTGTTGGGGGTTGTAATATTAGATTGCTTGTATCTTTTCTCTTAATAAATGTAATGTGATCATTCACCCGCGATATATACCATCTAAGCCCATAAATTCAGCTGTCAGTTTCCCACTTGTAGCTCGTATAATCACCTAGAAGACCGCCTTGCTTGCAAATGGATCTTCTTCCTGCTCGTCGTCATCCGATTCATACATTGCGTTCTTCTCCAAAGCTCTCAGTGACTGTTTCAGCCTTTTTCCGTCTCTTCCAATTTTTCTATCTTCGTCATCTGCAAACAAGTCGTCTCCCTGATCATCGTCTTCATTTTTGGCACGCATCTGTCGCTTGACTCGCTGCTCAACCTCTTTGCTTTCGTCTTCAGGGCCTTCCATAATCGGAGCTTCTTCATCATCGGCAAACTCCTCATCAAAGTCAAGCTCGTCTCCATCGTCGCCGCTCTCGCGCTTTCGAGCCATCCGCTTTTCGCCATCGACGGTCTTCATTTTCTTCTTAGGCATTGCGACCTCCTCAGAGTCACCATCGGGGTTCATGTGTTTCATCAGCCAACGAGGAGGCTGATTCTTTTTGGCCATCATCGCCTCTGCCTCCTCTACCGATAACGTGGCATATTTGTTTCTTGGAGTGAACTTGTACCACTTTTCGGCCGGAACCATCTTGAATCCATCCTCATCAAAGACAAATAAGACATAACAGTCAGATTGGGCAGCTTCGTAATTTCCCACCCATGTATTCTTCCCATCAAAGTCCTCAATCAGCCACGGATAAAATTCCTCGTATCGCAGTCGTCGTTCTTCCTCGTGGTTTGTATATACTTGTCGCGTCTTCTTTTGAAACAAAGCCTTTCGATTTCGGCGGCCATTTCCATCAGGCGCAATGCTCAACTCGGGATCGGGAGCAACCGTGCCTTTCTCAGCGGCCGGTTGCTTCTCTGTCATCTTTACATCCTCCATCGCATCACCGGCGCCTTCCTCGGTTTTTGTTCCCGCTGCTTCGGCGATCATTGGATTCTGCTGTTGTTGGTATCTCAATTGGCGAGGATCTTTGCGATGCATCGTGACAGGCTGTTGGAATGAAGTCGGATCAACTTCCTGTCGACTGTAAAACTTCATAACATGGAACCTCTTCTCAGCCTTCTCCGCTTGTGAAAACGCCCGCAGTCTATATTCAGTCTGTGGGATCGCATCATTGCTACCCGTGGACAACGGGCCCGGCGACCCAGCTGAACTTCCTTCGGACTTGACTGATGCAGGCAACTGATTTGCCGAACGGCCACCTGCGCCAACTTTGGATGGCTGGCGAAATACTCCAGACATGTTTTTCGATTATCTTTCTCGAATACAAGCACGAGTGGCAGCGTCACAGTGTAGCGGCGCTGTGGTGAATAGAAGGCGATGACGAATGTGATGGTGGATTAGCATAAATGCTTAAGCATAGCTATATATATGCTTATTGCCTGCCCGCACAGGGTTATCTAACCACCGTATCGAAACTCTACTTGATGACGGACTCGAAGGTAAATATCGCCGCTCGCTTTCTTCAGTATTCAGATCTGTAACATCTGCTGTCCTCAGCCATGTCCAGACTCGACTATTTGGCCTCAAAATACTTAACGGCGGACTCGGGATCAAATAGTGCCGCTCCGAAGAAGCGAAAACGGAAAGAGAAATCAAGCTCGTCGAAGAAAAAGGTGGTCACTCAAGAGGGCTTGATCCTGCAAGATGACGACGCTGAGATGCAATGGGGAGCTACGAAGCCAGTGGAAGAGGACGAGATGGCTGATTTGATAGAAGGAGGTGAAGATGCACCTGTTGGTACGTATTGGTTTTGCTTAGTGGCGCTTTGGCACGGATTATTGTGACTTTCTAACATTTTATCCATAGTGGAAGAGATCAATCTGCAGCCTCGAAAAGCCGCTGCTGGCTGGAAAAAAGTAGGAAATATAAAGACTGAAAAGACCGAAGATGAAGATGCGCCTGTATCCATCAAGGAAGAGGAACCGGCAGCAGATGAACAGCCATCACGAAAGCGAATCGGCGGTTTGAAGTCGGCGGCAGAAGTGAAAGCGGATCTTGACGCTAAGCTTGCTAAGGAGATAGCAAACATGGAAGCCTCGGGGACATCAGGAAAAGGTGCAGAAGCTGTGTACCGTGATGCGTCTGGTCGGCGGATTGATATTAAGGCCTACAAGGCCAAGATGGAGAAGCAGCAACTTGAGGAAGAGAGGAAGAAGAAAGAGGCGGAGGAACGCCAGATCGAGCTTAACAAGGGATTAGTACAAGAGTTAGAGAAGACGGCTGCGTCACAGCGAGAAAATGAGGCTTCTAGTGCGCGACTGACGGCCTATGCGGACGACAAAGAGCTGAACGACGAACTAAAACAACAGGAGCTATGGCATGATCCAGCGGCCAAGTTCTTGTCGAAACAGAAGGAGGAAAAGCGGAGTGCTACAGGCTTGAAGATCTACAAAGGTCCGTATCCTCCGAATCGGTACAATATACCACCGGGGTATCGGTGGGACGGAGTTGATAGATCAAACGGGTTCGAGGCGAGATTGCTTGAGAAGCGGGCAAGGGAGAAGGAGAAGAAGGTCGAGGAGGACGTCTATGCGTCTGATGTAAGTGAGGACTAGTAGACAGCATAAGTGTAATTTTATCATATTCCTACAGTATGATCTCTTGCGCAGACTCTCGATATTCTACAAATTATCTATCGTTACTGTGCCAATTGTAGCCATATTTCCCTGACATGTCTACTGCCATCCTGACAAGTCATCGCCCAGCCTCCCAGTATATGTTTCCACAATTCAGTACGACGATATTATATTTGTAAGTGAGCTCGAAACTGCTTAATCAAGATGTTGGAATGGAGGGCGTCTATGCTCGACCATAACAACCCGATGCGTGTAGGGAGATGAGTTCAGGTGTAGGGTAATAGAGCCGTTACGCCATGAACTTGGACGATCTTGAACAAGCCACACATTTCTAGACCCACCTCATGATATTTCTTCGGGAAACTGCTGTTGAAGCGTTCAGAGCTCTTATGGGTGAAGAATCAGATTCTGTCACTTGGGATACCAACATGTGTGCCCTCAAAGAATGCTGTTGCTGCAGGTATTCTCAATTGTTCAGGAATGCGTCAAACGTATTCTGTCATGAATGCCAGTTGTCGCTCTTGCTTTCACCGTGTATTCCTGATTCAATCTGACGCGATCCGGTTGCGAAATTGTTTGATGAGTAGGGAGATTTGGTTGCAAGACGGGCGATGGCGATAATTGTGATGCGAGGCGCTTGCACTAGCCAGTTTCTTTCTTGTGACTGTAGTATTTTTCTGTATTCTGTTGAATAACTTCTGTCTTTCTTGTCTTCTTTTGATCCTTTAAGCTGATAGTTGTGGCTAGCTACAGCGAGTAGTCTTTGTGAGCTTTGACGTTGCATTCAGCAGTTATCGAGCCAGAATCGATCAAAAAATGTGGTTTCAGTCTATGTAGTAAATCTGTTTAGTATTCTGAGACTTTCTGAGATGAGCAAAGCAGAAACACATTGCAGTATCGATCTGAAATTGATTTCGGGTACTGCTTAACTGCTGACTGACACGTATCTGCGCTGAATTCGGTCAGTAAAGTCGCTGGTGCAAGTTCGTATGAAGCATGCAGCATACATCAATCCTGAGCTCTGTAGTGATGAATAACTCATATTCTGTGACAACGATATAAGTACGTCTCGAGAGATACGAGAGCAATAGACGATAATCAGTGAGAGAACAGTTTGTCTACTGTCACACCCGAGTACAACGTCGTACCACGCACGCCACCACAACAGAGGACTGGCAGCTCCACATCAGCAACTCGCGCCTAGCCATCTTTAATGATGTCGTCGTGGACGGGGATCAACTCAGGTGGCCTGTATCTCTCTGATCTCTGAGATACTATTGTATACATGCAATGCTGCGACCCAGACAGATCCCGTTCTTTACTGCTGCACGCGCGAGCGCGACCACGAGAGCCAACCGGTGACGCTAGGGCGATAATGTCTACATGATTCGATTCAAAGAACCTCCCTGGAGTAACTGCTATTTGAAAATGACACGGATTTGATTGTGTGGTACTGAATTACGGCTTGCACACGGGAAGATCGCTGGAGGATCAAAACGGGCCGAACGGACGTCTGTTGCTGGTTTAGCCTTCCAACACGCGAATACAGCAACGATCCTACGAAAATGGGTGGATATGAAAGCTATGATCCTACGCTATACGATATTATTCAAAGGAATTTGATTACTGGAAACTGCACGCCACTACACGTCGAAACGCTCGATCGCTCCGGAAACAATAGCGGGCTAAGTTTGATTTTCTGTCGGTTTTGTTCGCGCCGCGTCGGCGACTTGTCCCGATTTGGCAATTCTGCATCAATTAGATGCATTTTCAGGCTGATTTGGAACTGCTCACGCGACCATCTCCCGCGGCTCAGCCAGGAATATAAATAGGGGCCTTCCCCCCCTCTCTCTCCATCTCTCTTTCCTTTCTCTTCATACTTCAAGAGCCTCCAGGAGTCTCAGAACACCTGACTTCTCTCTGAACACAAAGACAATCAACTGGCACATGATCTCTGGCACATGACTTCGATTATACACATACATTCACGTGATGGAGTAGTGAAATGATCTCATGCCTCGATGTGACGCTCAAGTCATGGTACCTTCCTCCATCCACATCTACTCTGGCTCCATGGTCACCAAGTTCTCTCATCGTGCGGCAGTCTCTCTCTATGGTCAGTGCCTATGCTAGATGGTTTATGATGTCTATATGCTTGGCCTTTACTGACGCATGCTACCAGCCATACACACCGCTGGTCCTAGTCTTTTACAATCCGTCATAAGTATCGACACTTCAGAATACATCTCATGCGATACGTTTCAGACCGGTGATGTTTTGTGAGGACAAGCCAATGGAAGATGAGTCATACTCTACATCATCCGCAAACTTTCTTTATTTTTTTTCTATTATTCTGTTATTCTGTGATTCTGTCAACAATATTCAGCAACATGGCGACCAGCTCAGCATGCTGGGGTAGGAGATTAATTTGGTTCAGCAACTCAGCACTCGATCGACACGGCGACCAGCTCAGCCTGCTGGGGATGGAGAGAATAATAAGGGTCAGCAACTCGATTTCGACATGGCGACCAGCTCAGCTTGCTGGGGTAGGAAAGATACACTCGACACGGCGACCAGCTCAGCTTGCTGGGGAAGGATGAAAGATGCGGGGGGTCAAGAGGGGTGAGGTTGGAGAGATGGGGATAGAGAAGAGTGGTGACATTAAAGGTGGATGGAGGGGAAGATGTGTTGATAGAAGGAAGGTGGATGCAGGGGGAGATATGTTTGATAGAAGGGGAAGGTGGTTTCCATTGTATATACAACGATGTCTACTATTCCGTTGTATATATGATGATGGCCAGGGGGGGTTGACATTTGATAATACGATAGAGGTGGTGTTTAAGATAATAATGTATGATTTTATTCTTCTACTTGTGCAAAACGTAAGCGTAATCCCTTATTGCAACTGGATACTTGAAAGATTTGGTTGTTGATGGAGTAGCAAGTCCACGAAAAGCCGCACGAGTGTTCAGTCCCTTTGATCATCAAGAGTCAGACTGAGCTCTCTTACAATTCCTCATCGTTCATTCGCAATCACTTATCTACACAAGATGAAGCTCTCATCTGCTCTTGGTCTTTTGCTCTCTGTTGGTGCAGCATTGGCATTGGAGGTCGACGATTTTCTGGAATCGTACACTGTCGCGGTTACCTCGCCTGGCTCGTCATATTCTTCCTCAATCGAATTCGCCTTCAACACCTACACAAAGAGCGCCAGTCTCTTGTCCAAGGAAATCACACCGAGTGAGACGAGTGAGGAGGGATTTTACGTTCTGAATGGACAATCACTGACTGATGTTTGTGGATCCCTGGTACTTCTTCCGGACGCTAGCAAGTATAAATTGACTGACTCTGTGATCTTGAATATAGGAGCTTCCTCTGGCGCCCGGTAGCAGTAAGGGCATTTACTCTATCCATCTTTCAAGTTCCGGTCGTCCATGGCACATTGATTACGGACGGAGACATCCTTCGTTTCCGTCGACTCCGGAAGTGAATGTAGTCAGTCCTGCCAAAGGACCGGTTGCTACGCTGAAGGCGCCAGTTATACAGGGAGACAAGGTCGTCGAAGAGGTATAGTAGTCGCTGATTTTCAATGCTGGAAGCATGTAAACTATGGATATTAACAGCTTCGTACAGGATAACCGCTCGTTTATACAGAAATACTGGATGTTTATCGTCCCTATGCTTCTCGTATTTATGCTCGGCGGAGGCGGTGGTCAATAGTCATGACATGTTCAATCTTGCGTTGTATTCAGTTCTTTCATGTTAGATTTAGAGATGAAGTTCAATGCCATACTATTACACGATTATTGTCAGATGTGCTGGAATCAGTGTCTAGACGGTCTTCCCGCTGTCTACATCGGTCGTAAGCAGTGATGGAATTTCAACCCATGAGCATGCGCTTTGTGAGTCGCCACTTTATAAATCTCTGTTTTCTCAGAGCTGGTAAAACAATGCATCGCCTTACAAAATGAATGCAGCAACAAACAGATACGTGAGTAGACTAAGTAGATGATAGCCCGTCTGATAGCATCTCCAAGCGGTCGGTCGAGGAAGTAAACTTTGTTTCTGCGGCGCCGAGTCGGGATTTTGGCACCACGAAAAAATTCATCGACCAGAGCCAGCTCCACCACCGCTTCTCCATCTTCGCGCTCACCTGCAGATCCCAGCACCCAGTCATGGCTTTTGTTCGGCCTACCATCGGGCTGACGGCGTTGCAGCAGACGTCTGCAGCGGCAGTGCGGTCATTGCACTCCTCTGCTCCGCTGCTCAGGGCTCCCGTCTCCATCGTCGACCCCGTCCACCACCGCATCCGCTACAAGAAGACCATCCTTCATCCAAAGTACCAGAAGATGCTCACCACCCCGAAATGGGATCCTCGCTCTCATCTTTTTAAGCCGTGCGACCTACACCCGCGTCGCCTGCTAAAGCACTGGGAAAACACCCTTGCGCCTGACCTCATGCTCGCAAACTACGTCCACAACGAGGTCCGAATCCGCGGCCGCAAGCACCAGGAGTGGGATGGCTCCTCGCCATACCATGTCAATCGTCCGAAACGAGCTCCGGCCGGAAACGCAGAGGCTACGCCAGATATCCTTCCCCGGACGTTTGAGAACGTGCCCAACCTGACCGCCATATGGGTGAACACATTCAACCACGGCGCCGTCGTCGACCACCAGGAGCGCAATATTCCGGCGATGGTCATGCTGCAGCAAATCACCGGAAAGAAGCCCAAGCCTGCATACTCCGGAGCCTCGGTTCTGCAGTGGAAGCTGCGGAAAGGCCGACAGGTCGGTGCCGTCGTCAAGCTCACTGGTGCCGATATGGACCAGTTCATGAGCACGCTGGTCGAGATCGTCTTGCCGCGAGTCAAGAACTTTGCGGGAATCGCAAATAGCTCTGGCGACAAGTTTGGAAACATCTCGTTCGGTCTCACGCCCGAGAGCTTGTATCTGTTCCCCGAGCTCGAGGGAAACCCGGATCTGTGGACCGATGTCGTCGGTGTCAACATCACTTTTGTCACATCAGCACAGACAGACCCCGAGGCCCGCCTGATGCTCTCTTCGTTCGGAATCCCCTTCTACGGCCGCGAGAGATTCCACAACGTGCCCAGTCTCACTGGCGCCAAGCAGACGAGAAAGAAGGGTATTGTTTACTACGAAAACAGTCAGGAGTAGACAACCTGCTCTTTATCGACTCACGGGAGGTTTTCGTTAAATTCAATGTATATATTGTTGCGCGGCGAAATAGTTTTGGTTTTGGAATTTTTACAGTTAATGAGAAGAAGTCAACTATATTTACTACGTATTTCTAGTAATGATGAGAACCTAAACAACTTGAAAACGAATCCCAAACCGTGCCTTAATAAAGAATGAAGAAAAAAACACAAATAAAAAATCTTTTTTACAAATGAAGTGATTCTCAAAAGCACATGATAACTCGACAGAGAGATAAAAGCTTAGCAAGGATAACTTCTTCGAGACTCACACCTTTGGAAAGACCAATAGTGAGCAATGACTTTTACGTCATTTGAGCTGCATCACTACAGGCAGATCTAACACCAACTTCTCACCCACCCACGGCTCAGACTATTATAAAGAAAGGAAAAGAAATAATTCAGAGAGTGCTTATGCCCTAAGGCTGGCATAGCCACCATTTCCAAGTTCAAACTCCTCCGCCTCTCTCACCTGCTGACGTTCCAGCTCAATATCGGAGGCCGACGAGTCGTCCGGAGCCACCTCGTACTTAATGCTTTCGAACGTTTCGTTTCCTGAAAGCTTTTGCCACAGCCAGATCAAGCTGAGGAAGTAGAGGAAGACAAGGAAGGCGACCGAGTAAATGACTAGCGTGTAGCTCGCATGGTCGATGCCGTTCTCGGCAATCAACGTAAGCTGCTCCTCGTTGGCAAACATAAAGAGGAAGCCTGAGCATACGAGAAGAAAAGGAGTAAGGTATTGGAAGGATCTGATGTTGCCATCAGCTGGAGCGTCCTTCAGGACGAACGAAATCTCGATAATCCTCGCAGCTCCGGCGCCCATAAGCGCGTATCCAAACATAGCATGGATCTTGGTAGACAGCTCGAGGTGCTGAGCATGGACTGACATAGCCCATCCGGTGAGGAAGATGACGATAGCGGGGATGTGATTCCGGGTTGGCTGACCGTTTCTCCGGGAGAGGAACAGACCAAGGAGACCCGCGCACCACCAGACGATTCCCATGCTCGCTATAAACGCGTCAGTACACGATAATTACAAAGACCTCAACAAATCAGTCTGGCTTACTGTGCTGGAAATCACCGTGACTCCAATGCTGACCCCAGCGGTGCTCGGTGAACGTGTTGACGATGCCCCAGGCAGTGATGACGGAGCTGTCGTAAAACTCCTGACTGCGGCCCCGGCGAGCAATCCACGCCTGTCCGACCATCATCATGATAGCCAGCATACATCCGTATCCAATAAACGCACTTCCCATAATCTAAAACATAGTCAGCAGCTGTCTTTTCTATTTGAGAGGTCTCTAGCACCTGCGCCGCAAACGCGCTATCGGTAGAGTAGAGCAAGGAGGAAATCTCGAGAACTTACACCATGGGCAAGGCACTGTCCCAAATGGCTATCATGGCAGAAACCAAGAGCAGTGATACCACCGAAACCCATTTGGACCCACGCCAAAATCGGCATCAGCTTTCCCATAACATTGTGGACGAACGCGACTACCGGCCGAATCTTTCCCAAAATTCCTCGCTCGATGTGCAGCTTGCAAAACACACCCAGACCAACCTGGGTGAACATAAACCACATCAACATCGAGGCAAAGACGGAGTGAATGTTGTGGCTGGGGAATTCGCGGCCCTTGTGGTGATGACCGAGGAAGTAGGCGACGATGGCGATTACTGCGCCCGTCACCTGGAGAGGGACGTGGAAGCGGTTTTTGGTCATGCCGAGGATCATGCCGATAGGGAAGATGAAGCCAAAAGCAATCATCATGAGCTATATGACCGTATAATCGTCAGCTGAGGTCGCTCTCGGCGCGTTCTGCCTGCATGAGTCCGGTACATACCACGATGTGTGTCCAGAGGATGGAGTCCATGGGCTCGACGGAGATGTACTCGCCCTCGGGGATTTCATCGCTGTCGTGCTCGTGGGCACTAACAACAGTCGAAGACAGTGCCAGAGACAGCAGACACAGGAGTTTCCTTGAGACTGTCATTATTAGAGATATATGATAACGAAATATTCTGGAGATAGTCGAGCGCAGGCTGAGTGGGATTAATAATACGACTGAGTCGGGTGACGTTTACAAGGGTTTGGTACAGTGGCCAAATAACCGGATCCCGCGGTGCCGGAGAGCACAGAGTCTTAAATATGCACCGCTCTACATTTATTCATTCTATGTACATGATATTCATACAAACACCCAGATATTTACTTCTTCACCGTACCTTCCAGCTTGTTTTCTTCTATTGCCTGGAGTAATTCCCAGATCTTGGGATACGCTTCTTCTTTCAAAGTATCGAGATCACGCGGGGGAATATTGCCGAGAACATAATAGGCGACATCGTCCGAGGCTCGTGAATCAGGCCTACCGATGCCTATTCGGATGTTGTAAAAAGGGCCATCGAAATAGTCTCTAACGCTTTTGATTCCGTTGTGGCCACTAATGAGGTTAGAGTTAGTAAGAGTGTCTTAATACGTCTCTCATGTGAGGTAGGACTTACTGATGCTTGCGATCACTTCTTGCCTGGACACTGCCGACTTCCATTTCCAAGTCGTCATGGAGCAACACCAGCTTTGTGTCCTTTCCTAACGCTGAACTCGCCCATTTCCATGCCCGCAGTACGTGTGCTCCGCTCGCGTTCATGAGCGTCCCATTTTTGAACAGCGCAATCGGATTCGTAGCATCTCGATTCAGCAGCGATTTACCTCTATAAAGCTCTCCGTTCAAGCCAGGGACGGACAAAGGCTTGTTCCCCAAAGTCCTCTGGTGGTCAGATATTAACTGGTTGAGCATGATATGGCCCACTGAATGGCGGGTCCTCGCATACCTGGCCCCGGGGTTGCCTAACGAACAGACCTGCAAGAAAGAAAGCGTGAGCTCGTCGTTCATACCGCGCCCGTCTGCCAGCACCAATACTGATACTCACCAACAGCCTACTGCTTGGTATCTGAGCCGACATCTTTCCTGCCGTAGTCGTGGTCGTGTGCAAACAAAGCAGTCTGCTCAACTACTGAACGCGGCCTCGACAGAAGATAAATCGCGTCGACGACTTTTGCCGGTCTGAAATCTACGCGCGCGCTGCACATTTGAGCACGTGATCTTTCCGGATTCTTGCTCTCCTCCCGCCCTGCTTCTCACCGCAATCACTTCGCCGACCACCTCTTCCCTCCCCTTTCGCTCTTCTTTCCCGCATCGGGCCCAGCACTTCTGTCGTTGCTTTGCTGGATAGCGGCTGATTTTCTTGCTGCTGCTTGGGCCGGACTTTGCTGTTTTATTTTCTTTGGCTTTGTGGTTCTGGTTGCCGCGCAATTGCCATCTGAAAGTCGCGCGTATTTTGATCGCAGGGACAACGTATGTGTCTACGTCTTGTTTGGTCGCAGAATATCAATTAACGGTCCTGTATATTTAGGAGAGTGGATTTGCTTGTATTTTGCAAATAGCACAGCCCATTGTTTTGCGGCCTTGAAGGCGATTATCCACCACAGTCTGCCAGTTGGAGAACTTTTTCTTCCCTTGTCCTATGACTGCTGCCCAGCCCATTTGTTCATTTGACAATAATACACTGCTCGTCAAACATAGTGGGACCTGTTGCTGTTAATCAAGAGAGTCCCATGGATGACCGAAAACGCGTGTTGCCGGTCAAGTCTGAGGTGGACGCTCCTCCATCGAAGCGTCAAGCCACAGACACAAATATTTCGCCTGCAAGCAGCAATGGACACAGTTTGCCGTTGACCCAGGAAGATGTCGTGGTAAGTCTGAGATTGTGGATGATTGCTGAAAGACGTTTCTCAGATACTAACACGCGTCTCAGAATTTTCAAAAAGAGGCCATATTCAGGCAAATGCAGGTGTACAGACGCGAGCGCGATCAGCTTCAGAACAGGATAAACGAAGTCGAGCAGCGCTCTGCTTATCATGATGATCATATCCGACTGCTCGAAGGCTGGTGGGATCAGGTATGTACTTCAAATTATTCCAGTAGTATGTTTCAGATAATTTATATCCTAACTCATTACTGCAGCTATTGAATGAAATAAATATCCTCTTTGCCAAACCGGTCAATGACTCGTCTGACAACATTGTCCCCAAGTCTCTGCTGCTGTCAAATCACGAAGAATACTCGCAACATCTGACGAGTAAGCGGAATCTCATTCTACAGACTCTGACGCCCATTTTCGCAAGCATGCAGCCTGCCACACCAGAAGCCATGGATGTCAAGAATCTACAGTCACAGTTGAGCGATTTTGCTGCGCAGATATCTGTGGTTAAGATCGAAAACGAGCGATTGAAGGATGAGCGGGAGGACTTGGAGCAACGGTTAACGGCTGCGACTTTTAAATTCATGTCTGCAGAGAAGAAGATGGATAGACTAAAGAGTTCCACACTAGCAAAGATCGAGCGTACTACAGCACCAGTCCAGGTCAAGAAAGAGGAACCAGTCGAGGAGAAAGCCGAGGCCGAAAAGAAGCCATCGGCAGAAATAGATGAGGAGATGATAAAGAAGATCAAGCAGGAATCGGACGCCATTATACAGAAACAGTCTGAGGAGATGAAAGCCTTACATGCCAAGGTGTTGAGCTTACAGGACGAACTGGCAAAACTCGACTTGAAATTCTCAAAATTGACAGAGGCTGATGTTTCTAACTGCGAGCCCTACAAAAATCTCAAGCTGCGGTACATCGACCTCTCTTCTAGAGCGAATCATCTTGAATCTCTGAACGAAATAATCAAGCAGGAAAACGAGAAACTCTCGAGCGAACGGACAGAGTATCGCGAGCTGGTTACGGCTGAGTACAAAGCGACTGCTGATGATTTGGAAGGACAGATGAGGAAGCTTGAGAATGATCTGACTCGAATCCGTGCCGCTCGAGATGATCTTGTGACGGAGCTTTCGATTCGCAAGGCCAAGGAAGAGAGTCGGATTTCTACAATCAACGAAATCAACGAACTTTCAGAGACTCGAGCGTCTCGGATCAAGGTTCTCGAGATGGAAGTTGAAAGTCTAAAGTCGCAGATGGAATCGAACGGCGTGGCCGCGTCTTCATCTGCCTCGGCTGAGGACTCACCAGAGAAGTTACTCGCTCGGATTGAGAAGCTCGAGAAGCAGAACCAGTTTCTGTCTGCCGAGCTACCAGAAATGGAGGCGGCGTTCAATAAGGCCCATTCGCTCAGCATAAAGAAGGTGACTGATTTAGTGGAGCGGGAGGAGAAGATTGCGCGATTGGCAGCGGAGAAGACAAAGGCTGATCAAAAGTACTTTGCGGCGATGAGATCGAAGGAAGCGGTCGTTGTCGAAAACAAGACTTTGAAGGCGCAGTCTATGAAGAGCAGCGAGATCATCCAGCAGTTGCGCGACGCGGAAAAGTCGGTTTCTCAGAAAGTGATTGTTTTGGAAAAACAGCTTGCCGAGTTGGAGAATATGCGCCATACATATCAGAAGCAGCTACAAGAAACGCAAAGGAAGGTCAACGAGCAGAACCTGACGCTGGAGGGCTACAAGGGGCAACTCGACAAGCTCTATAGCGAGCTTCAAGCACGGTCTGCGGCTGCTTTGAGCGAAGGCGAAGCAAGGCGGTCTGCAGAGGTGCAGTTCGAACGTGCAAAGGCTGAGGCCGATCGTCTGAAAGAAGAGAAGAGCAGATCTGCATCAGGCTCTCGAGTCAACGGAGATGACTCTCAGATCGAGGCGCTGCGGACGATTGCAATCTGTTCGGTGTGCTCCAAGAACTGGAAGGATACGGTGATCAAAGTCTGCGGACATTGCTTCTGTATGGACTGCGCAAAGGACAGATTGAACGCCCGGTTACGGAAATGCCCTCTATGCAACAAACAGTACTCACATAACGACCTCATCCCAATTCACTTGTAACTGGTTTCTTTATGTCTCTCTTTCGTCTCATGTATTGTTATTTCCTGAAAGTCTTTCTTTTTCTTGTCAATGGTAGTTGTATATGGTTCCCTCGCCTTCTTATCGAAACAGGGTTTATGCAAACTATCTTCATGTATATTATCTACTTTATCGCTTTTTTATTTCCTTGAGATGTTATTACACCTGTAAAATATTGTATATCTGATATCTTTTAATGCAACAAGTTAACTATTACCTTTATTGAATGCCTCGTAGAATCGTAGTGTGAACAGTGGATTAGGGTTTGAATCAATACGCGACCGGTTCTCACGCGCTTCGAGTGAAATTTCGAATTTGATCCGCGTGTGAATCTTTCTTCGAAACCCCGTCATCATTCGCAGCAGAAGACAGCAGAATAACACTGCTAACGGAATACTAAGAATACCGGAGGAGATTGTTTGGATAGAATATTGAAACAAGTCGCGATGCCGAGCAATTACCGAATCTCGCTGGACGATCTGACGCCGAACAACCTTGGAGTTTTGCAGCGGATTAACAGCGTCGTGCTTCCCACATCCTACTCGGACAAATGGTACAAGGAGAGTCTGACTGTTGGTGAATTAGCAAAGCTTGGTATGTGTACTCTGGTATGTGATAAGAAAGAAGGATTGTGCTGACGAAGTGATTTTGCAGCGTTCTTCAATGAGGTCCCGGTCGGTGCGATCCGCTGCGCGCTCGAGACCTCGAAAGAGAGCAGTAAGATCTACATCATGACGCTTGCGGTGCTGGCTGCCTACCGCCGCTACGGGATTGGCAGGAAGCTGGTCGAGCATATACTGGAGTACGCAAAGAGCTCGCAGGTGAAAGAGGTCTACTGCCATGTGTGGGTCGAGAATGAGGAGGCAATGGCGTGGTATGCGCATCAAGGGTTCGAGAGGGGAGAGTTTTTGAAGGGGTATTATCGGAAGATGGAGCCGGCGGGAGATGCGTATATATTCCGAAAAGTTATAGAGTAAGTATATATGTATGATAAATATAAAATATTCTGATCCAGCAGATGAAATGGTTATCAAGTTAGTGGAGTCTTTTATATGATCTATAGTACATGTATATGATGGACAAACCCAGAGAGTTACTCCTTCGACGCACTCTCCTCGCCCTCATCTTCACTTCTCTTTTCCTCCAGCAGTTTCTTCTTCGCAGCCTTTTCCTCCTCCTTCTTCGCGTCCGCCTTATCACTCTCGCTAATCTCCTTATACCCCCACAAGACCGCCCATTCGCCCTTGATAAACGCAGTCACCACGACCGCTCCGCCGATGCCGGGGCACAGGTAAAGCAGTGCCGGCTGCGCGGCCTTGAAGAAATGCATGACGCAGATCGTCACCAAGAGCGCGACGACGTACATGACCATCGCCGAGTTGAAAAACGGCTTGGGAAACGGTCGGGCGGAAGAGTAGGGTGTTCCGGCGTGTTTGCGGTAGTAGTTCCATGAGTCGAAACGGAGGCACAAGGAGAGGAAGATCGCGGGGACGATGATGTCGCCGAGACCGAGCATTGCTTCAGACCGAGAGCTGGTCGCGGTAGCAGGTCGCGGGGCTGTCAACTTGATTGGCACGGTCAAGCTCGTGGCAACAGTCACCATCACGTCTGTTCCAAACACAAAGAAAATGTCGTAGAGGAATAAACCGATAAGCATGATATACCCAGTCTTGAACGAGTCGATGGTCAAGAACCGGATACTGCTGAACGCAAACGAAGCGCCCATGATATTTCCCAGGATCCAATTGGATGTGTACCAGTTCCCAACAACGATAGCCAGCGCGATCGGCAGACCGAGTAAATCGGCAGACGTGAAGTACGACTTGTAAACTTCCTCGGGCGCGGGAGGCAGCTTGCCGATCTCGGACGCGATCTTGTACTGCGAGTAGATAAATCGGGGATTCAGGCCCTGGGTAAGAGTAGGTTTCTTCACGATTTGCTCCATCAGTGCCTCGCGCTGCTCTTCGATCTTCTTCTTCTTCTCGGCCTCCTCCGGATCTTCCTTTGCTAGCTTCTCCAGTTCTTCGTACGGCGGATTCTCGACGATCAGGATGCGCCACCGCACCAGTTTTGTGCCCGTCTTGCGAGCAAACAGACGCATCAGCGAGCCAAACGTGGTTGCGACCGCAAAGAGTCCAAAGAGAGCGAAATAGGCATTGAAAAACATCTCAATGTATTTCTTGTCCAGCTTCTTGATCAAGAAATACATTCCCACGAGCATGAAGCCGCCCATGACAGGCATCAGGTACGCATCTTCGGCCTCTAACTTCTCGTTCGAAGAAGGAACTTCCAGATCGGAAGGCTCAAACTTGGGATCCTTGGGATCAGCGCGAAGAGCCGTGTCTGGACGATGCAGAGTCGCGTGCGATGCACAGTAGATCACGACGGTCGCGGACACGAGCAGGATCGCGTAGGTGCCAATCACCGGATCCAGGTTGTACTTCTCAAGAAGCTCGAACAGGCTCGTCTGGGGGATTGAAAAGTTCTGCATCTTTCAGTCTGAGAGGGTCAATCAGGCTGACCGGGGCTGAGAACTGGGGATGGAGCGGTGTTTGGATGTGAACAGGAACGTGTTCATTTCAATTAAACTCGACGAAATTTTTACCCGGCGTTCGCGAGACTATTTACGATCTACTCTCTACATCTCATCTCTATTCAACAACTACCACTATTCACATATCAGCAATGCCCCCTCGTCTTCCGGAGAAGTCAGACTTCCCAGACTCAGCAGTCCTCACAATCACACCACCGCATCCGCCGGGATCAACGCCTACTCACGTGCAAGTCTCCCACCAAGCAGTTTTCCAGCATCTACGCCTGCCAACTAACGGGTTCTTTCTCATATCTGTAGTATGATCCTGCTGCATGGTCTAGGCGACTCAATCGTGCCATTCACAGCTCTGGCACAGCGTCTGGGTCTACCCCGGACAGCGGTGATTGCGCTCCAGGCGCCGATGCCAATGCCGTTCGAGTTGGGCGGCTTCCACTGGGGCGACGATCTCGTCTTTTCGCGCGACCCGTTATCTGCATCCGCGTCCGAGGACGGGGACGTACTCAGTCCTGATGCGGAGTTTAATAGAAGCGGTGTCTTTTTAAGCTCTATAATACGCGACGTTCTAGAGTCAAAGTGCGGGTTCACGGCGTCCAAGAACGTGATCCTATTTGGCTACGGCCAAGGCGGCATGGCAGCTCTGCACATCGCGACCACAAAAATGAATCTCTGCGCTGTGATCTCGGTAGGAGGATGGATACCCAGTTCAATAAGACCCGGCGACATCATCGATCTGCCTCGGAGTACGAGCGTCCTGCTGTGCGGAGGAGATCAAAAGTCATCAATCACCGACGAGCGCGTGAAGCGGGCAGAAGAGCTGTTTAAGGAGTGCAGACGGGTCGTGTTCCCGAGGATGAAGGGCGATCTAATGCCGCGGGGGAAAGACGAGATGGCGCCGATCTTGAGGTTTTTACTGAGGATATTGGTGCCCGACGAGCTGGCAGTGCAAGGACTAGTCTAAGCGTCCGGTGTAATAAAATAAAAAAAATCCTCGGAAAAAGATGTGAAAAACCATTTATTCTTAATAACAATAATCCTGCTCACAATGAAAACAGAAACGAAAAAAAAAGAAAACGCCAAGCAAGAAAGGAATGCCGAGTCAAAATTTCTAGTCGAGCACAATGGGATCCGTAGATAGCAGCTTTTGGCCGACAGTTGCCGCTGGGGACTTTTTCTCGACGAAAAGCAGCTTTTGGACTCCTCCAGAGGTAGCAGACTCCTTCTTGTCTGACTTCTTGTCTGCCTTCTTTTCGGATTTCTTGTTGACTTTCTTGTCGGCTTTCTTCTCAGCCTTTTCGGCCTTCTTCTCAGCCCTCTTCTCAGCCTTCTTCTCAACCTTCTTCTCAGCCTTCTTCTCAGCCTTCTTCTCCTCTTTCTGGATCGTCCAATAATCCTTAAAAGGATCGATAGGCAGCGTGATATTTGGCTGTATAGTCGCAATCCCCATCCCCGTCTCATCAAATACTTCATTCTTGCCCGTCTCCAGATCAGTGAAGCAAACGCCCTTATAGAACGGAACCAATGGTGCCAAAATCCGTCGCCGCGACGTCGAGGCGTTCTCGCCTCCGACCTCTTCGTCATTGTCCGCGACAAGAAAATCTTTCATTTCCTCGTCAATCAACGTATCTTCCTCGTCGTCGCTGTCGGGCATATCCAGATCCTCGCCCGGTTCACCATCCTCTTCCTCGTTCCACTCCAACTCAGAGTCGTAGTCGTAGTTGATCCTCTCGTCTCTAAAGAACGGGTTGTTCCTCGGTACTTTGCGAGACTTTGTGAAAGTAGTCGACAGTGGTGGACGCAGATCCTCGCAGAACCGCAGAAACTTTCGCGGAAGAGAGTTGAGCATCTCGCGCACCTCGTCTTCGGAAAGCGAGCTGACCGAGGTAGTAATCGGTCCATCCAGCGCTCCGAAGAGCGTCACGACTTCTTTCGTAGTTCGCTCCGGACGGATGCCGCGCTTTGCAGGTCGTCGTGAAGGGAGTTGCAACAGCTCTGCAAAGTTGGGCGGGGTCGCGGCTTTCTCTGGGATAGTCAGATCAGAGCTAGACGTAGATGCAAACGCGGAATCGAGTCGTTGACGGATATCTTTGAGCGCGGGTTCGCTGAACGCGAATTTGGTGGCGGGGTATAATGTCGCCCATGACTTTACAAAGAACGGAAGGAACGTTTGCTCGTAGTCGGACTTTGTCTCTTCTGCGGTGGCAGGAGTTGTTTGTGAGATTGAATCGGGATTGATAGCGGGATCTGCTGATGCTGCTGCTGTGGCTGTGGTTGTTGTTGTTGATGGTGATGATGATGCAGACGGCTTTGACGGTGAACGCGGCTTTTTGAAAAAGCTCGATAATCGAAGTTGCTTCTAATAATCGCATGATTGTCAGTTTCTGTACGGTATAAAATAATTGAGCACAAAGGTCAGGATCTCACCTCTTCTTTCTTCCGCTTCTCTTCTTCCTCTTTCCGCTTCCTCTCCTCTTTCTCCTCTTCCCTCTTCTTCTTCTCTTCCTCCTTCTTTTTCCTTTCCTCTTCCTTCTCCTCCTCTTTCCTCTTCTTCTCTTCTTCCTTCTTCTTCCTCTCTTCCTCCTTCTTCTTCCTCTCTTCCTCCTTCTTCCGCTTCTCCTCATCCTTCGCTTTCTTCTCCTCCTCCTTCTTCCTCCGGTCTTCCTCTCTCATCTTCCTCTTCTCCTCCTTCTCCGCATCCTTCGCCGCCTTCCGCTTCTCCACCTCCTCCGCTTTCTTTCGCCGCTGTTCCTCGCGCGCAGCTATCTCATCCGCACTCAACTTCGACGACCGCTTCCGCTTCTTCTCCTTACTATCACCGCCATCATCACCTTCCGGCGCGGGCGTCGTAGATCCATCAATAGTCGAAAGCGGCGACGACAACATATCCACATCCTCCCCCGCCGCCTCCCGCTCCTTACTTTTCTTCGGCGTCTCCGTCTGCGATCTATTCGCCGCCGTATTCGTCGTCTCGCTCAACGGCGGCTTTGTCTGACTCTGAGGCGTACTCTGGATCGATTCAGCGGTGGCCGAGTGCGCCGACGGCGGCGGGGTCGACGCGTCGGCGGTCGTGTCTATTGCTCCTGGCGACTGCATTCTGTATACCGCGCGGTCGCCGACTTGTAATACCTCCATTCAAAGAAGCCAGCTCAATAACAAAAGAAAAAGCAACTGCAGTTCTCGCACGCAGACAAAGTCGTCAAGTCAAGGGGCGTTGAGTGAGATTGTGATGAGTTGGTGGGTTGGTGAGGTGAAGTAAAGTGGGAAGTGCGCGCGCGCGTGCGAGACGCGTCAGGTCTGTCTCCCTTTGGAGGCTGCAAAACCTTAAAGGGTTAAACCCTTTAATGGGGTTTCCAAACTAATTACTGCGGTTCTTGTGAAGATGATGAGATTATAGAATACTTGACTATAGATTCAATATTCAGAAGAGTACTATTTAGATCCCATCCACAATGGTAAATGACACAGGCAAACAACTCAAAGTAATGTATAGTTATATATAACAATTTTAACCCATGAACAGTCTCCACACCTCTCTTTCCATTAAATCCTCTAAATCACTCTTCATCACTACTACTATAATCCGGATTGGCAATATACAAAGTCCTCCGCGGCGCAACAATGTCCTCCAGCAATGTATCTGCCAGACTCTCGTTACTTGCCTTCTTCGACGCGACCGATGTTCCCGACGCCGGCGTGCCAACAGATGGATACGGCGGCGTGAGGTTATTACCACTGACGCTGCCGTTGCCGCTGTTTTGCACTTGAGATGGTGTACCTGGCGTGCCTGGCACCTGGAGGTGACTTGTACTGGCGACGGTGTGCACAGAGTTGCGCGCTGAGCTCATGCCTGATAAGCGATTGTTTGCTGCGCCGTTGGCGTCGTTGGTAGATGCCACCGTGACGCTGCTGCCGACGCTCGCGAGAGTGGATGACTTAAAAAGGCCGGTTGTGGTGGCGTTAAGATCAAGAGTAGACGATGATCGGGTAGTGGTAGTCTCATTCACTGAGCTCTTTAGCGACACCGTCTCATCGTCCTGATCCAGTGCTCGAAGCGCAAGTCTTGAAGAGCTATGCGAAACGACTCTGGCATCGCTAAGTTCGAGCGTCATATCGAGTTTCGGCTGATAGTAAGCATACGCGTGCATATAAGACGAGAACTCATCCGCCCGCTGACTGTCTTTCTTCTTTTTGCTGCTGCTTCCGTGCGCGGCCGTCGTATGCCGTGTCTTGCTCTTCGTGATCAGATTCGTCGGCACGCGATCACACCACACCGTTGCTTTCTGGCGACGCATGTACGTCACATAGTCTGCTTTCCGCTCCGAAGCCGGCACCGCAGGCGTAGAATCCGTAACCGCTTTCGCCAGAGACTCTTCCTCCGAAACCGTATGCGCGTCCTCAACGCCGCTGCTGCCTCCGCCGCCTCGCGAACTGGCGACAGATAGAGTGTCTCCGGTGGTAGTGGTCGTCAACATAGTGGTAGTCGAAGCCGATGTCGTGAGCGGGATCGACGGGAGCGGAGGAACAGAGCTTGGTCCCGCGGCCGCGTTCCCGGAGCTTTCCTCTCTCGCGTGCGACGAGGCACGCGAGAGTGCGAGAGAGTACGTGCTGTTGTTGTCGGCTGATACAGCGGAGCTGAACGACGCAACCGAGGTTATCGAACCCTTTAATAGCCCGTGCGTACGCGCTGATGCGATGGATGTCCGCCGCGAGCTGTATTCTGGGATCGCAGGAGGTGCCGAGGGGGTGCTTGTAGACTGTGTGGTTTGCGGGGCTGTAGATGAGGCGGATTGTAGAGAATAGAGGGAGTGGGATGAAGGCGATCTAGGAATCGATAGAGGCTGAGTGGTGGTCGTGGAGGCTACTGATAGAGGCGCGAGTAAGGGAGAAGGTGGAAGTTCTGGCTCTGGCTCTGGCTCGGGTTCTGACGGTTTAAACTCAGGCTGCGGTAACAGAGATACTGTCTCCACCTCTCTGACGACAGGCGGTGTCGGTGGCGGGGGTGTTTGTGTCTTGGGAGGTGGTGGTGGTGGCGGAGGAGATGGTGATGCTGGGCGGCGGGCAGGAAGAGGATCGAGCATACTCCTCACTGGTGGATAACTGATAGGCTTCTTTACCTCCGGTGACGGCAGAGCACTCGATTCTCCCGTTGAGGAAGATCCATTCAATGTAATCAGTGTCCCTACTGATGCCAAACTATCCAGCCTCGGAGGCACTGCAGTTCTAGCATCAGCGGTCACGATCCCCTCTCTCCTTTCGTTCGATATCTTATCATCCTTCTTCGTCGCCGCGTCCGTTTTCGAAACAGCCCTGCTGATCGGCAACGCGGAAAAATCAACCGTCATCGGAAGCGGCTTCCGCTTTGGTTGCTTGTAGGCCACGGGTGTGGTCGCAGGCTTGGCCGGTGACGGTGATGGCGATGGTGGTGGTGGTGGCCTTGTTGCCGTACCGGCGGCAGCCGAGGACGAGGTCGTCGACATGGGCGCAAGAGCCGGCGGGCTAACCGAATAAACCTTTAGCTATTTGCAACAAACACAGCGTCAGAGACAGAACGTCCTGTCGATGTTTTCTGCTCCGGCTGCGATAGGAACGGCAGACAGCGAACTGGGATGAAACGCGCTGGGGGTCTGTTTTTGTGGATTTTGATTTTGATTTTTGTGATGGCAGAAGGCGCTCGCTCTTTTGGCGACTCAGCCGCAGCTACGCCACAAGAGAAATAGTTCAATACATACGTCATTCTGCTACGGCTCGCTGCTTTTGAATTTAATGCTTTTATAACATGGGCCTGCTCTGGTGTTTTTCTTGTAGAAATTCTGATGATGTGTGTTTTGGTTTAGACAAATAGCGGCGATGGAGTTGTATACAATTGGTGTATCAGCAGCCAAAGAGTGACAATACATTTAACCTCCACATCTTTAAACTCTCATCACATCCGCATCGGCTTCGTCATAGGCGACACGTCCCCAACCGAGTCCTCGTCGCTACTCGCGCTCTGCTCCGCGCCCTCTGTTTCATTCCCATACTCATAATCGTCAACATCGTCATCATCTCCGTCGTCATCTTCAGAAAACGCGTCATTGTCCTCGTCATGCGCGATGATTGATCCCGCCCGACTCCTGATTGACCCCGCGATGCTACCAGCATGTCGCTGATGGTGATGCTCGCTCACCGATTGATTCCGTGTCCGTTTCTTGCGTCGCTCGAAATCCTGCGCGTGCGCGCCCCGGAACATGTTACTCATCGCGTTCATTCGCGGCGTCATCATGATCGAAGACCGGCGTCTTCTCAACGATGCGCCGCCAACGGAAGGCGACGACATCGCCGTCGCGACTCCTGATCCTGCGCCTCCTGCTGCCGGGGTGCCGGTCGGCGAATCAAGCATCATCTCTTCATCGTCGATGATAGACATTCGTCCTTCCTCGGCGGTCATCAGAGGAGTAGTCACGTTGATCTCTGTAAGCTCGTGACCCAAGCCGTTCGTACTCAAACCTCCACCTTCTCCTTCTTCCTCATCCAAGTCATACGGCAGCGGCATATTCCGACTAGCCTGGAACCTCCCCACATTCGTGCAGTGCTCATTCTCCATTCGGAAAAAGATCCACAAAAATCGACGAACAATCTCCGCCAACGCAATCAGAAACGACGTAACTGCTGACTGCTGAATCTGCACCGGGAAAATGACGTAAAAAATCCAATTCAAGCGAAGAAGAGGATCAAGAATCATCGCGACATAATAGAAGCTCGGATTCCGAAACCCGAGCTCGTCGCGCAAAAACGCGTTTCGCGAGTTCGCCTGGAACAACGACCAATCCATAAACAAATCCCAAAACGTCGAGTAAATCAAGTTGATCGTCGCAAACAGGATATAGATATCGCGCTTCGTCCGTATCCGGTCTAGACGCCAGATACTCAACACCACCGCCGTCACTATCGTAAACGTATACTTCCCCGCGTTCGCCAGATGCGGGAACCAATTCCGAGTGTCGGCGTAACGGCGCCAGCACTGCAAAAATCGCCAGATCGGAGGCAACGCGTTCAGAAAACCCATCAGTCGCGACTTTGACGACCCGCAAGACGGACCGGCGTCAAACCCTCTCGCGTACAGACAAAAAAAGAGCTCGATATTGCTGACAGTGTACGTCAGACTGCAGAATATGTCCCCGAGAAAGAAATCTCGAAATTCGACGGGATATAGTCCCGAAAAGACAAGACGCCACAGCGCAATCGCTAGCCATTCTCGCGCCCGCCAGTGGAACACCGGAAACGGGTTAAACAAGATCGCAGTTGCCGAACCTGCAAATATAAGCGGCCACCAATGGGCTGGTAGCTTGTCTGGCCAGAAATCGTAGAAGCAGAGATACATGCACAGCGAGAGCCATGCAAACATAAACGAAGGAATCTCCAAAAACTCTCTGAAATCCAGGAAATCGTGCTGATGGAATTCGAAAATAAACGGATAGTTGATCTTGTACCGCGACCACACCATGCAGTTCACCGAAAACAAAATTCCAAAAAGAATCACTAAAAATGCACCCCCAAAGATCTGAAAAAGAAAAACCGCATTCGCGAGCTCATCCTTCAACGCTTTCTGGACACCAGTCACAATCGCCTCAACAAAAAACGGCAAACCGATACCCAGACACAGCGCACTGAAGAAGGTAGCACCATAATGACTCTCGGGAATCTCTCGCGTGCGCAGCTTTTCGACCGCGTGCTTTCGGTTTCCGCGCTCAAAGTAGCGACTATACACATCTTCTGTTTCGTTCATGAGGTCGTCCACAACACTGCTCTGGCCGAAATAGCTGTTTTCCACTTTGTTCATGTACCAAGGTGATATATGCGTAGCAGCCGTTTTGTCGAGCTTCTTGCATATTTTTTGCAAAGCTGTGCGGTTAAGCAAGCGGTATGATTTCAAAAGCTCAAGGCCGCGGTAGTACTCCATCATAGCCTATATGCCATGTTAGCAAACCCATCATCCAAGTATAAAAAATCACAAGTACCATACATGTTTGAGCTTCCTCCTAGCTATGGAATACGGCACAGTATTCGTCGCCTGTCTTATTGTATAATCTCGCTGTTCATTGGCCGTAGTGGCCTGCTGTGTATTGCCACCACCGCTTTGCGCAGGAAAAAATGGCAACTGATGTAAATCCAGTCTGCGGTAAAAGGCCGACCATCTGCTCATGTACTTCTCCGCCGTCGTTTTCTTCTTTGGCTTGTCAAGCGACCGCGGCTGCTGCTGCTGCGCTTCACCATCCTGCACAGCTTTTTGCCGATCCGCCATTTTCTGGTCGCGGAGTAAATGCAGCTGCTCGCGCATCTTGTCAAAGCGAGAGATAGCCTCGGTCTCTTTTTTCCGATAGAAGACCTGGATCTTGTCAAACTGACCGTCGAGCCAATATATGAAATCCCGAACGTCGGCGTCCTCGGCCATCTTCCGGTTCGCTTCCTCGGTACTCGCACGCAGCATCGCCTCCGTCATTGCTTTCTTTCGCCGTGGCTGGAAAAATGGAGAGCTCGGGGAGTTTTCCTGGCCGTTCCCTTGTGGTTGAGCGGCCGGTTCAGATTGTGATGAGAATGGCGGAATGCCACTGTACTTTGAAGTCTTCTTCAGAATCGACCTTTCCGAGCGCGGTGTTCCCTGGACATTAGATGCCGGTAATCCCTGAGTCTTGCTGTCTAGTCTGTTTCTGATCTGAAGAATGGGAGATTGCAGAGCTGGTGCACCCAAGCCTAATGGGGACGGTGCGTGCTCGATCGTAGGATCCGCAGAGAACGTAACCGATCTGGGCGGTGCCGGAAGTTCAGAGTCCGATCTCTTTTGCCGTGAGTCTACCTTTACCGGATCTTCGACGGACTGCTGCGGGTCAGGTTGAGCCTTGGACGAAGGGGACCGAGGCATATTTTCGTTTAACGCGGGAGGGGGCAGAGAAAACATCCCGGCTTCATCTCGAGAGGGTGGGGTCGCAATCAGACTACCATATTGCATCAAAGCATCATTATCGCCATTAAATCCCGTATCTTTCTGCGCGTTAGGGATCGCGATCGCGCCGGACGTATTCAGAAGCTGATGAGGTGTGATCCGCCCGTCGACTAGTGCACGGTTTCTCGCATCATTATCTGACACCGACGCAAGCGCGTTTCCGCGGATCCCTGAAGTCGTAACAGCTGATGGCGGAAGCGACGGCGCGTAGTCAATCGAACCTGAAGAGTCGGACGATTTCCTGGTCGCGGCGTCAACGTTTGCGTTGCGAGGACTTTTCGAGGCGTTGCTGCTGATTGTGGCACGGCGGGGGCCTAGTCTACCTGAACCGGAGCCGGATTCTTGAAGTTTCTTGAGTTTTTTCAGACGTTTTTTGCCGCCCTGTTTGAAGTTTGAAGACTCGTTAGTGTGTGTAAATATCAAATCAAGAGAGTGAATGTGGATACCTTATAATCCAGGTACTGCACCCGCCATTCAGGCACCTATTAGGGACTGTGAGTACGCGACATGATTTGCAGGAAGCAAACATTGACTGACCAAATTATCATTGAGATATCTAAACAAGTAGATCGGGAGAAGTTAGAGCGAACGAAATACCTCAGGATCATAGTAGAATGAACACATACCGAGCAAACTTCATAGTTGCGCTTTGTCGAAGCACGCAGGAGCGAGTGTGATGATCACTCTATGCGTATAACTAAATAGCAAAATGAAACTACCCAGATTCAGATAAGAACCCTTGATATCAGGGAGAACCTTTGAGCGGAAAATTTCCCAGCTTCAGAGGTGATGTTCAGACGATACGGTGTATCGAATAGCTAAGCTGAGAGCAGCCGAAAGTTGATCATAAACACAAGCCTCCCGCACAGAACTTCTTCAATCACTATTTTTTCCCACTGGACACTTACGCAAGATACTCAGCAAGAAAAGAAATCATCTGGAAGCTCGACGACATAGAAGATGGGATTTTTAATGTAAAGCTCGAGATCAGCAAATGACAGTTTGGCTTTGGCGCACGCCTCCGCACCGAGCTCTGCTTGAAACTTTGTTTACTCCCAACTTAGCCCGCGGCTCATCCATAGGGTTCGGGCTCTGTGCACGTTATTGTTCTTTCTGGATGATGGAATATATGAAGAATAGCTGTCAATTGGAATTAACAAAAGAAGAACTGTAATAACAGAGTCTGCCTAAACGCCGTTAAATGCTAATGCTAACCACAAATACAAAATCACTCCGTCTCCGACTCGCTCGCGTTCTTCATCTCCATCTCCACCCTCGTCTCCGTCTTCTTTTTCGAATGCTTTTCCTTCACACTCTGCCCCGGTAAGTCCACCTCCTTCGCTTTTGCATCGTTTTTCAGAATCTCAAACTTGGGCGCTGGCTGCTGGCTAGAAAACAACGTCTCGCAGCGATCTCTCACTGACTCCACCACACGAAGCCATGCATCAGGACTGACGTCGTCAAGCGCAGGCATCCCCTTCAACGCTGCCAGAGAGAGTAAATCTCGCCAGTCCATCTGCGAGAGACGATCGCGAGAGCTAGATGGTGCTTGGGACTTGCGCACGGTGGCAACAGTATCGATTAAGCCATCGATCATTTGCAGTATGTGTGGGTGCAGGTATGGAAGTAGAAGGGATTTTTCCATCTCAGAGTTTGAAAGGATGATATCGTCTAGCTCTGAGTCATCCTCACCATCGGCTTCCAGTAAGCTAGCCAACTCAGTCGCAGGCCCGTCTCCAGATACCTGTTGATTCTCCCTAGCCTCTCGTTGTAATTGCTCCCTCTTCTCCGTGACCATTGTAGTTAATGTCCTAACACCAAGAGAAGAAACCTCGGTCATCAAATTTTTGGAGTAATCAGGCGGTGTAAAAAAGCGATGTGAATCGAATCTGAAGTGGTCGTATGCGTCCTGCGTTTCGTCGTTCTGTCTCTTCTTTCTCTCTTTCTCAAACACCTGCTCGTAATCAATCTCAACAACACTGTCATTCCCCGCAGCAGCAGCAGAAGAGACAGCTCGTTTTCGCTTCGACGGAGACACTCGTTGCTGACCTGTTTCCCCGCTGATGCTTTGGTAGTCGATATTCTCGCCTAGATCGTATGCTGGCGCGATGTCTTCGTCGCTCTCAGGAAGAAGTTCCTCGCTGGGAAGAGGCCAAGCTGTCCACCGCGGATGAATCACTCTCCGCCTCTTCCGAAGCTCATCTGCCTCGTCATCGCCCTCACCGCCATCTGTGGCATCAAAGAAACTGACGTCGTCATCATCGTCGCCACCACTATCGTCGTCACCTTCATATTCCGTCGACCTCGATCTCGATTTCCCGCGCTCTCGGCTCGATCTGGTTCTGAATGTATTCTGATCAAGAGCAGAAAGTCTAGCAGCAACAGCTAAATGCTGCGCCAGCGACGCGCGATGGTTGTGCTCAAGCGTTTTGAGCAGCACTCGGAAGTCAGCCATCTCGCTGTGCCTTGAGTACGTGAACCTCGAATTCGGCACATACTCTGCACTCTGATTCACGGCCGCATGAAGGTCCGCCAGTTCGCCATTCTCTTCTTCGATAGTACCGCCATCTTCGACCGGGCTATCATCTTCTGCGTGTTCGCTCGGTGCATCGATATCAATGTCATCTTCAACAGAGGGAGATAAACTGTCGTCTGGAAGATTGCCGGGATCCACAGTAGTGGTGTCCATCTCTCGTGAATAGATAGACTCTGTATAAGGTACTTTAAAGCCACAAGTATCTTCTTTTGTTACTTGTGCTCGCAGGCTCTATGACCGCGCCATGGTTCTGTTTCGATACGAGGTGGGTGGAGTCTATTCTGCTGGAAACCGAAAAAAGTGTTTAAACCCAGCGATCCAGAGAGAGGGTTAGGTCTTGAATTCTCAGAGTGAATTTCATGTCTGGGAAGGCTCGCTTCGAGAGAAGCGGATTTTAAGTAATTTTGATTTGGTTTTTTATGTTGAAGTTTTTTCAGATTCGAAATGAAAAGAGGACTGCATAAGATGATATATGGAGGCCGCTGAAATCCGATATGACGTTCATTCGGTTAAGCTGAGACGTAGCCTAGCCCACCGCCTTTTGCGTCTTGCGCATTTGCATTTTGTCCGGCTTACCAGAAGAAGCAGGGCAAGAGAGAGCATTAGCAGAGAGAGAAGAGGCAATTTTAGTAGATTTCTCGTTTATGTACTGATCATGTACTGATACCGCGGACTATACAATTTCAGTCTTGTCTCCACACGAGCCTCTGGCCGGCAGGTCGGCAGACGGGTTCAAGATTAACGGGTCGTTTGCTTTTTACCTCTGCATCGTTGCTTTGTGTGGCTAAGTTGCCCCAGCAAGTAGTAGAAAGTACTCTTTCGGTCTCTCCGTGCTCGATCACAAAGGTCAGAAAAGAAATAGCCTCACTGGAGTGAGCAGAGAGGCCTCGCGTCAAGGGACCGAGGACCCACCTGCACTTACGTACTCACCCACACTTAGGCGAGCTCGGCAAATGCTAAATAAAAATAATTTTAGAGGCGAACAAAGATATGCTCCTCCGACGGCCAACGCTACGTGGACCGGAGGGCTCTAGAGATGTAGTGCAATACCACCCTGCAAATAGAAGATGTTTGCTGTCTGGTCTTTTTATTGAAGGGCAAATAGATATGGCATATGATATTACAACAAAGGCACCCCAACAGCCCAGAGACAGCGGTAGACAGCGAGAATATCATGCAACAGTCAGGCCATAAAGAGTAAGATCACAATACGGCCCGTTACAGCTCAACGCCGTTACGAAGTGGCGAAACGGAGCGAGTATCGAGCAAAAGCCCCAAGTCACGGAAACCCTGATATGAAGACCGCGGAGACCGATAAAGGTGGGCAGCAGCACAGCACCAGCACCAGCGCACACACAGCCTGCCTCGACGAACGACCAGCTGACCAGTGCGCGAACGCGCATTTCAGTACTCGAGTACTCGAGCAAGCAAGCAGTGCAAGCCAATTGCCTGCCGTCGCTGTGGTGTACTCGTCAGCTCGCTTGCTCCGGGCCTGCCTCTGCCGGCGGCTGCGCCCTCGTTTAGGAAGCACGCGCCACGCGAGGAGCCAGCGGATGTCACAAAGAGGAGTTAATGACGACGATGGAGATGATTCAGAGTAGAGAACCAGCAGATGAATCAGAAAATGAGTACGAGATCCTGCAGGGGATGAACTCTGAAACAGTGCACGCGTTACGTTGTCTGCGTTTTTTTTTTTTTTTGACTTCGTTATCTTCAACTCAGGAAGGCATAGCGGCAGGCAGACATCCTGCACGACAACCCCAGCGACTCCCGCAAGAAAGAAAAAATTTCTGCCACGTCAAAAAGAAATCTGTTCAGCTTATGTCTGCTTGCTTGCTGTCGTGTGCGGCAAAAAGTCTGCTTGAAGATGCCCAGTCTGGTCCGTCCGTCCTTTGCTGTTGATGAAATGAAGAATCGTAAGCGACACGCTTGATTGCACCGGTGACCCGCGCGTCCGCTCCACCCGAGAAGTCCCACTCGCCTGCTGTCCGTGCAGAGTGTATTGACACAGGCATGCTACGAGTTTATCCACTTGAAACATCCATACAGCTTCTTATTACTTATTTGTCGTCTGCTGATTCTCTCCATCGCTCTTAGCTGCTGTGTTCTACGTGCTGTGCGCTGTGCTCAATGTATATGACTAAAAGCAAGGATATGAATGAATGGGGCACATTGGCGTCCGCCGCTTCAGCCGCCAAATGAAAAAACCAAGCGCCACGAGGCAAGTCTTGACGGGGATAGCCTTTGCCCTGTCTACCACCTACAGCTTACGAATGAGGTAGCCCGCAGAAAACAAAAGAATCTAGCCAGGCCCAGGAGGGAAGCGTGCTGCAGAGTTTTGGTGACTGGTGTAGCTGGCGGCTGGCAGGCTTGACCTTGACGACCCGGCTGGGCGGGACTGCAATATTGGGATTCTCGGCAGTTGCAAGCGGAGACTGATGACACAGAGTGAACGTCGGCTTGGCTGTGAAACACAACGACTTAACGACTAAACGATGTTGATGATGCAACGGCATAAACGGCATATTCAACGATGCTAGTGACGAACAGCCAATTCCCTCCCGCATGATTGAATAGAGTGCTATAAGAGACAAGAGTGAACAACAAATCTACTTCTAAGAATAGTAAAGAGTACGTCTAATAAAAAAATCCAACAGCAGTGGAAATTTATAGTAAGTGATAGCCGGCCAGACTTAAGCGAAGCGTGAAAGCGGCGCTAAGCAGTCTTTAGTCTAGCGAGAAGTGCAAGCGAGCTCGCTACCCCGGCGCGGTCCGTCACAGGGGGTCAACAATATGGTTCCTACTACAGCTGCTACTCGCGGCTCGCTGACCACTTATTAGCCCTGCAATGCAATGCAGACGAACGTCCATCAAAGTTCATTGCAGAAAGTCTTTTATTTTAGGAAAGAAGTGGACGCTGCGCGCGCGCTCGCTTGCCTTCTTCGGGGAAAGGAGGCAGGGAGGGGGAGAAAGTAATCGGTCCCGCCGGGACTACGCGGGACTGACGACTAAGCGTGCAAACTTGTGGCTTCTGCACTGCATCCGAGGCACTACTGCTAGGCTACCCACAGCCTCAAAAGGGTTTGCATATTCAGCAGCAACGGACGAAAGCAGATTAGGAACAAAAAATAGCGGCTGGATAATCACAGGCAGAGTGACTGATCGATAGTAGTTCAATCAAGTCAGACAGTAGATAAGTTGAAGCGTGTCAGTATAATGAGGTCTCAGACGCACGAACCGAGCGCAGATTTTTTCTTATTTTTTTTGGGATTGAAACGAGAAAACAGACTCATAACTCGTTTGCTACTCCCTCCCTTGGTTGTCATCGGTTGTCATCGGTTGTTTTTTTTATAACGAGCACCCGTGTCATGCAGCAGCAAGCGGCAGCAGCAGCAAGTCCCCCACGGGAACCCACTCTTCATGCTTTTCGTATTTATCATCTTTCTCGTTTTGTCTACGGACATATGTATAGACCTGAGGCACGGATGCCGGCTGTACGAGACCCCCGTGTGCCGTGCATCGCAGAAGCAGGCCAGGTCAGACCCGCAGCTGAGCACACATCCTACTAGCCCACCAGATAAATATTTGAATTGCCACTGGGGCCAGCAGAAAAACGGCTCAGGCTATAAATCCCAGAGGGCTTGAAACGAAGGAAGTATACGTAGAAAGTAGTCTTCGGAGTCTTTTTAGCTTTCCTGAGAAGTCGTGGGCAGAGCCGGCCGCAAGGGAAGGACGAGTCAGCAGAAAACAACTCACGTGAATTGTGCCGGGGACAGCCGGTCGGGTAGTGTGCAACAGCAGCGACAAATGCAAGAAGCTAAACAGAGAAATGAGTGAGCAAAAGTCTGCAAAGGTACGTGGCTAGTGGTGGAGAACAGGTAACTCTGGTCGAGCGAGGTACCAGCCCTTCAGTCAGAGATCTCTGATCTTTCTTCGGATTCACTGTTACTCACTTTAATTCGAGCTGCAGGAGGCCGCGTCGTCCTCAAAAAGGCGGACGGGCGGCGGCGCAAGCCTGCCTAGGTGCGCTGGGCGTCGCCACGGTCGGACCCGTCCTGGCCTTCTTCTCCTTTCTCCCTCCCGTCCCACCAAGCGTTCTATGAAGGCCCAATTTTTTTCTTTTTTACTTTTCTTCTGCTTCCTTTTTCGAAGGTCTTCTGACGACGCTTGGGCCACGCTTGAGTTTATCGGTGAACTCTTCAGATCGTAATAAATTCTGTGTGTTTGAGTGCAGCGCTGTGCTGGACTCGGTCAGCTCCAGTGCTGGATCAGGCCAAGGCCTTCTGCTCAGCTCACCATCTGTCCCGCTCGGGTGGAATGGGATGGGAAAAGAAACAGCGCATAAATGTAAAAAACTCAGAACTTTATGATCTTCACTTCGCTTTTCTTGCCAATAAATCAATCGTCGGCCTGGGAACTGCACCTGCCGGTGGTGTCTGACAGGCGGGTGTGTGACAAGCGAGCAGATTCTGCCTCTCTTTGCTCGCTCGCGATCGACGCATCTGGCTACTGCCGATTATCTAGGGCTTGTCCCATTCCCCGGCCCTGGTTCCCACCCTACGCCTAGCCCTCGCTCGCCCACCCCCTTCCGAAACACGTATAGCCCGCATGCGGACACGATTCGCTCTGTCTGCTCTGCATCTCGCTTCTTTTTTTGCAGAGACCTGTGGGGCGCATCTGGCTCGCGTCCTCAGTACGCCGCGATACCGTGAACATCCGCACCCGTTCCTTTGGCTGCGTACCTGCTTGTTTCTTGGTCTTCTCTAGCCACACCTTTGAGACTGTTCGATCGGTCATCATTCATTAAGGCATGTTCCATAGCTGTCTTTGGTCTACTTGCTGTCTGTTCTGCTTTGATTTTGAAACGCTCAATCTGATCCGCGATGGACTTGCTGATTTTAGCCACGAACCTGATTTCTGGTCCTCTCGATTCGCATGACCTGCGAATTATATACGACGAATTGCAAAACGACGATCATAAGACATCGATATGATTCTATCGAGTCCAAAACGAGAAAGAAAGAGAACAACTACCCAAATCGATCTATACCAACCACCCCGCAGCAACCCAGGGGGTTTGAATCCCACCCATAAGCTATCTCCCTTATATTCAGAACCCAATCAAATAACAATTCACTGTCAGCCTTTTGCAGTTCCTGGCCACAATGACTGGTCTCACTTTCTGCTTGATTTTACTATTTTATGATTGAGGTATTTTTTTGGGGAGGCGTTGAGTTTGTGATACCTTTCTTCTCAGGCCATATGCCCGATTGCGGGCGTTTGGGCTCGCAATCATCACCTGGGCGGCGATAATGCCTATCAAGATGCTATTCCAAAATACCAGCTTATGATCTATTAACCTGCTA